GTTTGGGCCCAGACCTTGACATCTTCTTCTAGATTCTGAGAATCCACCCCAATGACCACTCCCCACATTAAATAGGGGGCGCCCTTTGCATGGTCACGCGCAGCCCCCTGGACCCTATGAGGCACCATTAGCACAGGCTTGGCTTGGCCTTCCCCAGGTGGGATACCTGGAGGTCTCCACCTACCCCAGCCAGTTGACCAATCCCGCTGGGGGAGGCGTTGCCAAGGTGATCAGGCCAGGTAGGGGGAGGAACCACCCAAGATCCTCCCCCTATTGTGTGGGCAGGGTGGTCCCTCCCCCTACCTGGCCTGATCACCTTGGCAACACCTCCCCAGGCGGGATTGGGCAACTGGCTGAGGTAGGCAGAGACCTCCAGGTATCCCACCTGGGGAAGGCCAAGCCAAGCCTGGGCTAATGGTCCCGCATAGGGTCCAGGGGCTGCGCACAACCACGCAAAGGGCGTCCCCCCATTTAATGTGGGGAGCGTCATTACGTGTTAAGCAAATCAAATAATAGATACTAACTATGCTTTCCAGGGGGCTATAAACTTGGTGTCAAAAAAAAATTTAAAAGCTGAAAGTTTCAGGAAGTTGAATTCTGCACTCCCTTCTGTGCTTTCCTTTGCTCCTGCAAAAATAAAAATAAAAATAAATCACAGTGTATGCACATAAATTCTATCCCTAAATATACATCTATTTGCTCTGTCTGGCACGCCTCTCCAGCTGCTCCCACTCCAAGCCTGTTCATCTTCCCTGAATTTGGGGATCGAGTTGTGAATTAGGGTTTCTACAAGGCCACATTTGTTAAAGCTTATCTGTTTTTTGGCTTGGCGCCGCCTTTAGCCTTGTGTTGTCATGACAATGGGTTAAAAGAGCCCACTTGCAGGAATTGCCTCAGGATCAGCCTTTCTCAACCTTGGGTCCTCAGATGTTGTTGGACTACAAGTCCCATCATCCCTAACTAGCAGGACCAGCAGTTAGGGATGATGGGATTTGTAGTCCAACAACACCTGAGGACCCAAGGTTGAGAAAGGCTACTCTGAATGGACACCATTGGTAGACAGCCTGCCAGATGAGATGGGCCATGGATCTGGCCCTGATCATCTTCCTCACAAAGCGGGGCATCCAGAGGAGGTCCAGAAAACCCAATTCCCATCTCTTCACACCAGAAGTCACACCGGATCCTCCAAACATCCTGTTTATTAAGCGTTCCTCCTGATCCGCTTTGCAAAACGCCTACGCAGAGGTAATATTGCATCTAGTCTTTATTGCGCATTCTGATTTGTTTGCAGAGAGGTCACACCATTATAATACAGTTATATAATGTGCATTTATCCTGATTTGCTTGCTGGGTGTCTATACGTCTTCCCATTAATCGTTCATTCGTCCTTTTCTTAACTGCATTTCTTCATCGCTTCCCCAACCGCAAAAAGTCAGCTTCTTTTTAAACATGGATTTGGTGTGCTTGAATCCATTTTAGCTGCACATAGCTAAATTCCTGCTGGCATGAATCCATGACATTCTGGAGACGCCTGTGATCTCTTTAATCCGGAATAAATCCATTATGGCAAAGGGCACCTCCCTCCTAAGGATTTAAACCACTTTAACAGTCTTGGCTTCCCTCTAAAGCATTACTGTAGTGAGATGACTATTGGTCTGAAAACTCCCATCAGCCCTTCAAGGGACTACAGTTCCCAGCATGCCTTGAGGAAAACCAAGACAGCTGAAGTGACAAAAATCCAAAGGATAACATTATCTTTAAAATATGACCAGGGGATGCCTCAGATGAAGTGGAAAGGGATTTTTGGGGAGCGGGACACTGATAATGGTTGAATATTGGAGCGCTAAGGAGAAATAATCCAGTTTGTTGGTGAAACAGGATCTTGAGACCCAACTTAGATGAGATCTCTTTGGCAGATTCCCAAGACAGGGGGTACGTAATGGGTGGAGACCCTGGTACTTTTCAGGGCCACAGATATCCCCATCTCTGATATAGGGTGCAAAAGTGTTGTCAGAATGGCAGAGAAGCGGGCTTGACTCCGCCAGTGCCTCGTGAGCTTTTGGACAATCTTTGTTCACAAAATAGCTAGGAGATAAGGAGATCTTCCCCTCCGCATGCAAAAATTAAGAAGAGTCCTGCTGGGTCAGGCCAGTGGCCCATCTAGACCAGCATCCTGTTCTCACAGTGGCCTAACAGATGCTTGCTGGAAACCAGCAATCAGGATTCGAACACAAGACCACCCTGTGGTTTCCAGGAACTGGTCTTGAGAAGCATTGCTGACTCCATCTCTGGAAGCAGAGCAGAGCCATTCTGGCTAGCAACCATTGATAGCCCTCTTCTCCATGAATTTATACAATCCTTTTAATCCTGTGGGAGAGAGTTCCATAGGCTAACAATGTTTTGCATGAAGCAGGGTTTTCTTTACTGCATTATTTTGGGCCACCGAACCAACCTCATGATGGTCACGCTTTCTGGGCATCCTGTTTGCGTCATTTGGCGCAGAGCGCCGCAGAAGAAGAAAAAAGGGGTTTCGAAAGCTAGCCTAGCATCTCGTTCCACCGCAATTTTCCTCCCAGAACAGGTTTTACATCCAGAATTAATTGCAACCCGTCGTGGGGGGTCGAGGGCAAGGCATGAGAGGGACCCGAAGATAACCGAGGGAACCGTGTGGGGAAAACTCGTTTCTCAAAGCACTTGTGACTTTCTGCATCAATCATTATAAGAAAATGTGTTAGTGTGCCAGAAAGAAAGAAAGAAAGAAAGAAAGAAAGAGTCCAGCAATTAAGCTATTTTTTTAATTATATAAATATATGTATATTTTAGTCTTTAGAGGAAATGTGCCAGTGTTCTGAGAACCAAAATGTTTGTTTCCCTCTGTGTCTCGAGACAGATCCCAAATACCAAGTGGGAAAATGGCTTTATGGGAGGGGGAAAGCTGTGAAGGGGGGGAGAGAGGAGGGCACGGAGGGGGTGGGGGGGAGACACGACATGGCAATCAACAGGTTAAATCTCAGCCAGTTCCCTGAATGGCTGGTGGTTCTCAAACGCTGGAGTCTTTCCCTTGCAATCAAATTTTGAGCCTCGCTCAGCTAGATGCTATCATGATTGCGATAGGATGCTGAGGAGTGGTGTCATTTTAGGAAGCAGGGTATTATTTGTTTCTTGGAGTCCAAAGAGATTTCATTCCTCGCAGCAAATCTGAAACATGCAGATTCAATTCTCTGCCCACCTGCTCCTCCAAAAAATCACCACCACCACCAGACTGAGTGGTGGAAGATTTCAGCACAAAATGTGGATCTCAAATTTCGGGCATCCCGCAAAACGCCGAATTTCGTCTCCAGAAATCCAGAATTTGAAAAATTCTGTTTGATTTCAGGAATCTGAATTTTTGCTCTGCTGTCGTCAGGTTTTTCACAAAGGTGTCCTGGACACCTGTACTCAGAGCCATCTCTGGGCCATATTCCCAAACTTGGGTCTCCAGCTGTTTTCGGACTACAACTCCCATCATCCTTAGCTAGCAAGGCCAGTGGTCAGGGATGATGGGAACTGTAGTCTGAAAACAGCTGAAGTTTGGGAAACGCCAGACCGCAGCCAAGCTACTGCATCAGATCCCTTTGCTTAACTAATGCAGAACATGCTCAGGCCATGGGATGTGGCATTTGCCAGAGGGAAAGGGAGAGAGCTTTGCTACAGCTCAGCCTCATTTTGTTTTCCACATTTGGCTAGGTGTGCAGCCATAGAATCACAGAACAGTAGACTTGGAAGAGACTCCAGAGTTCATCTAATCCAGCCCCCTGCAATGCTAAAGAATCCTACACTGGTGTTCAGAAGTGTGTGTGTGTCGCACAATCAAAATGAGGCAAAAGGTTCACAAAATGTCGAATTTGAATCTCATCTCAAACTACATCGTGGACAATATCCAGGGATGCAATCGCATTCCACGTAGAAATCGTAGCAGCCACAAAAGCATCGTTTGGAGAAAGCAAATCCTCCCCCTAAAAAAAAGGGGGGGAATAGAAAGTTCACACTTTCTTTTGTAGCTTCTTCAAGAGATGACGAGGACACATGCAGAGTTATTGTCAAAAAGAAAGATCCTTGTTTAAGAACCACCACAATTCAGGAGCCTGGAGATTTGCCTGTGTGGGACTGGGAGGAAAAACCTTTGCACTGCAGACGGGAAGTTAAGTTTTCTTTCGTTATCAGCCTTGGCTCGGTTGGGGCCCATCGGACGTCCGGGACTACAAATCCCATCAGCCACAGCCAGCGCGAGCTCTTGCTATGGCTGATGGGTTTTGTAGTTCAAGACGTCCGGAGGGCCTTAGCTGGGCCAAGCCTGCACTAGCGGGTGAATTGGCAAAGGGCAAAGCAAGAACGGTGAAGCTTTAAGGTGCAGCAAGAAGATGGGAGCTGAGACTGGCCGAGGGAGAGACTTGCAAACCTGCCGCCTTTACGTTAATCCCAGTGACGCTCTTGAGGCCTCTTCTCCCATCAAGAGACCGTCATACTTTTTTGTTCGACATTTGCGGGGCAGAACTGTCATCTGTAAAACGCACTTTGATGTTGTTGCTTTGAAACTTTGCCGAATGTAAACAATGCGTATTTAAAATTAAAAAACCAACAAAAACCAACTCTGTGTTCTAAGAGCTATTTTATGATTCAGTGGTGAATAAAGGTTCTTGAATTGAACAGGGCGTGATTTTTTCCCCCCCATTCGAGGTGCCCAGTTAACAGACAGAGCCATTTCGGCTGAAAAGGGAGGAAGACACCCTCGCTTTTCCCCAACAGGATTCATGGCTTAAATAACATTTTCACACATTAAAAAAAGAAAAGCGTCCTTTCAGACCTTGAGACCTCCTTCCTTCCCTCCATGGCTTCCAATTCTAAATTTTATTCCTGCATCTTTCACTGAAATCTATCTGTTATATAATCATAGTATCCAAAATCCATGTCACATTACAAGTGTCATTGTATTCCTGCCACTGGTTTCAATTCTTTACAGTGATCTCTCAAATAGGTTAAAATGTTATTCTAGTCTTTTAAAAAATACTTGGTCTTCCTGATTTCTCACCTTTCCCATCCGTCTTGCCATTTCCGCATATTCCACCAGCTTAATCTGCCATTATTCTCTGGTCGGTAGTTCTTCTTTTTATCTCTGGGCAAGAAGCATCCTTGCTGCTGTCATTACACACAGGTTACAATTCTGGCCAGCATGCATATAAGCAAAATCACGTGTTGCCAGATCCCCTAGAAAAAACATTTTTTTAAATAATGAAAAGAGCAAATCCAGCCTCCTCTGGTGACTCTCCAAACTCCTCCACAGCTCTCTGTCTGGCCTCCTCCAATCTACCGTATTTTTCACTCCATAAGACGCACCTGACCATAAGACACACCTAGTTTTTAGAGGAGGAAAACAAGAAAAAAATATATTCTGAACGAAACAGTGGATGCTTGATTTTTGTGGTTCATGCTGTGGCAGCCTCCTTTATCGCTAGAGTCCCTTATCTCCCCTCCCGATCACTTGCTGATCAGCTGCTAAGCGGCTTTGTTTCAACACCCCCTTCCCTCTTTCTAAAAATAAAAAGCACGATCTGCTTTTCGCCCCTGGGCAATTTAGCTCCAGGGACCACGCATTCACTCCATAAGATGCACAGACATTTCCCCTTACTTTTAAGGAGGAAAAAAGTGCGTCTTATGGAGCAAAAAATACGGTGTTTCCAAAGTCCTTCAAAACTCTCCGCAACATCCTTTGCACTCTCTTCCTCCCCTCCGCCAACACTCTCCCAACGTCTGGCAGATTGCAAGCCATTTCCACACAACACACACTGCACACACACACTCTAGTTTATACCTTTTTAATAATAATAAATTTTATTTATACCCCACCCTCCCCGGCCAGAGCCAGGCTCAGGGCAGCTAACACCAATAAAATAAAATCACAGTAAAAACATACCGTATTTTTTGCACCATAACACTCACTTTTTTCCTCCTAGAAAGTAAGGGGAAATGTCTGTGCGTGTTATGGAGGGAATGCCTACGGGTGGCATGCCTACGGATTTTCCTCCTCTAAAAACTACGTGCATGTTATGGTCGGGTGCGTGTTATAGAGCGGAAAATACGGTAATAGGGGGGAAAGAGAGGGAGAAAAAAACCCCAATTTAAAATACAGGTTAAAATGCAATTTAAAATGCAGCCTCATTTTAAAATAGCTGATAAATCAAGACCATAAGGGGAGGGAAACATAAGGGTCAGACTGAGTCCAACCCAAAGGCCAGGCGGAACAGCTCTGTCTTGCAGGCCCTGCAGAAAGATGTCAAGTCCCGCAGGGCCCTAGTCTCTTGTGACAGAGCGTTCCACCAAGTCGGGGCCAGTACTGAAAAGGCTCTGGTCCTAGTTGAGACCAATCTAACCACCTTGCGACCTGGGACCTCCAAGGTGTTGTCATTTGTGGACCTTAAGGTCCTCTGCGGGGCATACCAGGAGAGGCAGTCCCGTATAAGTGAAATCTGCTGAGAAGGTGATCTCTGTCGGGTTGGGCTAGATGACCTTTGGGGTCCCTCTACAACTACAACTCTATGATTTTTTTATGCTTGCTTGTATTTGCCACACCAGACACGCTGCGTTGACTCCAAAGGTTGCCTTTTTGCGCTGCGGCGCCTTTCTTTCACCAAAGGAGCTGGAAAAGGGTTGTGACGCAGCCACTCCAATCTCTGAGCAGCAACAGGCTCCAGGGGTCCCAAGAGTTTTCCCCAGAATACATATCCCTTGGAACGAAGGCCAGCCGCTAAATTAATCAACCAATAACTGATAAATGGATGCACAAGGGTTTTGCGGGCGATGTTGCAGCTGGAACAAAATGTAGGTCATGGGAGGTTGAAGGCGCTGAATGCAGGATGCAAATAATATTTCTAGGGAACTCCAGAGAACGCCTTGGGGCAGCCTCCGTTTTTAATTAACAGACCCACAAACAGGATGAAAAACAACGCATGTCAAAATCTGGGCCAAATCCCTGCAATTCACCAGACTGTTTTATGTCTAATAATAATTCTGATTCTCTAGAGGCGCTGAGGAATATCTCTCTACCAGCAGCAAGTAACTTGAGAGATTTCCCCGACATCCCATGTGCTCTACGTAGGATTAAGCTTGGGGTCCCCCAATGCAGCCCCCATGGGGGCCACCACCCCTAGACCCTCCCAATTATTATTATTATTTTGCAATGAATATTTGGGCAGGGGCTCCTGGCATTTGGCAGAGGCACTTGTCTTCAGCTGCTGGGCTGCAGCCTGATCCAAAGAGGGTCTCAACAGGAATGTAAAAAAAGCTTTCAATCTGTTCTCAACAGCAGCCTTCCACACGCCGACACAAAAATCCAGCAGGATCCAGACCCAAGTCCCCACTCCTGCCAGGGATGCTTTAGTTGTGATTCCCGCATTGCAAGGGGTTCCCTTCCAGCTCTTTGGCTCTGTGATTCTCTGGGAGAATCCCATCCTCACTGGGCTTGTCGGGCAAAGCCATAGGATTGCAGACCCTCCGAGTGCCCCTGTTTTCCAGGGACAGTCCCAGATTTACAGAAGCCGCCAAAACTGGGAGCTTCATAAGCTTTCTTCTTCCCGAACATCACAGCGACCGATGCCAACCGACACCGGCTCACTTAGGGATCCGCAGAGTCTTCACAGCTTTGGGTAACAGACCTCAGCAACTCAGCATTTTGGCTAATCTACTTTATTTACATATAAACGCACACGGAGCACTGAAACATGGCTCCCTCTCTCTCTAGCATCAGACAGCAAAGAGAAAAAGACAAAGGGCAATAGTCGCACTTTACGGAACACAGTAACACAAACATCCTGTCTCCGTCACTTCCCACTCTGTGGAGTCAAAACATACACCGTCATGTGAAAGACAACAATCCCATGACTGCAATCACGGAGCAGGAATTCTAACAGTTTCTGACTTGAGCCCAGAATGTCCCGTGTTTCCTTAGGACGCCCCTATTTTCATCAGAGAAATGTTGGAGAGTTTACAACCCTCGAGCCAAGGAGATAAGTAGCTATATACCATTTAAAAGACATCGGAAGGCAGCCCTGTATAGCAGGCATAGGCAAACTCGGCCCTCCAGATGTTTTGGGACTACAACTCCCATCATCCCTGACCACTGGTCCTGTTAGCTAGGGGTGATGGGAGCTGTAGTCCCAAAACATCTGGAGGGCCGAGTTTGCCTATGCCTGCTGTATAGGGAAGTTTTTCAGCGTTTAATGCTTTGTTGTGTTTTTTATATATGTGGGAAGCCGCTCAGAGTGGCTGGGGCAACCATGTCAGATGGGCAGGGTATCAATAATAAAATTATTATCATGAGCATGATTATAATGGAATAGGGTGTCCCTATTTTCATCGGAGAAATGTGTGGGGTTGACCCAGCCGCATCTGTCAAGGCAGCTCTGATCGCAGTTCCAGCTGCGTGTTTGCTTTTAAGCTAGTTTAAATATTCAACAGGGGAACGGAGCTCGTGGTGAAAAAACAGCCCACAGTCGAAAGGGGCGGGGGGCAGGCATGCAAGATTTCCCAGTGCACAGAAAGTCCTGAGTAAGCACCAGGTTGCTCCCCGAAGGCAGAAGTCAAGCTCCGCCAAGCCTTGCCACACCATGTCAAGCGAAATCTCCCTCGCATTTTGACATGCAGATGTAGGTCAGCTGTTTCCAAGAGCAACCGGAACTGAGGAAGAGAACCCAGGCAGAAGGAAAAATTCCCCCAGGATGTGCTCCCACCCTTCTTTTCCCTTCAGAAACTCCGATTGCAATTTTGATAGTGGTTTTCTTTTGGGGCGGTGGGGAGGCAGGAAGCCTGGAGGGATTCCCCAATAAGCTCCCTAAATCTCCTAAACAAAGTTCACTGGTGGCTTACAGGCTTCGCGGAACATGTCCGGCGTGACGGATATTCTTTGTGACAACCTCTGCAGGAGAGGCGTTTTGTGGTTTCATATAGGACAGGGGAGACCTCATGACAGGCCTGCGGACACGGAGAAGGGCTTTGGCTTGGGGACACAGAGATCATCTGCTTTGAATGCAGAAGGTGCTCATGTTTGATTCTTCGTATCTCCAGGTAGGGCACAAGCTCTGGAAAGCTCTGGCCTAAATGTTCATGAAAATGGCTTCGCCTGGCGTCAAAATGGTGGCAAGGTCAATGTCAGGCGGGCCTCCATGGGGAGAACATTTGACATAGATAGGGAGCCACCACTAAAAAGGCCATTTCTCTTGACACCACCCTCCAGACCTCTCTCAAAGGTGATATGTAGAGATTAACCTCAGATTAGGATATCGGGGTCGAGGCCACCTTCTATAGGGAAAGTTGTCTGTATTCACATGAAATCAAGCTGGCTTTAACAAGGAAGGAAAGAGGTATCTCTGCGCTGGACCAGACCGTTCCCAAATTTTGCCGAAAGCTAAATTCAAAGCAAAATGGATGGTCCGTCGATGAGAATCTAAGGATTTAAATCAAGGATTCACAAACTTGGGTCTCCCAACTGTTTTGGACTAGAGTTCCCATCATCCCTGACCACTGGTCCTGCTAGCTAGGGAAGATGGGAGTTGTAGTCCAAAAACAGCTGGATACCCAAGTTTGGGAAATGCTGATTTAAATCAAGAAAGCGCAGGCTGCTGCTCTGTTGGCATGGAGAGGGTGTCACAAAACCAAGCACCTCTTAGGAAAAACTAAGCTTACTTTTTAAAAGGAATGTCAAGAGAAGTATGGATTTTCTTAGCTGATGGGCCGTTCCCTTGGTTACGTTCTCCCTTGGCTGAGCATCGCACCACACGCACCCGAGCTGAACGGCAATCGATCTAAGTGTGCTGCTTTTGGGAGCTGTTAAAATCGCAAATAAATGCAACCACCTGCAGTGTTCCTTCAAAAAACAGCCTACATCTTTTACCCTAAAAAGTATCACGGCTATAACAACACTTCCTGTGTAGGACCAGGAAATAATTGCTGCCTAGTAGAGTAAAACCGGGATGCGGGTGGCGCTGTGGGTTAAACTGCAGAGCCTAGGGCTTGCCGATCAGAAGGCCAGTGGTTTGAATCCCCGTGACGGGGTGAGCTCCCATTGCTCGGTCCCAACTCCTGCCAACCTAGCAGTTTGAAAGCACCTCAAAGTGCAAGTAGATAAATAGGTACCGCTCCGGCGGGAAAGTAAACGGTGTTTCCGTGCACTGCTCTGGTTCGCCAGAAGCGGCTTAGTCATGCTGGCCACGTGACCTGGAAGCTGTACGCCGGCTCCCTCGGCCAGTAAAGCAAGATGAGCACTGCAACCCCAGAGTCGTCCACGACTGGACCTAATGGTCAGGGGTCCCTTTACCTTTACCTTTAGAGTAAAACCACATAGCTGAACTGGTTCCTTAGAACAACAAAAATCCACAAAATCAGCATGCATATATGGGACGCGGGTGGCACTGTGGGTTAAACCACAGAGCCTAGGACTTGCCGATCAGAAGGTCGCGGTTCGAATTCCTGCGATGGGGTGAGCTCCCGTTGTTCGGTCCCTGCTCCTGCCAGCCTAGCAGTTCAAAAGCACATCAAAGTGCAAGTAGATAAATAGGTATTGCTCCGGCAGGAAGGTAAACGGCGTTTCCGTGCGCTGCTCTGGTTTGCCAGAAGCAGCTTAGTCATGCTGGCCACATGACCCGGAAGCTGTACGCTGGCTCCCTCGCCCAATAAAGCGAGATGAGCACCGCAACCCCAGAGTCGGCCACAACTGTTCCTGTACTGGCAGTGATGTATGGAAGTGAGAGCTGGACCATAAAGAAGGCTGGTCGCTGAAGAATTGACGCCTTTGAATTCTGGTGCTGGAAGAGACTCTTGAGAGTCCCATGGACTGCAAGAAGATCAAACCTCTCCATTCTGAAGGAAATCAGCCCTGAGCGCTCACTGGAAGGACAGATCCTGAAGCTGAGGCTCCAATACTTTGGCCACCTCATGAGAAGAGAAGACTCCCTGGAAAAGACCCTGATGTTGGGAAAGATGGAGGGCACAAGGACGAGATGAGGACGAGATGGTTGGACAGTGTTCTCGAAGCTACCAGCATGAGTTTGACCAAACTGTCGGAGGTAGTGGAAGACAGGAGTGCCTGGCGTGCTCTGGTCCGTGGGGTCACAAAGAGTCGGACACGACTAAACAACTACACAACAACAAAATTGTCACTGGAGTCACCACTCTGGGTGTCCTAAAGAGTTGTTTTTACCAATAATTTTATTGTTCCAGTCTCTGCAAGCCTCCACATTGAGGTTGAGTTTGTTTGGGTTTTTAAGAACAAAGCAGTGTATACATTTTATGAAATAAAGTTGTTGTTGTGTTGTTGTTGTTGTTGTTGTTGTTGTTGTTGTTTTCAACTTATACACCACCCTGTACTCGGAGGTCTCAAGGTGGTTCACAACAAGACCACAACATATAAAATCAAACCAAAAGCAGTAATCTAATACCCCCCCCAAAGCCACATTCTAAAAGGATGTCAATAAGATCAACCAAAGGCCTGGTTATATATATATTGAGGACCTAGAGATGTTCATGTTAAGGTATGCAAGCTTTCACGTTCACACAGAACGCTTTGGCTGAGTTCTCAGTGGACAGTAAGCTTTTTCCTGGACTGGCAGGTTGAGGGTCACATAATGGAATAGTCTCCTCTGTCCCCATCCAAATTCCTGCATGTAGAAAGCCAGGCTAAAGTACTTCCAGCCTACTAGCTTTCTACGTGCGGGGAACTGTGTCTGTATGTGTTTTTACAAACTGTGTTTGTACTCCATCATCCAAGCCCTTACCTGCTCTCTGATGCCACAGGTAGAACCTTTCATGCCTTTTTCCATTGCCCCAAGCACAAAGCCTCTCAATAAGGACTGCAACCTTTACAACACAGTCCCATCCTTCGCCACACAGCAGTCTTCGCCGTTGGCTTTAGCGACACTCACTCCCAGAAATCTTGGTACAGGAAATTTGCCTGAAGCAATTAGACAGAAGTCTTTCCAGCCTCCCAGAAAGGCATCCCTAATTAATCTGGCAAAACGCTCTTTTAACAAAATCAGTTCTAATTATTCCTAACAGGTATGCTAATATTTATAAAATACTTTAGAAGCCTGCAGATGGCGGGCAGCGTTTCAAAGGGAAGCGAGGAGAGCAGTGCTGGATCTGGCCAAAGGGGGTCCATTTAGTCTAAAATCCTCTTTGCCGCATGGCCAGGCAGAAGGATGTCGAGGAGATTTGATCCATGGCTTCTAGCTACGCTTTGCTGCTACAGTTGGGAGTCAACAATGCTTCTGAATATCCAGAGATTCAGGAACAGGATTTGAGATCGGGGGGATGATGACGATGATTTATTTATTATTATCCACTGTCTTTACAACCCTGGACAGCACTGTTTTTTCCCTGACCGTGCAGCTCCCAAACCACACACAGAAACCATACTGTTGAGAGTGTATTAACTTATGGTCTGTGTGTGTGGTTTGGGAGCTGCACGGTCAGGGGAAAAACAATGCTGTCCAGGGTTGTAAAGACTACAGAGAGAATAATTGGGTGCACTCTTCCCACCTTGGATCAAATCTATGCTTCCAGGTGCCATAAGAAAGCGGCAGAGATAGCGCAGGATAGTGCGCACCCCGGAAATGATCTCTTTCAGCTTCTGCCTTCTGGAAGAAGGCACAGGGTTATAAAGACCAGGACTAGCCGCCTGAGAAACAGTTTCTATCCAAATGCGATTTTGGTTTTAAACGCAGTGTAAGGTAGTCTCTATGGGAGTATATTGTACTTAATTATGGGATATCAGAGTTTTTAGGGGGCTAACCAGGCTGGGATAGTAGGCTTGTTGGTTTTTGAATGTCTCATGTAGATTTTTCCAGTTTCGTTGTTCTGTATGGGACAATGACAATAAAGATTCTTCCTGGTCATTGACCATATTAAAGATATTTGATTTGACAATAAAGATTATCATAAATCGTAAATAAATTCGTAAATTATTTGTACCCCGCCCATCTGGCTGGGTTTCCCCAGCCACTCTGGGCGGCTCCTAAAAGAGGACTAAAAACAGAACAAAACTTCAAACATTAAAAACTTCCCTGTACAGGGCTGTCTTCAGATGCCTTCTAAAAGTCAGATAGTTGTTTATTGCTTTGACGTCTGACAGGAGGGTGTTCCACAGGGCGAGCGCCACCACCGAGAAGGCCCTCTGCCTGGTTCCCTGCAACCTCACTTCTCGCAGGGAGGGAACTGCCAGAAGACCCCTGGAGCTGGGCCTCAGTGTCCGGGCAGAACAATGGGGGTGGAGATGCTCCTTCAGGTCTACCGGTGCCAAGGCAAAACTCAAGTTATTCTGTGTACTAGCAACTTCGTGTTGTCGTTGTATTTAAGTATCATCACTTCAGGGAGCAAAATCTGGGCAGGGTTTTTATGGAGGACAGGTAAGGGGGGCCTGAGAGCACCTGCCGCTTTGCATCCTAGCAGGAGGGATCTCTTCTTGCGGCGCCGCAATCGTTCATCTCCTGCGCCCCTGCAGGAGTTTCACGCGCAATCACGCCCACTCCCAGGAGCCGAGGACGACAAGCCGCAAGAGCAGAATCTAAATGGAGCTTCATTAGCCGGAATGCGCAATTTTAATGACCTGCTAAATAAGCCAGGCCTTCAAAGGAACCGGGGAAAGAAGCTGGAAATGATTCGGTACAAATTGACAATTAGCACAGGCAATTTGCTTCCTGAATAATAAAAAAACAAAAACAAGGAACAGAGGGAAAAGAACACCTCGTACCACCTCAAGACCTAAGGCAGGTTTTCGGGGGAAAGGCATTCTGTCCGGCTGTCAAAACAGCGAGTTCCTGCAGAATACAGAAAAGCGTGCTTTGCGTTATACGTAGGGCTGCGTCTGAAGACTGTTCGGACACTTCAGCTGGTGCAGAATTCAGCGTCAGCAGGGCAAGACGGGTTGAGTATCTTACACCAGGGTAGGCAAGGTTTACCTTGCCTGGGCTGGTTAACTCCCATGGAGATTGCTCCTTAGGCTGGATCACGTCTGCACAGACGCGATTTTTAGCGCCGTGGAAGCAAGTCCTTGCTCTGTGCTGCGCCGGTTTAGCGCAGCGCGCAGGGACTCACCGAGCGGGTGGCTTGTGGGCTGTTTAAATGACCCCCGTGGGCCGCAGGTTGCAGACCTTACACCGATCCTGGCCCAACTGCACAGGCTACCAATTAGTTTCTGGGCCCAATTCAAAGTTCTGGTTTTGACCTATAGAGCCTTAAACGGCTCAGGACCGTAGTACCACAAGGACCTCCTCTCTCCATATGAACCTACCCAGACCCTGAGATCATCTTCTGAGACCCTCCTTCGTGTGTCTCCTCCTCGAGAGGTTCAGAGGGTGGCAATACAAGAACGGGGCCTTCTCTGCAGTGGCTCCTTGTTTGTGGAATGCTCTCCCCAGGGAAGTTCGCCTGGCGCATTCATTATATATCTTTAGGCGCCAGGCAAAAACGTTCCTTTTCAACCAGGCCTTTGGTTGATCTTATCGACATCCAACATCCTTTTAGAAGGTGGCTTGGAGGGGGGGAGTGTTATTAGGTTATTGCTTTTGGTTTGATTTTATATGTTGTGGTCTTGTTGTGAACTGCCCTGGGACTTCTGGGTATAGGGTGGTGTATAAATTGAAATAACAACAACTTTATTTCATAAAATGTACACACTGCTTCATTTTTAAAAACCCAAACAACCTCAACCTCAATGTGTAGGCTTGCAGAGACTGGAACAATAAAATTAATGGTAAAAACGTTTAGTCGTGTCCGCCTCTTTGTGACCCCATGGACCAGAGCACGCCAGGCACTCCTGTCTTCCTCTGCCTCCCACAGTTTGGTCAAACTCATGCTGGTAGCTTCGAGAACACTGTCCAGCCATCTTGTCCTCTGTTGTCCCCTTCTCCTTGCGCCCTCCATCTTTCTCAACATCAGGGTCTTTTCCAGGGAGTCTTCTCTTCTCATGAGGTGGCCAAAGTCTTGGAGCCTCAGCTTCAGGATCTGGCCTTCCAGTGAGCACTCAGGGCTGATTTCTTTCAGAATGGATCGGTTTGATCTTCTTGTAGTCCATGGGACTCTCAAGAGTCTCCTCCAGCACCAGAATTCAAAAGCATCAATTCTCCTGCGATCAGCCTTCTTTATGGCCCAGCTCTCACTTCCATACATCACTACTGGGAAAACCATAGCTTTAACTATACGGACCTTTGTCGACAAGGTGATATCTCTGCTTTTTAAGATGCTGCCTAGGCTTGTAATGACAATTTATTGGTACTCTTTGACCCACAAGGTAAGAAGAGAATTGCAGGATCCAGCCCATGTTCCATCTACTCCAGCATCCTGTCCTCACAGTGGCCAAACAGATGCCTGTGCGACACTGGCAGGCAGGATCCGAGCGCAAGAGCAACTCTCCCTTCCTGTGGATCCAGTGACCTGCATTCAGAAGTATTGCTGCCTTCAACTATGAGGACAAGAGCATAGCCATGATGGGAAATAGCCATGGATAGCTCTCTCGTCCCTCACCGCCCCTCCTTAGGGTCACATTCCTGCTGTGCTTACAAACATGCTCACATCCCAGTTGTTCTTTCGCCAGCTCCACCTACACAGCCAGACAAAAATAAAAATCCGGAGGAGCAATTGCAAGTTTGGAAAATGACACACACACCCTTTATGCAACCCAAATCAATGCGCATGCAAACTGCTCCTATGTACACACAGCTGTGTTATGTCGTGATTCTGCACAACGTGCAGAGAATCTCTGGGGCTGGGCTGCCCGAGAAACTCCCCTTGCTTTATTTATTTGAATGCAAACGCTTCTAGTTGGAAAGATGCGCTCAGAAAACGCTAAGATTGTTACTTCGCATTACCTCTGCCACCCGGGTGGCGCTGTGGGTAAAACCTCAGAACCTAGGACTTGCCGATGGCATGGTCGGCGGTTCGAATCCCCGCGGCGGGGTGAGCTCCCGTCGTTCGGTCCCAGCGCCTGCCAACCTAGCAGTTCGAAAGCACCCTTAAGTGCAAGTAGATAAATAGGGACCGCTTTATAGCGGGAAGGTAAACGGTGTTTCTGTGTGCTGCGCTGGCTCGCCAGATGCAGCTTGTCACGCTGGCCACGTGACCCGGAAGTGTCTTCGGACAGCGCTGGCCCCCGGCCTCTTAAGCAAGATGGGCGCGCAACCCCAGAGTCGGACAAGACTAGCCCGTACAGGCAGGGGTACCTTTACATTTACCTTTTTAATGCAAAGTATGGAAATCTGCTAAATTTGTGTGTTTTGCAGGCTGCAGAATTTAGAGTAGCGCTGCAGGAATTCATTCTTGTGTCAGCAGATGTACACAGGTGAATATACTCAATGTTATGAGCTGGCTCAGTTGATACCATTATTAATCACCCATCCCCTCCCTGCACGTAACCAGGAATTACACAACTTATATTTGAGATATCCCTCCACAAGCCAGTTTTCCTTCTCCTAGAGGAGCTACCTTCCCAGATTTATTAATGCAGCTGTTTGACTTCACCCCTCGAGGCACGCTCCACTGTCTCGAGACAGAAGGATGCAAACAATTTTTAAGGACTAGCAAGGAACCCCACACAACAGAATAAACAGGTCTAAGAGGTCGAAGACTCTGTTTCTCTTCTAAACCCCCACCACCAGCAGCAAGGCCATATATGTAGCCACCCACTTGTCAATCATCATGAGATTTACACCTGCCTAAGATCAAAGGAAGGGACACAGGTGGCGCTGTGGGTTAAACCACAGAGCCTAGGACTTGCCGATCAGAAGGTCGGCGGTTCAAATCCCCGCGATGGGGTGAGCTCCCGTTGCTCGGTCCCTGCTCCTGCCAACCTAGCAGTTCGAAAGCACGTCAAAGTGCAAGTAGATAAATAGGTACCGCTCCGGTGGGAAGGTAAACGGCATTTCTGTGCACTGCTCTGGTTCACCAGAAGCGGCTTAGTCATGCTGGCCACATGACCCGGAAGCTGTACGCCGGCTCCCTCAGCCATTAAAGCGAGATGAGCGCCGCAACGCAAGTCGGCCACCACTGGACCTAATGGTCAAGGGTCCCTTTACCTAAGTTCAAAGGAGCCTGCTGTATACCTGGCAGTACAAATTGCCCAAGCCTAGTGAGGTGCACCTTCCTCCATCATTAGTAACTTTCCGGAGGGATTTAAAAGCCTTCATGTTCACCCAGGTGGTTGAAGAATACCGTCCTAGCAACTGCAAGATTACCGGGTGGAAGAAAACGTCGTAACTTTTAACTGTTAACTGCTTTTAGGTGAATAATGATTCAGGAACCTGGAGTGCTCATGGGCCACAGAGAAGCGTTCTTGGTTCCATCTACAGGATTTTAAACAAGCTGTCACACCAGGCAAATGCCCAGGTGTGTACTCTTTCTCTCATGGGCCACAAATTACATTTCAAAACCTCCACCTTTCGACAGTTTTCCCCGAGAAAGGTTCGAGTAGAGAAGACAGGCAATGAACTGTGTTTTTTTAATTGTTTATTGTGTTCATGGCTGGGTTTGAACCCCCAGTAGAAAAAAAAACCACCAATAAATACAACACATTCCTGGCTCCTTCAGCAGACAAGCGCCGTGCCAGCAATGCAGAGATCCAGGGGGCCCCTTGAGAGTAGAAGTTGAAGGCTATGGAGAAACCCAGGAGGGGAGAAAGGTCAGGAACCACCAAGGATGGCTGGACCTGAATGTTGGAGGACGCACCATCTGGGATTTCCCAGAGTTTGCTCCCGTTTCATAGACTACGGCAGGAGGAGACCCACTGCGAGCAGAGCAGAAATACTGCGAGAGCCTCACTCCCCCTTCCCCCCAGTGTGAAGGTTGTTTGAGGACTGCCAATGGGGAAAGCATTTTTCTAAGGGGTCCTGGGACCGGGTCTTGTTAAGAGAGGGGCTCCCCGTGTCTTGCGCTGCTGGCCACGCCTGCCCCTCAGTGGTTATGGGGCCGGCCTCGCCCTCTGCCGCGGCCCGGAGGAGGGGCGTCCACCGTGGAGCGGGGGTTCTTGATGGTCTCATCCACAGACACGATAAGGCAGGCGGCCTCGGATGCCGCTGTCAGGGCGTTGATGCGCACGACTGCCGGCTCCCACACGCAGGCCACAAAGTTGTCGGCGATGTCTTCGTTGTTCACATCCACGCCGTACCACTTGCCACCCTGAGGGGCAGACAGAACACACCCGGTGAGGAGGTCAAGGAGGTTTGGAGGAAGAATGTGGTGTTTGCAGGCTTTTTCAAGGGTGTTCCCAATATATGTGGTTTCACTTAAAACACGTGGTGCTTCAGAAAGTAACCCTTGCGTAAATGGGGAGTTGCCTATATATTATACAACATATATTGTGCTATTGCTTTGTCCATATCAAGTTTTACTTCAAGTTGCTCTACACCAGTGTTTCCCAAACTTGGCTCTCCAGTTGCTCTTGGACTACAACTCCCATCATCCCTAGCTAGCAGGGATGGTGGGAATTGTAGTACAAAAACAAATTGAGACCCATGTTTAGGAAACTGGCGTAGAAATTTATATACATATTCCACATTCTTTGTAACCCGCTGATGAGTTGAAGCAGCACGCAAATTTCATTAAGTAAATAAAAGGAAAACGTTGTGGACCTTGACTTTTGTGTTTGCATGCAACGAGAAGAGAAGCAGCATGTAGTTCCTATCTACCCTGAGCAGAACCGCCAGGAAGCCTGCCATGAAGATGCAGCAGTATCCAACCTGCCCACTGCTGGGAAGTGATAGAAGCAGAATCTGCTGCTCTGAAAAGGCCACAGAACGGCCCCTCCAAGCCTGGCTAAGGTAGCTCACCTGGGCGTGCTTGGCTCGGAGTTTGTTGAGGATGTTGGTGGCATCGAAACCGGCGTTGTCGCAGAGCTGCCGCGGAATGATCTCCAGGGCTTTGGCGTAGGCTCCAATCAGCAGCTGCTGCTTGCCTGGAATGGTTCTGGAATAGTCTCGAAGGTACTTGGAGATCTCCATCTCTATAGCTCCACCACCAGCGACGACCGAGTCATTCTGGAAGCACACAATTGAGCGGGGAAAGGTAACCTCTCTCTCTCTCTCAAAAAAAGTCGGTTATCGCAACAGGTCTAATTTATGCTGTTCTCATAGACGCCACTGGCAGTTTGCCTCGCACGGATCTGGCTGACACCGTTTGGAAGGAGCGACGGCACGTCTGTCGAGTTCACACAAGCCAATGCTATCCACCAGCCTGCTGGCAGTGAGGGAGGCACAGCTGGCATGTAATCCAAAGCTAAAGAAATCTGAAATCCATGCAGAGAATGATATGCAAAACTAGCTCGTGTTTTGCATACTTTAAAAGTAGACACGGACTATTTACTGTACTGCTTAGTACATTTAATAAAAAGTCCCTAAGCCACGCACATCAAATCAAAAAACACAACAACAAAATAATCTTCAGTAGGAAGGCTAATTCAGCATGGGAAGGCCTCTAAGCAGAGACTAGGAAGAGTGGGATAGATTCATGGTTAGCAATCCACAAAGATGGATTGCTAGCGTGTTCTAAAAGTATGTGGCATATGCGTATATTATTTTAGCAAAGGACACAGGATCCCAGCTGAACTTCTTGAGCTCTGGGAGCTCCCTGGACTGAAGATGTTAGGCTGCATCAAAACGAACATGGGAAGAGCACACCTGACCCAGAGTTAAGGGAACTCTGTTAGCAGAAGTCCCTTTACAATACCCCTGGAGAGTCCATTCACACATTACGCGGCAGTCAGTGTCTTCGGGAGAAAGCTGAAATCGGGGTTCCCTCCCACGCTGTGCCTGCAGGATTTCACATTTTTAGGCGAGTGCTGAAGCCACGCATAAAGCATGCCCAAGACGCAGCAACAGACTGACAGCTTTGCTGCTCTCCTTAGATGAGACGTGGGGCCAACAGGCTGCAGTTCCAGCATCCTCTGGCATGTGGCGGACACGAACAGAGAGGCTGCTTTGGGGGACGCCAGTAGCCAGAAGGCAGCCACTCTCATTGAAGGGCTCTTTGGCTGTTTGATCACTTGGCCATGTCTCCCCCATTCCCAGCTTGCTTCAGCAAACAACAGACCGAGGTGCTGCTGGGAGGAGCAGATGGCTCTCAAGAAGGTCCAGGTGGCCAGACTTTCATCTGCAGAGAGCCTCGTTTTGATGCCACAGCTGGTCCTTTGGGTCCCAGCACAGGGCTCTGTGCTCCCCCCACGTAGGATCCTTTGGAGTCCTGTTTCCAAGGATACGTGTTTCCAGCTCTTGAGGTAGGGATGCGTGAGAAGAGCTGTTTGCCAAAGCTCAGAGATGAGAGGAGCTATGTGTGTGGATTTCTATGCATGTCACACAATAGCTTCCCTGCAGCTTGCCTGCCTGCCTGCCTGCCTTCTCCTGCCCCATTTACAACCCCAATCCTCATGGCAATACAAGGCCCAGAAATCTACCCACAGCCAGTTCCCCCCCAAAAAAACCTTCTACCACGAAGAGAAGCTATTCAAAGGCTCCACATGCCACATATGGGTTTAAGCGCAAGCGGCAGAATTTTGGAAGAGGCTTTCTGGAACAGCCAAGGAATCAGAGAATTGTAGAGTTGGAAGGGAACCAAGGGTCATCTAGTCCAACCCCCTGCAATCTGCAAATCTCAGCTAAAGCACCTCTGACAGATGGCCATTGATCCTCTGCCGAAAACCCTCTAAGGAAGAAGAGTCCACCACCTTCTAAGGGAGACCATTCCAGAGTCCAACAGCTCTTACAGTCAAAGGTCTTCCATATGTTCAGTCCGAATCTCCTTTCCTGCATCTTGAATCCATTGGTTCAGGTCCAACCCTCCGGAGCAGCAGAAAACAAGTTAGCGCCATCTTCCATGGGACAGCCTTTTAGAGATTTGAAGATGGCTATCATATCTCCTCTTGGTCCCTTCTATTCCAGGCTAAACATACAGTCATACCTCGGGTTACAGACGCTTTGGGTTGCGTTTTTTCAGGTTACGGACCCGCTGAAACTCGGAAGTACCGGAACGGGTTACTTCCGGGTTTTGGGGGTTGCGCATGCGCAAAGCACTAAATCACTCTTTGTGCATGTGCAGAAGCACCAAATCGCAACCCGCGCGTATGCAGACGCACCACTGCAGCTTGCGAACGTGCATCCCGCACGGATCACGTTCGCAACCCAAGCGTCCACTGTACCCAGCTCCTTTATCATCTTCTCCTCTGCATACATTCCAGCTTGTCAATACCCTTCTTACAACTGTGGCATCAAGAACTGGACGGTGTTCCAGGTGAGGTCCAAAAGGTAGCACTGTGCCTTGATCAGCTGCTCACACAGTGACCAAGCAGAACTTAACTCCCAGTGCATCAGCTGACATGCAGGAAGTTCAATCCTGCTCTCTGCTGGATTAGGCTATCTCCCGCCTCCCCCAACCGAATCACTATTATGTCATATGATTGACAGGCAGGTGGTCCTGCACCTTAAGCTGTGGCACATCTGAACTGGGAAGGCAGAGAGACACTCCCAGTTTACAGGAGCCCCTCTGGCTGGGCCATGATCTCTGGTTGATCAAGACATCCAGGAGGGCTACGGAACCCCAAGTCAGCCTAGCTGCTCAACCCGCACCTTGATTGCTCTCCTAACAATCATGATGGCATCGTGGAGAGAACGCTCCGTCTCCTCCATGAACTGCTCCGCCCCTCCACGCAGGATTATCGTGCAGGTCTTGGCCTTCGGGCAGCCTGTGAAGAAGTTGTACCTGCCAGAGAAAGGGGGAAGCGTGTCTTAGTGTCAATGGGGATCACAGCCGCGCCACGCCTTAGCAGAGATGCCCTCTGAGGAAAGGGCAGATTCAGACCCATATTTACGTCCAACCACGTCAAGAAACCCCCCAAATGTGTGTAAATTAAAAGCAAGCAAGGCAACTCCAAAGCTTGTCCTGTGCCTCCGCCATCCTGGCCAGGCTGCCTTTACCTGTCGCCTCCAATCTGAGTCTCCTCGAAGAGGTCGCAACGCCCAAGGACCTCATCGGTCAGGGAATTTACGCTGGTCTGAATGGATCCACCGCAGGCCTACAGTGCATGGGGAAAGAGACCATTTTAGAGAACTACTGATCTAGCATCAAACAAGCGAAAACCGAGCCCTGTTGACTAGGTTTGCTGCTCCGCTCCCTCCACCCCCCATTAAGAGAATGTCGTTTTCATATATAAGCATCACTACAAAATAATAGTCTGCCTATTAAATTGACTTATTCATTCCACATCAATGGCCTGGGATGCATTGGGAGGAAGGTCAGGATATAAATTCAATAAATACCGTATTGGCCCAAATATAAGCCACACCCGCAAATAAGCTGCACCTTTAAAATTTGGGGGGGGGGGGAGAAAAAAAGACAATACCCGAATATAAGCCACTCCCTTAAAATTCCTGAGACACTCACACCTGTAAATGGCAAATGTTCCGTTTTACCATATGTATGTTTCAGCAGTGATACCATAAAAGCCATTTTTTGTAAGGTCGCAAGTTTAAGCCACACTTTAAATTTTTACGGTCCGAATTTGGGGGAAAAAGTGTGGTTCATATTTGGGTCAATATGGTAATAACAAAGCACTCTTTACCCCTTTAACAGGGCAGCGTTGCAAAATTCTTTATCAGAATTAAACAGGGAGTTCCAAAGCGCTGGTGATGCCACACTAAAAGATCTACTTCTTATAAATGCAGAGCAAGTACTGTGAGGCACCTGTGAGAGCGCCAGTTCTGCAGATTGAAGCGGTCGAGTGAGTATATAACCAGTAAGGTGATCCTGCAAGTAAACTGGTCCCAAGCTTTATATTAAAAACGGCATCCCTCAATGTCCTGGGATTAATCAAGGCAATAAACCCTAAACAAATGGAAGGGGATAGCAAGAGCAACCACTGCAAATTGCAATAAAGGAACAGAAATGTTGGGAGGCGCGCACACACACACCCCCCTCACAATTTCAAGCACAAATGGAAGACATTCCGTCCCATGGTAACAGAATAGCATACAGTCATGTTACGTTTGCTTCAGGTTGAGCGTTTTCAGGTTGCGTCCTGTGGTGACCCAGAAGTAACGGAACGGGTTACTTTCGGGTTCCGCCACCCGCACATGTGCAGACGCGTAAAATGATGCCACGCGCATGCGCAGAAGCGGACTGCGTTCTGTTCAGGTTGCGAACGGGCCTCCGGAACGGATCCCGTTCGCAACCAGAGGTACCACTGTACAGGCGTTTTGCTGCTCTCTGCAGCTGCGCTCCATGTCCAAGAACTGAGCTCAGCAACTAGCGGCTTGCAAGGGGTCCAGGCCCACCTCTCTCTCTCCCCTGTGCTGCTTCACCAGTTCCTCTAACAGGGCTGCCGCCCAAGGCAACTGCTCAGGCTAGTTGCATAGGCAGGGCAGCCCCAAGCACCTGGCCAACAACCTGGGAAAGCGAACGGGGGAAACCTCACCATCATGGTCCTCTTGAGATCTTCTTCAGGGACTCGGCCGGCACAGAACATGTCCCGGTCAGCAAAGTACTGGGTAGCCACGTCGCCAATCGGAAGCTTGGAGAGAATGACTTTGGCCCCTGACTTGTGGAGCTTATCAAGCTTGTCGTACAAGATGTTCCACTCAGCATCCACGATGGCCTGGTAATCCTGCAGAGGGAGATTTAGGCAAGAAGCTATCGGTGCTATTTCTTTAGCCAAGGGGGGGGGATCTGTTTGGCTTAAAATAAAATAAAAACAAGGTGCCACCATAGCTGTCTACTGCAAAGGGCGTTAGGAGAATGACAACTCTGCCAATACAGTAAATCTCGACATGGAAACAGGATCAGGGCCACCAATGTTCACCTAAGGTGTGCACGTTTAGAAGCGTTCCCCAACCATTGGTTTTAGATCTTCCCTGTCACAGAGGTGGCACCAGTTAGCTGCTGGAAGGTGGGCGCCCACATCAGCACCCATGTGAAGACCACCTGGTGGAAACCCTCACACATATGGTTCTCAATTGTAAACTGTATGCTGATCTCCGCCAGCAATTTCTAGATCAACCCTGTATCCCCAAATGGAAACCAGAGTCAGGGGTCATACATTTTCTATTACTGGGGAATGATCAGGAGCTCACCAAGTTAGTGGCTAAATAACTCTATTTGGTTTTTTGTGGTTGAAATACGCTGCAGACATCTGATCTCCCTGGAGACCAAGAGATGTGACGATAGACTGCTCTGTCTCCTTTCTTTTAGCAGATGTTTTGTGCCTCTGGGGAAGTGGTAATTCTGTATTGATTTGTTTTGGATGTTGTATGCGATGCCAATAAAAGGTAGGTATATCTATCTATCTATCTATTACATCAGCACCCTTCTCCATTGCTCTTGCCCACCCAAGAAGCTGCCTTGTAGGGCAGCTGCCACCCTATGGGGACAGGGTGAGGGCAGAAGAGAAAGGATGGGAAGGGCCAAAACTCAGTGGTAGAGCGTCTGCTTTGCATGCAGAATGCTCCAGGTTCAATCCCTGGCATCTGCAGGTGGGGCTGGGAGAGAACCCTGCCTGAAACCCTGGAGAGCAGCTGCCGGTCAGTGTAGACAGTACTGAACTAGCTGGGCCACTGGTCTGATTCAGTGTAAGGCAGCTTCCTTTGTCCAAGGTGGCTGCAACCATTCTGCAGTCCTCTGCTGTGCTCACATTCCCTTGAACTGAGGTGCTTCTTATAGAAGAGCTTTCCAAAGTTTTCATGTTGGTGACACTTTTTATACACGCATCATTCGTGACACAGTTTTACTAGCAAACCGCAGATTAAACCAGCCCCGGGAAGTGTGTGGGGAGTGTTCATGCAGCAAACCTACACTGCAACCAACACATTAACATATCGTGACAAAGCTTGGAATGCTCTGGGTTAGGTAATGAGGTTCCAACTATCAACTTGGTCAAATGTGGAAGTCGAACATTACCCCGCAAAGCACACGGCTCTTTTTGCAAGATGTTACATTTTCACAGCTTCTCTCCCCAAGCGGTTCTGAGCCTTTACCTGCACAGTGTGGACTCTGACTTCAGCATTGTCCTTCTCTGCCTTCAGCTCCAGCTCAATGTTGAGCAGAGCGATCCTGGGGGACTCATACTTCTTGGGCTGCATCTCAAAGCCGGCGTAAGAGAAGGTCTTCTTGAAGGCAACACCTGCCACCAATTGGGAATCCTGCAGGAAAGGAAAGGTCATTTCACTCCTCACGCCCACTCTCGGATGGCAGGCAACCCTCTGTTGGTTCCTACTTAGGTCTTGAACTTGTTTACTCAAGAGGAAGCCTCGCTGAGTTCAATGGGGCTTACTTTCAATTACATGCATACAGGATTATTGCATACAGGATTACATGCAGCCTTAGTGCATCCAACTAAATTGTACCATAGACCCTGCAAAGTCAATGGACTTGTCCATTAATTTCAAAGGGTGTGCTCTATGAAGCAGGCAAGGCCTTCACAGTCCTCTTTCTGGTGCCTGCAAAAAAACATTCTTGTTTAGACAAGACTACCTAGATGCTTAGAAAGCTGAGGTAATTTTAATCTATTTCCGTATTTTAACTTTCATGTTTTAAAGTATGACTGAATTTTTCTTGATTTTGGTTATAACTTTTGTAATTGATCTTTAGGTTTTTTACAATAAAGCAATGTATAAATTCTGTGATCATTATTCTTTTTTAAGTACAACAGCCTGGCTTCTTAGGAGGAGGAAAAGATAGAAATATAGTATTTTTGAAAGTCACATGATGTGCAGTGATGGGCCTGTTAAAGAAATCTGGGGTGGGGGAGTGGGGCTGTTGTTCTTGTTTTTATTATGTATTTTGTGTTTTTAATCTTCTATTTTTATGTTGTGAACCACCCTGAGATCTACAGATGAAGGGTGGTATAATCATCACCATCATCATCTATTACTGGACACCACCCAAAGCGATTTTATCCTCTTTCATGTTCCTCCTTGCACTCCCATGATCTGCTATCATTCCCTTTCTCCGTCCCTACAGTTGCGCAACCAATACAATTGCTCTGACTTTGCCAGCAGCTCCCAGTTAACTCGCTACCTGAACAGCGGTCTTGAAGGGTCAGATTGCAGGGTTTCCCACAGACACCTGGTTGGCCAGGGCAAGAACCAGACAGGCCACTGGCCTGATCCAGCAGCCTCATCTTATGTTCTCCACCCTTTTTACACTTGGAAAGGAATTCCAGCCTAGATTCCTCTGAGCCAAAGGGAACTTTAGGAGGCCAGGGACTTTACCTCCAGGGCTCCTCCCTGCACCTTCTTGATCCCAATCATTTTGATCTGCAGCAACTCGTCCAGCATCATGACGGCATCCACCACCATCTTGGCAAAGAACTCTTTCTGGTGGGAAATCAGCTTTGAGCTCAAGGCTGTGCTTGCACACTTCTCCAGCAGGCTCCGCAGCTCCCTGCAGAAAAGGAAAAGATGGAGCCATTTCTTGCCTGCTCTCTAAGTACTCTGGAGCAATAGCCAGCCCCGAGGCTAAAGAAGCAACACACACAGTGCAAGTCTAAAATGAGCTCATTAGGCTACAAAAAGGAAATGCTGCACTTAGTTAAGTGATTCTCACGACTGCATTGAAAATGGATCGCTTTCTGTTTTTACGCATTAGGCCAGCCGCTGGCTGTAGTGCGGGGGGGGGGGGCACAAGCAAAAGAACAACTTTCCTGCTTATTGCTACTTCTCGTGAACTACTATGGACATCATATAATGCCTACGGAAAGTAACATTTCCATCAGGCATGGTTTCTGAACACCTGGGAAAGACAGCATGCCCGTCAAAGAAGAACACTTCTTTTTTAAAAAAGAAGTCAATTATATGGAAGTGTTGTTAATTACAGTTCCTTCATTTAAAGATTAACTGGCATTTGCCTGAAGATTTAATTGCATCACCAAAACATGTATCTTCTTAGCTGGAATCTATCAGCTCAGGCAATGTCCTCCACGCAATCATTAATCATGGGGCGTGGGGGGGGGGGAGAACAGAAATGAGCTATCAACTAACCCAACCCATCAGCTGTGCCTCCTGACTGGGCACTGGAGGGGAGGAGTGAAAAGGGGAGGCTTGCCCTATGCAGAGGCCTCCCTTTGATTTACAACTCTGTGTAATCGGGATTCTAAACTCCCGGGCCTTTGACTAATTAAAACACCTATGACCTTTTAAACTGTGGCGGGGGTGGTATGAATTTTGTTTGCTACTACGGTGCGTATTCTTGTGTTTTTATATTGCAAACTGCCTTGTGGTCCTCAGCTGAAGCGTAGTATAGAAACATAATCGATAACAGCAATGATAAACCACAGGCGGAGCCCCCTCAATGCAACGAGGTCCCCCTTCTCACACCTTCCCCACACCCAGCTGCACATGCATCGCAGGAGGGACAGGACCCACCTCTCTCCCTCCGCATGATTCTAATTGCATAGAGGATAACAGTCAAAAAGGGCTGATGTAGACCAGCATTAAAGTTCTGTGCATTAAATTTTTGCTGTTGCAATTTGCAAAAGGTGGGAAGTTGTCAAACAGCTGTTTCTTACACAAATATTTTTTCATAGCCTGCTTTTTTCTAGGAAAGGTAACATATCCCCCCTGTATACATAAAAAACAACAACTGCACAGCCCTCCACCTGCCCAGGAGTTGCATCCATCAATCATGTTGGGATTAAGAATGATTGTAAAAAAAAATAAGAGCCTGAATAGGGCTATCCAAACATTCATTTCCAAAGATTAGACAGCAAAACTTTTGAAAAGACTTTCCAAAGGACAACATTATCAACGGAGAGCCTGGCTGCCAATCGTATCCTAAACTAAGCAAGGTGGCGATGGGTCTATACTGGCTCTACCCATCAGCTAAGCCCCATATAAGACAAAACACAGGAAATGGGTTGCTTAAGCCCATTCCTCCCTCCATCCCGCATGTAAGCTCCAATGTTTCCTTTTCTGATGGCAACTGCCTCCTGTCATGTCTGTGACTGGGCATGAGCCTTGGACTGAACGTCTCACACAGAGACAAGGGAGGATTCTGGCAGGGCCTCTGCTGATGTTTCCACTGAGATGGGTGAAGGGTAAGCTGCCCTTTCTCAACCTGAAACTGTATTGGAGGGGGATAAGGAGCTATACTGGAAGACTTTGGGGGAGGGCAGATTTTGCACCAGGCTTCCAGTTACCTATTGCTACATGATAGGGATACATGTGCACAGAAATGCAATGTTGTTTTCCATTTTGTTGCGTTCCTGCTTTTCCCCGCAATATATCCATCCAGAGCTTACTGCTGAATCCATGGTACTTAAATTTCGTGAGCAGTAAACATGCTGCCAATGCCCCAACCGTAGAGGGGCACTGCATGCACCCAATCCATTTAAGAACCACTTGCACACACGTAGGTGCACACATCTGTGCAGAGCGTCAATAAAAACATGCACCCAACTGAGCCAGCAATGAAGGGAGGTTGTGGATTTAACCTTTCCAATTGAGGCATGGAGGAAACTTACTCTTGGTCGGTCTTCTTGATCGTAACGGCAATCTTCCTGATCTTATTCACTGCCTGCCAAAACAAAGCAAGAACCAGAATTAAGACTTTGCTCTCAACCCCTGCCAAACTCCTGCGCCAGTGCAGCGATGATTCAGCTGCCATGTGCAATTACCCAGCCTGAAGTCTGCACCATTTACGGCAGGCATAGGCAAACTCCGGCCCTCCAGATGTTTGGGACTACAATTCCCATCATCCATAGCTAACAGGACCAGTGGTCAGGGATGATGGGAATTGTAGTCCCAAACACCTGGAGGGCTGGAGTTTGCCTATGGATGATTTACGGCAACCCCTTTCTGTGTCAGCCTCACCAACATGGACACAAGCATGGTGTCCTATTGCCATCTTGAGTTACGTATTTTGACTTTATTACTACTTGTTGTCAAAGCAAGAAGGAGGTGGAAGCACAGAAGTGGGACAATGGTCTGCCTTAAAGGCATGTATTTGATTCCAGGTTCCACGTAAACAGGATTAGTGTGAGTCTCTGCCCCAAGAAGTGTTTGGTGTGATAGGCACCACAGCAGATGGCAGTCTTATAACACCACTGGAGATGCAAGAGGGTTACTGGGAGGCCGGAGGGACATTGCTGGAACAACTCTTGGGTTGGGGCAACTGGCTAAAATGTTTTTAAAGGTTTTAAACGGTTTTAATTTTGGGTCCCATTTTGTTTTTGTTGGGTTGGTTAAATGTTTAGTTGAGGTGGTAAAGAATGTATAAAACTGGCTCAAATATAAGTTGGAAATGTAAAGAAAAATAAGGTACTTTGTATCATATGTGGTATGTAGAGAAGTTTAAAAAATTGGGAGATTATATACAATGAATTGAAAAAAATGTTCAAACTAACTTTTGTAAAAAAAAAAACCAAACCAGAAGCATTTTTGTTAGGGATTTTAGGACAAGAAAAACATAGAACTTATTTACGTATGCTGCAACAGCGGCAAGAGTCTTGTTAGCACAAGGATGGAAGAATGAGGAAGTCCCAACGAAAGAAAAATGGCAAGAAAAACTGATGAGTTATGCGGAGATGGCAAAGTTAATACATAAACTGCGTGAGGAGGACAACCATGACTTCAAGGAAGAATGGGAACTATTTATAAACTATTTAAAAAGACAGCAAAAGGATTTGGACTCCTTGGCAGGTTTTGAATAAACATCCACAAATTTAGTAGTAGAACATATGACAGATAAGGTAATGATATGTACAACTTTACAACATGCAGAGAATATGTATGAACAAATCAGAGAGGGGAGCTGAGGGAAGTCTCTGGAGGGTGGGAGAGGGAGGGAAAAATGTAATAGGTTATATTTGATTTATAAACTGATTTGTTAAATTTGCTTAATAAAAATATTTTTTTTAAATGTCTAGTTGGGGTGGTGGTTATTTTAATTTGGGTATAACTGTAAACTGATTATTATTATTACTACACTCAGCTCAGAGGTGCATAATGCCCAGTGGCTGGGACTGTTTGAATGAGCCTTTGCCAACGTGGTGCCCTCCAGATGTTTGGAACTCCCATGATGGGGGAGGTCTGGTAAAAACCACCTGGAGGGCACTAGCCAGGCCTGACTAGAACCCATTTGTAAATATTGTTTCTTGTTCCTTCACTCCCCAGGTGCAAAAGAGCTTCCACAAAGGAAGGCAGGGTGCAACAGATTCCCTTACCAGCTGGGTTGCAGTGCGGAAGGCACGGATGATGATCTGGGGATGCAGCCCTTCTTCCACATAGGGCTTGATTTGCTTTAGGAATTCAGCAGCTAGAAGTGTAACAGAAGTGGTGCCATCACCAACCTGCAGGAAAAGAGAAGGAAAAATGACGTGTGCCTGAAAACCAGAAATCTCTGCGAAGGGAAGTTCACAAAGCAGCGGCAAGTGCCCCAACTTTCCACGGAGTAAATTGCACCCCATTCTATCCACCTCGCCCTGCCATCTCTTGTCCAAAATCACAAGCGCTACAAATCCAACATCTGGCACAAAACTCTCCCATCACCCTTCAAAGGAGCGGATCTGTGGATTACCACAAGATGGGGCGCTAGAAAAATCAATGGCAGCTTGCCACTGTGACAGAGAAAGAGACGTTGGATCCCAGCTACAGATGTTGTAAAGCTCAGAAGACACAGGCACGAGCAGGAGTACCAACATCTACCTACCACTGAAAACTATCAAACCTCCCACACCCACCTCCGCATCCTGTGACTTGGCGATGTCCACAAGTGTCTTTGCAGCAGGGTGTATCACATCAAGAAGCTTCAGGATGGTGGCGCCATCATTAGAAATGGTTGCTTTGCCTGCAAAGATTAACAGAGACAAAGTTCAGGAACAAAGTTGATTCCTGCACTGCAGGGGGTTGTTCTAAGCATCCCAACCAGATGCACCTGCAACATCTGAGCAGGTCAATCAGGACTCTGAAGTTAGGAAGAGAAAGATGAGCCCTACAGGATCAGACCAAGGAGAGTCCCACCTAGTCCAGCACTTTGTTATCAGCCGTGCTCTGCCAGATAACGTCAGAAACTTCCTGTGGGTTTCCTAGAGGCAACCGCCCTCCCTCTTCAGTAGTCTCCTCCCATAAGGCCACACATTTTGGCATGGAAGCCATCCAAATATTGTGCTAACCTCCAACCCATCCAGTCCCCCAAAGAGGGCAGAGAGGCTTTCCTGTGACCACACAGTGAGCTTCAGAGGCACTCCATGCAATTCCAAGACCCAGAACAAGGTGGGAGGAAGGGGAGAAGCCACCACATAGCTTCCATTCCCATACTGGGCCTGCTAGCAAACTGACGCCCCTAGATGTTTAAGTGCAAGCCCTTGCCCTTCTCTGGAGCTCAGAAAGTGGCAAATCTCCATGGCTTTACATTGAGCTTCAAACAGACTTTACCAGCTTATGCCTTGACAGAGTGTGATACCAAATCAGATGACAAGCTGCCCAGAAGGATGTGGCAACTCATTCCCTAGCAAACCATGAAGGGGGGGGGTGATCCCGCTGCTGAAGGAGAATCACAACAAATACTTCCATTCCAACCAGGCACTCAGGTAGTTAGCATAGGTCTTTGCCTCCCATAGATGGAGGAGGCCCTGCGACTACACACACTGGTACATTTGGACTTACTAAAAATTCTGCAGTAAGTGGCAACTAAAGAGGTTCCAGAAATAAAGTCACCTTGCCCTTTCATGATCAGGACAGGGTCAGAGGCATTGTGGGAGCCAGGTAAGACCTCAAGGGTGCCACTGCACCCGTGAAGATGACCATGCCACACTCTGGATTCAGGGAAATCAGTATCTTTAGGGTCTTCACATTAACAAAAAAGTTAGGTAGCAAAGATGTACAGTGGTACCTTGGATTAAGAATTTAATTTGTTCCGGAGGTCTGTTCTTAATCTGAAACTGTTCTTAACCTGAGGTACCACTTTAGCTAATGGAGCCGCCACGCCGCCAGAGCACGATTTCTGTTCTCATCCTGAAGCAAAGTTCTTAACCCGAGGTACTATTTCTGGGTTAGCAGAGTCTGTAACCTAAAGTGTGTGTAACCCGAGGTACCACTGTACAGGAAATTTCCAAAACATCTTGATATGAAGGGTTACTCTTTCACATAGTTATCCTTGTCCAGTATTCCAGTCTCAGGTGAACAATGGCTGGGGGGGTCTTCTGTCTTCAAAATGGACAGTGACACATGGACAGTTGCTCATCCCCCTCCCTTCAATGTCACCTGCCATTTCTTTGTAGGACAAAACCTCCCCAAAGACCTGTGCCACTGACTGATTAAGATGGCTAGAGAGTAACTAGAGAAAGGTTGCCATGCAGAGACACCAGAGGCAGAGCAACTCAAGTTCACAGATGGCAGCAGGCTCACCTCTGTCATCAACAATGAGCTTGTCCATGCCCCGAGGGCCGAGAGTGGTCCGGACGGCCTCTGCGATGACTTGGCAGGCATTGATGTTACTCACAAGCTGAGGGACCCCCTGGGAAGTGTCTGTGCCTTCCTTCAGTAAGATAACAGGCGTGGGCTGCAAGTAAAACAAACGGTCTGACAAAAGACCCTCCAGGACAGTAACCAAAGTTTTTTTGTCCTGAAAAGGCAGCGCCGAACAGCACAACACAATATTTTCACTAGAAAAATCAGCATTGTTAGCCAGACTTCCTATACACAGATGCAGAAACTCTAAAGCAGGAAACAGCTGAATTGGAGAGCAGATTCCACCCTTAAATGCTTCAGGAATGCATTTGTTGGGATCCACAAGGCGCCAAGAACTACCACCCACAAGCCCAACGCAAGTCGCTGGCCAAGCCGGCATGATGTGACAGAACATTCATAGGCACTTTTTAACGGCTCAGGTGCACTCTGCACCACCTCAGAGACAGAAGCAAATGATCAGTTTGGGTTGGACACAGCGTCCTGTTGTTGTTGTTATTTATATTTTAATCAATTCTTTTTATACGCTTTTAAAATTCTATTCGTATTTAACTACTTTTTAATTATTATGTTTTCTATGTTACAGGTAAGTCTTGCAAGGCAGCTTACAGATTTAAGTTCTTGAATTCTGGTCTGGGAAAAAGGCAATACAAATATAATCACCACCATTCTCTTTTGATGACCTGGCCCTGCAATCCTATGTGCATGAACCTGGGAGCAAGCCACGGTAAAGGCACCATGCAACTACAAGGACTGCAGAGAAGGCACCGCCCAGCATGCAAGATTTATGGGGCAGCTGCGACGAAGGAAAGCAGGGCCCTTTCTGCCCATTACAGAAGCAGAAGAGGACATTGTCTCTGCCATACAGCTTAAGCTAACCAAGCCAGTGTTGGGGAACCTCCAGTCCCCTAATGTAAAAAGAGCTCTGTTGGATCAGGCCAATGGCCCATGTAGTCCAGCATTCTCTTCTCACAGCGGCTGACCAGATACCTGTGAGAACCCCACTGGGAGGATTCACAGACTCACAGAATTGCAGAGTTGGAAGGGACCAGTGTTCAAAACTCCCACTATTCTCGGCGCATTTTGCGACAGGGAATTTCATTAGCGGAAGCAGTTTCTGAGCTCTGGGCGCATGATTTCAGATTAAAACTGCAGAGTGGAAGGAAAGGAGGACCATTTTCTGCCTCCTCACTTGCAGCTACTCTCAGAAGACTGGAAAAGAGACCCTCTGAAGAATATCAAGGAGGTGGGCAAGGGAAGGACTAAAGCATAATATTTTAGCTGCAGTTCATTCATTTTCAGCTTTGCATTCTTGTTATTCAAAAAGTGCACCTAGACATTCAGTTGTTGTACCCGTAACCTAGGTCTAAGGTGCCATTTAGCTCCTAGCTTTCATATCTCAGTTTCTAACACTGGAAGGGACCACGCTGGTCATCTAGCCCAACCCCCTGAAATGTTGTTATTATTCATGCAGTGCTGAGTTCAGCTATGGAACTCCCTCCCACAGGAGGCAGCGAGGGCCACCAAGCCGGCACCTGCCCTCTCATACCAGTGCCGGATTTACGTATAAGCTAAATAAGCTATAGCTTAGGGCCCCACTCTCTTGGGGGGGCCCAAAAATTTAAAGGAAAAAAATGGATGTACATTTCCAAAATATAAAAATTGTATTTCAGTTCAACAATTACTTTGATAATATACATATTTTGTTATGTGAAAATGGCTTTAGACACCCATCAGGTCCTTAGATTACCATATATGGCGGCTAACAGACTGAGGTTGAATCCTGACAAGACAGGAGTACTGTTCTTGGGGGACAGGGGGCGGGCAGGTGTGGAGGACTCCCTGGTCCTGAATGGGGTAACTGTGTCCCTGAAGGACCAGGTGCGCAGCCTGGGACTCATTTTGGACTCAGCTGACCATGGAGGTACAGGTCAATTGTGTGTCCAGGGCAGCTGTTTACCAGCTCCATCTGGTACGCAGGCTGAGACACTCCCTCCTTGCGGACTGCCTCGCAAGATTGGTGCATGCTCTAGTTATCTCTCGCTTGGACTACTGCAATGCGCTCTACGTGGGGCTACCTTTGAAGGTGACCCGGAAACTACAACTAATCCAGAACGCAGCAGCCAGACTGGTGACTGGGAGTGGCCACTGAGACCATATAACACCGGTCTTGAAAGATCTACATTGGCTCCCAGTACGTTTCCGAGCACAATTCAAAGTGTTGGTGCTGACCTTTAAAGCCCTAAACGGCCTCGGTCCAGTATACCTGAAGGAGCGTCTCCACCTCCATCGTTCTGCCTGGACACTGAGGTCCAGCTCTGAGGGCCTTCTGGCGGTTCCCTCATTACGAGAAGTGAGATTACAAGGATCCAGGCAGAGGGCCTTCTCTGTAGTGGCGCCCGCCCTGTGGAACGCCCTCCCACCAGATGTCAAAGAGAACAACTACTACCAGACTTTTAGAAAACATCTGAAGGCAGCCCTGTTCAGGGAAGCTTTTAATGTTTAATAGGTTATTGTAGTTTAGTGTTCTGTTGGAAGCCGCCCAGAGTGGCTGGGGAAACTCAGCCAGATGGGCGTGGTATAAATCATAAACTATTATTATTATTATTATTATGCCCAGTGGCTGGGACTGTTTACATGAGCCTTTGCCAACCTGGTGCCTTCCAGATCTTTGGAACTCCAACTCCCATGATGGGGGAGTTCTGGTAAAAAAACACCTGGAGGGAACTAGCCAGGCCTGGCTAGAAACCATTTGTAAATATTGTTGGGGAAATATGGCTGGGGAAACCCAGTCAGATAGGCAAGATATAAATAATAAATTATTATGACTATATAGCATATATTCAACACAAAAAACAGCGAAAGTTTGCTGTTGACGAAGGACAGCTGGACATAGAAAGGGCCCCATTACCTTCAGGAGCTGAGGGCCTCATCAAACCTCAATCCGGCCCTGGCTCATACAAAGCAACTCCTAAGGGCCGGCAAGGCGGGACAGCGCCATGCGATTCGCGGGACTACAACTCCCAGAACGCCCCGCGCGGACTCCTGCCTCCCCTTCAGAGGAGCCGGCTCCCGAACGGCCTGACGGAACTGGTAGTCCCAGAGGCTTTCCGCGGACCCTGGCCGCGGAAGAAAGCCCGGCCTGGCCTCACAAGCGACGAGGAAGCCGCGGCCTCGCAGGCTCGCCCCCGGGCAGCTCCGGCCGCTCAGCTGCCCCGGACCCCGCCAATACCGCCCCGTCCTCGCAGGCCAGGCTTTCCTGAGGGCCGGGGAACCGCCGCTGAGGGGAGTGGGCCCGTCCTGGCGGCGGATGGCGGCGGATAAGCGCGGCTCCCCCACCCGACAAGCGCCGATTCATTCACTCACCATCATCTTGGCGGCAGCCCTGTTGCTAACGGTCCCTCCCCACAATGCACCGCGCCCGTCCAGAAGCTTCCCCTCCGCGCCTGCGCGGTGGGGCCAAGGGGCGGGGTTTTAATGGGGTGGGAAAGGCTATTGGTTGAAGGCTTCGTAGAGGTACGAAGAATAAAGACGCTATCTTGCGTGCAGGTTAGAAGACTTCCGGTTTTATATGAAGGGATTTGTTTATGCGGTGAGAACCGCTCGTGGGAACCGATGGGGAAACGCGGGGTTTTTAGGTGCGTGGGAGAGAAGAGGCAGGGATTCCCGTTCTTTGGAACTCAGGCCTTTATCATTAAAAGAAAATAAGCGTATTAAATTGGGAAAGGATTATGACAAGGCTGTATATTGTCTCCCTGCTTATTTAACTTATATGCAGAATTCATCATGCGAAAGGCTGGGCTGGATGAATCCCAAACCGGAATTAAGATCGCCGGAAGAAATATCAACAACCTCAGATATGCAGATGACACAATCTTGATGGCAGAAAGTGAGGAATTAAAGAACCACTTAATGAGAGTGAAAGAGGAGAGCGCCAAATATGGTCTGAAGCTCAACATCAAAAAAACGAAGATCACGGCCACTGGACCCATCACCTCCTGGCAAATAGAAGGGGAAGTAATGGAGGCAGTGAGAGATTTGACTTTCTTGGGCTCCATGATCACTGCAGATGGTGACAGCAGTCACGAAATTAAAAGACACCTGCTCCTTGGGAGAAAAGCAATGACAAACCTAGACAGCATCCTAAAAAGCAGAGACGTCACCTTGCCAACAAAGGTCCATATAGTTTAAGCTATGGTTTTCCAGTAGTGATGTATGGAAGTGAGAGCGGGACCATCACGAAGGCTGATCACCGAAGAGTTGATGCTTTTGAATTCTGGTGCTGGAGGAGACTCTTGAGAGTCCCATGGACTGCAAGAAGATCAAACCTCTCCATTCTGAAGGAAATCAGCCCTGAGTGCTCACTGGAAGGACAGATCCTGAAGCTGAGGCTCCAATACTTTGGCCACCTCATGAGAAGAGAAGACTCCCTGGAAAAGACCCTGATGTTGGGGAAGATGGAGGGCACAGGGAGAAAGGGGATGACAGAGGACGAGATGGTTGGACAGTGTCCTCGAAGCTACCAGCATGAGTTTGACCAAACTGCAGGAGGCAGGGAAAGACAGGAGTGCCTGGCGTGCTCTGGTCCATGGGGTCACGAAGAGTCGGACACGACTAAACGACTAAACAACAACAACAATACAGTAGATTTCTATGGGCAGTCATCATTCCACTCCCAGAAAGTGATATAGGGTGTCCCGGAAGTTCTATTATCGATGTGAATCTCTGTTATTAGATTTATGGTTCATGTCCTGTGAGCTCTATGGAAAGAGCAGCTCCCGTGAGCCGGAGCCCTTCCTCAGGGCCTTACCATAGAGAGAGGGAGGCATTCCCTAGCCAGACTGCAGGCAATCCTGTGTGCAATCCTATGAGCAGGAATGGGAGGGCCAGGTGCCCTGCAGATAGGACTCCATTTCCCATCAGCCCCTGCCACCAGCAGCGTGGTCAAGGATGATGGGACTTGTAGTACTTCAGGAACACCTGGAGGAACCACAGCTTATCCCCATCAATGCTAAACGCGCCTTACATGTCCCATTTAACCTAGAGCTTCCTTCTGAACCATGTAGGACAATGGTGCATAACAGCGGGTTGGGCTAGATGACCTTTGGGGGATCCCATTCCGACCCTTCTAATTTACAATTCTAACTGGAGTTGTTTTTTCCCTTGCTAGGAACCATTGGCTTAGTAAGCAGGTTGTGCAGTTTGAGTGAAAGCCATTTCTGGAGGTCAGAACTGCCCCATCCCAGCGATGTGCAGAAATTCAAGAGGTGAAGCTTTTGCTGAGATGCTTCACCTGGGCAGCCATCACTTGCTGAATCGCTGTTTCAGTTGCAGGGATAGTAAAGCAGGATGTTTCCCCCACCACTCAGGATTACCCCCGCAGGTTAATCTGCAGCTCTAATATAGTCTCACTACTTGGGAGTAAAGCCATGCAGACTGACTTCTGTCAGGGATTTCTCTAGCTGTGATTCCTGTATTGCAGGAGTTTGAACTAGATGACCATTTCCAAGGCTAGGGTGATATAATACGAATCCTTGTTTTCCTGGAACGTGAACTACACTTTAATCTTTAACATCACCCCCTTGATATTCTTCAGAAAGTCTCTTTTAATTTATATTTATCAGGCTCTGATGACTCCAAACCATAGCTGTCAATTTTCCCCTTTTCTTGCGAGGAATACTGTTCAGAATAAGGGAATTTCCCTTTTAAAAAGGACAACGTTGACAGCTATGCGGATGACTCCAAACCCTCAATCTTTACAAAAAGGAAGTAAATTAACCTCTCGCTGTTCTTTTCCCCCCTATTAGGAACTTGTTGGTAGGATCTCCCCCGCCCAAAAAAAAACAACACCAATATGGTGTTGGCAGCTGATGGATTCGAACCCTCCACCAATGGCATCATGAAGAGCTTGGTCTCCTCCAATGAGAGGAAGCTGGAGGGCGGGTTTTTCCCTTATCAGCGAATGTCAGCGTGAAGAGTGTTGCACAGCTGATGCGCCCAGAGAGCGCTTGCAGGCCCTTGGCAGGCAGCTGTAGCGGCTCCCCCCCCCCCCCAAGCAATGCTCCCCATTTGGCCCAGATGTTTGTGCATCTTGCTCTGCTTCGGCCCCTTCGCTCACAGTGAGTATCCCCTCGGCTTCCTAACCTGGGACTGGTGCAGTCATTGGGGACGGAAGCTTCTGGCTGACAGCTGGCATGGCAGAAACCCTGCCTTACCCCTCTCGCCCAGGCTGCAGATGCTCAAATCGACCTGATCTTCCTTCGATCTTCCTTCCTCTTTTCACATTCATGTGTTTGCCTTGTCTAGCCTTAGTGAGTTGCATGGGTCATTTTATAAAGAGGTTCCTTTCTCAAGATCTTGCAATGCTTTTTAATAATAGGTAATACAGTGGCACCTTGGGTTAAGTATTTAATTTGTTCCGGAGGTCCGTTCTTAACCTGAAGCACCACTTCAGCTAATGGGGCCTCCTGCTGCTGCCGCGCCCCTGGAGCACAATTTCTGTTCTCATCCTGAAGCAAAGTTCTTAACCCGAGGTACTATTTCTGGGTTAGCGGAGTCTGTAACCTAAAGCGTCTGTAACCTGAAGCGTATGTAACCTGAGGTACCACTGTAATAATAATAATAATTTATTATTTGTACCCTGCCCATCTGGCTGGGTTTCCCCAGCCACTCTGGGCGGCTTCCAACAAAGATTAAAAATACATTAAAATGTCACACATTAAAAACTTCCCTAAACAGGGCTGCCTTCAGATGTCTTCTAAAAGTCGGATACAGTGGTACCTCGGGTTAAGTACTTAATTCATTCCGGTCCGTTCTTAACCTGAAACTGTTCTTAACCTGGAGCACCACTTTAGCTAATGGGGCCTCCTGCTGCTGCCATGCCGCCGAAGCACAATTTCTGTTCTCATCCTGAAGCAAAGTTCTCAACCCGAGGTACTATTTCTGGGTTAGCGGAGTCTGTAACCTGAAGCGTCTGTAACCTGAAGCGTATATAACCTGAAGTGTATGTAACCCGAGGTACCACTGTAGTTGTTTATCTCTTTGACATCTGATGGGAGGGCGTTCCACAGAGCAGGTGCCACCACCGAGAAGCCCCTCTGCCTGGTTCCCTGTAACCTCACTTCTCACAGGGAGGGAACCGCCAGAAGGCCCTCAGAGGTGGACCTCAGTGTCCGGGTAGAACGATGGGGGTGGAGATGCTCCTTCAGGTATACTGGGCTGAGGCTCTCCCTTCCTGCAGTTTCCAGCAACGGATATTGATAAGCGTTGCTGCCTCCAGCTGTGACCCCGTCCATTTAAAAGCACATTCTCTCCCCACCCACCCAAAGGATCCTCAGAACAGTAATTTTCTTATGGGTGCTGGGAATTGTAGTTCTGTGGGGTAAACTATAGTTCCCGAGATTTTGACGGTGAGTTTTGGGGAGGATCCAAACGATGGATTCAAATTGCAAAAGGGAAATTCCAACATTAGGAAGAACTTTCTGGCAGTAAGAGCTGTTCAACAGTGGGACAGACGTCCTCAAAAGGTGACAGACTATCGGTCAGGGATAGGTTGTCATTGGCAAGACACCGGTTTCCAGAGCGGCCCACGTGCTTCTTGCAACTGCTCCAGAGTATATGGTGTGTGGGCTTTGCAATCTCAAGCCTATTTATAATCCCTTGCTCCCCCCCCCCCACGCCTCCTATTTGCAGCGTGGCAACAGCCGGTTGCATGGAATGCGGCCAGGCAAATTGTTTCCATTCTTCCTCTTCCTCTCGCAGTTATGGGCCGGCTTGAAAAACGTGGTCTCCCAGGATTGGCATAGAACATTCCAGGGGGCCGAAAATGGAGGTGGTTATATATTCAGATATCAACTCCCCTCTTTTTTCCTCCAATAATCATCCTATTCAGTGTTTCTCCTATAGAAGCGTGAAGCACCAGGGAACTATGCTTCCTGTCCCCAGACCCTTCCTTGATTTCCAAAGCTGCTCTGAGATTCCCTTCGCAATCCCACAGACCCACAAAATCCCAGCCACTGTCATAAATTTGTCTTGGTTGGCAGCTTCAGGTTGGCGTTTCTGCCGGAGGTGGCATTCAGCTAATTTCCTTTCGGGTTTGGACCCTGGAATGCAATTGTGGATAGGGCGATTGTGCTGGAGAAAACTGGATATGCCTGCCACCTGATAACATTTTTTAAAAAACCCTTCCAGTTTAATTAGTTTAGCCTTTGCCAGCCTGGTGCCCTGCAGGTGTGTTGGACTACAAATCCCATCAGCCACAGCCAGCTGATGGGATTTGTAGTCCAAAACAACTGAAGGGCACCAGGCTGGCCAAGGCTGAGTTACTGCATGTTTAAAAGGGTTTAAGGTCAGTGAGAAAGAGGAGGATTGGTTTGAGAAGATACTGAATTATTTGGGTAGGTTTGAACAATTTGGGGCAATTAAAATGTTAAAAGTTAAATAAACCTTGTGGATGGAGGAGTGTTAACGTATATAAAATTGTACATATGGTTGATTTGAATATGTTATTATTGATTATGTGTACCCAATGTATCAGCCGCCTAGGGGGTTTCACTGTTTGTATTTGGTTGTTGGTAAAAAATAATAATAAACTAAAAAAATGCACTTAAGATGCGACTGTGCTGTAATGAAAATAGTCAGTGTATCCCAGTGCTCCCTTCATCTCTGTTTTCTTCGAGACTCTTTTGGCACAATCTGCCCCAAGAGTTCATGCTCTCTTTCTCTCTTGGCACTGCAGGCTTACGTATCCAGGAATACCTCTACTTCCAGGTATTGAGCCCTGGCGATATCCGCTACATCTTCACTGCCACCCCGGCCAAGGATTTCGGAGGGGTGTTTGTAAGTATGAGAGCCAAGCTCCCGTCCCCTCCCAGCGATGCCCAACATCATTTTATTTTTTTACTTTTATTAATCACATTTATATACCGCCTTTATCTTCCAGGGATCTCAAGGTGGTGTATATGGCTCTCCTCCTCCTCCTCCTCCTCCTCCCCCTCCCCATTTCATCCTCACAACAACCTTGTGAGGTAGGGCTAGGCTAAGAGATGGTGACCGACTCCAAGGTCACCCAGTGAGCTTCATGGCCGGGTGGGGATTCGAACCCTGCTCTCCCAGGTCTGAGTCCAGCGCTCTAACCACTACGCCACACTGACTGCAAAACAGTCTTCATTTTTTGGAGGGAGGGTTTAAAATGTAACTGAAGCGTTCCCAAAGCCAGGAAGGATTGGACTCTGATTAATAAAATACAGACGAGGCTTGACCAGCAAGACTCTGGGAGGGCTGCCAATAATAATTCCCTCCACCCCTTGGCCCAGGTCGTTTTATTCACAAAAGAACTTTTTACAGTATTCGTAAGAACCAATCAGATTTCCTCTGAGCATTTTAAAAACCCCACGTGGGACAAAGTCAGATCAGAAGAAATTCTTTTAACTACAAAGAAACTATTTCCTACTTGAGCATGCATATGTAGTTCAGAGTAAATAAAATAGGAATAAAAGGAGGAATGCAGTCAGCAAAACCCCAGAGGTCATAATCAGGAATAAACAGGAGAGGCGAGATGGCAGTATTTACCAACTCCTTGTGAACTCTCTTCCTGGCCTTTAAGATCTATCTAATTAACAAACTACATCAAAGTAACCTGCTATCTTTATGGACTGAGGATGCCCGGTGAAGCAACTAGCCTGTGTTTCAGAATGCTTAGACGTGCCTGTCAGGCGTAGAGAAAGCAAATGGCAAAGGTGCAGAGGCTTGTGGGATTCGATCAGAAATTATTGTCAATGAATCAAACTCGGTCAACACAATGCTTTCATTGCTGACACAATGGCTTGCTTCATATTTCATAATTCCTCATAGCAATCCCACCTGACCCACACAGTAACAGAGAGGATAACAAATTTATTAGGACGCAAGCTTCCATTAAAAATAGCTCATTTCATCCAATACTTGAAGTGTTATCCTGAGTCACTGGTACATTTTCACATGGTTGGATGTGTGTGAGATGAGTCATAAGCTAATAATGGCGAAAATTGCTTTTAAAAAGAGGGATAATTTGCAAAAACAGAAACAACACACTAGTAGCTGATAACACAGACGTCCTGGCATTGATATGCTAGTTCACCACTGTGCTACACTGGCTTCTCATGGCGCCAGAAGGAGAAAGCAAGAAGCCCTGGCGCTTCTATCTGAGATATTCAGCAAGTTTTAATTTTGCTCTGCTTTCTTTCTGCCTCTCTTTCGCCTGCCCAAGAACACGAGATACCAGCAGATCTACCTAGTCCCAGCAGACCCTCCGGAGGCTTGCGGGGCTCTGAACAACGGGGTCTTCATCGAAGGCCAGATCGCCTTGGTGGAGCGCGGGTGAGTTTCCTCGCATGGGAAGAGGGCCGGGCTGTTTTCAAGGGCTACGTTTTTAATTCATGGGATTGCTTTCATATGCATTTTGATTAACCTTCCCGTGAGTCGCTTGTTCGCCCGCGCACTTTTTGACGCATTTCCCTGTCTCTTTCCAAAAGTCTGTGCACAAAGCCCTTAGCAACTCAGGACCCAGTTGGCCTGCCGTAGGCCCTAACTGGTGACACCAGTCACGAAATTAAAAGACGCCTGCTTCTTGGGAGAAAAGCAATGGCAAACCTAGGCAGCATCTTAAAAAGCAGTGACATCACCTTTTGAATTATGGTGCTGGAGGAGACTCTTGAGAGTCCCATGGACTGCAAGAAGATCCAACTTATCCATTCTTAAGGAAATCAGCCCTGAGTGCTCACTGGAAGGACAGATCCTGAAGCTGAGGCTCCAAGACTTCGGCCACCTCATCAGAAGAGAGGGCTCCCTGATGTTGGGAAAGTCCATGGGAGTCTCAAGAGTCTCCTCCAGTACCATAATTCAAAAGCATCTTCGGCGATCAGCCTTCTTTATGGTCCAGCTCTCACTTCCATACATCACTACTGGGAAAACCATAGCTTTAACTATATGGGCCTTTGTTGGCAAGATGATGTCTCTGCTTTTTAAGCTGCTGTCTAGGTTTGTCATTGCTTTTCTCCCAAGAAGCAGGCGTCTTTTAATTTCGTGGCTGCTGTCACCATCTGCAGTGATCATGGAGCCCAAGAAAGTAAAACCTCTCACTGCCTCCATTTCTTCCCCTTCTATTTGCCAGGAGGTGATGAGCCCAGTGGCCATGATCTTCATTTTTTTGATGTTGAGCTTCAGACCATATTTTGCGCTCTCCTCTTTCACCCAATGATGATGATAGCAATAGCAATAGTACCCCTCCCATCTTACTGGGTTTCCCCAGCCGCTCAGGGCGGCTTCAGTTATAAAAACATAATAAAGCGCCATACACTCCAAACTTCCCTATACAGGGAACAATACCTGTCTAGTTTGGATCTGAGTGTCTTTGGGGGCGCAGGACTCAAAACTCTCTTGCCGCCTTTCCGGCAGGGGCTGCTCATTCCTGTCCAAGACTCGCATCGTACAGGAACTCGGCGGCCGTGCGGTGATCATCGCGGACAACGCCTATGACAATGACAGCTCCTACGTGGAGATGATCCAGGACAGCACCAGGCGGACGGCAGACATCCCTGCCCTCTTCCTGCTCGGGAGGGACGGGTAAGTGGCTTTGAGCTGGCGTAAGCAGAGGCTTCCAAGATCAGGCAAAATCCCCTCCGTGGCTGGATCTACACTCACCTTTTAAACGTTATTAGAACGATATCGGAAATATCGTTCTAAAACGTCAAGACAATAAAGGTCCCTTTTGCTTTCTTTCCCCACCGTCTTCCTGGTTTCTGGTTGCTCTCGTGTCACATTTTAATTACGCACCGTGGACATTAAAACGTAACGCCACGTGGCGATATGGTTAACAGAATCTTCCTTTGACTTTTTCTTAGCGTTAAAAACCATGAGTGTAGATCTGCCCTGCGTCTTGGAAAAATAGAAGACAATCTTGGAAATGAAACAAAATAAAAAAATTCCTTCCAGTAGCACCTTAGAAAGGTAAAGGGACCCCTGACCATTAGGTGCAGTCGTGACTGACTCTGGGGTTGCGGCGCTCATCTCGTTTTATTGGCCGAGGGAGCCGGCGTACAGCTTCCAGGTCATGCGGCCAGCATGACTAAGCCGCTTCTGGCGAACCAGAGCAGCGCACGGAAACGCCATTTACCTTCCCGCTGGAGCGGTACCTATTTATCTACTTGCACTTTGACGTGCTTTTGAACTGCTAGGTTGGCAGGAGCAGGGACCGAGCAATGGGAGCTCACCCCGTCGCGGGGATTCAAACCGCTGACCTTCTGATCAGCAAGTCCTAGGCTCTGTGGTTTAACCCACAGCGCCACCCGCGTCCCAGTAGCACCTTAGAGACCAACTAAGTTTGTTATTAGTATGAGCTTTCGTGTGCATGCACACTTCTTCAGATGTGAAAGCACACGAAAGCTCATACCGATAACAAACTTAGTTGGTCTCTAAGGTGCTAATGGAAGGAATTTTATAATTTTGTTTCGACTACAGCAGACCAACATGGCTACCTACCTGTAACTAGATTCTTGGAAATGGTAAAGAAATGGGGGGTTTTATCAGTGCTGGCTCTGTTGGAGGGAATCGCCCGTTGAGTACCTGTTTGCTGGAAATCACAAGTGGAGAGAGAGGACGGTTGAGCTCAGGTCCTGTTACTGGCTTCCTGTAGACACCTGGTCAGTTACTGTAAGAAACAGGAAGCTGGACAGATGTAGCCAGACCAGTTATGTGGCTTCCCTTAAGTGCATAGTATTAAATTTGAGTGCAGTAACTATTGGGTTATGGTTATGATATAAAAAGAGTGAAGATTGGGTGCAGCAATGAGATTTAAAAAAGAAAGCCACAGAAAAGGGGATGAGAAGTCGATAAAACAGAAGAAACATTGGGATTTTATGTGAAATTTGTGGAAAGTTTAATAAACTATATTATAAGAAATAAATAAATTTGAGTGCAGAGAGCTGGTGTGCAAATCTGCTGGCAGCAGTAACAACCCTTGCAACAACAACAACAAAATCTAACAATGGGAGAATGGAGGAGAGCTTGCCAAACTTTAGGAATGCAGAAATTTACCCGTTTTAAAAGTGCATTGGCACACAGAAGCAGCAAAACCAGTTCCTTTTTTAAAAATGGAAAACTGAGTGAGTAGTTGGCAGGTTCCGGAACAGGATCAAAGCTCTGGAAAACATCAGCCCAAAACTCCTGAGAGATGTGGAGATAGAACACGTTTGTTTATGTCACGAGTCCGACTTGGAATAAGGACGCTTGCTGGGGATACCTGGAACGGAGTAGGCCAAAAGGGAAATTGCAGGCCACTTGGAGACGGCTGGCCACTTTAGTGTGGCCCCTCAAGTTTCCACCAGACTCCTGCAAACATTGGTCGGACCTTGACAGGCTGCTGGGATCCTGGCTGGTTGGTTGGTTTGGAAAAATGTAGATGGGGCAAAGGCAAACCCATCGCTGATCCAGAATAGAAATTGATCAGCTGTACTGCGCTATGGAGGACAGGGGTGGCGCTGTGGGTTAAACCACAGAGCCTAGGACTTGCCGATCAGAAGGTCAGTGGTTTGAATCCCCGCGACGGGGTGAGCTCCCGTTGCTTGGTCCCTGCTCCTGCCAACCTAGCAGTTCGAAAGCACGTCAAAGTGCAAGTAGATAAATAGGCACTGCTCCAGCGGGACCAGATTGGGACAGACAGAAGTACTGTTTTGGGGCGACAGGAGGCGGGCAGATGTAGAGGACTCCCTGGTCCTGAATGGGGCAACTGTGCCCCTGGACTCACAGCTGTCCATGGAGGCGCAAGTTAATTCTGTGTCCAGGGCAGCTGTTTACCAGCTCCATCTGGTACGCAGGCTGAGACCTTCCCTGCCAACGGACTGTCTCACCAGAGTGGTTCATGCTCTGGTTATCTCCCGCTTGGACTGCAATGCGCTCTACGTGGGGCTACCTTTGAAGGGGCCCTGGAAACTACAACTAATCCAGAATGCGGCAGCCAGACTGGTGACTGTGAGTGGCCACCCAGACCACATAACACCGGTCTTGAAAGACCTACATTCGCTCCCAGTACGTTTCTGAGCACAATTCAAAGTGTTCGTGCTGACCTTTAAAGCCCTAAACGGCCTCGGTCCAGTATACCTGAAGGAGCGTCTCCACCCCCATTGTTCTACCCGGACACTGAGGTCCAGTGCCGAGGGCCTTCTGGCGGTTCCCTCCCTGTGAGAAGTGAGGTTACAGGGAACCAGGCAGAGGGCCTTCTCGGTGGTGGCGCCTGCCCTGTGGAATGCCCTCCCATCAGATGTCAAGGAAATAAACAACTACCAGACTTTTAGAAGACATCTGAAGGCAGCCCTGTTTAGGGAAGCTTTTAATGTTTAATAGGTTATTGTATTTTAATATTCTGTGGGAAGCTGCCCAGAGTGGCTGGAGAAACCCAGCCAGATGGGCGGGGTATAAATAATAAATTATTATTATTATTATAATCCCGCAAGCAGGATTCGAACACAAGAGCCCTCTCCCCTCCTGTGGTTACCAGCAACTGGGATTCAGAATCATCGCTGCCTCCGACTGTGACAGGGAGTTCCGTAGTTTAACTATGCGGTGTGTCCACCGGCCAAAGTCACTATGGCTTTGCCCCCCTCTTTCCAGGTACATGATCCGCCGATCCTTGGAGCAGCACGGCCTCCCCTGGGCAGTCATCTCCATCCCCGTAAACGTCACCAGCATCTCAACCTACGAACTGATGCAGCCTCCGTGGACCTTTTGGTAGCAGAGAGCAAGCAGGGCAAAGGATGCTGGCGAGGACGGACCACAGACTGGCCGGCTGGCCTTTCCGAAAGGAGCTGCGATGGGGCTTTACGAACTAGAAACCTCCTGGATGTTCCAGCATCTTGCCTCTTTCAAGAATTGGAGCCACCGTTTTTGGGTGGCTTTCGTAGGTCAAAGGAGCTGCCCGCAGCGACTCAGCCCTATGGGCTACGTACTAAGCGTGGCACTGGCTTCCCCGTCTGGCGCAAATCTCCAGGGGCCCAGCCACAAGTCAGTCCTGGACCCGTGGGCACCAGGTACCACCAGTGGACTGTTCCAGCAAAATATACCTTCGAAATCCTGTGATTCAGCAGAGGCAGTTTGCTCTTTCTTGTGCTGTTCCCACTGGGCTCAGGATTGTGCCCCCATTTCACTGGCTGCCTGGATGGAGCACCTGCTTGGAAAAGAGAGGCAGAGTGCGTCTCTCTTGGAGGACTGGGGCTGTGGATGATTTAGAATACCTTTTTCTATCCATGGGGAAGCATCCCTACAGCAGTTTTGCAGCCCTGCTTCTTGTTCCGTTTTTGTTTTTTGTTTGGCTATGCCACAGCCTTCCACAGCACCCTCTCGGAATTTCGAATGTGCCCATTGGCAAACTCTGTTTAAACTGGGGGAGGGAGTAGCTGATGCGGAGACCTCTGGGACGCAAATCATGTGTGGCTGCCGGGAGCTGCCAGCGTGGTGCCCCCAGGCACACAGCTGCCCCACACCAAGCCCCCCTTCCCCAATAAAATAGGTTGTGGGGTTTTGTGTGCATTTTATGCATAGTAGTCTTCCTGCTTTGCAAACTGCACCCAAGGGGTCAACAAGTTTGGCACCTCTTGCTGGTAAGTGCTGGTTGGCTCACGGCCTTCTCCAAACCTTATTTCTAGCACATTTGAGTACAGTCATACCTAATGTTGCATCCACTTCAGGTTGCGGACTGCCAAAACCCGGAAGTACCAGAATGGGTTACTTCCGGGTTTTGGCAGTCGCGCATGCGCAGAAGCGTTGAATCGCAACCCACATGGGTTGCGAACGTGCATCCCGCACGGATCACGTTCGCAACCCGAGTGTCCACTGTGCCTTGGTTCTCGAACAGAATGCGTTCCAGGAGTCCATTCGACTGCCGAAACCGTTTAAAAACCAAAGCATGGCTTCTGATTGGCTACAGGAGCATCGTGCAGCCAATTGGAAGCCGTGCCAGACATTTGGCTTCCGAAAACCATTAAAAAACCGAACCCTCACTTCTGGTTTTCGATCATTCAGGAGCCAAGAGTTCCAAGGCGTTCAGCAACCAAGGTACGACTTTAGTCCTTTCACGGAAGAAAAAAAGAGGCGCTCAGACCCTCCTGAAATAAATCTAAGATGAAAGGAAAGCAGAATTCGCCTCCAAAATTTCCCCAAAGAAACAAAAAGCACAACCTCTATCCCTGCAAAAGTAGGCAGAGTGCACTCTCTACCCTGGTGCACAGAAGCATTTGGATGAAATAGAGGATGGGTAGGCAAACTAAGGCTCAGGGGTCGGATCCAGCCCAATCACCTTCTAAATCTGGCCCGCAGACGGTCTGGGAATCAGCGTGTTTTTACATGAGTAGAATGTGTGCTTTTATTTAAAATGCATCTCTGGGTTATTTGTGGGGCATAGTAATTCGTTCATTCCCTCCCCCCCCCCAAATATAGTCTGGCCCCCCCACAAGGTCTGAGGGACAGTGGACCAGCCCCCTGCTGAAAAGGTTTGCTGACCCCTGAAATAGAAGATGACTGGATGGCTGGGTTTTGCATTCTTGCCACTTCTGGCTGCAGAAAGAAATCCCTCAAATTTAAAGTAAATAAATGGGAAGAGGAGGAGGAGGGTCTCCGCAGCTGACAAGGGGTGGTGGTCATAGAATCTTAATGGGAAGGGACCCCATCAGGTCGTCTAGTCCAACCCCGCTGCTCTGGTGTCCTCACAGTGATGTCTGAGGACACCATGTTATCAAATCCGAGAGAATAATAGCAAGAAAGATTTGGGAAATGATATTGGCTCCACCACATCAAGAAGTGAGTGAAGGACCTGAGCAGAGACCAGTTGCCAGCTGATCACCCTGAGTTAAGGGCTATTGGAGAGGACACGGCGATAATAATGTGCTGGATCTAAGCAGCTATAGGGCCTGTTGGGAGTCATGAAACTTTTCATAAAGCTCCTGACAAAGGAGACTTCCCTGAAACGCGACAAGCTATGGTTTGTAACCAGATGTGCCAGAGCTTGCCTCCTTTTCTCCCTCACTGAGGACTAGAAACTTGGTTTTGAAAAGAAACGAAAATCGGGACACACCAGAATTGTCACGTCCTATCGTGGGTGGCGCTGTGGGTTAAACCACAGAGCCTAGGGCTTGCTGATCAGAAGGTCGGCGGTTTGAATTCCCGCGATGGGGTGAGCTCCCGTTGCTCGGTCCCTGCTCCTGCCAACCTAGCAGTTCGAAAGCACGTCGAATGCAAGTAGATAAATAGGTACCACTCCAGCGGGAAGGTAAACAGCGTTTCCGTGCGCTGCTCTGGTTCACCAGAAGTGGCTTAGTCATGCTGGCCACATGACCCGGAAGCTGTACACTGGCTCCCTCGGCCAGTAAAGCGAGATGAGCGCTGCAACCCCAGAGTCGGAAACGACTGGACCTAATGGTCAGGGGTCCCTTTACCTTTTATGAAATCACAGCGCCCCACAAATCATATGATCCATCGCTCCCACAAACCTGCTTCATGGGTCTCAGTTTACCCCAGGTAGACTCACAGAATAAGAGAATTAAAAGAGCCCATGAGGGTCATCTAGTCCAACCCCCTTGCAGTGCAGGAATCTTTTGTCCAACGTGGGGTTCAAACCCACGACTCTGAGATAAAGTGTCTCAGGCTGTACTCACTGAGCTATCCCAGGGGATAAACTCTGCCCCACCTACAACACACAAAAAAAACCCCTTGCAAAACTAGCTTCTTATTGCTCTGTTAAAACAGCAAAGAACTATTCCCGCATTGCCAGGGGTTGGACTAGATGACCCTTGGGTCCCTCCCAACTCTAAAACTCTACGATTATTTTCCAGACTGAACATACCCAGCTCCTTCAACCATTCCTCATACGGCTTGGCTCCCAGACCCTTGATCATCTTGGTCACCTTCCTCTGCACATTTTCCAGCTTGTCAACATCCTTTCTAAATTGCGGTGCCCAGAACATAAAATTGTGCAGCCCTGTTTAGGGAAGTTTTTAATGACTGATGTTTTAATGTATTTTTAATCTTTTGTTGGAAGCTGCCCACAGTGGCTGGGGAAACCCAGCCAGATGGGTGGGGTAGAAATAATAAATATTATTAATAATAATAATAACTGGACACTGTATTCCAGGTGTGGTCTGACCAAGGCAGAATGGAGCGGTACTATTCCTTCCCTTGATCTGGACACTAGACTTCTGTTGATTAAGCCTGGAATAACATTAGCTTTTTCTGCTGTTACATCACCCTGTTGACTCATGTTCAGCCTGTGGTCCACTATGACCCCTAGATCCTTTTCATATTTTACCACTGGCAAGCCAGGTGTCCCCCATCTTATAATTGCGCAACTGGTTCTTCCCAGCTAAGTGAAGAACGTGACATTTGCCCCTGTGGAAACACATTTCCTTAGTTTTAGCCCAGAACAAAAGGCAAGAGCAGGGGTAGGCAAACTAAGGCCCGGGGGCTGGATCCGGCCCAATTGCCTTCTCAATCCGGCCCGCGGACGGTCCGGGAATCAGTGTGTTTTTACATGAGTAGAATGTGTCCTTTTATTTAAAATGAATATCTGGCTTATTTGTGGGGCCTGCCTGGTGTTTTTACATGAGTAGAATGCTTTTATTTAAAATGCATCTCTGGGTTATTTGTGGGGCATAGGAATTCGTTCTTTTTTTTCTTTTCAAAATACAGTGGTACCTCGGGTTACATACGCTTCAGGTTACAGATGCTTCAGGTTACAGACTCCGCTAATCCAGAAATGGTACCTCGGGTTAAGAACTTTGCTTCAGGATGAGAGTAGAAATCGTGCTCCGGTGGCACGGCGGCAGCAGGAGGCCCCATTAGCTGAAGTGATGCTTCCGGTTAAGAACAGTTTCAGGTTAAGAACGGACCTCCGGAACGAATTAAGTTCTTAACCCGAGGTACCACTGTATGTAAGAATGCAGCCAGCCCCCAAACTGCTAAGAACCAGCTTAGGAGAAAACTAGTGATGACTGTTAAAGTAAAAACAAAAAACCCCCACACAACTCCAGATAAAGTACAGTGGTACCTCGGGTTACAGATGCTTCAGGTTACAGACTCCGCTAACCCAGAAATAGTACCTTGGGTTAAGAACTTTGCTTTGGGATGAGAACAGAAATAGTGCTCCGGCGGCAGCGGGACACCCCATTAGCTAAAGTGGTGCTTCAGGTTAAGAACAGTTTCAGGTTAAGAACGGACCTCTGGAACTAATTAATTACTTAACCCGAGGTACCACTGTATAGTCCGGCCCCCGACAAGGTCTGAGGGACAGTGGACCAGCCCCCTGCTGAAAAAGTTTGGGCAAGATCCTCTCCCTTATTCGCCTTTCCCACCGCGTGAACACAAAAGCCGCTCTTTGCGTTGCAAATCGTTTTACTGTACCCAGGCAAGTGGCAAAATGGTGATCAAGGGGTTCCTTCTGCCTGTGCCCCTCTGCCCCACGGGCTTGGGGGGGGGTGTTGCATGTTGGAGAACTGCCCCATGGCAATTGGCGGGGAAGATCCAGCCCTCTTTGGGGGGTTAACAGCTCTGATACAATGCAGAGAGGGGAGGCGTCAGTAAATGGGGCACATTTTCCCAAAGGGACAGACTCTTCGCATCGCATCCTGGCAAAATCTCTGCCCTTCGCTCGGCTGCCGGCACTGGCCGCTCACGAGTCCAGGAATCTCCTTCCCAAGCCGATGTCGCTGCCTCCGCCTCCAGAGACAAACCCCCAGCCCAGCCCCCAGGGTCAAACGTCCGTCATCTCGTCCTCCAGTTCTGCGTCGTCCGGCTCCCCTTCGACTTCTTCCTCCTCCTCGTCTTCCTCTTCCGACGTCACGTCCGGGTCGTTGGCTTGTGCCAGGCACTTGGGGCAGGAGCAAACAAACAGGTAGTTTTCCCTGGAAGGGGGCAGAAGAGGGGGAGAAATAGGTGGGTGGCGGTTACGACGGCGGTGATTTCAGTTTGTTATCCTCCCGACACATAATAATAATAAATTTTTATTTATACCCTGCCCTTCCCGGTTCAGAAAACCGGGCTCAGGGCGGCTAACAACAAATTTAAAACACTTAGTTGATGCAACAAAAAACAGCATAAAATACAGTATAAAACGTGAATAACAATAAATTCAAAATTCAAAATCAATTTGGGGGGAAATCCACCCAAAAAACATTAGATGATCACCAGGGCTAGCTGGCTAAATTAGTCTTATTTGGACCAGCGAGGAGCTCAGGGGGGAATTAGCTGTGGGATCCCAGAGCGGGTAATCTTCATAAAAAGGGGGAGGGAAGGAAGGGAACTAAAAGATCAGGCTAAGTTCATATTGAAAGCCAGGTGGAATAGCTCTGTCTTAGAGGCCCGACGGAAGGAGGTTAAATCCTGCAGGGCCCTGGTCTCCTGGGACAGAGCATTCCACCAGGTCGGAGCCATCACTGAGAAGGCCCTTGCCCTGGTGGAGGATAGTCTGACTTCCTTAGGGCCTGGGACCTCTAAACTATGGTTATTCATGGACCTGAAGGTCCTTTGCGGGGCAGACCAGGAGAGGTGGTCCCGTAAATACGAGGGCCCTAAGGAATCTCCAGAATTTCAAAAGCATAAAGCGCGGCAGAAAGTAAAGACAATGCAACCATGTGTTATACAATACATTTGTACTGTACTTCTGGAACTCCCTGCCTGTTGATACACTTTTCTGTGCCTGCTAAAAACCATTTTTAGCGGAGCAAACCATTTTGCTCTGGAAGGTAGGAGATTCCAACTCAACATCAGGAAAAAACTTTCTGGCAGTAAGAGTTGTTTGACAGTGAAACGGACTCCCTCGGGAGGTGGTGGACTCTCCTTCCTTGAAGGTTTTAAAGCAGAAATTAGGTGGCCATCTGTCATGGATGCTTTAGCTGAGATTCCTGCATTGCGGCGGTCAGACTAGATGACATTTTGGGGTACCCTTCCAACGCTACAATTCTATGATTTCGTTTTAGACGAGCTTCCCCAAGCGTTCGGAAAGCCAATGCGAGATTTAAGCTTTTTTCTGTGGATTCTTGTTTAACACTTCCGAAAGTCTTAAGTTACAGTTAATCATTCCCAGTAATCATTTCATTGCATTCTCTTCTTTTGTAAACCACTCTGAGGGTTTTCCTTTTGAAGTCAAGCGGCGTATGAATTTTGTGAAATAAATAATAAACCCCGTAGGATCTACTACATATTTTGGAAGATGGTTTCTCTGCCTCTCTGCTATGTATTTGCCTAAATCACGACCCAATTTTGCAGGGCAGCCTCTGAGACAGAGGAGCTGGTTTCTTGCCTATATTGGGGAGCTGTTGGGCGCCATTTTGAATCCCAATGGCAGACCAAACCTTTCAAAAAATAACTTATCTGCCCATTGAAGATCAGGCGGCAACCGAGAGCTAGGCAGATGCCATTATTATAATTACAGCAAGTGTTCATTTTTATTTATATCCTGTTTTTCCCTCGGACCAGGACCCAAGGCGGCTTAAACAAATCAAAAGAACAGAGATTTTTTGGTGGTTTGAGCCCACACAGCAACAGCTGTGGGCAGGATTCATGTATTTTCAAGGGGTTGGACGACACGACTCTTCGAGGTGTCCCTTCCACAATTAAAACATGCAAAAAGCGAAAAACATATACAGTCGTACGGAATCCGATCTGGAAGTCCGTTCGACTTCCAAAACGTTCGGAAACCTAAGCGTGGCTTCTGATTGGCTGTCAGACGTTCGGGTTCCAAAGAACATTCGCAAACCGGAACAGTCCTGGGTTTGCGGCGTTCAGGAGCCAAAACGCTTGAGGACCAAGGCGTTTGGGATCCAAGGTACGACTGTAAAAGATAATAGCTAAAAAGCAATTAAACTGCAGCAGAATTAAAACAACTGACAGCTGGAACACCAAACAGACCCTTTATATTATTATTATTATTCCATTTTTATTTGATACAGGTCAAGTAGGGTTACCGAACACCCCCAGGCCTCTCCTAATATTATGTTGGCATCCGTTGGCATCAAACTTTGCTGCCCAGGCTTACCGGAGGGTCTTGTTGCGGCTGTGGCGGCTTCGCTCCCGTTGGCAACAGTCTAAGTAGCTGATGCAGATCTCCTGTTTGGGAATAAGGAATGGCACACATTGAAGGCAAACATTGACCCAAACAGAGTGGCATGCCCAAAATTTCTTTTTAAACCTCTGTGTATATTCCTCTACCTATTTTCTTTTTAATTTCTATGTTTAAAAAAGAGCTTGCTATTTGATGTTTATCTTTGAAGGTTATTTCATCTTTGTTCTATCCAGCTTTAAATTAAAAACAAACAGACAGACAAACATATACTGTGTTTTTCCGTGTATAAGACTATATTTCCCCCCAAATTTTTAAAGTTTAAAATTGGTGGTCATCTTATACACGGAATGAAGCAATTATTTACTTCTCAATTTTGGGCTCAAAAAAGGTCGTCTTATACACGGAAAAATACGGTATTTATTTATAATAAAACATAACGAAACATAGTTACAGATGCCAGATTAAATAAAAGCAGAAGGGAATATCTAGAACTGAGAGCGTAGGAACGAATTCCCATACCAAGATAATTTAATATCGCATGGTTCCAAGTAGCACAAACAGATTTGCGTTATGCTGTGCCTTATTGCTCCTGTACATAATAAAAAATTATATTATAAAAATAATAATATTCTGTTTTGTTATTGTTTGGTGGTTTCTCTTTTTATTTGTGTTTTTATCTTGTGAACCATCTTGAGGTCTTTTGATGAAGAGCGGTATGTAAATCTAGTAAATAATAATAATAATAAAAACACGATAAAGGTATTCTCTTGGATTGGATTCTTACAAATACTGTAATAGGTTAAGATCTGGTGAAGTACAATAACAACTTTGTAAAATATACAGTTTGGGTTTATTTTCCCTTCTACACGGGTTGTTTCTCTTTTTCTTTCTCTCTCTTTTCTTTACTTCTCACCACGTTTAGTGCACATATAATTATGTACATTTGAATTTTCAATAAAGATGTTAAATAATAATAATAATAATAATAATAATAAAAACGATAAAGGCATTCTCTTGCTCTCTGGTTCTCAACATACTTAACCATAAGCTTAGACATGCATACTGCGTCCCAGATTTTCGTTACCCATTCCTAACTTTGGGACACGTCCCACCCCAGGAGATGCCCAATTTTTTGCAACAGGGCTCAAAAACTCGGGCTCCTCTCACTTCCTGGAGGCTGGTCCATTTAGGAGACTGAAACACCGGCCTGCCCACCTGATTCTGGCTTAAAATCACAGAATTGTAGAGTTGGAAGGGACCCCCCCTCCAGGATCATCCAGTACAACCCTCTGCCACGCAGGAATCTTTTGCCCATCACGGGCCTCGAACCCATGGCCGATTGCAGTGGGTTGGACTAGATGACCCTCGGGTTCCCTTATGGAACTCATTCTCTCTTTCTCTCTCTCTTACTTAACAACCAGCCCAAGGCCCTTCAGCTTCCTTCTGGTCAGGAGTGCGTGCAGGAGCCAGGCCCTGTGACCAGTAGGGCTTCGCAGGACTGGGGCCTTCCTAAGTTTGGTCTGAAGAGGCAAGGTGCGGCCGCACAGGTGAGGCCGCTTGGTAACTCACTGCACCTGGTGGCAAGAGCCGGGAAGGGATATTAGGTCAGCATTTCCCTTCGGCTCTTTGCCACAGCAACACGCTTCCTGCCTTGCTGCGTTTGGCTTCTTGCTTCCTGATCCTCGGACCTCGGCTTCTTGACTCCTTGCTTCTCGACCCTCGGACCCCTGACTTCGTGACTCCTTGCTTCTCGACCCTCGGACCCCTGACTTCGTGACTCCTTGATTCTCGACCCTCGGACCCCTGACTTCGTGACTCCTTGATTCTCGACCCTCGGACTCCTGACTTCGTGACTCCTTGATTCTCGACCCTCGGACCCCTGACTTCGTGACTCCTTGCTTCTCGACCCTCGGACCCCTGACTTCGTGACTCCTTGCTTCTCGACCCTTGAACCCCTGACTTCGTGACTCCTTGATTCTCGACCCTCGGACCCCTGACTTCATGACTCCTTGATTCTCGACCCTCGGACCCCTGACTTCGTGACTCCTTGCTTCTTGACCCTCAGACCCCTGGCTTCTGGACTCTCATTCCTGCTCCCACCCCACCATCTTGCCCCCAGTCCCGATGTCCTCCACCAGGAATTCGATCGCCCGTAGATCGGACCGTGACACTCCTCCTCCTCAAGTTTCAGCTTGCCGTTGCAGGAGGGGAAGAAGAGGAGGATGCACATCCTCTAGCGCCACCTAGTGTTGGTCTCCTGGACCCCTGCCCTACCGGTTTCCGAAGGGCCACCCCACAGCCCCCAGGGCTCTCACCTCTCCCGGCCCGATATCCTCCAAGGCCGTCAGGTGCAGGAGGAAATTGTTATCCGGGAACGAGGTCTCGGCATTGGGAATGCAGCTGTGGTTACCTGAGGAAGGAAGCAAGCAGAGCAGCCATGAGCTTCAAGGAACAATTTCCTGTGTGATATATATATTTTTTGAAATATAAGAGCCATCTTCAAATATCTCAAGGGTTGCCACGTGGAGAATGGAGCAAGCTAGTTTTCTCCGGCTCCGGAGGGTAGGACTCGAACCCGTGGCTTCATGTTACAAGAAAGGAGATTCCGACTCAACATCAGGATGAACTTTCTGCTGTTCAACCGGGGAATGTTCTCCCTCAGGAGGTTGTAGGCTCTCCTTCCTTGGAGGTTTTTAAGCAGATGTCGGATGGCCATCTGTCACTGATGCTTCAGATGAGAATCCTGCATTGCAGGGGGCTGGACTAGATGACCCTCGGGTTCCCTTCCCACTCAAGGATTCTATAAAAAGTGTTTGGGCAGATTATTCCTCCCTTGATACTTACAGCAACTCTGCAGCATGTAGAGGCCAGACCCTTCGCAATTCAGAAACTCCCCTGTCTCTAAATCGAAGAGGGAGGAAAGAAGATATGAGAGGCAATTTCGGTCTCTTAATAATCCCCTTTCCCAAAGAGAATCCTAAAGGCAGGAATTGGGCACAGTATGACCCTCACGTGGGCCGTGGTATAGACTCTCCATCCTTGGAGGTTTCTAAGCAGAGGTTGGATGGCCGCCCGTCAGGGATGCTTGAGGTGCGATTCCTGCACTGAAGGGGTTGGACTAGATGACCCCGGGTGCCCCTTCCAACTCTAGGATTCTATCGCTATACCTGAAGGAGCATCTCCACCCCCATCACTCAGCCCGGACACTGAGGTCCAACGCCGAAGGCCTTCTGGCAGTTCCCTCCCTACGAGAAGCAAAGTTGCAGGGAACCAGGCAGAGGGCCTTCTCGGTGGCGGCGCCCTCCCTGTGGAACGCCCTCCCGTCAGATGTTAAAGAAATTAACAACTATCCGACTTTTAGAAGACATCTGAAGGCAGCCCTGTTTAGAGAAGCTTTTAACATTTGAAGAATCATTGTATTTTAATATTCTGCTGGAAGCTGCCCAAAATGGCTGGGGAAACCCAGCCAGATGGGCAGGGTATAAATAATAAATTATTATTATTATTATTTTCATCATTATTATTATTTTCACCCGAGGGGCTCAAGGTGGTCCTCTTCCTCCCACCCGTCCCTGGGCGACGTCAAGGTTTGATCCTGTTTCACCAGAGCGTTGGAGGAGATCAAGCACCCAGCCCATCAGGCAAAACAAGAAGCTGGATCTTTGGCCTGATCCTGCAACGCCTGGTCTTCTGCTCTGCAAAGCAGAATGGGCCATGCATGGACCCAACACAGTTCAGCATCCTTCCCAGTTCCTTGGTGATGCCAGGCAGTGGCATACCATGGGGTGCCAGTGCCCGGGGCAAGACCACTATCAGAGCCAGCCAGCGGCAGTGATGGTGGAGGGGGGAGTTTATTTTATTTTATTATTTTTATTTGGTGAAATTTTTACACCGCTTGATTGTTTTTAAAGAAAACCCTCAGAGCATTTTATTTTATTTTTAAATTTTGCACACGCTTCCCAAATTTTGCACCCGGGACAACAGTCTCTCTGGCTCCCCTCATGCTATGCCACTGATGCCAGGCACATGATGACACTGCCACAACCAGGGGTTGCTGAGCGCTGGACACCTCCCACCCATGAAGGTATGGGCCCCCGTCGTTCGAAGGCCCCCCCCCATTTCCCGTTCACTGACCTCTCTCCATGTCCTTGTATAGCTGGTTTATGAAGGCGTCCAACTGCTCTCGCTCCTGAGGGGGTAACTCCAAGGCGTCGCAGGCATGGACCCACTGGCTCAAGGAGCTGGGTGGTGCCAGAGAGACAGACAGATGGCATCAGTTCCTTCCATTTATAGAGTCTGCCTCTCAGCGGGGGCTGGCAAGGAATGGCCGTCGGGGTGCCACCACCAAAAGCGCCCTCATTTCGCTGGGCCGAAATCGCACCTCCAACTCTAGGACGTCTAAAGGATTTGTGGCAATCCATAGGAGACCTCCACTGAAAAAACGGAGGTAGCCAACATGGTGCCCCTATCCAGACGTTCTACAACTCCCATTTGTCCAGGTCAGCATGGCCAACGACCAGGGATTGTGGGAGTTGTGGTCCTAAGAGGGCACCACATTGGCAGTGCCTTAAAAGGTAGGCCAACACCGTTATACCCATTTTGCAGGCGGCGGGGAAGAGCGACTGAGGTGGAGGGCCAATGGTGACTTCACAGCGGCTAAAAGGTGATTTCAACGGGGGAATATCGAGCCACTGAATTCCACTCACCGCAAGCAAGGACTGTAGCGCCAACTGGTATTTTTCATATATATGCCGCCCAGATGACTGGGTTGCCCCAGCTCAGTCTGTGAGTCAGTCTGTTAGCCAGTCGGTGTTACTTGTCCAGCGTTACGTCTTAAATGGTGAACTTATTTAGAGCAACAGAGACACTCTGTATGTATCTGTATCTGGAGAAGCCTACAAGCTGTATCTATCTATGTCCAGAACTGTTTTGCTGAGCCTTATCTTCTGCATCAGCAAGCTATCTGAACCTTCCTCTGCTTCCAGGTGGAGACTGGTACCGGGAGCAACTTCCACTGAATCTCACCTGAGATTCTCATTACTACCTCAGTACTGTCTACCAGGACTGGCAGGGACTCTCCAGGGTTCAGGCAAGAGGAAGGAACCGGGGACTTTCTCAATGAAAAGCAGGTGATCTGCCCTTGATCTACAGCCCTTCTGACTAGTTCCTCAGACCGCAAGTTAGGTTTGGCTTTTAGATAATTTATTACGGTCGGAGACCAGCTTATAAAACACACTTAGGGGTACATTCCCAGAAAGAAAACAGTTAAAACAATGTACAACAATAAATTTAAAATTTATAAATGTGATAAGCATAGGTAAAGGTAAAGGGGACCCCTGACAATTAGGTCCAGTCGTGGCCGACTCTGGGGTTGCGGCGCTCATCTTGCTTTATTGGCCAATGGAACTGGCATACAGTTTCTGGGTCATGTGGCCAGCATGACTATGCCGCTTCTGGCAAAACCAGAGCAGTGCACGGAAACGCCGTTTACCTTCTCGCCAGAGCGGTACCTATTTATCTACTTGCACTTTGAGGTGCTTCGAACTGCTAGGCTGGCAGGAGCAGGGACCGAGCAACGGGAGCTCACCCCATCGCAGGGATTCGAACCGCCGAATTCTGATCAGCAAGTCCTAGGCTCTGTGGTTTAACCCACAGCGCCACCCGCGTCCCGTGATAAGCATATAGACACTTAAAACTTTAAGATAGGCTACCGCAGAGAGATGACCCAGAGTCACCCATGGAACCGAGTTTGGGGATTTTCTTCACGAACTAGTTTGAGTCGGGGGACGGTCTGCGCCTACAGATCTGTACACAGAATCTGGCGACTATCCGGGTCGTCTTATGATCTTTGCCTAACAGAAGGTGGTCAAATTTTTGCTTTTCTGGGAGGTCAGCAAGCCTCACCAGCAGGGGATCAATGGTCTTGCTACGTGCCTCTTCATAAAAGGGACATCTAAAGAACAAGTGCTCTGGGCTTCCTATCTCCCCCAATGAACAGGCGCAAAGTCTCTGAGCCTATGGGACTTTTTTAAAGGCTCCTTCCAGGACCGGCGAGGGAAGAGCCGAGCTTCTGGCGAGTGTAAGGCCCTTCTAGCATTTTTGGATACGAGAAAGAAGAGATATGCTGCTGATGCGGCTATATATCTCCCGATTTCTCCAATTTTATAGTCGGGGCACCTTGAGCAGTCCTGTTGTCTCTCGGTGTCTATGAAGTTGATGTATTCCGCTAAGTCCTAATTAACCCTCAGAGCACCCGGGGGAGTTCCCAGGAGGGGCTAAAATCCACCTGAACTTACCTGGTTCCTATCCCCTGTCCGTTGGTGCCGACGAGGGCAAACAGCGACCGGAAACCTTCCGGGGAGAACCACTGCCAGGAGAAGATAGAAAAGAGAGATAAATGGAGGTGGTAAACAGCGTCCCTGCCCCAGATGCTGAGTCCCTCCTGGGACTAGAGGAGTAGAATAGGGGAGCCCACCATCTCTCGTTCCCACCACCCTCACAGGGACACTTGGTAGGGACATGGGACAAGGCCTTCTCAGTGGCTGCCCTCAGACAACTTTGGAACTCCCTGCCTATTGGGGTTGAATCCTGACAAGACAGAAATACTGTTTTTGGGGGACAGGGGGCAGACAGGTGTGGGGGACTCCCTGGTCCTGAATGAGGTAACTGTGCCCCCGAAGGACCAGGTGCGCAGCCTGGGGGTCATTTTGGACTCACAGCTGTCCATGGAGGGACAGGTCAATTCTGTATCCAAGGCAGCTATTTATCAGCTCCATCTGGTACGCAGGCTGAGACCCTCCCTGCCCGCGGACTGCCTCGCCAGAGTGGTGAATGCTCTAGTTATCTCCCACTTGGACTATTGCAATGCGCTCTACGTGGGGCTACCTTTGAAGGTGACCCAGAAACTACAACTAATCCAGAATGTGAAAGCTAGACTGGTGACTGGGAGCGGCCACCGAGACCACATAACACCGGTCCTGAGAGATCTGCATTGGCTCCCAGTACGTTTCTGAGCACAATTCAAAGTGTTGGTGTTGACCTTTAAAGCCCTAAACGGCCTCTGTCCAGTATACCTGAAGGAGCGTCTCCACCCCCATTGTTCAGCCCAGACACTGAGGTCCAGCTCCGAGGGCCTTCTGGCGGTTCCCTTTCTGCAAGAAGTGACGTTACAGGGAACCAGACAGAGGGACTTCTCAGTAGTGGCGCCCGCCCTGTGAAACGCCCTCCCTTCAGTTGTGAAGGAAATAAGCAGCTATCTTATCTTTAAAAGACATCTGAAGGCAGCCCGGTACAGGGAAGTTTTTAATATTTAATGCTTTTAACACTCAATTGGGAGCGACCCAGAGTGGCTGGGGAAACTCAGACAGATCCAGAAAACTTCCCAAAGGGCATCTATTCCAGCTTCCGCTAAAGGAGAAACCTGGAGCCTGGAACTGCTCCCAACTACAAAAATTCTGGCTTTACCCTGCTGAGATGGTCGTCGTAAAGGGCTTCGGTGAAAAGGACGCGCAGGACTTCCAGCTGGCCCTGGAGAGGTGGAGGAGAAGATCACAAGTCATTCAACGCTAGGAATAATGGAAACAAGTCCATGCTTGATTCTGTCCCCGCAACCTTCTCGAACCTGGGGTCTTCTGGATGTTTAGGACTACAACTCCCATCAGCTGCCAGCCCATGAGATTCTGCCCACACTTCTCTCTGGAGTCCTAACATAAATGTGCTTTTACTAAAATCTGAGATAAGAACAGGATCAGGCCAGGAGCTCTGCATCCTGGGACCAACCAGATGCCTGCAGGAAACCCGCAAGCGGGATTCGAACACAAAACCCCTCTCGCCTCCTGTGGTTTCCAGCAGCTGGTATTCAGAAGCATCGCTGCCTCAGGAGGCAGGGGCATATAGTCATTGTGGCTAGTGGCCATGAATAGCCCTCTCTTGCTCCATGGATTTGTCCAATCCTCTTTCAAAGCCATCAAGGTTTGGTGGCCATCCTCGCCTCCGGTGGCAGGGAGTTCCGTAGGCTAACCACGCTGGGGGATTCAAGATAATGGAAACTGCAGGTTGGTTTCTACCTACCGCTGCGCATGCACAGGGGAGGCAGGTGCAGGATAAGATTACGACGCTTCCTTTGGGTCAAAGGAGACGGGCAGAAAGAAAGAACCCCAGGGCCACAGAACCGAAGAGCTGGGACTCCCAAGGGTCATCTAGTCCAACCCCGCCGGAAATGAATGGATCACCAGCCCCAGAAGATCAACCCTTCCGTTATCACAGGGTTCCCAACCTTAAATTTATCCCCCAGGAGTTTGTGGACGATCTCCTCTTCCTCGTTGGCTGTTTTGCTGCAGAACTGAGCGAAGAGTTTGATCCAGCAGTCTTTGTCCTTTGCCTGCAAGGAAACAAACAAACAAAATAAAATGCGGCTTTTACTTCTCTTGTTGCAGGGAGCTTCTGAGGAACAATCGAGGCAAGAAGATGCTGAAAGACCTCTTCCCTTGGTCTATACAAGGAGTGGGGAACCACCGTCCCGTGGGCCAAATGAAGTCCTTCAGGGCTCTGGCATGCTTCCCCCCCCCCTCCTCTCCCTCTCCCAGGCCCTCCACTCTGCTCTCCTTGCATGCGTCGGCCAGGCTGGGATAAATAATAATAATAATAATAATAATAATAATAATACAGTGGTACCTCTGGCTAAGTACTTAATTCGTCCCAGAGGCCCATTCTTAACCTGAAACTGTTCTTAACCTGAAACTGTTCTTAACCTGAAGCACCACTTTAGCTAATGGGGCCTCCCGCTGCCACCGCGCCGCCGGAGCATGATTTCTGTTCTCATCCTGAAGCAAATTTCTTAACCCGAGGTACTATTTCAGGGTTAGTGGAGTCTGTAACCTGAAGCGTATGTAACCCGAGGTACCACTGTAATAATAAAATTTTATTTATATCCCGCCCTCACCAGCCGAAGCCGGGCTCAGAGCGGCTAACAACAATAAAAGTAACACAGTTTACATAAAATCACAATCAATTAATTAAAATACATTCTAAACTCAATTCAGAATTGAATGGCAACCATTGGGCTGGAGTTCTGTGAGGATTACCAAAGGAGGGGGTCAGACTGTGCCTTGGCCAAAGGCCTGGTGGAACAGCTCTGTCTTGCAGGCCCTGCGGAAAGATATCAAGTCCCGCAGGGCCCTGGTCTCTTGTGACAGAGCGTTCCACCAGTTCGGGGCCACGGCCAAAAGAGCCCTGGCTCTGGCTGAGGCCAGCCTAACCTCCCTGTGGCCTGGGACCTCCAAGGTGTTTTTGTTTGAAGACCGTAAGGTCCTCCGTGGGTGGATGCATCCCTGAACTGCAAGAATCACAGAATCTCAGCACTGTAGACTTGGAAGAGACCCCAGCGGTCTTTTATTCCAACCCCATGAAACGCAGGCATGACAGCTCATGTCTCCTGCTTGCCTGGGCGAAAGAGTGAGGGTCAATGTATGTGCGCATCTCTCTGGTGTTTGCTGGAATGCGGCCGGCCGTACTAAGGCGGAAGTCACAACTCCGGCTCTGCCCACTATTGCCATGCGGCCCTCGGAAGCTTGCCCAATGTGACCCTTGGGAGCCAAAAATGCTCCCCCAGCCCAGACCTAGCCTTTCTTTAAAGCCAAATAATTTTCTTGTTTATATGCCGCTCAGATAACAGGGTTGCCCCAGCCACTCTGGGCAGCAGCCAACAAAATATTTAAAAATTTGTGTTGGATGACAGGTTGAGAGGAGTTCCCTACAAGGACAGACTTTGCTGGTGTGCCCTAGACACCAATTCCATAAAACATATTTTGCTGCACTGTGCAAAATACGAGCAAGCCAGGGCTGAACTGATATTACCCTTGCTGGTACCTTTCCTGGGAAATTCAGTGGCTCACTATGTCAGGTTCCTATTGGAAGACCGGACAAACGCTAGAACATTGGCAGTGGTGAAGTTTTTATCGGTGGTTGCAAGAACCAACAATCCCTATCTTTAAGTCTAAACAAAATGCTTGTTTAACTTAGTGGTAGGCTGTCTGAATTGTGCATTGCTTTGTAACAATTTGTTGGGTCTCTGGACCGTAATATTGATTGATTATTTAAAAACACAATAGAACATCAGACCTTAAAAATTTCCTGGCACAGGGCTGCCTATAGGTGTCTTCTAAAAGTCAGAGAGTTGTTTATTTCTTTGACTTCTGATGGGAGGGCGTTCCACAGGGCACGCGCCACCACCGAGAAGGCCCTCTGCCTGGTTCCCTGTAACCTCACTTCTCGCAGGGAGGGAACCACCAGAAGGCCCTCAGAGCTGGACCTCAGTGTCCAGGCTGAACGATGGAGGTGGAGACACTGGACCATTTAGGGCTTTCAAGGTCAGCACCAACACTTTGAATTGTGCTCAGAAACATACTGGGAGCCAATAAAGATCTTTCAGGACCGGTGTTATATGGTCCTGTTTGCCACTCCCAGTTACCAGTCTAGCTGCCGCATTCTGGATTAGTTGTAGTTTCCGGGTCACCTTCAAAGGTAGCCCCACATAGAGCGCATTGCAGTAGTCCAAGGGGGAGATAACCAGAGCATGCACCACTCTGGAGAGACAGTGCGCTGGCAGATAGGGTCTCAGCCTGCGTACCAGATGGAGCTGGTAGACGGCTGCCCTGGACACAGAATTGACCTGCGCCTCCATGGACAGCTGCGAGTCCAAAATGACCCCCAGGCTGCGCACCTGGTCCTTCAGGGGCACAGTTACCCCATTCAGGACCAGGGAGTCCTCCACACCCGCCCGCCTCCTGTCCCCCCAAAACAGTCCTTCTGTCTTGTCAGGATTCAACCTCAATCTGATAGCCGCCATCCCTCCTCCAGACACTCACACAAGGCTACAGATCTTGGGGTACCACAAACCCCAACACAAACCTGCTTGACAGTTGCAACCATTCTGGCCATGAGCATGATGCTCGAAGTCTCAGGCGGGTAATGGATGTTCCTGGAGAAGAAGGAAAGGGAAGGGATTTCTTATTCACATAATCACAGACAAAACAGAGGGGGGAAGCAGAGTGCTCTAGCTCTAGCAGAATCTACCTCAAATAATAAGTACTGTATTTTTTGCTCTATAAGACGCACCTAGTTTTTGGAGGAGGAAAACAAGAAAAAAAATATTCTGAATTTCGGAAGCCAGAACAGCAAGAGGGATTGCTGTGCAGTGAAAGCAGCAATCCCTCTTGCTGTTCTGGCTTCTGGGATAGCTGTGCAGCCTGCATTCGCTCCATAAGACGCACACACATTTCCCCTTACTTTTTAGGAGGGAAAAAGTGAGTCTTATAGAGCAAAAAATACGGTAACTGGTATTATTATTATTATTAGCTTTTCCCCTCCCTCCCACTATTCAGCCAAAACCGGCTCCCACAGCATCTTGCAAATATCTGCAAAGGAAGTCCTTGACCTTAGAATTTCCTCCTCTCTGCTTTTATTCTGTGCATTTTCTTTTGTAAGATTTTTTTTTAAAAAGAAAATTGTATACTGCCCTTCATCTGTAGATTTCAGAACACAAGATAATGCAAAATGCATAATAAAAACAGCACAAACCAATAAACCCTCCTCCTCCCCACCCCAAAGCAGCTTTCAGTTGCAATGGCAAAAAGCGACCAAACAAACAAACAATAGGGTTTAATAATAATAATAATAATAATAATAATAATAATAATAGAGGTATTTAAGCTGCCTGGCCCACCTTTCATGGGTGTTGTAGCAGCTGATTCCCTGCCTCAGCCGAGGAGGTTAGAGGCTAAGAGCAGATGACCCCAAGGTATTTTGGAGGATTCTAAAAGGTGAAGACTATATTTTGTTTTCAGATGCTGCATGTACAGTTTTAGGTTTTTCAGGAATAATAATTGTTCTTTAAAACCCTGGTGCCCCATTCATCCAGGCAATGGGGGCACACCTTTCCAGTCAACCAAAAGGCTTCTAAACTGGCTAATCTAAGCAACTAAGCCCTGCCGCCTGGTTTCAAAAAACAAAACAAAACAAAACACCCTCTTTTATAGCCCCAAGCCCTCCCTGCTGTGGACAGTCTCTTTATTACTATTTATTAAATCTGCATAGCTGCCCTTCATCCGTACTTCTCAGGGCGGTTCACAACATCAAAACACAAGGAATAATAATAATAATAATAATAAATTATTTATACCCCGCCCATCTGGCTGGGTTTCCCCAGCCACTCTGGGCGGCTTCCAACAAAATATTAAAATACAATGGTCTATTAAACATTAAAAGCTTCCCTGAACAGGGCTGCCTTCAGATGTCTTCTAAAAGTCAGATAGTTGTTTATTTCCTTAACATCTGACAGGAGGGTGCCACTACCAAGAAGGCCCTCTGCCTGGTTCCCTGTAGCTTTGCTTCTCGCAGTGAGGGAACCACCAGAAGGCCCTCGGAGTTGGACCTCAGTGTCCGGGCAGAACAATGGCGGTGGAGGTGCTCCTTCAGGTATACTGGACCGAGGCAGTTTGGGGCTTTAAACTAACCCCCCCCCCCAAAAATGAGAAATAAATACCTCCAGGCCTCTTGCAGTTTGCTGAGTGGGTGGTTGGGGTCGTGCCTGGACGGCCCCAGGCACAAAACCTGGTGATACTGTTCCCAGGCAAGCTGACGGCACTCTGCGCTGCAATAAGCCACCTAAGGAGCAACAGGTTATATTTTGTGAGGATCCTCCGGAAAAACAATCTCTCAAAGGACCTGTTGATGGCATTTTACCATTGTACTGTGGAGAGTGTATTAACTTGTATTAATCTGTGTGTGTGGTTTGGGAGCTGCACGGTCAGGGGGAAAACAATGCTGTCCAGGGTTGTAAAGACTGCGGAGAGAATAATTGGGTGCACTCTTCCCACCTTGGATCAAATCTATGTTTCCAGGTGCCATAAGAAAGCTGCAGAGATAGCGCAGGATAGTGCGCACCCCGGAAATGATCTCTTTCAGCTTCTGCCTTCTGGAAGAAGGTACAGGGTTATAAAGACTAGGACTAGCCTCCTGAGAAACAGTTTCTATCCAAATGCGATTTTGGTTTTAAATGCAGTGTAAGGTAGTCTCTATGGGAGTATATTGTATTCAATTATGGGATATCAGAGTTTTTAGGGGGCTAACCAGGCTGGGATAGCTGGCTTGTGGGTTTTTGAATGTCTGATGTAGATTTTTCAATTTCGTTGTTCTGTATGGGACAATGACAATAAAAATTATTGTATCGTATCGTATAGGAAGCGAAGCACAGCTGTCAATGAAGGGGACTCCCCCCGCTTTGGCACAGCCCTTCGGCAGCCGGGGAAAGGCGACCAAGATTCCCAGGCCATGCGAGGGGACGCGATCCGCCTGCCTCCTACTTACTTGGCAAGCGGGGCAGTGTTGATGGAGCTCCTTCCGAATGCTGCACTGCTCCGGGTGAGGAAGGGCTTGGGGTTTCCCCAGCAGCCTCTGCGCATTTTCCTCTGCCGTCTCCAGTGCTCGCAAGCAATGGTCGCAGGCTGGAGGGGAGATGGGGGTAAGAAGAGAGCCATGAAGGAAAGTAAAGGAAGTAAGTGCTGGAAATGTAAAACAACAGAAGGGGCATTTTTTCCTTTCCTTTCCTTTTTTTTTTATTTAAAGAATTTTTATTGCAAAGTAAATACAGTGGACGCTCGGGTTGCAAATCAGCAGCCCCGACCCGCCTCGATCCAGCTGCCTGCGGAGATCATCTGTTAGGGCAACCAGAGCCGTCTAGGTCCCGTGACCAGAGCGGAAGCTTACCTTACAAAATTCGGCTTTTACAATATCGCTGCTGAAACACATACGGTAAAACGGAGCAGAAAAAAAGATTTTTGCTGATTTGCGAGCTTGAGACTGTTCATTTGCCATTTGCGGGTGTGAGAGCTTGCCGAATTGTAGCAACTGAATAGCGATTTGCGATTTTAGCGACTGCACGGTAACTTTTGCGGGCTTGCAAGACGAAAGGCTTAAATTGGTTTCAGAGTTACAATTCTACCAACCGCAGCGATTTTCAGCCGGTAACCCAACTTTAAGGGAGCGGCTTATATTCGGGGATTGTCTTTTTTTCTCTCTCCCCCCACTTGAATTTTAAAGGTACGGCTTATTTTTGGCTGCAGCTTATATTCAGGCCAATACAGTAATACCTATATTTATACCGGTATGTACCGAGGCGATCCACTAAAAAAAGCAAGTGTACCAAAAGGAATTATGTCGAAAAGAAGAAGAAAAAAATTGGGGTGTGTGTGTGCTAAATTTTGTCCTTGCTCAGGGCACCAGATAACCAAAGGTATACAACACAGGATACAGAAGTCCTTACAGTATCTTAGGTTATCCTAAATTACCCCTGCATTGCAGGGTTTGGACTAGGTGAGTATCGAAGCTGCAGCGCCAAAGGACTTCTCTACGCACACGGGAATTTCCACTTTTCCCCCTGCCCTTTCCAGCCCCTCAGCTGCACACCCTCAAAATCAGCAGTGTGAGGTCGGTGGATCCTCTGGAGCAGATTTTGGGGGTACACAGGGGGAGGAGATGAAATGCAAGTCCCGTGCAACCCCCTTCTGGCACAGCGTGGGATATACAGTGGTACCTCGGGTTACAGACGCTTCAGGTTACAGACTCCGCTAACCCGGAAATAGGTTAAGAACGGACCTCAGGTTCTCAGGTTAAGAACGGACCTCTGGAATGAATTAAGTACTTAACCCGAGGTACCACTGTAGTCCAATTTCTAGATAACACACACACAGAGAGATATATGCACAAACCCCAATGCACACTTGTATTCAACAATGCAATGTCTTCTCCCCAAGTGGATTGAGAGTGCCAGTTTGCTCACCTCTATATTTATACAGTGCATTCCAGAGGAACTGGGCGGACACCACCGGCTTCTCGACGAAAATCGTTTCTCCCTTCTTGATGTTTCTGGTGGCGAAGAGTCCTTTGCCCTTTTAACATCGACATAACAAAAGATAATACAGTCATACCTCAGGTTACAGACGCTTCGGGTTGCGCACCGCGCCGAGCCTGAAAATACTGGAACGGTTACTTCCGGGTTTCGCCGCTTGCGCATGCGCAGAAGTGCTAAATTGTGCTTTGCGCATGCGCAGAAATGCCAAATTGCGAGCCGCGCGTGCGCTAGACGCACAGGTTGCGAACATGCCTCCCGCACGGATCACGTTCGTCCACTGTAATAATAATAATAATAATAATTAATAATAATAATCTTGGTTTGGAGACAGGAGGGCAGTGGGAAGGAGGAAGAGAAGCGCCACATGGAACCAGCGGTTGCCTGGTCGGCTGGGGCGAGCTAAGAAACAGCTCCAGGCGACCAGGTACAGACAAGGAGCTTGGATTTCTTGCTGAGGGCAGCTCCTCTTCAAAGAGGTTCAAGCGCATACTCAGTTACCACATCATCTGGGTAGAGACGAATGATCACCCTACCTTACCCCGACGAGTCGTGAAAATAATCCGTAACACTGGCAGCCCAAGGATGAGAGCACTGGGGGTGAAAGGGCACACCAGGCTAAATGGGAACCTGCCCCAATTTGGTCTGATCCGGATTATCTGGTCTTGCTGTTAGCGGTCTTCACCCAGTGAACACCAGTTGTGCCCCAACAGCAGAAGCTAATCATGGTCAACACAATACACTTTTTCCCCTCTGGGATAGCTCAGTCTGTAGAGCATGAGACTCTTAATCTCAAGGTCAAGATTCGAATCCCACGTTGGGCAAAGATTCCTGCATTGGAGGGGGTTGGATTATATGACCCTCAGGATCCCTTACAACTCAGCTGTTCAGTTATTCTAATGGGCTGTGTGCCCACTTGTGAATCCCTGCAAAAAGCATTCAGAGGCACACAACCCCCACATTGCCATGGCGGCTACTAGCCACAGTTAGCCTCTTATCTTCCATGATTTGGTCTTTTCCTCTTTTAAAGACATCCAGGTTAGTCACCACCATTAAGGAGGCAGGCCTCTTCTCCCTGCTCACAGCAACTTGGCAGAGTAGGCATAATAATAATAATAATAATTTATACCCCACCCATCTGGTTGGGTTTCTCCAGCCACTCTGGGCAGCTTCCAACAAAATATTAAAATACAATAACCTATTAAACATTAAAAGCTTCCCTGAGCCTTCAAATGTCTTCTAAATGTCTGGTAGTTGTTCTCTTTGACATCTGGTGGGAGGGGTGTTCTACAGGGTAGGTGCCACTACCGAGAAGGCCCTCTGCCTGGTTCCCTGTAACTTGGCTTCTCGCAGGGAGGGAACCGCCAGAAGGCCCTCGGAGCTGGACCTCAGTGTCCGGGTAGAACGATGGGGGTGGAGACGCTCCTTCAGGTATACTGGACTGAGGCCTTTTAGGGCTTTAAAGGTCAGCGCCAACACTTTGAATTGTACTCGGAAATGTACTGGGAGCAAATGTGGGTCTTTCAAGACCGGTGTTATATGTTATATCCGCCTATGGGCCCCATGCCTTTCAGGGGCCCTGTGGGGATGGATCAAAATAATGCAGATTTGTTTCATGTAATAAAATTGGTTTATTAAAATCGCTGGTTGGCAAAATCAAAAGCGTATTAGGAGGTAATCCGCGAGGGGTCTCTGCAAGAGAGTCCTGCAACTTGATCCGGCCCCAAAGGGCCCACCTAGGCCAGCACCCGGCGCTCACAGTGACCGACCAGTTGCCCATTGCAGAGAGCCAGCAAACAGGATTTGGGCACAAGAGCCCTCAGCCCTCCTGCGGCTTCCAGAAACCGGGATCCCATCGCCCCATCCTGGCTTGCAGCCCAGCATGGATCAATTTGCCCCGTCGGAATTGAAAGCCACAACCTGCCCAAGAAGAACCCAAGAAAAAAGCCTTGCCAAAGCACCTCCCGCCCCATCCCAGCATCCTGTCCCCAACCAGGCGCCCACGATGATCCCAACAAGCAGGACCCAGCTCTCCCCGCTTGCCAGCGCTCAAGCGGCGTTACTCGGGAGCAAGTCCCGCCGATTTCACTGGATCCCACCTTTGGGCAAGCTGGCACCATCGCCAGATCGGAGCGCAATCCAACGCCCCACCCCAGGATGGCAGTCTCTCAGCTGGTGCGGCGGCGGCCCGGGCGTGGTTGCGCGTGGGGAAACCCGGCCGGATCCGGCCCCGGGAGCCCGCATCTCTGCAGACACCCCGCCCTGCGCATCTTTGCTCCGAAGCCGGCCCCGCCGCCCGGCAGGCCGGCATCCTGACACCCCCGGTCCGCGCGCAACGGAGGCCGCTTTGCGCCCTGGGCGCATTGGTTTGGTCCCTTGCAAGCGCGCACAGCAGCCAGACGCTGCAGCCTTGCGTTTCCCCGCAGGATCTGGCAGCGGGGAGAGGGAGGGAGGAGATCGCCTTCCCTGCAGCAGAGGAGGATCCACTGGATCCGCAGCAGCAGGAGGAGGAGGTGGGGGGGAATCAGGGAGCGGCTCCCTCTTGCTCACCTTGACGTTGCTGATGAATCGCACCTCCAGGGCGCGGCGGGCTTGGCCGGCGGGGTCCATACAAAAGGAGAACGTGTCACTCATGGGAGCCGCCATCTTGGCCCAACTCTGACCCTGCCCGCCAGGAGGAGGAGCAAGAAATTGCAATTGCAATCGCGGGAGGGAGGGATTGCAGCTCGGTTCGCCCGTCGGGATTTCAGCTTTGCGTTCCCGTTGCGTCGCTGGCCGGCCTTTCCCTGCAAAGGAGCGCCAGGCGGCGCCCGGGTTTGGCTCCCCGCAACAACAACCCTGCGAGGTAGGGGAGGCCGGGAGGCTGCTGCTGCCGGGCCCGAGGCCCCGCCCAGAGAAAGCTGCCTGCAAAAGAGACATGCAGGCTGTCAGAATCTACCCCGCCGCGTGGGAAGCCCTTGCAGACAACCGCAGTGCTTCATCCTTAAATGCGCAGCCCTCCATTGTCTCCCGATCCATAGCCGCTGTTGCAGGAATTTATGTATAGGTTGGGAGGGGAGTTGCCCCTCCAGCAGATATCATGCACATGCAGCCCACTACCAAAATCAGCACAATCACTTTTGTGACTTTTGTGATTTGTCCCCACAAAACACTTCATCACAGTTTATTCAAAGGGCCTCTGCTGCACGATACCAAATGTAAGAATTCACTGATAAATGTACCTATGTACTGGCTCACTGGGAAAACTTCAGAAATTCATATAGACATGTGAGCTCAGCTCCTCAGCAGCCCCTCTGCCTGAGTGATAATCCCTGGCATCCTGATACCTGAGTGCCAGACAGGTAGCCATTCCAGAAATAACAAACCCAGGTGAAGACAAAAGGGTGTGATTCACTTGGCTGGGAAACAGGGAAATGTAAATATCTCTTTTGTTACACTTGATGGGTGTTTGGTGGAGGGCAAGGAGAACCATGGGGCAGGGTCCAGGATGCTCAGATTACTGCCACCAGACCTCCCCTTTCATGATGTAACCATGATGTAGTTTGGGGGAGATGTAACATGGGGATTAGCAGCTAATAAAAGTTTGGGGGCTCTTTTGTTCGGGGCTTCCATCTTGTTCCACCTGGTGGCAGGTGGGAGTCCTGTCGTGACAGCCTTCAATAAAGACCAAGCCTACTGGCTGCTGTTTTGCTCTGGTATTGCTGGCAGGTGTCCTTGTTTTTTGTCCAAGAGAGCCCTCAGATTTATCCGTTAACACCGCCAACTCCTAGTGGCCGGGGTCCCTTCAGCCACACCCCAATAAAATATTCCCCCCCCCTCCCAAGTTGTTGTGCATTGTCATTCAAATAGTTTGCATGTGCCATGTCTTGTATTATGATGGGTGTTGCTTTCCTGCCCCCCTCAATATTTTATTCCAGTTGACACCCCCGCTGCCGAGACAGATGCCAACCAGAGTTGGAAGCAGGTGTGCCATCTGCGGGACCAGCCCCCCAATTTTATTTTATTTTATTATTTTTGTAACACTCAATGGCGGGGGTGGGGGGGAGAGAGAAACCTCCTTTGTCTCTTAACACTGTACCCATTTCCGAAGCAAATTCTGCGCCGGGGTGATGGCGTGGGATTGGCGCCTCCTTGTGGCTGGGGACGTGGAGCAGTGCATCCAGTATCCTCGTGGGGAGAGGCGGGTGGGGCTGGTGGACTGCAAGCGTAACATAAGGAGAGCCTGCAGGATCAGGCCAATGGCATCCTGTTGTCACAGTGGCCAGCCAGATGTTTGTGGGAAGCCTGCAAGCAGGATTCGACCACAAGCCATGTCTCTCCCCTCCTGCAGTTTCCATTGCCGCCTCTGACCCTGGAGGCAGAGCAGAGCCAGTGTGGAGGATAATCAATAATAATAAAACAGTCCACAGAATTATCCCAGTTTACCTAAAATACCATAAACGCGGGCGGGGAGCGGGCAGAATCAGAGCACCGCTTGAGAAGGGAAGAAGCAAATGACACTACGATGTGAGCAGCTATTGTTTATTTCTACGATCCTTTTGTCCCCGCAAGATTCTTCCCACTTTACAAATTCACAAGGGGATTAATAAATAAAACGAAGATGGCATTATGGTTATGCAGGCAGTACCGGCGACGAACTCTTGGGCTGCGACCTCCACGTCCACACAGAGAGAGAGAGGCAGTTCAGGATCCGGGCAAGCAAACTTCCTCTCCAAAAACGGATTCATTCCCCCTCTTAAACAAACAGCCCAAGAGAGAAGCCCAAGAGCCTGCTGTTTTGCAGAGCGCAACTGAAAAAGCATTTGATAAGGAAGGTTGGGAAGAGAGGGTTTGGGATTCCTCGTTCGCACGTGCGACACCTCTTGCCCAAACCAACTGGAAATCAGGAGCATCAAATCCAGAGGAAGAAAGGAAGGAGGAAATTGCCTTCTGTGTCTGAAAACTCACCCATGGCCAACGCAAGGAGCTTGGCTCTCTTCTCCTTGCAAAAGGCTAACACTGGATGGTTCTGCACCAGAGCTCAGCTGATGCCCCCAGCACAGGGGATGTCCAAAACTGACCCCCCAACCCCACTCCTTCAGTCAGTAGGGAGCTGCAAGGTGGGGGGCGGGGCGGAGAAGGGGGGGGCCCTACTTCTTTCCAAGCTGAGCTTTGGCGAGGTTGATCTTGGCAACGACAGAAGCGTCTGCGGCCGCCGTGCACTTTGAGAGGATGAGGTTCATCTCTGCCTCGTTCTTCCGTTCAATGGCGGCTTCGGAAGCCTGGCTCAAGTCCCTGCCATGAAAAACGGGCGGAGAATAAGTAAACAAACAAACAAGGAGAGGGCAGGGCGGAAATGCCTGCTAAAACAAACGGAAATGCAAGTTTTAAAATTCATTTGCTTATTTATTTCAGCAGAGTTCATAGCCTGTGCTCTTTCCAAGAAAAACGCTCCATCAAGCAGCTTAGAAAATCCACATTTAAAAGGCAGGCACTAAAATCCTAATTTAAACCAGAGGTTCCCAAATTGGGCGATTCTGTACCCCGGGAGGGGATGGCCTGGGCTGCTCGCTCAGAAGCAAGGGTGCAGTGGCAAAGGGGCACTGTGGGTGTAAATGACTATCAGACTTTGAAAAGCTGTTATCGCTGGCTCAACTTCATCCATTTTGTTGATTTGACTAAACTTAACAGTTTCAGTTGGATCTGGATGAGCGTGCAGTTAAATTGTTACTGTGTAGAATTTTATTATCTTCCTTAGGGGGCTAGGCAAACTACTCTTCTGAATAATGATTTTTATAGGGTAGTGGGCACTAGGGGTGAGATCATGTAACACTGGTCCTAAAGGATCTACACTGGCTCCCAGTATGTTTCCAAGCACAATTCTGAGTGTTGGTGCTGACCTTTAAAACCCTAAACGGCTCTGGCCCTGTAGGAGCGTCTCCACCCCCATCGTTCAGCCCAGAGACTGAGGTCCAGCTCTGAAGGCCTTCTGGCGGTTCCCTCACTGCGAGAAGCCAAGTTACAGGGAACCAGGCAGAGGGCCTCCTCGGTAGTGGCACCCGCCCTGTGGAACGCCCTCCCACCAGATGTCAAAGAGAAAAACAACTACCAGACTTTTAGAAGACATCTGAAGGCAGCCCTGTTTAGGGAAGCTTTTAATGTTTAATAGAGTATAGTATTTTAATATTTTGTTGGAAGCCGTCCAGAGTGGCTGGGGAAACCCAACCAGATGGGCGGGGTATAAATAATAAATTATCATCATCATCATCATCATCATCTTGGTTGCCCTCCTCTCTGCCTCCAGCCCCAAAGGTGCCCAGAACAAGTGAGCCAAGCCCACTGCTATGGGGCAAAGACATTCCCCACCAGACCAGATACGTACCCTACCAGAAGGAAGGCTTTCACCCTCTGCTCTGGGGCAACGCGGGGGGCGTACTTCTTTGCTTCGTGGCGGTTGTGGTGCTTCATGCTGATCTCAACAAAAGGCTGCCAAAAAAAATCCCACAGTGTCAACACAATGCAAGTTTCCCAAAGCAAGCACTATAAATGCGGGGGACCCAAGGGCCAGGCTCCTTTTCTATGCAGCCTTTGGAGGGTCGCGCGTCCTCTGTATCCATACCTAAGGTACAGATGTAAGAGGCTTGTTCGTAATTATATTTTGGGAGTGGTTCCTGTTCTCGTGTGGCTGAATCGTTTTATCCTTTCTTTAGGCATTCCAGGTTCACAGAATCATACAGTTGTCAGGGACCCCGTGGGTTTGTTGTAGTGATCAGATGGGATTACTATGAGGAATTATAAAATACCGTATTTTTTGCTCCATAAGACGCACCTAGTTTTTAGATGGGGAATGCAAGGGAAAAAATTATTTAAAGGGAGCGCTGAGCAGAGCCTGTACGCATCCCAGACTCTGCTCAGCGCTCCCTTTCACGAGCCGCGTGTGTGCGGCTCTTGCAGGCTTTTCCCCAAGGAGGGAGAAGGGCAGCCCGTTACTGTCACGCACACACACTCTGCGTGGCTCTTGGGGGCTTTTGTGGGAGGTGGGGGAAGGGACAGAGCAGTCCCTAAGCCAGAAGCTAGAGCAGAGAGAGGGAGCGCAGCGATCCCTCTCGCTGTTCTGGCTTCTGGGATAGCTGCGCAGCCTGCATTCGCTCCATAAGACGTACACACATTTCCCCTTACTTTTTAGGAGGGGAAAAATGCGTCTTATACAGTGAAAAATACGGTATGCATCAAGCCATTGTGTCCGCTATGAAAGCATGGCGTTGACTAGGTTCGATGCATTGTCAATAATTTCTGATCAAATCCCACAAGCCTCTGCATCTCTGATTTCTCTACACCTGACAGGCACGTATAAGCATTCTAAAAACACAGGCCAGTTGCTTCATCAGGCATCCTCAGTACATAAAGATAGTAAGATACTTTGATGTACCTTTCCTTGGTTTTGTTAATCTTGGGGCCTGGAAATAGTTTTCACATGAAGGTGATAAAGATACCTAGCTCCTTGCCATCCTTCCTCTCGTGTTTATTGCTTGTTTATGACCTCCGGGGTTGCTGAATGCATTCCTCCTTTTTAGTCCTGTTTTATTTACTCTCAGATTGTGTATGCATGCTCAGAGTAGTCTTTGTAGTTAAAAGTATTTCTTTTGATCTGACTTTTTCCCACGTGGGGTTTTTGAAATGCTCAGAGGAACTCTGATTGGTTCTTACGAACACTGTGTAAAAAGTTCTTTTGTGAATAAAACAACCTGGGCCGATTATTATATGCACCCCTCCCAGAGTCTTGCTGGTCAAGTCTCGTGTGTATTCTAATAATAATAATAATAATAATAATAATAATAATAATTTATTTGTACCCCGCCCATCTGTATGGGTTTCCCCAGCCACTCTGGGCGGCTTCCAACAAAGACCAAAAATACACTAAGATTTTTTTGTGGGTTTTTTGCCTGACTGTAGCTTTTGCCTGGCCCAACCCCAGACTTAGAAGGGCTTGAGGGGCAAAACCCAGTTTCTGGAGGGTGTTCAGGACTGCAGTCTGCCAGCCTGACTGGAACTGATCACAGAGGATCAATGGGGCTATCCCTCGGGGGAGCAGATTCAATGTCAGCCATTTGTAGATTGATGTTAGGCAGATGTTAGCCTCCACTCTCATCATCCCCGCTTCTAATCTAACCCATGCGTTTGAGACACATCTGGGGACTTGGAGGATGATACAGTCAGGCAAAGAATATTAGGCACTGAGAGACAACAGGACTGCGCAAGGTGCCCCAAGTATAAGATTGGAGAAATTGAGAGATATATACTTGCATTTCTCGTATCTAGAAATGCAAGAAGGGCCCTTACACTCGCCGGAAGCTCGGCTCTTCCCTCGCCGGTCCTGGAAGGAGCCTTCAGAAAAGTCCCATATGCTCAGAGACTTTGCGCCTATCCATTGGGAGAGATAGGAAGCCCAGAACACTTGTTCTTTAGATGTCCCTTTTATGAAGAGGCACATAGTAAGACCATTGATCCCCTACTGGTGAGGCTCGCTGACCTCCCGGAAAAGCAAATATTTGACCTTTTTCTGTTAGGCAAAGATCAGAAGATGACCTGGATGGTTGCCAGATTCTGTGTACAGATCTGTAGGCGTAGACCATCTTCCAACTCAGAATAGCCAGTCATGAAAATCCCCAAACTCGGTCCCATGGGTGACTCTGGGTCAACTCCCTGGGATAGTTTATTGTTGTACATTGTTTTTAAATTTATTGTTGTACATTGTTTTAATTGTCTGTTTTACTTCTGTGACTGTACCCCCAAATGCGTTTTATAAGCTGGTCTCCAACCGTAATAAATTACCTATCACTAAGATTAATCAGAGTCCAATCCTTTCTTTGCTTTGGGAATGCCACATTTGTCTAGCACAACCCCCAGCGATGCAGAAATCTCAAATAAGCACCCCCAAGGCTGGTGCCCAGGAAATCACTGAACAAGGCCGGGCTCCAAGCCTGGACAGTCTCCTGCCCCCTCCAACGTCCTTCCTTACCAAGTATCCAATGGGGGACTTCTTGGACTTGGAGAACTTCTCCAGCTCTTCCCAGTCTCCTTGCTCAGCCAAGGCGCTGATCTTCAGCCACCAGAACCTAACAGTGCAAGAAGGGGACAGCGTCACAACTGCCAAGCTGGCCAGACCAAGAAAAGTGTGTGTGCGTTGGGGGAGGGTGGTCCTCAAGGATCTGAGAAAAGTTGGACCTCCAGTCTGTGGGATGTGATACATAAGTAGCAGTCAAGTACAACATTCCTTGTTTTCCTAGAGTGGACATGCAAGGGGATGTTTGGTCCAGCCAGTCGGAACTTCCTGTTTCCTCCTGGGCTGAAGCATCCTTCCTTTTGCATGTGACTAGACGTGGCTATCCAAGAAAAAAGGGCACGTTTTAACCTGTATTTTGAATTAGTTGGTTCCCCCCATTATGTTTTTACTGGTGTTAGCCGCCCTGAGCCCGGCTCTGGCCGGGGAGGGCGGGGTATAAATAACATTTATTATTATTTATTATAATGCACTATCCTCCCCCCAGGCAAGGAGGAGGCGGGGCCAGCATTCAAGGGCCCATCCCAGCCAGGCTAAAACACTCGGGGGGGGGCAGCAAGGGGCGTGGCCTGGAGAGAGTGCCCTGGGGGAAGGCCGGTTCCCCAAATCCCTGCCCCAGATTATGGGGCTTGGCTGTACGGTGGAGGAGTGGGGAACCGGGCGCTTTCCCCACTTAACTATCCCGTGTGACTCTTGATCATAATGATATAATAATAATAATTTATTATTTATACGCCGCCCATCTGGCTGAGTTTCCCCAGCCACTCTGGGCAGATTCCAATCTAGTGTTAAAAACAATACAGCATTAAATATTAAAAACTTCCCTAAACAGGGCTGCCTTCAGATATCTTTTAAAGAGAAGATAGCTGTTTATTTCCTTGACATCTGGTGGGAGGGCGTTCCACAGGGTGGGAGCCACTACCGAGAAGGCCCTCTGCCTGGTTCCCTGTAACCTAATTCTCGCAGGGAGGGAACCGCCAGAAGGCCCTCGGTGCTGGATCTCAGTGTCCGGGCTGAACGATGGGGGTGGAGACGCTCCTTCAGGTCTACTGGACCGAGGCTGTTTAGGGCTTTAAAGGTCAACACCAACACTTTGACTTGTGCTCGGAAACGTACTGGGAGCCAATGCAGATCTCTCAAGACTGGTGTTATGTGGTCCCAGCGGCCACTCCCAGTCACCAGTCTAGCTGCTGCATTCTGGATTAATTGCAGTTTCCAGGTCACCTTCAAAGGTAGCCCCACGTAGAGCGCATTGCAGTAGTCCAAGCGGGAGATAACTAGAGCATTCACCACTCTGGCAAGACAGTCCGCAGGCAGATAGGGTCTCATCTTTTGTACCAGATGGAGGTGGTAGACAGCCGCCCTAGACACAGAATTAACCTGCACCTCCATGGACAGCTGTGAGTCCACAATTACTCCCAGGCTGCGCACCTGGTCCTTCAGGGGCACAGTTACCCCATTCAAGACCAGGGAGACCTCCACACCCTCCCGCCCCCTGTCCCCCAAAAACAGTACTTCTGTCTTGTCAGGATTCAACCTCAATCTGTTAGCCGCCATCCATCCTCCAACCACCTCCAGACACTCACACAGGACCTTCACCGCCTTCACTGGTTCTGATTTAAAGGAGAGGTAGAGCTGGGTATCATCTGCATACTGATGAACACCCAGCCCAAACCCCCTGATGATCTCTCCCAGCGGCTGCATATAGATGTTGAAAAGCATGGGGGAGAGGACGGAACCCTGAGGCACCCCACAAGTGAGAGCCCAGGGGATCCCCGCTCCCTCCCTGCCACTCCCCACGCTGCCCTGACCGTTTGTCGGGGATCTTGAAGTCGCGGTAGAACTGTTCCGCTCGCTTGTGGTTCCCCTCTAGGATGAGGTTGTAGACGGTGTCGTGGAGGGACTCGTCCAGGTAGGGTTTATCAAAGTCGGCCTGGAGGCGCCGCTGGCTGCGGAGGAGCTTGATCTGGTCTTCGGTGGCCTGGAAAGGGAAGGCGAGAAGAGAGAGGGAGACTTAGAGGACGCTTCAGGCGGACAGACAAAGGGACAAGCAGGCCTTTTTTGGTTTGGGGGCTGCACTCCCTTCAGGGGCGACAGGAGAGAGCCAGCAGTCAATCATACGAAGCAAGTGGAATTACCGTATTTTTCGCTCTATAGGACGCACTTTTCCCCCTCCAAAAATTAAGGGGAAATGTGTGTGCGTGTCCTATAGAGCGAATGCAGGCTCCTTGGCTTCAGCAATAGCAACGCGAAGCCTCCAAAGCGCAGAGGGAAGACTCCTGCCGCGCTCCAGAGGCTTCGCATTGCTTTCGCTGAAGCCTGGAGAGCGAGAGGGGTCGGTGCGCACCCCGTCGCGGGGATTCGAACCGCCGACCTTCTGATCAGCAAGTCCTAGGCTCTGTGGTTTAACCCACAGCGCCACCCGCGTCCCAGTAGTCATAGGTATATCAGTATTCAAATCTGAATTGTCAAATTATGTTATTAGTGTTATTATGGTTTTCGTTGTATGTGTCTTTTGCGGTTGTTGTTTGTATTGAAAAAATGATTAAATAAATTTAGAAAAACAACAGCTATGGAACTCCCTGCCACAGGAGGCAAAGTGGCCACTGAGTCAGGTAGCTTTGAAAGAGGACTGGACAAATTCGGGGAAAAGAAGAGGACTATTGATGGCTACTAGCCAGGATGGCTGTGCTCAAGCTCTTGTCCTCAGATCCTTCTAGCTGGTTTCCCACAGGCAATCTGGTCAGCCCCTATGAAACAGGTTGCCGGACTGGACATGGGCCACTGGCTTGACGCAGCAGCTTCTTCTGATGGTCATGACACAGAACAGATGCTTCTTCACGCACTCACCTTGGCCGCAAACTCGTTCTTGGCTTTGTAGTACTCATCCACTGCGTTCTGCAAACTGGCCACCCGCCCGTCGATCGGCTGTGGAAGAAAAAAGAACCCCTTGCGCGTTTTAATACAGGCTAAGAAAAATGGCCCATGTCTGCTCCAGGATATACAGCAGTTGGGCTAGGAACAATAATGGAACTTGTTGCTTCCTTGATGGGGATTGGACCTGTATGAATAATCTGCCTTTTCCCTGCAATCTCAGAGCTCCGGAGACTGAAAGATTTATGTAGGACAGTTCTGCGCAGAGAAACGAGTCCTGCGACCCAAGTTAACTGCGTGCAAGCTTCCTTAATTGGCGCACATTTCCCCATTTCATTCTTTTTCACATGGGCAACCGCTGGCTTAAATTCAACACTGACTTCCCTCCCCGAATCCCACTCCGCCCGTTGCTCACAGCAGCCTTATTATGGGCCAGAAAGTTGGGATGCATGGGGCAGCGTTTTCGGCTGGTTCTCGGGTTGCACATTTCTGCACAGTTTATTGAGCCCACCAGGCGCCACACAAACGTGGAGGAGACGCTGCACCAACTACTGTATTTTCTGGTGTATAAGACTACTTTTTAATCCAGGAAAATCTTCTCAGAAGTCGGGGGGCGTCTTATACGCCGGCTACAGCAGCAGCTCCTGCAGCAACTCCTCACCAAAGGACAAAACGACAGCAAATTAAATAAGAGGACACCAAGCTCTCTAGATGAAGCAGAAATATGCTTGAAAATTGGCCCCAGAAGCCCCCACAATCACCAGCAACAGAATGACCTTAACCACTCCTGGTAGTAGACCACATGGTCCAAAATGGCGGCCTCGCATTGCCCCAGCAACTAGACACGTGGCCGCTGCCTCAGCCCAAGCAGCCCCCGCAGTAAAAGGAAAGGAAAGGCTCACAACAAAGGCAGGGAACCAACAACAGCATTAAGCGCACCCCCGGCCACTGGGAAGGGGAGCGGATTTCTGAGCCGGACTGGAGACTGTTTTTTTTTAATTCTTATTTGGTGTGCGTTGAAAGAGGGGTAGTCTTATACAGTGAGTATATCCCAAACTCTATTTTAACTGGAAAAGTTGGGGGTAATCGTTTACGCCAAGTCGTCTTATACGCCGGAAAATACGGTATATATCCTGCTGCAACCTCCTAAATCTAGATTTGCCATCCTCCCTGGACACCCTTTTATCTCCCCGCCAGTCTCCAGGGAGCTCCTGACCTTATCGCTGGCATAGCTGGCACGCACGTGGAAGTTGCCCAGCTCCTGGTGGTCGTCGTCTTGGTTGTAGAGGTCTTTGAGCGTATCTAGCTCTTGGTATTTGCAGAACTGGGGACGAGCAAGCCAAGGGTTAAATATTTATCATCTATCTATTTATTTTAAGTCCTATACCGGCCTTCATCCGAGGGTCACAGGGCGGTTTACAATATAAAAAGCACATAAACGCACAACAGAAACAAGAGAAACACGCACAGTTTAAAAGGCAATGAATATGTGAATCCAGCACCCGCCTCGCAGGGTTGGTGGGAGGATGCAATGAGAAACAATCTGAGTAACACAGAGCAAGGTGGCAATTGGGAAGAGACCATCTTTTCGGGTGCAAGTGCTCCAAATTCAATTCCTAGGCTCTTCAAGCCTCTTCAAGCAACTATAGGGGTTTCACTTTGGGGTTTTTTTAAAAAAACAACAACAATTCATTTGACTTTTAATTAGCACACCGCCTTTCTATACTACTTTACAGAAGGCGGTTTACAGCAACAAAATATACAACAAAGAACTCACATCTTATAGATGTTGGGAAATTCCATTCCACCTTTAGTTACAGACATGGAACTGTTGCGCGTCAAATGTCTGTTTACATTCCAGCACAGTCTGCTGGGAACTTCTGTTTGTGTATAGCCTTTGCTTTAGACACTCTCTCACCGAGAAGGAAAAGGGAGAGACGACATGTTTCTTTGTCCTGATTTATGATTAATAAATCCGTAGTTGTAGTATGCTTCCACAAGCCTCACGCCTATTCTGTTTGCACACTTTGCTCTGCTGATATAGCGTGCCCTGGCTTTGAAGCCTGGGTCGCTGATTTACGTCGGAGCAGAGGCCGGTGGGTCTTCGCAGTGGGACGGCTGGAAGGAGATGACCCAGCTCAGGCTAGCCAGCTGGCCTAGCAACCTTCTGAATGCCGACAATAATCACCTGATCCAATACAGCAGGTCGTAATAAAACACAAATTTAAAATGGAACGACTTATGTCAAATATAGTAATATTCAATAATCTATTAGAATAGTACACAGTAAAATTAACTCTCAAAACATCTGCAAAAAAACCCCCAGAAATTCACTCTTAACCATTACAATAAATAATTTCTAAACTATGATTAATGATAATAACTGCAAGTTGCAATTCATAAAATACCATATTGGCCTGAATATAAGCCACACTTTTTCCCCCCAAATTCTGACTGTGAAAAGTTAAAGTGCGGATGAAATTTGCGACCTTACAAAAATTGGCTTTTACGATATCGCTGCTGAAACAGACATATGGTAAAACGGAATGGTTGTGAGTGCCTGCAGAATTTTGAGGGAGCAGCTTATATTTGGGTATTGTCTTTTTTTCTCTACCGAATTTTAAAGGTGTGGCATATATTTGGGTGTGGCTTATATTCAGGCCACTGCGGTACCACAACACATACAAACCCATGTAGAAGGATCAAATTGAGAAACCAACACACACAATTTATAAAATTATTATTTTTTAAATCCCTGGACTTCTCTTCTTCCTTCCCAGCTGTTCCAACACTGTATCTCTTATCGTTGTCATGACTTACAATTTTCACTCATCAATTATCATCGTCATCAACAATTTACACCCCAATTTTCATTATGAAAATGAAAAGTGGGTCGAAATTTGTAAACTGCCATGCCGCTGAAGCCTCAAGTTGTCCGGCAAGGATGAGGAAAAAACACTACAATATTAAAACGACAAAATCTCTGAAAATCAAAGTAGCTCTGCATGTTTTTTCCTGCTATCATCCTCAACATTAAGACGACCAGTAATATTTTTATTATGTTTTTAGGTATGCTTTAAGCAGCCTAGGGTGGCTTGGGAACCCCAGCCAGATGGGTGGAGTATATATAATAAATTATTATTATTATTAACCTCTTCCTAGATCAGCAACCCGACAGGGGTGGCCAGCGTATCCGGCCCCTCACAGGCGTCTTCCGGCCCTCACGTTTAAATGCAGAGCCTGGGGGGTTGAATCCTGCACTGTCAATTCCTGCAAATTCTGTGCTCTGCCCCTGACCTGCGGCACCGATCCTTCTCGGCTTCCTGACCTCTCCCTTTCCTTAGTCTCGCAGGAGGGCCTGAGACGTGTTTCACAGCCGAATTCAGCCCTCCAGGCACACCTGCAAATGCATCCGCATGCCACCGCCCCCTACAGCAGGTGTGCCTCAAAACTTCACCTGGCGATAGAGGCTCAAAGCCACCGGCTGGTTCTGCAGAGTCATGAAGAAGGCGCCGCGGTTCAGCTCGTTCTTCAGGTGCAAGACGACCGTGTAAACTGGGAATGAAGAAGAGAGAGGCTGGTTAGATGGAGAGCAATGAGCCCTGAAGCAAAGACCGCCTTGAGCGATATTATACCCAATTCACAGAACCTAACCAAGGGACTCTCTGAGCACGCCAAAAGCTTCTGGGAGCCACAGGTGCAGGATGAGGACCAAAGATTGTCAAACCTTTGAAGGTCACCTGGAAACTGCAACTAATCCAGAATACGGCAGCTAGATTGGTGACTGGGAGTGGCCGCCAAGACCATATAACACTGGTCCTGAAAGACCTACATTGACTCCCAGTACATTTCCAAGGACAATTCAAAGTGTTGGTGCTGACCTTTAAAGCCTCTTAAAGCCCAGTATACCTGAAGGAGCGTCTCCACCCCCATCGTTCAGCCCGGACGCTGAGGTCCAGCTCTGAGGGCCTTCTGGAAGTTCCCTCACTGTGAGAAGCCAAGTTACAGGGAACCAGGCAGAGGGCCTTCTCGGTAGTGGCGCCTGCCCTGTGGAACGCCCTCCCAGCAGATGTCAAGGAAATAAACAACTATCTGACTTTTAGAAGACATCTGAAGGCAGCCCTGTTTAGGGAAGTTTTAAATGTTTGATGTTTTATTGTGTTTTTAATATTCTGTTGGGAGCTGCTCAGAGTGGCTGGGGAGGTCCGGCCAGATGGGCAGGGTATAATATGTTGTTGTTGTTGCTGTTGCTGTTATTGTTAATTAGCCTGGAAGGAGCACAAAGTGTCCCCTGCCACAGGTATAGTGGTACCTCAGGTTACAGATGCTTCAGGTTACAGACTCCGCTAACCCAGAAATAGTACCTCAGGTTAAGAACTTTACTGCAGGATGAGAACAGAAATCGCATGGCGGCAGCAGGAGGCCCCATTAGCTAAAGTGGTATCTCAGGTTAAGAACAGTTTCAGGTTAATAACGGACCACCAGAATGAATTAAGTTCTTAACCCAAGGTACTACTACTACTACTACTACTAATAATAATAATAATAAAATTAATTTATACCCCGCCCTCCCCAGCCAAGACCAGGCTCAGGGCGGCTAACAACCGATATAAAAACCAATTGATTGAAATACAACTTAAAAACAAGATTAAAATACAACATTAAAACATTAAAATGCAGCCTCATTTCAATGGAAACTCAAATCAAAAACTTTTTGGGGGATGAAAACATCAGGTGCAGTGGTGCCACTGTACTGCTCTTCGCGGTGAGGCAGGGAGGCAGGCAAGACAGGGAAAGTGCGTCTCTGCTTTACCCAAGTCGGTGTCTCCGCTCTCGATGGCCTTGCTAAGCGCCAGCTGGCTACTCTTCATCTTCAGCAGCAGAGGAACCTGCTTCCCAGAGCGGGGCTCGTATTCCAGCAGCTGCAAGCAAACACAATGGCACCGCGGGGTCAACGAGCGTTGCACTGCATTGCAATATTATTTCATAGACTTCGTAGAATCACAGAATCATAGAATCATAGAGTTGGAAGAGACCACAAGGGCCATCGAGTCCAACCCCCTGCCAAGCAGGAAACACCATCAGAGCACTCCTGACATATGGTTGTCAAGCCTCTGCTTAAAGACCTCCAAAGAAGGAGACTCCACCACACTCCCTGGCAGCAAATTCCACTGTCGAACAGCTCTTACTGTCAGGAAGTTCTTCCTAATGTTTAGGTGGAATCTTCTTTCTTGTAGTTTGGATCCATTGCTCCATGTCCGCTTCTCTGGAGCAGCAGAAAACAACCTTTCTCCCTCCTCTATGTGACATCCTTTATATATTTGAACATGGCTATCATATCACCCCTTAACCTCCTCTTCTCCAGGCTAAACATGCCCAGCTCCCTTAGCCGTTCCTCATAAGGCATCGTTTCCAGGCCTTTGACCATTTTGGTTGCCCTCCTCTGGACACGTTCCAGTTTGTCAATGTCCTTCTTGAACTGTGGTGCCCAGAACTGGACACAGTACTCCAGGTGAGGTCTGACCAGAGCAGAATACAGTGGCACTATTACTTCCCTTGATCTAGATGCTATACTCCTATTGATGCAGCCCAGAATTGCATTGGCTTTTTGGCTGCCGCGTCACACTGTTGGCTCATGTCAAGTTTGTGGTCAACCAAGACTCCTAGATCCTTTTCACATGTACTGCTCTCAAGCCAGGTGTCCCCATCTTGTATTTGTGCCTCTCATTTTTTGCCCAAGTGCAATACTTTACATTTCTCCTGTTAAAATTCATCTTGTTTGTTTTTGCCCAGTTCTCTAATCTGTCAAGGTCATTTTGAAGTGTGATCCTGTCCTCTGGGGTGTTAGCCACTCCTCCCAATTTGGTGTCATCTGCAAATTTGATCAGGATGCCCTTGAGTCCATCATCCAAGTAGTTGATAAAGATGTTGAATAAGACCGGGCCCAAGACAGAACCCTGTGGCACCCCACTAGTCACTCTTCTCCAGGATGAAGAGGAACCATTGATGAGCACCCTTTGGGTTCGGTATATCATAGGAAGGGACCCCCAGAGTCAATCTAGTCCAGCCCCGGAGAATGCAGGAATCTCAGCTAAAGGCAACTAACATTTAGGGGACCAGAATGGCTACTAGCAGTTGCAAGAGGCAGAAATGGCGTGGAGGCAACCAGCCCCACCTGCCAGTGTGCCGTGGAGGTTACAGTATCGGACTAGGACCCAGGAGAGAGCTGGGTTCGAATCCTCGCTCAGCCATGAAGTTCACTGGGTGGCCTTGAGCCTCTCAGCCTAACTGACCTCACAGGGAACAGGACTTGATTTTCCATGCATGTGTAAAGCTAAGGCGAAGGAATGCATCTATATAATAAGCCTGTAAGTATATGAGGAGAGCTTGCAGGATCAGGCCAATGGTCACCTAGTCCAGCATCCTATTCTCACAGGGCCTGAACAGTTTTCTGTGGGAAACCAGCAAGCAGGATCTGAGCACAAGAGCAACTCTCACAAAAGCAATGCGGCAGCTAGACTGGTGACTGGGGGCGGCTGCCGAGACCACATAACACCAGTCCTGAAAGACCTACATTGTCTCCCAGTACGTTTCCGAGCACAATTCAAAGTGCTGGTGCTGATCTTTAAAGTCGGAAATGGCCTTGGCCCTGTATGCTTGAAGGAGTGTCTCCACCCCCATCGTTCAGCCTGGACACTGAGGTCTAGCGCCGAGGGCCTTCTGGCGCTTCCCTCCCTGTGAGAAGTGAGGTTACAGGGAACCAGGTAGAGGGCCTTCTCGGTGGTGGCACCCACCCTGTGGAATGCCCTCCCATCAGATGTCAAGGAGATAAATAACTACAGTGGTACCTCAGGTTACAGACGCTTAAGGTTACAGACTCCGCTAACCCAGAAATAGTACCTCAAGTTAAGAACTTTGCCCCAGGATGAGAACAGAAATCGTGTGGCAGCAGTGGGAGGCCCCATTAGCTAAAGTGGTACCTCAGGTTAAGAACAGTTTCAGGTTAAGAATGGACCTCTAGAACGAATTAAGTTCTTAACCTGAGGTACCACTGTATTTTAGAAGACATCTGAAGGCAGCCCTGTTTAGGGAAGTTTTTAATGTCTGATCTTTTGTCATGTTTTTAATATTCTGTTGGGAGCCGTCCAGAGTGGCTGGGGAAACCCAGCCAGATGGGCGGAGTATAAATAATAAATTAGTTTTATTATTATATATCCCTTCCTGCCGTTTCCAGAAACCGGTATTAGGCAGACAACAGCCAAGGTGCCGAACAGCCACCTAATCAATAGGCGCGCGGACTCCACTTTTGTGGGTTCCTCGGGGACGTCTGTCATTCTGACCAGGGAAAACTGTCTTGAACATGATGCAGGTAGGTAGCCACATTTGTCTGCCGTAGTTGTAATTTTCTGAGAATCCTCCAGAAAAATAATCTCTCAAAGGACCTGTTGATGGCATTTTACCATTGTACTGTTGAGAGTGTATTAACTTATGGCCTGTGTGTGTGTTTTGGGAGCTGCACGGTCAGGGGAAAAACAATGCTGTCCAGGGTTGTAAAGACTGCGGAGAGAATAATTGGGTGCACTCTTCCCACCTTGGATCAAGTCTATGTTTCCAGGTGTCATAAGAAAGCTGCAGAGATAGTGAAGGATAGTGCGCACCCCGGAAATGATCTCTTTCATCTTCTGCCTTCTGGAAGAAGGTACAGGGTTATAAAGACTAGGACTAGCCGCCTGAGAAACAGTTTCTACCCAAATGCAATTCTGGTTTTAAACGCAGTATCAGGAGTCTCTATGGGAGTATATTGTATTCAATTATGGGGTATCAGAGTTTTTAGGGGCTAGCCAGGCTGGGATAGTTGGGATAGCAGGCTTGTGGGTTTTTGAATCTCTGATGTAGATTTTTTCAATTTTGTTGTTCTGTATGGGACAATGAAAGGGACGCAGGTGGTGCTGTGGGCTAAACCACAGAGCCTAGGACTTGCCGATCAGAAGGTCGGCGGTTCGAATCCCCGCGACGGAGTGAGCTCCCGTTGCTCGGTCCCTGCTGCTGCCAACCAAGCAGTTTGAAAGCATGTCAAAGTGCAAGTAGATAAACAGGTACAACTCCGGCGGGAAGGTAAACGGCGTTTCCGTGCGCTGCTCTGGTTCGCCATGCTGACCACATGACCCAGAAGCTGGACGCCGGCTCCCTCGGCCAATAAAGCAAGATGAGCGCCGGAACCCCAGAGTCGGTCACGACTGGACCTAATGGTCAGGGGTCCCTTTACCTTTTTATCGGACAATGACAATAAAGATTATCGTATCGTAAAATTAAAAAACTCCTTCCAGTAGCACCTTAGAGACCAACTAAGTTTGTTATTGGTATGAGCTTTCGTGTGCATGCACACTTCTTCAGATACCACTGTGATGTCTTGAACATCACAGTGGTGTGGCTGTTGAGAGAGATCCAAGATCCTGAGATTCCTGTATTGCGGGGGGTCGGACTAGATTACTCGCCGGGGGTCCCTTTCAACTGTACGGTTCTGTGAATGCTAAGAGACGAGTCAGCACCCAGAGCAGATCTTACAAATCCAACACTGGCCTCTCACTCGGTTCCTATCCCACAATGCACCACGGTTTACCAAGGTGTAGCTGAGCCTCAGTAAAGCAAGGAAAGGAGGGTTACCCTTGCTATTCATATAATCAGTCATCAGTTATCAATATATTCACATATGCACACATATAATCAGGGCTTACAATGATTTTTATAATCCATTTGAATCAAAAAAAAGCCTTTTGCCTAGACTAACTGCAAAACTGCTTGAAACCGCAAGTCAGAAACCGACCTTTCCCCCAGTGCATTTTACACCCTAGAGAAAGGGGAAGCCATAAATCAGAAGACGCTGGTACAAATCTCCCCCTCAGCTCCAGACTAATTGTGTACACAAAACAGGAAGGGCTGACCACAATACTCCCCTACATGAACAGATGCACAGGGGAGTTAGCGCCAGGAGATCCCCTCCTCTTTTCCCTGTTCCATCCACTAGGGAAAAGGTCAGACGGTACAGACAAGAAAGCAGAAGTTGGGAGTGAACTCTGTGCACAGCCAGGAGCATGGCAGAAAGCGCACTAATTGGTTATTTTTCGCTGCCGTTCGTGATTGTCTCATGATGGTCTCATGATCTGTGATGCGCACAGGTATTTACCCTCAGAACTTGAATGCTTCGGGGTCCCAGTCTTTTGGAAAGGATTCCAACTGGGTCCATTATTGCTCAGCAATAAACCTCACCTTCATTTTCTCCAGGTTGCTGCGTCTGTCTATCCTTTATTTCATTTTAAGTGGGTACCATTTAAAATTTTACTTGCTTCATCAGAACTCACCCAACCTCAGCCAGCCCACCTGCTCTCGTACCTTAATGGCCAGCTCTGCCCGGCCGCATTCGTACGCCCGGGCAGCGATCTCCGAGTACGAGATGCCCGGGGTATCGCCCAGTTTCTGGTTGATGGCCTGAGCTACCTCCTCATCAGATTTGTCTTTCTGCTGTACCTGGGAATTTGGGAAACACACAGTGTATTAATACCATTATTATTATTATTGTGAAGGATGGGCTACAATAACGCTAGAAACAGTTTTAAAGCAACATGCAGTCTCAGAAAGAAGGGGGAAATATACATCCCAAGTCTGGAAAAAGAGCTGCGTCTTCAGTATTCTCCAAATGTTGCAGAGTGAAAGTTGTTGGGGAAACGGCCTGGGGGTGAGCATGCAATCCTCCACAACACTGAGCATCCTCCAGTGCGCTCAACAACATAAACCAGCTGGTATTATGCACACTAATCTTCTAGGAAAACACAGCAAGAACAGCAAGATATTGTAGATAATAATAATAATAATAATTTATTATTTATACCCAGCCACTCTGGGCAGCTTCCAACAGAATATTAAAATACAATAATCTATTAAACATTGAAAGCTTCCCTAAACAGGGCTGCCTTCAGATGTCTTCCAAAAGTCTGGTAGTTGTTTTTCTCTTTGACATCTGGTGGGAGGGTGTTCCACAGGGTGTTCCGGTTTTCGAACGTTTTTCAGAAGCCGAACGTCCGAACCGGCTGTCAGCTATTGTTTCCGGGGCGCCTGCACCAATCGGAAGCTGTGCCTTGGTTTTCAAACATTTCGGAAGTCAAACAGACTTCTGGAACGGATTAAGTTTGGCGCTTTTGTTTTTGCTATTTATTTTGCGTTTTTGTTTTTGAGTCTTTTTTGGTTAATTTGTTTTTGTGACTGTGTGGAGCCCAGTTCAGCTACTGATTGATTGTGTGACCACGGAAATGGATAAAAGCCTCCCATCAATGAGTATCATCAGTGCAGGTAAGAAAAAAATATAATTTTAATTTTTATCATCTACAATGTCTTATTTATTTTATAGTACAGTACATTGATTATTGCTTTTGTTTTATGGATCAATGGTCTCGTTAGATAGTGAAATTCATGTTAAATTGTGGTTTTAGGGGCTGTTTTTAAAAGTCTGAAACGGATTAATCCATTTTGCATTACTTTCTATGGGAAAGCGCGCCTTGGTTTTGGAATGCTTTGGTTTTGGAACGGACTTCCGGAACAGATTAGTTTTGAGAACCAAGGTACCACTGTACAGTCGTACCTTGGTTCTCAAATGGAATCTGTTCTGGAAGTCCGTTTGACTTCCGAAAACATTCAGAAACCAAGGCGCGGCTTCCGATTGGCTGCAGGAGCTACCTGCACTAAATCGGAAGCTGCATTGGACATTTGGCTTCCAAAAAACGTTTGCAAACTGGAAAACACTCACTTCCGAGTTTGCGGCATTTGGGAGCCAAAACATTCGAGTCGCAAGGTGTTCGAGAACCAAGGTACGACTGTACAGTGGTGCCTCGCAAGACGAAATTAATCCGTTCCGCGAGAGTCTTCGTCTAGCGGTTTCTTCGTCTTGCGAAGCAACCCTATTAGCGGCTTAACGGATTAGCGCTATTAGCGGTTTAGCGGCTATTAAAGGCTTAAAGGCTTAGGGGATTAGCTGCTAAAAGGCTATTAAAGGCTATTAAAGGCTTAGCAGATTAGATAAAGGGGGGGAAAAGCGAAAAAAAAATCTCTAGACTTGCAAGACATTTTCGTCTTGCGAAGCAAGCCCATAGGGAAATTCGTCCTGCGAAGCAACTCAAAAACGGAAAACCCTTTCGTCTAGCGGGTTTTCCGTCTTGCGAGGCATTCGTCTTGCGGGGCACCACTGTATGTGGAAATTGTTCAGTTTGGTTTTGTATTTTTGTGTTTACTATTGGTGGCTACTTTTGTGATGTTGTAGTGATGTATTTTTTCATGATGTGTTCCGCCTTGAGCATGGCTTGAACTGTGGAAAGGCGGCATATAAATAAAATTATGCAGGTTTGTATGTATGTGAGACGCTGCTGGAAGATTTCAGGCTTCGGCAGATGGTGGTGGCAGAGGGAACATAAAGCGATCCAGATTTACGGGTGAAACGTTCATACCTTGTAGCAGGCCCAGTGCGCCAATATGCGGCTAATCCCTTGGAACTCGGAGAGACGCAGGTACTCGCAGATTTTGATAGCGATGGGGTAAAGTCTCCGCAGAACCAGCCTTAGGGTGCAAAAGATAGGAGAACTAGTCACGCCTCTGTATTCCTTATTCCTTACGGAGGAGAGTTCTGTCCATGAGCCAGAATAAAGCCTCCAACGTCAGGAGTATACATTTGGCCCCAAGATATTCTCCATCTTTGACCGCTAAGGGAAGCAGCTCCTGCCTATCACGCCCTGATTTTGGGCAGGGAACACCTTTATCCATTATTCCCAAGCCGCCCTGGTTGAAGAAACTGAGCAAAAAAACAAACATACCCACCCAACTTTTGAATAAGCAACAACCAGCTTGGCAAAGAGCAGGACTTGAACCCAGATCCACGGCTAGATTTTCCATGCACTGAATCGCAGATGCCTCCCTTGCTCTTCGGCTCCATCTCAGACCCACACACCCAGAATCGTGTCCACAACTCCATGTTTGGTCTGTTGGCCTAACTTGTGTTGTTTTATCTGGGTCAAAGAGAAGCATCCTAGAATCTTCCTCTTCTCCCACCTAGTTTTCCCTCCCAAACAGCCCAAGAGATGCAACTCAGCCAAGCAAGGAAGTGGGATCAGTGAGTGTGTGTGTGTGTGTGTGTGTGTGTGTGTGGTCCTTACCTGTCCAGCAAAACTTCCGTGGTGACCTGTGTGTATCTGCAGCAACCGTCAAGGAAAAGGCCCTTGTGCATGCGCCAACCGCAACAAAATTTGCAGTTTAGAATCACAGAATTGTAGGATTGTAACGGATCACCAGGGACGCGGGTGGCGCTGTGGGTTAAACCACAGAGCCTAGGACTTGCCGATCAGAAGGTCAGCGGTTCGAATCCCTGCAACAGGGTGAGCTCCCATTGCTCGGTCCCTGCTCCTGCCCACCTAGCAGTTCGAAAGCACGTCAAAGTGCAAGTAGATAAATAGGTACCGCTCTGGCAGGAAGGTAAACGGAGTTTCCGTGCGCTGCTCTGGTTCGCCAGAAGAGGCTGAGTCCTGCTGGCCACATGACCTGGAAGCTGTACACCGGCTCCCTCGGCCAATAAAGCGAGATGAGCGCCGCAACCCCAGAGTCGGCCACGACTGGACCTAGCAGTCAGGGGATCCGCTGACCCCACACTACCCACAAGTGGCTTTGTCATGCTGGCCACATGACCCAGAAGCTATCTGTGAACAAATGTCAGCTTTCTCGGCCAATAAAGCGAGATGAGCATTGCAACCCCAGAGTCGGCCACCTAATGGTCAGGGGTCCCCTTTACCTTTACCTTTAAGGGTCCATCAAGGGCCATCTAGTCCAACCCCCTGCGATGCAGGAACCTTTGGCGTAACGCGGAACTCGAACCCACGACCCTGAGATTAAGAGCTGACGTTGTAGATTTGCCTTGTTCCGATATATGCAATGCGCTCCCAACCCCCCAACCCCTTTTTACAGCTGTGCGATTTGTGTTCACATTGCATTGTAACAGCCATTGGCTACAAACAATAAAACTGATTGATTGATACCGACTGAGCTACTACTGTGTCTCTAGGATACTGGTCAAAGCTGAGGGGGATCCCGATCTGGTAATCCCGGATGGCGTTGAGCACTCGCAGATCCCTGCAGGTCTCCACGAAACGCTCAGGCGGGAACTTGTCAATGAAGCATTTCCCAAAGGAGGCCGCCTGGAGGCATGGGGCAGGAGAGAGAGAAAGGGTTAAATATATAATTTATAATTTAATGCTGTATTGCTTTTAACACTCGATTGGGAGCGGCCCAGAGTGGCTGGGGAAACACAGCCAGATGGGAAGAGTATGAATAATAAATTATTATTATTATTATTATTATTATTATTATTATTATTATTATTATCAAAAGTTCAACAAACAAAAAACAACAATAACCATGACAAAAAACAAACAGAAATAACAGTATCCATAACAAAAAGAGAAAAAGGAAAAAAGGAAAAAGAGACAAAGAAATTCAAAGAATATTATACTTTCATTTATCCTTCTTATCTTTACCTGGTTCTTTGACTTCCCCGCACCTCCCCGCTTGTATTTCCATTTAAGAACTCCTTTCAGCAAATCCTTACCCTCCTTTCATTATCTTAACTCAGAAAACTTAATCTATTTATATATAAATATTTTTACAACCTTATCAGTCAAATATTCCATACTCTTAATCCCAAGGCTTTTGCCAATACCAGTTATTTTCAATCAGACTTCAATTTAACATTCATTGATTTTATAGTATTTCTGTAGATAGACTTTAAATTTCTTCCAATCTTCTTCCACCGACTCTTCTCCCTGGTCACGGATTCTGCCAGTCATCTCCGCCAGTTCCATATATTCGATTACCTTCATCTGCCATTCTTCCAGAGTGGGTAAGTCTTGTGTCTTCCAATACTTTGCGATGAGTATTCTTGCTGCTGCTGTTGCATACATAAAGAAAGTTCTATCTTTCTTTGGCACCAATTGGCCAACAATGCCCAAGAGGAAGGCCTCTGGTTTCTTTAAGAAGGTATACTTAAATACCTTTTTCAACTCATTATATATCATTTCCCAGAAGGCCTTAATCTTTGGGCACGTCCACCAAAGGTGAAAGAATGTACCTTCAGTTTCCTTACATTTCCAACATTTATTATCGGGCAAATGGTAGATTTTTGCAAGCTTAACTGGGGTCATGTACCACCTGTACACCATTTTCATAATATTCTCTTTTAAAGCATTACATGCTGTGAACTTCGTACCTGTGGTCCATAACCATTCCCAGTCAGCAAACATAATGTTATGTCCAATATCCTGTGCCCATTTAATCATAGCAGATTTTACCGTTTCATCCTGAGTATTCCATTTTAGCAGCAAGTTATACATTCTTGAAAGTGTTTTAGTTTTGGAATCTAGCAGTTCTGTTTCCAACTTTGATTTTTCCACCTGGAAGCCAATTTTTCTATCCAAATTATAAACCTCTCTTATTTGGTAGTAATGCAACCAGTCTCGCACTCTGTCTTTTAATTTTTCAAAACTCTGCAATTTGAATTTATCTCCTTCTTGTTCCAAGATCTCCCAATATTTTGGCCACTTGGCCTCCATATTGGACTTTTTTAGGGCCTTTGCCTCCATTGGTGATAGCCACCTTGGGGTTTTGTTCTCCAATAAGTCTTTGTATCTTATCCAGACATTAAACAATGCTTTCCTGACAATATGGTTTTTAAATATTTTGTGAGCTTTCACCTTGTCATACCACAAATATGCATGCCACCCAAACACATTATTAAATCCTTCTAAGTCCAAAACATCAGTATTTTCCAGAAGTAGCCAATCCTTCAACCAGCAGAAAGCTGCTGATTCATAATAAAGTTTAAGGTCTGGCAGGGCAAATCCCCTCTTTCTTTAGCATCAGTCAATATTTTAAATTTTATCCTAGGCCTCTTGCCCTGCCAGACAAACTTAGAAATATCTCTCTGCCACTTCTTAAAACAGTCCATTTTGTCTATTATTTGTATCGATTGAAACAAAAACAGCATTCTTGGCAATACATTCATCTTGATGACAGCAATTCGACCTAACAAGGAAAGCTTCAAGTTTGTCCATATTTCTAAATCTTTTTAATGTCCGACCAACACTTTTCATAATTGTCTTTAAATAAATTCCCATTTTTAGCTGTCATGTGAATCCCCAAATATTTCACTTTTTTACCACTGTTAAACCTGTCTCATTCTGAAACCTCTCTTTTTCTATCGGTGTTAAATTCTTCTCAAGTACTTTAGTTTTAAACTTATTCAGCTTAAAACCTGCCACCTGACCAAACTCTTGAATCAGTTCTAATGCTCTTTTCGTACTAGATTCTGGCTCCTGTAATGTCAGTACAAGGTCATCTGCAAATGCTTTCAGTTTATATTGTTTCGCTCCGACCGTTATGCCCTTAATCAGATGGTCCCTTCTTATCATATTTAACAAAACCTCCAGAACAGAAATAAAAAGTAGTGGGGAAATTGGGCAGCCTTGTCGTGTCCCTTTCTCTATCTTAATTTCCTCTGTTATCACATTATTAACTATTAATTTAGCTTTTTGTTCTGAATAAATTGCATTTATACCATTTTCAAACTCTTGGCCTACCCCCATCCCCTGAAGATTTTTTTCATAAAACTCCAAGAAATATTGTCAAAGGCTTTCTCTGCATCCACAAAAATCAAAACTGCTTTAGTGTTGATCTCCTCTTGCAGCTTCTCCAGAATATCAATTACGTTCCTTGTGTTGTCCGAAAGATGTCTATCTGGAAGAAAGCCAGCTTGGTCCTTGTGAATCACTCCTTTTAACACTTTTTAAGCCTTTTTGCTAAAATATCAGCAAAAATTTTGTAATCCACATTTAACAGGGATATGGGCCGGTAGTTCTTAAGCTGTGTCTTTTCAGTCTCAGCCTTTGGTATAAGTGTAATAAATGCGTCTTTCCACGACTCTGGCGCTCTTTTCCCCTCTAAAATTTCATTACAAACCTCAGTTAAAGGTCGAATTAACCAGTCTTTCAAAGTTCTGTAATATTTTGAGGTTAAACCATCCGGTCCTGGAGATTTTCCCAACTGCATATTCTGAATGGCACCTTCAACCTCCTGTTCTGTAATTTTATAGTTCAACAATATCTTGTTGTCCTGAGAAATTTTTGTAATCCATTGGTTTTCAAAAATTGCTCTATCTCAAATTCTTTCTGAGGCCCTTGTGTGTATAGTCGTTTAAAATATCTCTGGAAGCATTTCCTAATTTCTTCTGGATTCTGGATATTTTTCCCTTCCACTTCCAAATTAGTAATAGTATTAAGTTTTTGTCGCTTCTTCAACTGCCAGGCCAGCAGTTTCCCACATTTATTTGCCGATTCAAAAGTCTTTTGTCTCATTTGCTTAATTTTCCATTCCACTTCTTGATTTATCAATTTCATATATTGCACTTGGTACAATTTTATTTCCCTCAGAATCTCTTGTGAGTTGGGCTTCACTCTCAATTTCTTCTCGCCCTCCTTTATTTTTTCCAAAAATTTTTCTTTCTTTACGTTTTGGGCCTTCTTCTTAATTGAATTCTGTTGAATCAGGAAGCCCCTCATAACAGCTTTGCTTGCATCCCAGATTACTCTTTTTTCTACAGTTGTATTCAAGTTTATCTCAAAATAGTCCCTCAATGTCTTTTGGGCCTTCTTAATCACCTCTTGATCTCTAAACAAGGTGTCATTCATCCTCCATCGGAAGGAACCAATAGGTGTTAACTTCATCTCCATTCTCACGGCGTTATGGTCGGAGCATGTTTTTGGGCAGATCTCTACCTTCTTAACCTTGGGTGCCAGTCCTCTAGTAGTCCAGATTTGGTCAATTCTTGTCCATGTCTTCTGGGCTTCAGAAAAAAAGGTTCCTTCTCTATCAAGGGGGTTCTTAGTTCTCCAAATGTCAATCAAATCCATATTGTCAGTTAGTTCAAAAAATGTTTTCGGTAGTCTACCATCTTTAGTAACTACCTCTCTTTGTGACTTGTCCATATTTGTAGAAACCACCCCATTCATATCTCCCATGAAAACAGTATTATAGTCCATATAGTCCATCAAGGTCTCATGCAACTTTTTGTAGAATATAGATTTCCCCTCATTTGGTGCATATACACCTACTATCAAAAATTTTTCTCCTTGTACTTGAATTTCAATTGCTATGAATCTTCCTTGTTCATCTATTATCCCGGGGACAGTCTACGGGATATCTAACAATCCAGGATAGCAGCAAGAAATGGTGCTGGAATAAGGGAATTTCCCCCCAAAAAAGGGAAGGTTGACAGCTATGTCTTGGCTGGGGAGGGCAGGGTATAAATAAAATTTATTATTATCATTCAGTCAGTCAGTCATTCATTCATTCACAGAGAGTCTTCTGTGGGCAGAAATGCAAGGGGTGTTTTTTTAGTAGCTCAGGTGTGTTTAACCTCTTACAGCACACAGGTCAGGAATCAGCCACTCCCAATCTGCCACACCTGAGCTCTCTTTGCAAGGGGGCCGTGCCCACCCCCAAAACAAGCAGCGGGTTCTGCCTTTCAATACTCACCCGAAGGAGAGATTTCTGGATCTCAGGCTCGTGCTCATAGCTGGCCGCCCTGATGCATTGCTCTACGGCCTCCGGGAGCAGATTCTGGTCCTTGATCTCCCGCAGGTATTCATCGGCCTTCTGGCTCTCTTTCTGAGGAGGGGCAAGGAGGAGGAAGGGGGGGGGAAACGAGAAGCCTTAAAGCCCTTGCAGGCTGTGGGTACCAGATCTCTTCAAGAGTGCCTCCTTCGCCCATGCCCATTGTTTATTAAACTTATATGCCACCCAACCTGCCGATGGTGACCGGAACAGGAAGCTTAGCAGTAATAAGCCCTTTGTGGCTTAGGGCCCTCATATTTATGGGACCGCCTCTCCTGGTCTGCCCTGCAGAGGACCTTAAGGTCCATGAATAACCATAGTTTAGAGGCCCTAAGGAAGTCAGACTATCCTCCACCAGGGCCAGGGCCTTCTCCGTGATGGCTCCAACCTGGTGGAATGCTCTGTCCCAGGAGACCAGGGCCCTGCTGGATTTAATCTCCTTCCGCAGGGCCTGTAAGACAGAGCTATTCCGCCTGGCTTTCCATTTGAACTTAGCCTGATATTTTATTCCCCTTCCTTCCCTCCCCCTCCCCTTTTTAGGATCCCACAGCTAATTCTCCCCTGGTCTCCTCGCTGGCCCAGATAGGACTAATTGAGCCAGCTAGCCCTGGTGATCATCTAATGTTTATTGGATGGATTTTCCCCCTAAATTGATTTTAGAATTCTGTATTTATTGTTATTCACGTTTTATACTGTATTTTATGCTGTTTTTTGTTGCATCAATTAAGTCTTTTAAATTTGTTGTTAGCCGCCCTGAGCCTGGTTTTCTGAACCAGGAAGGGAGAGGTATAAATAAAAAATTATTATTATTAAGCAACAGGATTGAAACTATTACCATTTTGGGAAATGATATATAATCAATTGAAATAAATGTTTAAAATATTTTTTTCTAAAAAAAAACCCCGAAGCCTTTCTTTTAGGAATTTTAGGTGCTGAAATCCCAATGGACAGTGCTTTTTTTTCTGGGGGGATGCAGGGCTACGCATACCACTAAACATTTTGTGAAACTTTGTAGTTTTGTCCATTTACTGTATTTATTTTCCCCGATTTGAACTATAAAATGGTGATTTTCTTGAGTCAAAGTTAGACTCTTTTGCTTGGGCTTGAACCCACAACCCTGAGATTAAGGATCTCATGCTTGGAAGATGCAAGTGATATATAAATGTAATAAATGAAATGTAATTCCCCAGGTTATGCACAGAGTTACACCTGAGGCTGCCAGCTGGTCCTGGCTGCTCTTGTTAGTTTCTGTTTGCCACTGAGCAGTGCCTTAGAGTCACAAGACTCTGTTTACATTCCAGAGACAGTCCAGGATGTTGGAAGTCTCACGGGAGACGGGATGTGACGTTAGTGGTTTCCTGTTCCTTTGTTGTTCAGTTGCTCTCTGCTCTCACAGAGGATCTATTTTTCTTTGCTCTCTGCGTAGCTTAGAAATAAAGCATAGCATGTAGCCATAAATCTCATCACTTCCGCGTGCTGTTTTGGATTCTCTGCTGAATGGGATGTGCCTGGAGCCTCATCAAAGGCTCAGGTCGTTAATTATCGTCGGAGGCGATTCCGGAGGCTCGGCCAGAGGAAAATGAGCTTTATCAGCTTGGCCGAGCGCAGATTCCAACAGTTCTTCCAGCCAGTCGGTCCTACACCAAAGCGGGGGAGAAGGGCAGCCCCTTCCTCCTCCCCACCCGCCAAGTGTCCCTCACCTCATACTCCTTCTGAGCTTCCAGCAGCAATGCTCCTGGCGCCATGGACGCAATCTTGAAGACTTCCTGGCTGGCCTCTGAAACGGAAGCAAGAAGTGAGAATCTTGGCCAGGATGCTCAAACCCGGCGAGGGGCCCTGAAAAAAACAAGCCAGGCTCCCCTTTTCAAACAGGAGGCGGCAGGTTTCTAGTCCTCTCCGCTTGCCCAGTATTGAAGGGGAGACTCACCTGGGATCTCGTGGAGGAATTCGTGGGTGGAACGGGAGAAGATCCTCACGCCATCGAGCTCCGGCACGAGGTACGACTCCTCATCCAGAGGGTACCTGCGGTCAGCATTAAGGAATCCAAGGAGGACGCAGGGGGGCGTTGGATGGGGAACTCCGTGGGGCACCCCAGATGCTCCTGGACTGCAACCCCCAAAAGCCAAGATGGCCAGGGATGCTGGGAGTCAAGCCACAGCACGTCCCCCCCTCCCTCGTCTAAACAACCAGCAGAACCAAACAGTGTAAAAAAGACCTGTGTTAGATGAAGCCACAGGCTTGCCTCGCCCAGGACCTGTATTAGAAATTAGCCGGGTGCCAGGCGCGTTTTGAACCCTGATCTCCCAGGTCCTAGCCCGGCGCTCTAACCGCTAAACCGCACTGCCTCCCTAGAGCCCTTCTGCCACGGGGCAGCCCTATAAATTAAGCAGGCAAATAAATATGGAGGAAGTCAAATGTTACCTTGGAGAAGGCTCTGAAATATTTCCCCTGAATAATAAGCCCACCAGCCCCACCCCGCCTCTCCCCGCAAGGATGCTGAATGCACTGCTCTGCGTCCCCAGCCACCAGGAGGCGCCGTTCCCACGCCATCACCACGGCGCGCTGCTTGCTTCGAGAGCGGGTGCACCTATCAGATAAAAGAAAAAGGAGGGGTTTTTTTCCTTACCATCAAGCGGTACATAAATGGTATGACAATAATATAAGATTGCGCGAGGCTGGGAAGTCCCCCAGCCTCGCACAAAAGGGGAGGAGACCTGCTGAACTCACCAGACCATCTGCTTTGGCGGAGCTCGAAATTCGCAGATGGACTCGCCCAGTTTTTCCTGCGGAGGGAAGAGGCAGAGGGGCGATGAGGGACGGGAGGAAGGGAAATGGGTCAGCTGTCCCTCTCTGTGGGGCTACGTGCAGGAAAGGGCTGTGGAAATGGAACCACACCATAACCACTGGAAGGATAGGCCAGAAGCTTCACAGTATTTCTCAGATTTCAGGAGAGACCCTTTTTACGTATCTGTGCTGCCTTGTACGCTGCACGTGAGCCACTTCCTCAAACACGCCAGAAAATTGCAAAAGAGGATTCCGACAACTTACTAAAGCAAGTTAAAATCCACTTAAATGATTTGAGTCTGTTCTACTGATGAAGCCTAGGATGGTGAAACAAGGCTAATATTCCGGAAATCCTTGTCTTAGACTCTGTGAAAGGATTCTGTGGAACTGTAACAACCCAACTGTAACAACTAACAACAATTATTGGACTCTATGAACAGACAGGTAGAATTGACATTTATACATGTATGGACCTTATGCATGAACTGACTAGAGAATGAACTGATCCACTGGGTCTTCGGCTTTTTCGTTGAACTTTATGAGACTTCCGTTGAAATCTACAATTTGATACAATGAATAGTATACTTTATTTATTCAAAAGTACAGCCGGTTACGTCTTGTGTGTTTATTGAGTATGTTTCACGTAACCAGAGGTTTGTTGTTGTTGTTTTGCTAATGTTAATACCATGGCTGAGTTTTCTAAGAAGTTTGGATGCAGAATTTAGGCTGCTGTGATGCAGAATCCCCGTTTGGAAAACAAGAAGTAGACGCAGGCCTGCCAACAGGCAAACGCCCTCCTTCGAATTGTGCAGACCCGCGGGGCTGTGTGCATGCCACAGAATCTCAGCTTTCAGATGCAGAATCTCAGCTCCCGTTTAAAACCAAAAGAGCGGCTTTCTAGCCCTTAGGAAATCCGTTCCCTTTCTTTTTAGGTTGATTCTCTTTCAGAAAAGAGAGAAGGAATCACGGAACAGACACAAGGTGTTATCCTGGACCGCCCTTTATCTGAATCCAGCCCTACCCCAACCTGGTGCCCCGGCAGATGTTCAAACTACAACTCCCATCAGCAACAGGCGCTCCAAAACACCCAGAAGACGCCTGGTTGCGGGAGAGGCTAGCTTAATCCTTCTGGAGAAGACCAAGGTGGAATCCTGCAGTGAGGCCCACAGAGAAGTGCCTTTCAGTCTGACGGATCTCTCTGCATCCAAGGAGAATCTGGACATGGCGCTCACCTTAAGGTTGGACTTCCCCATCCAGATGTATCCTGTGTCGGTGAAGAGTGCCAGGAAGCGATAGTTGAAGGATACTGCCATCCGCAGAAAGGAGCCGGCGTGAGGACTCAGCCCAGGCAAGGTCTGCGGTGAAGGAAGGGAAACTTCCTTCAGCAGGGCTACGAGGAGCTGCTGATTTACTCCTTACATGCACCAACACTTTGAATTGTGCTCGGAAACGTACTGGGAGCCAATGAAGATCTTTCAGGACCGGTGTTATGTGGTCTCGGCAGCCACTCCCAGTCACCAGTCTAGCTGCTGCATTCTGCATTAATTGCAGTTTCCGAGTCACCTTCAAAGGTAGCCCCACGTAGAGCGCAGTAGTCCAAGCATTGGGATCTCGCTCGATTTCCATTTTGGGGCTAACAAAACATGAGCCATTTCATGCTGTAAATTACTTCTCCGGTAAACTTTGATAGGTTATGTTGTTTGATTTCAGAGGAAAGCCTTGCTCTTTTCCTCTGCTGTTCATTCTAATGGTATTTGTAAAGGCTATGCACAATATATTGATTGATTGATTGATTGATTGATTGATTGACTGAGGAAGCAGAGCACAGCCATTGTGGCTAGCCACAGATAGCTCTGCGGCAATGCAGCAGGCTAGGAACTGGTCCAGCAGGAGCGAATGTCCAGGGGGCTCCCACAAGAGGTGTCCCATCCAGCCCTGCATCCCCCTCACTCACCACCGGGGAGCAGGTTGTGTTGTCCAGCAGGTACAGCTCTTGGCCAACGGCAACGAGGAGGACGGTCACGCGCTCTTGGCACAGGACGGCCCAGCAGGAGGGGGGCTTCTGGACACCTGCAAGAGGGACAGGAGGGATGCAGGCAAAAAAAACTTCAGGCAGAGGACACTTTGCACAAAGCTGAAGTTCATAGGCAGCAGCAGATCTGTCTGCTTGGGGCAGGGACTGTATTACAAACGGGAAGCAGGCTGGAGCCTCTATAAACACCAACAATTATGAAACACTGGCCTGCGAGCGCTCCAATTGGAGAACAGCCTTTACCATAGTTGTCCATGGCTTTGAAGATGCTCAAACTCAGGACGCAAGGGAGAAATGTGCTAAGAGGAAGGCACGCTTGGCAAACCCTCACAGTGATCAACTCCCACCCGGGAACCAATGTCCCCACTGTGGAAAGACGTGTGGGTCCAGAATTGGCCTCCACAGACATTTACGGACCCACTGTTAAGACCGTGTTTATGGAAGACAATCTTACTCGGCTACGAGTGATCTACAAAGAAGAAGAATTAATGGGAAGGAGGCTGGAGCCCCTAATTCAGGGGGAAGTCTGCTGCTTGCAGGTGCGTCCGGCATCTACCAGCCAAGCGGCACAGTCCAGGAAGCAGGAGTGGGGAAGCGAGGGATTGTTTTAGGGGAACGGCCAAAGCTTGCATGCAAACAATCCCAGGTCCAGCCCTCAATGGCATCTGAAGGTAGAGCTGGACACACAAAGGTTGCAGGTTTGTTCCCCATACAGGACAGCTGCTCCCCCCCCCCAATACAATTTTCCATTCAGTTTCCAAAATTTCTCAAATTAGCTTCGGATGAGATAATTACAACTTTGTTTCAGGGATTTCCACCTCCACTGTGTTTTGACTTCCACTGTGTTTTTATTCAACCCCTTTTCTGCTGAATTATATAACAAACGCATTATCTTTTACCAAAAACAACCTCCACCCTCTAATAGAGTTATTTTATCATTTTACTTCCGCTGCTCGTATTTCGAATTCCGCCCGTGATTTCATCTGGCTACAATGCTTTTTCAGACAGCCCCCAAAAATGCCTCCACTCTTCTATAAAAAGTTCGTCATTTTGGTCTCTTAGTTTTGCCATTTCCGCACAGTCCGATAACTGCTTATTTCTTTCTTTGCTTGCTTATTAAATTTGCATACCACCCTTCATCTGAAAATCACAGGGCAGTTCACAACACTTTTAAAAGTAATATCTGTAACGTCTCTAAGTATGGATATATTCCTGGATTGCAGGGAGTTGGACTAGATATCCCCAGGCTCCCCTTCCAACCCTACGATTCTAGGATTCTAAGCTGCCTGAAAGTGCTGGAGAGCTGCTGCCAGCCAGTGGAGGCAGCACTAAGCTACATGGACCAGTGGTGTGACTCTGCTTAAGAAGTTTTTTTTAAATTCCCATCCTCTACCCCTACTTAGATAAAAGTAAATGAAAATAAAAGCTGCACACGCAATTTGTTCTATTGCGTATTTAGTGTTCTCATTTTGCATTTCTGCGTTGTGAACTGCCTTGTGGTCTTCAGGCGGAATACAAATTCAATAAATAAATAAATAAATTCATATCTGTGGAAGGATTTGGCAGATCAAAGGACCTGGTGGCAGAATCCTGAGCAAGACGGGGAGTGGACCTAAACAGCAATTGGAAGGCTTAACGTGGCTCCAGCTCAAGAACCGTGAGAAACCTAGAAACTTGGGAGAAGATGGCGACGGCTTAGCAAGCAGGCTTCAGAGCTCCGCAGATAACAGGACTGTAATTAGCGTTGATTGCTACCCAGGGAAGTAATTTCTCCTTTTTCTTACTTCTCTACTTTTAAACTTACCAACCTACTGAGATTCTAACAGCACCTTCTTGTCTATGCTATGAGAAACACCTTGGGCAAGTTCTGTGAAGCGTCCTGGGCAGGCCGCCAGTTGCTAGCCATTAACCGCCAGCTCCCTTCTATATTTTGCTCCTGGCACTCCTGGCAGTCACCACACAGAGAAGCTCTTAAATTGAACAAACCCAGCACTTTCTATTTTTTCTCTCTTCTTTGGTTCAGGAAACCTCTCCTTATTTGCTTTCCACCGTTATACTATGCCTGCTAGTAAACGCTACAGGGACCCAGAGGATGCAGCTGTCTCGCTGGTTTCCAAACAATCTAAAATAGAGGACTTTTTAAAACAGATCTGCTTTTATAGTTCCAACAAAAAACTGGTTTTCTCCCCTTGAAGATGATTGTGAGTGTGGGGAGAATATTCAAGGTGAGAGCGTAGAACTGGATCTAACAATGGGGCAAGTTGATCCTGTGCCACTAAGAGAGGAAGGAATAACAAGTAGGGAGAGCACCCAATAGTCTACTATAGTCTATAGTATATTGTATTTTAAAATGGGGTTTCAGAGTTTTTAGGGTTTTTTGAATGTCTTATGTAGATTTTCAAATTCATTTTTCTGTATGGGACAATGAAATATGGTCTGAAGCTCAACACCAAAAAAACGAAGATCATGGCCACTGGGCCCATCACCTCCTGGCAAATAGAAGGGGAAGAAATGGAGGCAGGGAGAGATTTTACTTTCTTGGGCTCCATGATCACTGCAGATGGTGACAGCAGCCACAAAATTAAAAGACGCCTGCTTCTAAAGGGAAGTTCTCTTTCTGCAGTTCTCCTTCTGCACATAACTGTGGCATTAAGTCTTACTATGAGAACTATTGCTTCTTTTCTCTTGCATGCTGGGAAGTTTTTGCCTCTGCACATGAGTCTGAGAATGTTCTGAACAGTTCCCATTGAGTTCATGAAACAGTGTATCCTGACCTGTTCTTAATGCATTGCTGACCACATCTACGGAACGTGATTGTTGTATTCTTTCATGTTATGTTCTCTCAATATTAATCTTTAGTTATAATTTAATTAGGAGGTTTCATGCCTGTCTAGTTCTAGCTCCATTTCTCAGCCTTTGATCTATCAGTGATAAATAGTTATATGTAATTCCCGCCTTGTACCTATGTTAACCAATCAGCAACAAGATGCTTTGTGTTTGTATCAACCAATCAGCCACAAGCACACCTGTGGCAATGTTTGTAATATTCAATAAAAGAGAGTTCCCGGGGCTTGCCCCGGCAGATGCCTCTCATATGACACCTACCACTCGTCTGTCGTGATTTCAACCCAACATGCTTCTTGGGAGAAAAGCAATGACAAACCTAGACAGCATCTTGAAAAGCAGAGACATCACCTTGCCAACAAAGGTCCGTATAGTTAAAGCTATGGTTTTCCCAGCAGCGATGTATGGAAGTGAGAGCTGGACCATAAAGAAGGCTGATCGCCAAAGAATTGATGCTTTTGAATTCTGGTGCTGGAGGAGACTCTTGAGAGTCCCATGGACTGCAAGAAGATCAAACCTCTCCATTCTGAAGGAAATCAGCCCTGAGTGCTCACTGGAAGGACAGATCCTGAAGCTGAGGCTCCAAGACTTTGGCCACCTCATGAGAAGAGAAGACTCCCTGGAAAAGACCCTGATGTTGGGAAAGATGGAGGGCACAAGGAGAAGGGGACGACAGAGGACAAGATGATTGGACAGTGTTCTTGAAGCGACCAGCATGAGTTTGACCAAACTGCGGGAGGCAGTGAAAGACAGGAGTGCCTGGCGTGCTCTGGTCCAGGGGGTCACAAAGAGGCGGACACGACTAAAAGACTCAACAACAACAACATTTGTATTCGTATTAACTCTAATTGCAAGAACGGCTGAGCAGATCTTCCAACAAATTAGAGGTATTGCCTCTCAGATAACCCAATGATCCAAATAGGTCCACAGTTTATCAGTTAATAACAAGCAGGCACTAACAGAACACCAAAGTGAAATGGCGACAACAAGAGCAGACCCCTAAGTGCGACATAGAACGTGCAGAGGCTCCTAAAACAAACTCTAGAAACTTGGGGTGCGATTTTTGCTTTTCAAAACCTTGGGTTCCAGGGAGCGCACATGCAGAAACAGAAGAGTGCGTCTGGGGCAGTGCGAGTCAAGGGGCGAAGGTGGGCAGGAGGCAGATTTACCTGGCACCTGAGGCAGCCTGCGGAGTTTCAAGTCCTCGACATTGGTGGCTATGGTGAAGCGGTGGGCCCCGGTCAGGATGGCCACCCCCGTGCCGTATTCCGTGTGGAACACCTTGGCCTCCAGCACGTGGTTCTGAAGCACCTCCTGGGGGTTAGAGAGGAAAGCAAGGAAGCACCGGGTCAGGTGGTGTAGTGGTTAGAGCAGCAGTTCTCAAAAAAACAGTCCTAGCAATGTTTGATTTTTAACACAGAACACAACCACTTTATAACATGATTGTGCGGCACCCAGAAAGTATAGAACAAGGCAGCTACAGAAGATCATGAATCATTTCCAAAATATCATTATGAACGAGACTCTTACATATATACCTTAGGTATGTCTACAAACTCAATGAAAGGTGCAAGCTGGCTTTTGCCAGGTAATCTCATTGATATTCGGTCGAATTTGTTTTTTTTTTTTAAATGATATTTATTAAAGTTTCACAAAAATACAGAAAACAAAGAAAAAAGTAAAAAGTAAGAAAAAACATACAAAATAAAACAGTTAAAAACACAGTAATGTTCCTTAACCTATCTTCCTTACTCTTATTTCCCCAGACCTCCTCATACCTCCCTTCTTTGTATTCCAATTCAGTTTGTTGGTTCAGCAAATCCTTACCATTAATCTTTTACCCAATTGTTAACCTTTTTTTTCATGTCTCTTAAAGCATTACAGCTAAAAACCTCTTAATTTCTATCCAACATCCTTCTAAAGTTCCTTAATTTTACAATATTTCTGTAAATAGTCCTTAAATTTTTTCCAGTCTTCTTTCACCGACTCTTCTCCCTGGTCTCGGATTCTGCCAGTCATTTCCGCCAATTCCATGTAGTCAATCACCTTCATTTGCCATTCTTCCAAAGTGGGTAGATCTTGTGTCTTCCAATACTTTGCGATAAGTATTCTTGCTGCTGTTGTAGCATACATGAAAAAGGTTCTGTCCTTCTTTGGCACCAGTTGGCCGACAATGCCCAAGAGAAAGGCCTCTGGTTTCTTCAGAAAGGTATATTTAAATACCTTTTTCAGTTCATTATATATCATTTCCCAGAAAGCCTTAATCTTTGGGCACGTCCACCAAAGGTGAAAGAATGTACCTTCAGTTTCTTTACATTTCCAACATTTATTATCGGGCAAATGATAAATTTTTGCAAGCTTGACTGGGGTCATGTACCACCTGTATATCATTTTCATAATATTCTCTCTTAAGGCATTACATGCCGTAAACTTCATACCTGTGGTCCATAACTGTTCCCAGTCAGCGAACATAACGTTGTGTCCAACATCTTGTGCCCATTTAATCATAGCAGATTTCACCGTTTCATCCTGAGTATTCCGTTTCAACAGCAAGTTATACATTCTTGACAAATTTTTAGTTTTGGGTTCTAACAATTCTGTTTCTAATTTTGACTTTTCCACTTGGAAGCCTATTTTCTTATCCAAGTTGTATGCCTCCATTATCTGATAGTAGTGGAGCCAATCTCTCACTTTATTTTTTAATTTTTCAAAACTCTGCAGTCTCAATTTATCTCCTTCTTGCTCCAAAATTTCCCAATATGTCGGCCATTTGGCCTCCATATTGAGCCTTTTCAGAGCTTTTGCTTCCATTGGTGACAGCCACCTTGGGGTTTTATTTTCCAATAAGTCTTTGTATCTTATCCAGACATTAAACAATGCTTTCCTAACAATATGATTTTTGAATGCTTTGTGTGCTTTGACCTTATCATACCATAAATATGCATGCCATCCAAATACATTGTTAAAACCTTCTAGATCCAAAATGTCTGTGTTTTCAAGAAGTAGCCATTCTTTCAGCCAGCAAAAAGCTGCTGATTCATAATAAAGTTTAAGGTCTGGCAGGGCAAATCCACCTCTTTCCTTGGCGTCAGTTAATATCTTAAATTTTATTCTGGGCTTCTTGCCCTGCCAGACAAATCTAGAAATATCTCTCTGCCACTTCTTGAAACAGTCCATCTTATCTACAATTTGTAATGTCTGAAACAAAAACAACATTCTAGGCAATACATTCATCTTTATCACAGCAATACGGCCCAGCAACGAGAGTTTCAAATTTGACCAAATTTCTAAATCTTTTTTCACTTCCGTCCAACATTTTTCGTAATTATCTTTAAATAAGTTCCCATTTTTGGCTGTCATATTAATCCCCAAGTATTTCACTTTCTTTACCACATTCAATCCTGTCTCATTCTGAAACCTCTCTCTTTCAATCGGTGTTAAGTTTTTCTCTAAAACCTTAGTTTTTAACTTGTTCAATTTAAAACCTGCCACCTGACCAAATTCCTGAATTAATTCTAAAACTCTTTTAGTACTAGATTCTGGCTCCTGTAACGTCAATACTAGGTCATCTGCAAATGCTCTCAATTTGTACTGTTTAGCTCCGACCTGTATGCCCTTAACCAACCGGTCCTTTCTAATCATATTTAGCAAAACCTCCAGGACCGATATAAAAGCAGTGGGGAAATTGGGCACCCCTGTCGTGTCCCTTTTCTATCTTAAATTCTTCCGTAACCACATTATTTACAATTAATTTAGCCTTTTGTTCAGAGTATATTGCACCTATACCATTTTCAAAACCTTGGCCTACCCCCATCCCATGCAGATTCTTCTTCATAAAACTCCAAGAGATATTATCAAAAGCTTTCTCCGCGTCAACAAATATCAATACTGCTTTGGTGTTTATATTCACTTCTAATTTTTCCAAAATATCAATTATATTCCTCAAGTTATCAGACAGATGTCTTCCCGGAGAAAGCCCGCTTGGTCTATATGAATCTCTTTCATAAATATTTTTTTCAATATCTTGGCCAAAATGTCTGCAAAAATTTTGTAATCCACGTTAAGTAACGATATAGGGCGATAGTTCTTAAGCTGAGTCTTTTCAGTCTCTGTTTTCGGTATAAGTGTGATGTACGCCTCTTTCCACGATTCTGGTGCCCTTTTCCCCTCCAGTATTTCATTGCAGACTTCCTTCAAAGGTTGCAGTAACCACTCTTTCAAAGATCTATAGTATCTGGAAGTCAACCCGTCCGGTCCTGGAGATTTGCCCAATTGCATATTTTGTATGGCACCTTCTACTTCCTGTTCAGATATTTTATAGTTCAGCATTAATTTACTTTCTTGAGAGATTTTTGTAGGCCATTTGTCTTCAAAAATTGGTCTATGTCCATTTCCTTCTGTGGCCCTTGTGTATATAATTGTTTAAAGTACTTCTGGAAGCAATTTCTAATCTCATTTGGGTTATGTATACTCTTTCCTTCCACTTCTAAATTTATAATAGTATTTAATTTTTGTCTTTTTTTCATTTGCCAGGCCAACAGTTTTCCACATTTATTAGCTGATTCAAATGTTTTTTGTCTCATTTGTTTGATTTTCCATTCTATTTCCTGATTCATCATTTCCAGATATTCGGTCGAATTTGAGACAAACAAATTCTCATCTCCTCAATCAACACAAAGAAGCCTTTCTCTTTTCTGGTATTTCATTGAAAACCTCTGTTGGCAACAATATGTCATGGAGAACTGTGGCAGTATAACCAACGCTCTTGCTCTCATTTTGAAAAGACAAATTTTTAAAATATTTTTTTAAAACAAATGATATTATATTATTCTATACTACACTGAAATGTTTGAATGTTTCTTCAAACAAGAAGTGAGCTTACATTTATGAATCACTTCCTACGGAACATTTCTAAGTGTTTTCATTATACAATAAAAACTGGGCGGCTTACAGCACATGTAAAAAATTTGTAAACCATCAGACATTAAAAATTTCCCAATGCAGGGCTGCCTTCAGATGTCTTCTAAAAGTCAGATAGTTGTTTATTTCCTTGACACCTGATGGGAGGGCGTTCCACAGGGGGGGCGCCACCACCGAGAAGGCCCTCTGCCTGGTTCCCTGCAACCTCCCTTCTCGCAGGGAGGGAAGCGCCAGAAGGCCCTTGGAGCTGGATCTCAGTGTCTGGGCTGAACGATGGGAGTGGAGACGCTCCTTCAGGTATACTGGGCCGAGGCCCCAGCTCCCAAAAGCCCCCGGTTCCAGTAAACCCTCCTCTCCAAGGTCACTTACGTTGCCCATGCTGAAGCGCCGCTTGAACTCACAGAAGAGGCTGTAGACGAGGACCGAGCCGTCCTCCTGGATGCAGAGGAGGTCCTCACTGGTTGTCCAGCCAAGGTGCACGGCTGGACAGTTTTTCCCCTGGGGGAGACAAAGCCCAGGGTTAGAAATTAGCCAGGCACCAGATGCAGCTATTTAGCAACCTGACACACTTAGGGATCCACAGAGTTTGTGCAGGATGTGTGTGCCAGACCTCAGCAACTCAGCATTTTGGCTAATCTACTTTATTTACATATAAACACACACGGAGTACTGCAACATGGCTCCCTCTCTCTCTAGCACCAGACAGCAAAGAGAAAGAACAAAGGATAATAGTCCCACTTCACGGAACACAGTAACACAAACATCCTGTCTTCGTCACTTCCCACTCTGTGGAGTCAAAACATATACCGTCATGTGAAAGACAAAAATCTCTTTCAAAGTCATCCAGGTTGGCAGCGACGTCGCGACTTGAACCCAGCCCCCTGTCGCTGAACCCCCAAAGCCCTCGTTCTCAGCTGAAAAAAGAGCTCAGTGCACGCAGCACGATTTGACAGTGTTCGTTCAGAGTTTGCCCTTGCTTTCCCCCATCCTCCTCATTTCCCTCTGTTGCCTTTACCACTGCAAATGTAACCTCTTTGGGGCAGAGAACTGACCTGCCTTCTTCCTCCTTTTTGTTGTTGTTGCTAATGTTACTATGCAGGGCCGGATTGAGGTTTGATGAGGCCCTCAGCTACTGTAGGTAATGGGGCCCTTTATATGTCCAGCTGTTCTTTGTCAACAACAAACTGTCATTTTTTGTGTTGAATACAGTAGTACCTCTGGTTGCGAACGGGATCCATTCTGGAAGCCAGTTCGCAACATGAAAAGAGCGCAACCTGCAGCAGCGCGTCCGCGCATGCGCGGGTTGTGATTTGCTGTTTCTGCGCATGCGCGAGCGGCGAAACCCAGAAGTAACCATTTCCGGTACTTCCGGGTTGTTGCAGGACGTAACCTGAAAGAACGTAACATGAAGCAAACGTAACATGAGGTATGACTGTATATGCTATACAGTGGTACCTCGGGTTACATACGCTTCAGGTTACAGAATCTGCTAACCCAGAAATGGTAGCTCGGGCTGAGAACATAAATTGCGCGGCGGCAGCAGGAGGCCCCATTAACTAAAGTGGTGCTTCAGGTTAAGAACATTTTCAGGTTAAGAACAGACCTCCACAACAAATTAAGTTCTTAACCCAAGGTACCACTGTATGGTAATTTATGGACCTCATAGGTATCTAACCAGTGATATTTTAGGGAACAGGCTAGCCGGCGAGGCCCATTACTTACATCATAGAAGCCTACAAAACACTGTTACTGTAAGTAGGTTTTATTTTATTTGTTTTTTATCTTATATTTTGGAAATGTACATCCAGGATTTTTTTCCTTTTAATTTTTTGGGGGGCCGCCAAGAGAGTGGGGCCCTAAGCTATAGCTTGTTTAGCTTATACATAAATCCGTTACTATACTACTTAAACATAAATCTGTTACTATGCAATGCCCAGTGACCATTGATAACACAATTCGCTTACCGGAATGCTAGCCAAGAGGACCCCTGAGGCAGTGTAGATTTCCAGAGGTGGCCGGGAACTGGGAGATTTCTCTTTCTTGTTTTTCAGCAAAGCTAAAATGATAGAGGCTTTTTTTTATTATCACACTATAAAAAAAAGCTGAGAAGTCAAGCCCCTGATAATCGCCATTCCCACCTCCCGTTTTAATTCTTTGTGAGAATTTCTTTAATTATGCCATTACTAGCAGCCTTGTAACTACCGCTGCTCAGAAATTCTAAGAAACCAAAAAAACCCCAAAAAAAACCCCAGTGTTGTTTTGAGCCAGTAGTCAAAATCAAAAAAGTTCAGTCTGCCATCTTGATTCAAAATGGCATCCAACTGTCTCCAAACATGGCTGAGAAGCTGCTCCTTGATCTCAGGAACCAGCAGGCAAAAAATTTGGTTACAGTCCAAATAGACAGCCAAAATTTAGAGCCATTATTATTATTGCCCATATGTGCCAACTCAACTGCTTAGGATTTACTAGTGGCTACTCTGGCAGCTAGGGACATGGGTGGCGCTGTGGGTTAAACCACAAGCCTAGGACTTGCCGATCAGAAGGTCGGCGATTCGAATCCCTGTGACAGGGTGAGCTCCCGTTGCTCGGTCCCTGCTCCTGCCAACCTAGCAGCCCAAAAGCACGTCAAAGTGCAAGTAGATAAATAGGCACCACTCCAGCGGGAAGGTAAACGGCATTTCCGTGTGCTGCTCTGGTTCGCCAGAAGCGGCTTAGTCATGCTGGCCACATGACCCGGAAGCTGTACGCCGGGTCCCTCAGCCAATAAAACGAGATGAGCACCGCAACCCCAGAGTCGGTCACGACTGGACCTAATGGTCAGGGGTCCCTTTACCTTTATTCTGGCAGCTAGTGCCAGTGCCAGCCCTCTTTCCTTGCCCTGATTTATTTTGTTTGGGTCCCGCCCTTCCTCCAGGAACCTCAAGGCGTTCTCACAACAGCCCTGTAGGGCAGGCTAGGCAGAGCCAGAGAGAGAGCGCGCGACTGACTGCATCATGCAGGCCATACCCCTTGGCAAATTCCCCGACTGCACCAGTGAATGAGACTGGGCCGAGAGAGGAAACCTCCCAGCTGCAAAGGAACAGCTGGCGCGAGAAAGAGGAGCTGGCTCTTGCCGTACCAATGGGGCCTCCGTAGGGCGCGGCAGCGACCAAGCAATCCCGCAGGTCTTCTCTCAGGTTCCAGCCCATGGTGTACAAATCCAGTTTCCTGCAGGAAGAAAACATTAGCGGAAAGTTTTGGGGGGGGAGAAATGTCAGGTTAAATAAAAGCAGAGCCCCAAAGCGCTGGCAAAACCCAGCATTCTGTTCCCAATGGTGGTCAGCTCTGCGCTTTGGGAAGCCCCCAAGCAGGGCACTGAGGCAGCTGGCCTTCCTAGTCCTTTGCCCCCACCAGGCAAGAGACCCTGAGAGATGGGGAGCAGGGAGAGAAGTAGGGTCCTGGAGGGATGTGGGGAAGGAGGATGAGGATGCAGGAGAAGATTATGGAGTCAGCAGATCAGCTGGGAAGCAGGGTGTCCTCTCTTTGAATTTTGCCTCTGCCACAAACCCACCTGGCGACCTTAGCTCAGCCCCAGTTCCCCTCCCTGTTTGCAATGTGGGGTTAGCAACAGCAGCCTGCCTTGCAGGTCTGTTGTAAAGGTTACTGGGACAGGGGTTCGTGCAGTGGTCTGAACACAGAAAAGTACATGGTTCCTGGGCTCCAGCTCCCATCAACCCTGAGTCCATTGGGAGATGGAGTCCAGGAGGATCCCTGACGTTCACCAATGACATCTGTTATACTTAGTGTCAAATGCTGTCCCTAAAATAAAATAATAGTAATAATCAGTGCTTTTTTTCTTAAAAAATGTTTAGGGGTACAGTGGTACCTCGGGTTACATACGCTTCAGGTTACAGACTCCGCTAACCCAGGAATAAAATCTCGGGTTAAGAACTTTGCTTCAGGTTGAGAACAGAAATTGTGCGGCGGCAGCGGGAGGCCCCATTAGCTAAAGTGGTGCTTCAGGTTAAGATCAGTTTCAGGTTAAGAATGGACCTCCGGAGACACAAGAACTTCCCACGCTGGAGGAATGGCAGATGAAACTTATGGACTATATGGAATTGGCTGAAATGACTGGTAGAATCCGTGACCAGGGAGAAGAGTCGATGGAGGAAGACTGGAAGAAATTCAAAGACTATCTTCAGAAACACTGCAAAATTAAGGAATGTTAGAGTGATGTTGGACTGAAAACAAGTGGTTTCCAGCTGCACAGGTTAAAGTTATGGAAATGTGATATTAAAAGGAAAACTTTAAAGTTATATGATATTAAGACTAAGGACTAGGTTTAAAAAAAATTGAAGTTATATATTTTAACATTTTATTAAATTAAAGATTGGGATTAAAAAAAAGTGGAAAAGAAATTGCTGAACAAACAATGTGGACTGGAATACAAAGGAGGGAGGTTTGAGGAAGTCTAGAAAATAAGTCACGTAAAATTGGAAATGGAAAAGAGAGTTTGTTTTTAATTGTTGTGTTTTGTGTTTTTATTGTTAAGTTTTGTATTATTTTTATGTGAGTTTTTCTGTTCTTTTTTTGTGTTATGTTGTTTTAAACTTTAATAAAAATTATTTAAAAAAAAAAAAAAAAAGAATGGACCTCTGGAACAAATTAAGTACATAACCAGAGGTACCACTGTACTCTCATTTTGACTAAAGAAAATCACCATTTTATAGTTCAGATCAGGAGAAATAAATACAGTAAATGGACAAAAGATTCACAAAATGTTTAGGGGTATGCGTACCCCTGCGTCCCCCCCCCCGAAAAAGCACTGATCATAATAATAACGAACACCTTGCCGCAGCAGAAGGTGCCTAAGCAAAATTTTCCGCAATCTATTCCCACAAATACACTGTGCTCAAACCACACCGTGAAGAAGTATGCATGCACACGAAAGCTTATACCAAGAACAAACTTAGTTGGTCTCTAAGGTGCTACTAAGGACGCGGGTGGCGTTGTGGTCTAAACCACTGAGCCCCTTGGGCTTGCCAATCGGAAGGTCGGCGGTTTGAATCCCCATGACAGGGTGAGCTCCTGTTGCTCGGTCCCTTCTAAAAGTCACTTGCAATAAGACGAATCAAGTGTTGGATTGTTAAGAATATAAGATTTTATGGACGTGCATGAATACGCATAAAATAATGGAAGCAGGAGGGGGAGTGGAGGGAAGTCAATCAAGATTCATGGTTTCAATTTTTTATGGTGGTGAGTGGTTTTTTGCGGGGTGGGGTTGTTATCACAAAATTAATAAATTGCATTTAATTTTTTTTAAAAGGAAGCTCGTCTGATCAGCTGCAAGCCCCCCCCCCCCGGGTCCGGCTGGTGCCCTCCCAGTGCAAAATGCTTTGCAGGAGCTGCGCCCCTGCCCCTGCGGAGGGGGTGAGGACCCCCCCATCAATATAAAGCATTGGGGGTGGGTGGGAGAGGGGTTATCCAGGGAGTGGCAAAATTGGGGAAGGGTCAGAGAGGGGGGAGAGTCTCATGGGGAGCGCTGGGGAGGCGGGAGGGGCGCCCACTGACCGGTAATAGGCCGCTTCCCCGAGGGGGTCCCAGTTTGCCGTGTAGCAGTCCATGCCTTGCGCCCCTGGACCCAGCAGAGATGCTCTTCTCCCCGGGACGCTTCCGCCCTCAGCGCCCACCCCAGGCAAGCGGACACAGGGAAGCCGAAGCCGCCATCTTGAGCGAGGGCACGGCGCTGCTTCCGGGGCCTGGCTCTCCGTTGCCCCCTAGAGGAGGAGCCTCCGCCGCCTCCGCCCTTCTGTCAATCACTCTGCAAGACACGCCTCTATTAAAGGGCCCGCGTTGAGATCATTCATTCATTTTTATCTTATTTTTATGCTTCTAGTTTTTATTTTCTTGGGTGGCAGCGCTAAATATTTGTTATTTGTATTTTTACTTCTCTTTTGGGGGGGGAATATTTGTCGCTGCTGCTGCTGTTTCATTTTAAAAACAAAGAGGGTTGCAAAAAGCAGGTGAAGATTTTAGAAAGGTGCAAAAACGGTAAAAGCAGGCACATGGAATTGCAGCTGCCAGAGGGATTGACAAATAACAAAATTCCGGGTAAAGAATATCCGCATTATCCGATTGCCCAAGTACAGTTCCTGGTTTGTCGCCTTGAAAACGACGGCTCTGTTGCATACGTAATAAACGAGTGCCAAATCATATTTGCTGTCAGAGGTGTCTGGAGGTTGTAGTCCTTGTCGAGATGTCAAATTGTGCGTATGAGATCACTTCTGAGCAGGCATGCAGAATAGGACTGAGCTGCAAATAAATAACTCCCCGCTGCCTCCGCCCCTCATTTGCAGTGCAACAGCCTGGGCAGGTTGTAGTTATAGTTCAGCTTATGGTATCCATCACCTCTGACCATTACCGTATTTATTTATTGCATTGCTATCCCACTTTTTCCAAGGTGGCCCACAGGACCACTTTATTGTCACAACAACCCTGCGAGGCGGGTTAGGCTAAGAGGCCCAAATGGCTGACCCAAGATTCATGGTTGACATAGGACTAGTAACTAGCCGAAATCCAGCATCGTCTGAGCTCTGTGAGTGCAGCTTTCTCCGGATTGAAGTGAAGAGTGTTTGAGGACCGGGACGTTCACGGGGAAACCAGAATGCTTGTTTACAAAGCTATTGTACTACCAACCTTACTGTATGCTTGTGAAACGTGGACCACTTATAAATGCCATCTCCAGCTCCTTGAAAAATTCCATCAACGGTTTGTCCAAAAAATTTTACACATCACTTCGGAAAACAGGCAGACTAATACCAGTGTACCGGAAGAAGCAAAGATCACCAGTGTTGAAGCTATGATTCTTCAACATCAACTTCGTTGGACTGGTCATGTTGTGCGGATGTCTGATTATCCTCTTCCAATAGATTTTCTCTTTCCGGTACTTCCGAGTTCAGCACGGTGCGCAACCCAAAAACGCACAACCTGAAGCATCTGTAACCCAACGTACCACTGTATTTTGAATTCGGTATGTATGGGGGTGCCAAAATCTTTTAAGTGCTTAGGACCTCTAAAGGTCTTAATCCAGACCTGGTGAAAAGGCTAAAAAGCTGCCCCTTCGTGCTGGTTAGGTGACTCTGGGCCACTGGATAGAGGGACCGTGCAGCAGAAATAGTAAGGGTATTTAACCACCCCCACCCCCAGACCACTAGACCTCTGCTAAAAATGTGCGGGGCCCCTCCAGTTCCAATGTACATGTGTTTTCCAACCTCTATGTCTCTTTGTTGCTGATTTTATCTTTGCTCAGCTGGGACTTTGCAGCAATCCAAAAATTTTTTAACAGATGCAGACCCAGGGCGGGGTCGCGCACGACCCCAGCAGCGATCTTCCTTTCAGACCATATTTAACTACCTGGAGAGTGCAATAATAAAATTTAAGGTCTTATATATATAATAAATATTCATAAATGTACCAACCAAGCATGTACATAGATAGACCTGAAACCATTTTGACTCCCAAACTGACCAAATGTTTTCTCTGCAAGGAGGGAGGGGGTGAGGGAACCTTCCCATTGTCTCAGGAATTGGGAAATCACCATCTCAAAGGAATGACCAGACTACCAGGAAAAGCAATCAGGTAAGGCATTATCAGATAACCTGGCAGACAGGAAAAACAGCAACACCTTTTCTGTGATGTAGGTATGATGTTGGTGGGGGGTGGTCTTGGGTTACACCCCTTCTGTGACGCATGTATGATGTATGGGGGGTGGTCTTGAGCTCCAGGGCAGGGAATTAAAAATGTCTATATCAGGCCTTGCACGCCATTGTTCTGGGTTCCTCCTCCTTTCCAGCATGTGAGGGGAGCACCCTGTTGAAACAGATCAATAAAGATCAGGATTACTAGCTGCTTTGATTCTCAGTATTCTCTGGTTGGTCTCTGTTATTTTCGCCTACCAATAGGGAACCCACGTAAGGACTCTATACAGGGTCTTGGATACCCCATAAGGGAAAAAGGGCAGATTTATTTTGTTTACAACAAGAGCAACCACCAGTTCTCTCCAGGCGAGTCTCACAAGTTGTACTAAAGCAGTGTGTGATGCTCTGCCACGACTCCCTCCTCACTGCCACCTGCGTGTCACAGGTACTGAAAAGCAAGGTGGTTCTCCCGAGAGAAAAGTAAATGGAATATCCAAGGATGCTTTGCTGCAATATTCAAAGCCCATCCTTTACAGAAACCGACGACGACGACACAAACCACAGGTGCAAGAGGGGCTTCTGCAGTTTCTTTTAATTAAGAGTTGTATAAAACAAAACACAAAAATACCCCGCCCCGGTTTCAAACTGTTACAGCACACCACAAAACAACCTTCCCAGCATGGCACAACATTGGCCGACTCCTGCAAGCGGGATTATTGGGGAAGAGGAGGCTTCTCGTGGCATGATTCCTTCTCTGCTTCCAGGAGGAAATTTAAATGTGGGGGGAGCGGGGAAACAAAGGAGAAGCCCCCAGATCCAGGTACCTGGCTGGCTCTCTGAGCGATGCGCTGGGGGGACAGGAACTCACCTTCCCCTGGGCAAAAAGACGAAGTCCGTAGGTGGGGTCAGTGCTATAAACGTACAAACCAGCCGAGGCGCTGGCAACAGGAGCACATCGTCACATGCCCTCTGAATCTCCATGTCTCAAAGAAGGACGTTGCGTCAACATGTAAAAAAATTAAGGCACCACAAAACACAAAAAAGGACCAACAGCTGCCTGGGTCAAACCTCTTGGCTATAGACAGACATGATAGAAACTAAGCCCACGGACACCAAAGACCAGCTCTGTCTGAGAATCCACATGTTGCAAGTCCTTTGCCAGACCCCAGAAGGCTTTCAATAGCGCTGGGAACGGACGGGGCAGAACCTCCGGTAGGGGGTCTCGTCTCTCGGGTAGAAGCAAGGACGGCGCATGACGTAGCTGCCGTGGTGCCCACCGATGCGGCTCCTCCTGCGCTGGCGCCAGGAGCGCGGGGGGTCGTTCTTCTCGTCGTGGGAGGGGTAAGCAGGGAAGGGGCCCGGGACAGGCGCGGAGTTGCCGCCCAGGTGGCGGAAGTCGTGAAGTGCTGCAGCTGGGGATGAAAAAGAAAGCGGGAGAACGAAGGAATAAGGCCGTCGCAAGAGGCTGGCTGAATCAGGGCTGTCGAGCTCAGCATCCTTGGGGGGGGGGGCAACTAGATGCCTAAATGGGAAGCCGGCAAACAGGATACCACCACAAGAGCACTTTCCCTTCCTGTTGTTTCCAGCAACTTAGAATTGGCATTTAGAAGCATGTAACATGGTCCGAAAATTACTTTATCCATCTACTTCCCGCCCTCCCAATTCCATGGTTTCCATATTTACCCTTGCATATTTCACATATAGGGATGCGGGTGGCGCTGTGGGTTAAACCACAGAGCCTAGGGCTTGCCGATCAAAAGGTCGGTGGTTCGAATGCCCGCGACGGGGTGAGCTCCCATTGCTCGGTCCCTGCTCCTGCTGGCCACATGACCCGGAAGCTGTATGCCGGCTCCCTCGGCCAATAAAGCGAGATGAGCGCCGCAACTCCCGAGTTGGCCACGACTGGACCTAATGGTCAGGGGTCCCTTTACTATTTCACATATACTGCTCAATGCATCCATTTTAACCTACTCATCTTAATAATGAACCTTGTTGCTCGTATTTCAAGTCCTGCTCGCATTTTCATCTTGCTATAGCAGTTCTTGAAATACTCCAATCCTCAAGGCTATTTTTTTGTCCTTTTGGTCTCTAACCTTTGCTGTTAATCTTGCCAATTCCCCATACTCCATCCTTTTTGATGCCCAATTGCCCCATCTTCTTTTAAAGCCATCTAAGGTCGGTGGCTGTCGCTGTGGGAGGGAGTTCCACAGATTAACTGTGAACTCCGCAAGGAGGGCCTTCCTAACCTCTCCTGCAACTTCCAACACTCTCCTCCGTTGCACGCCCACCAGTTCCAATGTCAGGAAAGTGAGAGGAAAAACCTTTTCTGGGTCCGTGGGTAACTTTAAGAACGTCCATGCCTCTCACTTGCCTTTTCTCTGCACTAAAAAGTCCCGGACGCTGTAACTTTTCCTGAGTCCCTCCATCGCCCTGATCCATTTCAGCAGCCCTTTTCTGAATCCTGCCTTCCTGTCCTATGGCCAAAATTGTACCAGCTGCTCTGCATCCCTGCCCAAATTCAGTGGTGAGGGCAGGTAGGTCTAACGTCAAGTCCACCTTGGGTGGGTACGGTGCCAGAACCCCAAAGGATTCTGGGAAGGGTGGGAGAAAGAGCTGGATTGAGGACATACCATCCATGTGGGGCGTCAGGAAGTGGGGGTCCTCAAAGCTACGAAATCCAGAGACGGGTTCGGAGGGCCCCCAGTTGCTGGGAACGAGGACTGAGTCGTCGTAAAACTGGGGGACACAGGGGTAAGGCGGTGGGTGGGAGTCACGAGGGCCGGGGAGCAGTTGGGAAGCACCAAGACGGGGCGGCAATGGCGGCAAAGGTGTCCCTGGCGTATTCCACGCAGGCTCTGCGGAACGAAGGGAGAGGACCGTTCAAAGCTGTCATTGAAAGTCTACTCAGTATTGATCCAGAGTAGATTCCAACGTATAGTTGTACATACACGTTGCAGGATTCCCCAAAAATAGACCAGAGGCAGTTAATATTCCATCCAGCAGAGCTTGACTACTACTGAAGGCAAATGAGCGTAATGGTCACAAATCCAATACATTCAGGATTGGCACTGTCCATAAGAAGTCCAGTTGCAGCAGACTTAACTTACAATAACGTATAATAAGACTGAAACCTTAACAGTGGTACCTTGCTTGTCAAACTTAATCCGTTCAACTCCCGAAACCAAGGGACGGCTTCTGATTGGCTGCAGGGTTTGCGGTGTTTGGGAGCGGATTTGTTCGGGAGCCAAGACGTTCGACAACCAAGGTACCACCGTATACAGAACACCACACCAGAAGGAAAGAGAGACAAAAAGAAAAAGTGAAGCCCCGGCTCCTTCTGGCCTTATTATTATAGTCAATAAACACACAAGACTTAACCAGCTGTACGATTGAAAAAATAAGATATAATATCCATTGTACTGAGTTGTAGATTTCAACAGAAGTAGTTCATAAAGTTCAACGAAAAAAGCAGAAGACCCAGTGGATCAGTTCATTCTCTAATCAGTTTATGCATAAGGTCCATATCTGTGAAAGTGTCTATTCCACCTGTCTGTTCATAGAGTCCAACAATCCGCATGAAAGGTTGTTGCAGTTCTACAGAATCCTTTCACAGAGTCTAAGACAAGGATTCCCAGAATATTAGCCTTGCTTCGGCGTCCTGGGCTTCATCAGTAGTACAAACTCTAGGTAATGCAAATAAATACAATATCGTAATCTCACACATTTTTACAGCAAAAATAATATTAAAATATATGCTTTTTTTGTTGAACTTTATAGGCTACTGCTGAAATCTACAATTCAATTCAATGAATAGTATATCTTATTTTTTCAAACGTACAGCCAGTTACGTCTTTTGTGTTTATTGAATATGTTTCACGTAACCAGACGTTTGTTGTTGTTTTGCGCTTACTATTATAGTCAGCATGACCTTGACAGAAGAGATAACAGAACAGTTGAAGCCAGCCGTACTCAGCTTCTCTGAAGGAGTAACCCGAACATCACGAACCTTCTGCTTGCTTCTTTCACACAGAGAAGCTCCCAGAACCCTCTTGAATTAATTAGAATAGGTAAGATCTCTACACATCAGATCAATGCTTTCTGCACTAAGCAATGCAAACTGAAAATTGCATCCCGGAGACCTTGCCAACCTTCCTTCCCTGCAGTGGAAAGAATGAGAAGCAAGCTGGGATCCTGCCCACTCACCATCCGGGCTCCGGTGCCTGCTGGGCACCACCACGCGCCAGGCGTCCGCCACGTGCGTCAGAAGCAGGTTGGTGATCCTGCGATGCACCACATTGTTCCAGTGGACGCCATCCTTGACCCGGTTCCGCAGGTCGAAGCGGAAGTGGAAGTGGAGGTCCAGAACGTCGAAGAGGTGGAAGCCGGCCAAAGTGGCGCCGTAGAAGTTGCCCTCGATTATGTCATTGCGGAGGGTCTTGCTTAAGTGCTGCAGCTGGGAACAGAATGAAAAATGTAAAGGTAAAGGGACCCCTGACAGTTATGTTCAGTCGCAGACGACTCTGGGGTTGCAGCGCTCATCTCGCTTTACTGGCCAAGGGAGCCGGCGTACAGCTTCCGGGTCATGTTGCCAGCATGACTAAGCCGCTTCTGGCGAACCAGAGCAGCGCACGGAAACGCCGTTTACCTTCCCACCGGAGCGGTACTTATTTATCTACTTGCACTCTTGGGCATGCTTTTGAACTGCTAGGTTGGCAGAAGCAGGGACAGAGAAATGGGAGCTCACCCCATCGCAGGGATTCGAACCACCAACCTTCTGATCGGCCAGCCCAAGAGGATCAGTGGTTTATATAATGATAATAATAATAATAATAATAATAATAATAATAATAATAATAATATTTTTTTATTTATACCCCGCCCTTCCCGGTTCAGAAAACTGGGCTCAGGGTGGCTAACAACAAATTTAAAACACTTAATTGTAATACAACATAGAAGCAGCATAAAATACAGTATAAAAGCATGGATAACAATAAAATTCAAAGTTCAAAATCAATTTGGGGGGAAGTCCATCCAATAAACATTAGATAATCCTCAGGGCTAGCTGGCTGAATTAGTCCTACTTGGGCCAGCAAGGAGGCCAGGGGAGAATTAGCTGTGGGGTCTCAGAGCGGGTGATCTCCATAAAAGGGGAGGTGGGGGGAGAGAAGGGAAATAAAAGATCAGGCTGAATTCAAATTAAAGGCCAGGCGGCATAGCTCTGTCTTACAGGCCCTGCGGAAGGAGGTTAAATCCTGCAGGGCCCTAGTCTCCCATATACTCCCATAGAGACTACCTTACACTGCATTTAAAATCAAAATCGCATTTGGGTAGAAACTGTTTCTCAGGCGGCTAGTCCTAGTCTTTATAACCCTGGACCTTCTTCCAGAAGGCAGAAGCTGAAAGAGATCATTTCCGGGGTGCACACTATCCTGCGCTATCTCTGCAGCTGATCCAAGGTGGGAAGAGTGCACCCAATTATTCTCTCCGCAGTCTTTACAACCCTGGACAGCATTGTTTTTCCCCTGACCGTGGGAGCAGATCGTCGCCATCATAGTCGGCTCTCACACTACAGTGGACCCCATCCCAGAACCCGGAAGCGCATTCCCGCCTCCCCTTACCTCTGGAATAAGGAAGCCCCCTGTCACCCTGGGCCCTAGAGGCATGGTCATGTTCCAGATGACCAGGCAGGAGGCGGGGAGGACGGCGTCCAGCCGGTTGAAGACCGTCTCCAGGTTCTTGCGATATGCCTTCATGGAAGACGGGCCGTACCTGCTCAGAGAGTAGTAGTAATAATAATAATAATAATAATAATAATATCTTTATTGTCATTGCCCCCTTCGGGGACAACGAAATTACTTGACTGCTCCATAAAAACACTAATTAATCAATACAGTATAATACAGCAAGGAAGATTAGATGACTTTCAAAGTCCGGGCTTCCCATTCAGGACCGAGATCGCTCTGGAGAAGAAGCTGTTCTTAAGACGGCTCGTTCTTGTCTTCATCGTCCTGTATCTCCGTCCCGACGGCAAGAGCTCGAAGAGACAGTGGCCAGGATGCGATGGATCTTTTACTATGTCCAGTGCCTTCCTATGGCACCTTGTGGCATAAATCTGCTCTAAGGTGGAGAGTGGGCAGCCAACAATGCTCTCTGAGTAGAGGAAAGCACCAGTGTCAGGTCACAGCGGAGACCCCTTGGCCGAGCCAGGAGATTTCAGGGATCAGGCTGGGGAGTACCACTTTTATCTATCTATCTATCATCTATCTATCTATCTATCTATAATTTTTTATTGCTTTTCCAATTTTTTACAATTATATAACATCTTCCCTCCCTCCTCCTCCTGGTTTTCTTATATCAGGGGTCAACAAACTTTTTCAGCAGGGGGCCGGTTCATTGTCCCTCAGACCTTGTTGGGGGCCAGACTATATTTTTTTTTGGGGGGGGGAAATGAACAAATTCCTATGCCCCACAAATAACCCAGAGATGCATTTTAAATAAAAGCACACATTCTACTCATGTAAAAACACCAGGCAGACCCCACAAATATGTTCTATGCTGTGTACTTTGATTTTTTTTTTAGTTTCTTTTAGCTTTTTCCATTATTATTATTAAGGATTTTTCTTTTGCGATTTTGGTTGTTTATATTTATCTGTATTTATTTAAAGCAAAATAAAAGTATTAAAATAAATGAATGAATGAATGAATTTGGAGGAATAGGAAGAGACCTCTTCATCCCTGCTGCTACTGCTGGCAATTGCTATTCAGCGATTCCCCCCATGTTTCTAAAGAACGGCGCTATTTTATGGATTTTTGCACATCTGCCTTCTTGGAAAATGCCCAGTGGCTTATAGAGAAAGGGAGGAATATACATAATAGAATTGTGGAATCCCAGAGTTGGAAGGGACTTCAAGGGTCATCTATTCCAACCCCCTGCAACGCAGGAACATAGCTGCCAACTTTTCCCTTTTCTTGCGAGGAATCCTATTCAGAATAAGGGAATTTCCCTTTAAAAAAGGGAAACGTTGACAGCTATGCGCAGGAATCTTCTGTCCAACGTAGGGCTCGAACCCACAACCTGCAGATTAAGATTCTCACGCTCTGCCGACTGAGCTATCCCAGGACGCACCACCTACAAGAACATCGCAATAAACGTGACTCTGCCGGCGGCTCCACAGGCCTACCTAGAAACGTCCCAGACGCAGGAGTTGAGGACCAAGATGTCCGGTTGCGGTCCGGCTTGGAAATCTTCCAGAATGCTCTCCACATACTCTGAGTAGACGCGCGTGAGGAAGTAGAAGCGGACAAGGTGGTGGCCGGTGCGATACTGGCGCACCTCGCGGTAACGGGTGCCGTTGTGGAGGGAGCCCAGCACCCCTCCTTCCACCAGGTGGTCGTCTTCGAAGCGCAGCTCCCCCTGCAGATGGGGGTGAAGGGGAGACAGAAAGCAGTCAGAAGATTGTGGGGCCGGTTGGATATAACATACAGCTTAAAGAATGGGAGAGGTTCGTGCTGGGAATTGCAGCTCCATAAGGGACAAGCTAGGGACGCGGGTGGCGCTGTGGGTTAAACCACAGAGCCTAGGGCTTGCCGATCAGAAGGTCAGCAGTTCGAATCCCCATGACGGGGTGAGCTCCCGTTGCTCGGTCCCTGCTCCTGCCAACCTAGCAGTTCAAAAGCACGTCAAAGTGCAAGTAGATAAATAGGTACCACTCTGGCGGGAAGGTAAACGGCATTTCCGTGCACTGCTCTGGTTCGCCAGAAGCGGCTTAGTCATGCTGGCCACATGACCCGGAAGCTGCACACTGGCTCCCTCGGCCAATAAAGCGAGATGAGCGCCGCAACCCCAGAGTCAGCCATGACTGGACCTAATGGTCAGGGGTCCCTTTATCTTGAAGGGACAAGCTACAGTTCCCAGGATTCTTTACAGAAAGTAAAGTGCTTTAAATGTGTGGGTACGATCTTTGTCTGGATTCCAGTATTTCTTGGTGGTGTTTAACTGGAAAAGTAAGGATGGCAACTGAGGGACCTCTCGAGGAGCTTACTGATGCAATGACTTGTCCCATCTGCCTGGGATATTTCAAAGATCCAGTTGGTCCAGTATACCTGAAGGAGTGTCTCCACCTCCATCGTTCTGCCCGGACACTGAGGTCCAGCTCCGAGGGCCTTCTGGCGGTTCCCTCCCTGTGAGAAGTGAAGCTACAGGGAACCAGGCAGAGGGCCTTCTTGGTGGTGGCGTCCGCCCTGTGAAACTCCCTCCCATCAAAGAGAAAAATAACTACCAAACTTTTAGAAGACATCTGAGGGCAGCCCTGTTTAGAGAAGCTTTTAATGTTTAATAGGTTACTATATTTTAGTGTTTTGTTGGAAGCCACCCAGAGTGGCTGGGGAAACCCAGCCAGATGGGCATGGTATAAATAATAAATTATTTATTATTATTATTATTATTATTATTATTATTATTATTATTATCATCATCATCATCCTGTGATGTTGGACTGTGGGCATAATTTCTGCAGAGCCTGCATTGCCCAGTCCTGGCCTGAATCTGAGGGAGCCTCTGTTTGCCCCGAGTGCAGGAGACTCTATCAGCCAATGGACAGGAGGCCAAACTGGCAAAAGTGGTCCAGTGTGTCAAGGTGTGGGTGGAGAGACACCCAGAAAGGAGAAGGGAGGTGTGTAAAAGGCATCGGAAGCCCCCGAGTTCTTTTGTAAGGATGATGAAGCCCCCCTCTGTATGGTGTGTAAACGGACTGTTCTGTACTGAGTTGAATAGGATCCAAATGCAGCAGTCTGATTGGCCCTAGAGTAGGATCCAAAATGCAGCAGTCTGATTGGCCCTAGAATAGGATCCAGAATGCAGCAGTCTGATTGGTCCTAGAACAATAGGATCCAAAATGCAGCAATCTGATTGGTCCTAGAACAATAGGATCCAGAATGCAGCAGTCTGATTGGTCCTAGAATAGGATCCAGAATACAGCTGTCTGATTGGTCCTAGAACAATAGGATCCAGAATGCAGCAGTCTGATTGGTCCTAGAACAATAGGATCCAGAATGCATAAGTCTGATTGGCCCTAGAACAAGAGGATCCAAAATGCAGCAGTCTGATTGGTCCTAGAACAATAGGATTCAGAATGCAGCAGTCTGATTGGTCCTAGAACAATAGTATCCAAAATGCAGCAGTCTGATTGGTCCTAGAATAGGATCCAGAATACAGCAGTCTGATTGGTCCTAGAACAATAGGATCCAGAATGCAGCAGTCAGATTGGTCCTAGAACAATAGGATCCAGAATGCAGCAGTCTGATTGGCCCTAGAACAATAGAATCCAGAATGCAGCAGTCTGTTTGGTCCACAGGAGCCACCCAATCCAGCTCCAGGTGGAAGTGAATCCGCAACCTGATTGGCCTACAGGAGAATCCTGGAATTAGTCAATCACGTGGGGCCCATTGTGTAAATAATGTATATAAAGCAAACATTCTGGGGGAATTTCCATTCCTCCTCACCACTATGAGCTGAATAAAGAGCATGAAATCCATACTCCACTCCGAGTATATTTCACGGACCAAGGCACACAGCGGCCATAAAGTAGCCCTGTTGGAGGAGGTTGCCCGAGAGCTCAAGGAGAAAACCAAAGCCCAGCTGAAGGCTATGGAGGAAGAGAGGAAGAACCGTGAGGGCTGCAAAATTACTGAAGAGCCGGGAAGATCAGAATGGCTGAAAATGTGACTGGACCCAGGCATAGCACCCAATTCCCTGTCACTCTGTCTGAGGACCCTAAGGGTGTGAGACGCAAGGCGTAAAAGATTTGGAACCTGCCTGTCCGTCCATCCTCTGATATTGTACAAAACACAAAGGAATCCAACTTCCACTAGCATCCCTCTGAAGACAGAGTGTGAGTCCTGGGAAACTTTAGCCCCATCCCATAATTCAATGTGCATGTTCAGTCATGGGCGGGGGAGATGGCAGGCTCCACCTCCCTACCTGTAAACTTGCATTTGAACTCCCGTGTAAAATTCCCACATAGAGGGATCTGTTCAGGAATTCAAATGTACATTGTTGTTGTTGTTTAGTCATTTAGTCGTGTCTGACTCTTTGTGACCCCCTGGACCAGAGCACGCCAGGCACTCCTGTCTTCCACTGCCTCCCGCAGCTTGGTCAAACTCATCCTAGTAGCTTTGAGAACACTGTCCCACCATCTCGTCCTCTGTCGTCCCCTTCTCCTTGGGCCCTCCATCTTTCCCAACATCAGGGTCTTTTCCAGGGAGCCTTCTCTCCTCATGAGGTGGCCAAAGTCTTGGAGCCTCAGCTTCAGGATCTGTCCTTCCAGTGAGCACTCAGGGCTGATTTCCTTCAGAATGGAGAGGTTGGATCTTCTTACAGTCCATGGGACTCTCAAGAGTCTCCTCCAGCACCAGAATTCAAAAGCATCAATTATTTGGCGATCAGCCTTCTTGATGGTCCAGCTCTCACTTCCATACACCACTACTGGGAAAACCAGAGCTTTAACTATACGGGCCTGCTTCTGTTAAGGAAGCCTTAATACTCATCTTTACCTAGTTGATTCTTGGTTCTCAAATTCCTTCTAAACTAACACTTTTGCCCAGGCAGAAGACTGTTTTTTCCTGGACTTTGAGAGGATGTATTAGAACTTTAATTTCAGCCTTGCTTTGTGAGGTTTGGATGGATCCCTAAAATAAACTGTTGGGAACAATACCTCGGGCAGAGAGTCAATATACACCTGAGGTACCAGAGTCCTTGACTTACAATGGTTCCTTGAGTGAACTGGCAAGTGTTATAATGCCATCTCATCCATCTTGCATTTTTATGTGCTCATCAGATATTCTCATCAAGTGGCATCTCTTTGCTGAGGTTTGTTCTTATACAGTGGTACCTCGGGTTAAGTACTTAATTCGTTCCGGAGGTCCGTTCTTAACCTGAAACTGTTCTTAACCTGAAGCACCACTTTAGCTAATGGGGCCTTCTGCTGCTGGCATATTACATCATTAATTCGTTCCGGAGGTCCGTTCTTAACCTGAAACTGTTCTTAACCTGAAGCACCACTTTAGCTAATGGGGCCTTCTGCTGCTGGCATATTACATCTGTGAAATTAGCTCAAATGTATAAGATAAATAATAAATGTTGGAAATGTAACAAAAAAGAAGGAACATTTTATCATATGTGGTGGGAATATGATGAAAATGATGTATAGATGGTATATTACACCTGTGAAAATTAGCTAAAATGTATAAGATAAATAATAAATGTTGGAAATGTAAAGAAAAAGAAAAAACATTTCATCATATGTGGTGGAAATATAAGAAAGTAAAAAAAAACTTCTGGGAAATGATATATAATGAGATGGAAAAGATGTTGAAGTATACATTTTTTAAAAAACCAGCAACATTTATACTTGGTATTATAGATGAGGACATTAATAGACAAGACGTTAAATTGTTTTTATATGCAACAACAGCAGAGGCAAGAGTATTGTTAGCCCAGAAATGGAAGCAAGAAGAAATTCCAACAAAAGAAGAATGGCAGACGAAATTAATGGACTACGCAGAATTAGCTAAAATGACAGGAAGGATTCGAAACCTGCGGGACCAGAGATTTACAGAAGATTGGAAGAAATATACGAACTATTTGAAGAGCAACTGTAATCAACAAATTACGCTAGTAGGACTACAAGAAACTTTGTAAGGAGAAATATATGAAATATTGCAAAGAAGAGAAAGATTAGAGATATTAGTTATGAGATTTAAATGTAATAGTTAAAGAAATGTAAATTAAGTGAACAGATTGGAAAATCTTCAGATGTGATTGATGGAAGTCAAGAAACGGTATAAGATATAAAAGTGTTAAATTATTGCTGAAAATGATATGTTAAAAAACTAATTTTACACACACACACACACACACACACACACATATGAAGATTGTGGGGCTGGGGCACAAGATGGCGGCGGCGGCAGTGCTGGAGGCGGCGTCTCGTCAGATCTTCCGCATACCACATGTTGGACAAGTAAGGGGTTATTATGTTGACTGGAGGATGGTACACCTTGGTTTTTGAATATTTCAGAAGTCAAATGAACTTCCAGAACGGAGTAAGTTTGGCGCTTTTGTTTTTGCTGCCTATTTTGCGCTTTTGCTTTTTGAGGCTTTCTCGGTTCATTTGTTTTTGTGATGGTGTGGAACCCAGTTCAGCTAATAATCATCAGGCCAGTGGCCCACCTGGTCCAGCATCCTGTTCTTGAAGCGGCTGACCAGATGCCCCAATGCAGGCCTAGGCAAACTCGGCCCTCCAGATGTTTTGGGACTACAACTCCCATCATCCCTAGCTAGCAGGACCAGTGGTAGGGGATGATGGGAGTTGTAGTCCCAAAACATCTGGAGGGCCGAGTTTGCTTATGCCTGCCCCGATGCAGATAATTACAATAAGAACAGCACCATTCAGAAGAAGCAGTCAGTTCCCTGTTGGAACAAAGTCTTTGCCTGATGGCGGAAGGACGAGGAGGAGGGAGCCAGTCTGGCTTCTCTAGGGAAAGAGTTCCAAAGACTGGAAGGAGCCACCACAGAGAAGGCCCTGCCCCACGTCCCCACCAAGCCTGCCTGTGAAAGTGGCAGGACTGAGAGAAGGGCTTCTCTCGAAGATCTCCAGACCTGGGCAGATTTGTACGAGGGGATACGGTCTTTCAGAGAGCTTGGACCCAAGCCAGGTATTTCGGACCAGCCCCGGGGAATACGGCAGGCGTCACCTCCTCACCCCCAACCCCTGGTGTGGAACGGCCTCCGTCAGCTACCTTGGACTTCAGCTGGGAAGCCGTCAGCAAGGAGTCGCTCTGCAGCAGCTGGACCAGATCCTTGTAAACACATCGCTGGACTGCAAGAGGAGGAGGAAACACAACAAGGAGAATTAGCCTTCTCCTTCCCCTCTGATCCAAGTACAGTGGACGCTCGGGTTGCGAACGTGATCCGTGTGGGAGGCATGTCCGCAACCCGCAGCGCCGCGTCTGTGCACGCGCAGGTTGCGATTCTGCGCAAAGCACAGTTTAGTGGTTCTGTGGGTGTGCGACCGCCGAAACCCGGAAGTAACCTGTTCTGGTACTTCCAGGTTTCGGCGCATCCGTAACCCAAAAACGCGCAACCTGAAGTGTCTGTAACCCGTTGTATGACTGTACAGGAGAGGTGGTGTACATGCAAACATAAGGTGCGCCTCCTGGATCAGGCCCATGGCCCATCTAGTCCAGCATCCTGTTTTCACAGCGGCCGAGGATATGCCCCAGTGGGAAACCCCTGAGCAGGATCTGAACACAAGATCCCTCTCATCTTCTGTGATTTCCAGCAATTCAGAAGCATCGCTGCCTCCTATTGTGGACGGCAGAGCGTAGCCATCCTGGCTAATAGCCACGTATAGTTCTCTCCTACTCCATGAATTTGCCCAATCCTCTTCCTCCCTCTTGTGGCAGGGAGTTCCAGAGTTTAACCACGCACCACGCAATGGACTGTCTTTTTCATCTGTTCTGAAACTGCTTCGCTGGTTGTCCACCAGCGTTACGAGAGAGGGAGAGAAGCTTTCCTCTCTCTCCCCTTTCTCCATTCCACCCTTCCTGGCAGAAGCTGAACGGGATCCCCAGAGTTCATCTAGCCCAACCCTCCTGCCTCACCTCCTCCAGAAGAACGGACTCACTCACTTGAGTCGCCCAGGATGACCACGAACTTGTTGTGCAGGAGCTGGTGAGCCTCTTTCGAACTGAACGTCGGCATGCTCTGCGTCTTCCGGCCGAGAGTAGCCTTGCGCCTGCCGGAGAAGAGAAAAGAAAGACTCGCCCGCCCAGATTGCACTGGTACAATCTTCCAGCTCCAACTGGCAGCTTCTGATGTCCCGGCGATCGTAATACGTGGCTGGAGGGATGCGTCTGACCTGCAGGCCTGTGTGAATCAAAGGGGAAGAGAGGGGGATTATTGGAGTCCTAGAATCGTAAAGTTGGAAGGGACCAAGAGGCCATCTAGTCCAACCCCCTGGAGTGAAGAAGATGGTTGTTGTTTTTATTCTGTCTTTTATCAGGGGGTTTGGGCTGGGTGTTCATCAATATGCAGATGATACCCAGCTCTACCTCTCTTTCAAATCAGAACCAGTGAAGGTGGTGAAGGCCCTGTGTGAGTGCCTGGAGGCAGTTGGAGGATGGATGGCGGCTAACAAATTGAGGTTGAATCCTGACAAGACAGAAGTACTGTTTTTGGGGGACAGGGGGCAGGCTGGTGTGGGGGACTCCCTGGTCCTGAATGGGGTAACTGTGCCCCTGAAGGACCAGGTACACAGCCTGGGAGTCATTTTGGACTCACAGCTGTCCATGGAGGCGCAGGTCAATTCTGTGTCTAGGGCAGTTGTTTATCAGCTCCGTCTAGTACACAGGATGAGACCCTACCTGCCCGCAGACTGTCTCACCAGAGTGGTGCATGCTCTGGTTACCGTATTTTTCGCCCTATAGGATGCACCGGCCCATAGGACGCACGTAGTTTTTGGGGGGGGATAAAGAAAAAAATTTTTATCCCCCCCCCCAGCCACGGGAACTCCCGCAGGGCTCGCCAGGCTGCGGATAGCTTCCCGAAGCGCGGGGCGCTCTGCTTCAGTGCGCCCCTCACTTGGGCAAGCAGGCTGCTATCCGCAGCCTAGGGAGCCCTGCGGGAACTCCCTCGGGCTCCCCAGGCTTACGGATAGCTTCCTGAAGCCTGGAGAGAGAGATGGGTCGGTGCACACCGACCCCTCTCGCTCTCCAAGCTTCAGCGAAAGCCTGCATTCGCCCCATAGGACGCACACACATTTCCCCTTCATTTTTGGAGGGGGAAAAGTGCGTCCTATAGGGCGAATAATACGGTATCTCCCGCTTGGACTACTGCAATGCGCTCTATGTGGGGCTACCTTTGAAGGTGACCCAGAAACTGCAGTTAATGCAGAATGCGGCAGCTAGACTGGTGACTGGGAGTGACCGCCAAGACCACATAACACCGGTCCTGAGAGACCTACATTGGCTCCCAGTACGTTTCTGAGCACAATTCAAAGTGTTGGTGCTGACCTTGAAAGCCCTAAACAGCCTTGGTCCAGTAGACCTGAAGGAGCGTCTCCACCTCCGTAGTTCTGCCCGGACACTGAGGTCCAGCTCCGAGGGCCTTCTGGCGGTTCCCTCATTGTGAGAAGTGTAGTTACAGGGAACCAGGCAGAGGGCCTTCTCGGTGGTGGCACCCACCCTGTGGAACGCCCTCCCTTCAGATGTGAAGGAAATAAGCAGCTATCTTATTTTTAAAAGACATCTGAAGGCAGCCCTGTTTAGGGAAGTTTTAAATATTTAATGCTGTATTGTTTTTAACACTTGATTGGAAGCCGCCCGGAGTGGCTGGGGAAACTCAGCCAGATGGGCGGGGTATAATTAATAAATTATTACTATTTTTTTATTATTATTACAATCCCCCACGCCAAAGTCCCTGAAAGGCCGCAGAAACAAAACTCCGTGGTGGGGAAAGGAAGGGGGAATTGGCACAGCCAGAGAGGGCCTGCCCCAGGGAAGCTGCCCAACCGTGGATCTGAGGCCACACCAATTTGGCCCACGCGGTTTCGAACCCTGAAAATCACGTGAAAGAACTAGGGAACTTACCTTCAGGCCTGGGTCCAACTGGGAGTAAGTGGAGATTTCTGGGCCACCGTTTAAAAACCTCTGCCTTGGTTCATCGTTAATTCCCTTTCCATTGTGAACGTTCTGCTTCTTGCATACTGGGATGAGCGAATTGTTTTAAGGGAAAGTTACAGTCAAGCAAGGTAGTTGAGATCATAGAATGGCAGCGTTGGGAGGGACCTCCGAAGACCATCTAGTCCAACTGCGAGAACCCCACAGTCGAAATGCCTTTTACGAAAACCCACGAAACATGCAGACAAAATGCAGCTACAGCAATGCAAACCAAGCCTTGGGGGGGTCACCCCCTGTCTGCTAGCAAGTCCTCCAAGAAAGCTCAGGGTGGAAAATGTATGGATTTCCTAATTTTGCATGCACAACAACCCTGTGAAGTAGGTCAGGCTGCGAGACAAAGACTCATCAAGGTCTTTTCTTTTTAAGTGCAAGGTCTACACCATGGGTAGGCAAACTAAGGCCCAGGGGCCGGATACGGCCCAATCGCCTTCTAAATCCGAGAATCAGCATGCTTTTACATGAGCAGAATGTGTGCTTTTATTTAAAATGCATCTCTGGGTTATTTGTGGGGCATAGGAATTTGTTCATTTCCCCCCTCTCCAGAATATAGTCCAGCCCCCCACAAGGTCTGAGGGACAGTGGACCGGCCCCCTGCTGAAAAAGTTTGCTGACCCCTGGTCTACACCCTAACAGCCAAGGAAGGCTTTTACGCTTATTTGCTGGGATTTTACGCTCAAATTTCAGAGCCATGAAACTCACCTGACAATTTGAAGTGCCTCTGGCCTCTCTCTAGTCCATGCTTTCTCAACTGGGGTCAGAGCCTAGCAAGCACTCAGGAGAGTGCTGCAAGTACTTACTTGAGTTGCATGAAAAGGAGGCCCCAATCCACTGCAATCCAAAGAGCCAAACAGCAGGAAAAGTTTGGGGAGCTCTTGCTTGCATTTAAAAGCAACCGGTGAGCAAGCAGAATTGGCTCCTCAGCTTTATCCCAGGTGGGATATGAGTGCCCCGCCCTTCATTTGCAGTGAAAAGGGGCAGATCCGAGACACAGACACCAAAAATGGCCGCAATACACAAGGCACTTGCTCAGGAGTAACCCAATTCGTCTCGTTGGGCTTCTTCCGGGGAGAACAAACTGAGGACTGAGGCTACGCAAAGCCAAAAATCACTGAAGCCACAATCTTCTGTTTGTTTACTGGAGAGTAAGCCCTCTACCAAACTCAGCGGGTCTTACTTCTGAGTAGGTCAGATCCACACCAAACATTTAAAATAATCTTAGCCGACAGACAGTAGCAATATATGTAACAACACAATTCTTATAACTAACATCCTTTGTACTCCCAATGATGTGAATGATGGTAAAACTTGTAAAACAAGAAATTAAAAATGACTTCCAATTAGTCTTGCTGTACTTTTATCTGTTGATTATCTTACACCGCACAGTTACATATTTCTTATATAGTTTCTGTTAACTTCCCTATAAACTTATTTTTATACAATGCAAGGTTCAGTCTAATTCTGCCAAGAAGCTTCCTTTTATACTGTAATTTTTATACTGTATTCTGTTTGTTTGTCAATTTATAGTTTGTTTATAGTTTATTTAATTGTATGTTTGTCTGTTGGTTTGTTTCCTTTCCTGGAATAAATGCATCTATTTTAAAACAATAAAGTAAAAAAAAAAAAACCTTAGCCATGACTTCCCCTACAGAATACCGGAACTATAGTTTGCTTAAGAGCCTCCTTGACCTTACAGAGCTAAAATTTCACCTCTTTTACTGTTAATTATCCTTAAAACGTTTAAAACTGCTTTTAACAGTTAGTTTTAATAGTCCTTGTAATCCCAGCGGTTTTATTACAATCAAGCGGTGTATATTTTTTTGTTAAATCGGTTTTTTAAAAATGTGTGTGATGGAGAACTTTAAAAAGAGGTTCCTAGACTGGAGGGATTTCTCCCAGAAACTTATAAGCAAAAGAATGGGAGCTCCAAGGGAAAAGACAGGGCTTTGCTGAAACGCAAATGGGCAAACTCAAAAACAAGGAGGCTGCACAGAACCACATCCAAAGCAATGTTTCTTGTACACTTCCAGATTACAGTGGTACCTCGGGTTAAGTACTTAATTCGTTCCGGAGGTCCATTCTTAACCTGAAACTGTTCTTAACCTGAAGCACCACTTTAGCTAATGGGGCCTCCTGCTGCTGCCACGCCGCCGAAGCCTGATTTCTGTTCTTATCCTGAAGCAAAGTTCTTAACCTGAAGCACTATTTCTGGGTTAGTAGAGTCTGTAACCTGAAGCGTATGTAACCTGAAGCATATGTAACCCGAGGTACCACTGTATATGTGCCATTTCATTCCACCAATCACAGGATCACAAGGTTTTTTTAGCTTTGCCCAAAGTTGTTTGCCCTTTTTGAGCCAGGAATCAGCAAAAACAACACAGCCAACATCCTAAGACCAGATTTTCCCGGAGATTTAGCCAATTTCCACCTGGACGCCCTGCTAGGATGCCATTTAAAAGACAATATGCGTAATATATTGAATATAATTGAATACTTAGAAACCAAGATAAATAATTAAGCTGCATTAATTTTTATAGACGCGGAGAAGGCGTTTAATCATGTGTCTTGGTTCTTTATGAAAAAGAATCTAGAAAATGGGTCTAGGCATAAACTTTAAGAAGCATAGAGGAAATTTATAAAGATCAAAATGTGAAACTTAGAGTAAATAATGGATTGGCAGAGAGTTTTCAAATCACAAAGGGCACAAGACAGGGGTGCCCACTGTCGTCTCTATTGCTCCTATCTACACTTGAAGTGCTATTATAAAACATAAGAGAGACAGAAAAAATTACAGGAATAAAATGCGGGGTAAAAGAAGAATATAAAGTCAAAGTGTTGGCTGATGATATAGTCTTAACATTACAGGAACCACAATCCTCATTAGTGGAAGCGTTAAAAGTAATTGAAGAATTCGGATCAATGGCAGGACTTAAAATTAATAAAAACAAAACAAAGCAAAAATGATGCTAAAAAAATATGAAGGTGGAACAATCGGATCAGTTACAAAGTAAAACGGAAATAACAGTGGTAAAGAAAAGATAATACTTGGGTGTCTGGCTTTCCCCCCAAAATACTAACCTATTCAAGGATAACTACACAATAACATGGAAAGAAGTAAAAACAAATTTCCACCTGCACGCTTCTCTGGATTCTAACAGTTTAATATTTACAGTACAGTAAGGAAAAGCAGCTAGTTCTGTACTGTAAAAGGCAGCTGCAGGGCCTTTGAGCTTGGCTAGGCCATGTAGACTTGAAATAAAACGGAATCATCCCCTAAAAAAGAGTTTTATGAAATGATTGTTTCCTCCAATACATGCAAGGATTGCAACCTGTTAAGCAAGCAACTGCACAGGCTCCCTGCAGGAGGAGCACAGCAACCCTATTTGTGCTACTCTTGAAGTAACAGGGCAACCCCATTCATAAGTTTTTCCTTCCAGAATAATGGCTCAGAGGTTCATTTTGCTGCAACGTTTAGCTTATTTGTCTTAGTTGCTGCTGCTTTGTTAACAGAGTTTTATGGGTTGCAATTATTCTACTGCTGATTTGTTAATGATTTCGTATTGCGCTATTGTTATTTACTGTTTGTAAGTCGCTTTGGGATTCAATCAATCAATCAATCAATCAATCAATCAATCACCCCACCGACCATACTTCCTCTCCCCCCATGCGTTGCAAGAATCCCCTCCGGCTCTTACAGGCCACTTACCGACGTTAGCAGCCCTTGCAATTGCAGCCTGCAGCTCCGGAGCACGTGCAAAGGGCAAACCGCTCCCCCCAAAACGTCCCCATAGGGGCTTCAGCGCCCCCTGCTGGCCGCGTTTATTATGGCACTTAAGGAACGGGCTTTGGGCATCTCCATGGTCTTAAAGGAGCCGTGCTCCAGGTCAAGGTCAAGGAAATGGGTCCATTTACAAATAAAGCTGTATTCGATGGGTGAAAGGACATATGATTTTTGACATGACTGAGAATCGCATAGCCAGGGACGGAGAACTTGAAAGCGTTAAGACCAGAAGGCGGAAAATATGAAAACAACGAAAAGAGGCAGGGCTGAAGATTTGGAGATATGCTTCAGAGGTCCAGACTATGGGGAGCCCGGAAAAATTAATAATTACAATTTGGACTACAATTTGGACCTTTTTTAAATTTTAGTTTCTTGTTTTTAATTGGATTATGATGCGGATACGTTGATTGGCTGTTTTTATTGAAAAATCGGTAAAAAGGATTTTTTAAAAATATAAAATAATAAAATAATAATAATAAAAGGAAATGGGTCAATGGACTGGCAAAGGGCTTCCAAGGATCCTGCAAAAGGACACGAAGGCATGAGAACCCCACCTTCGCCAGCTCTGGCCCCAGCTTTTGGAACATGAAGAGGTAGACTGCCTCTGAAGCTGGAAGCTCCATTTAAACCGACAGATTTTTCTGGACTACAACTCCCATCAAGGGCCTGGAAGCTGAGCCTTATGAGGAACGGTTGAAGGAGCTGGGCATGTTTAGCCTGGGGAAGAGGAGGCTGAGGGGAAATAGGGAGCACCACCTTCAAATATCTCCAGTGCAGGATGGAGCAAGCTTGTTTTCTGCCAAAGCAATAACAACAACAACAACAACAACAACAACTTTTTATTTATACCCCGCCCTTCTGGCTGGGTTTCCCCAGACCCTCTGGGCGGCTTCCAACAGAACACTAAAATACAATAACCTATTAAACATTAAAAGCTTCCCTAAGGAGGGCTGCCTTCAGATGTCTTCTAAAAGTTTGGTAGTTATTTTTCTCTTTGACATCTGCTGGGAGGGTGTTCACAGGGCGGGTGCCACTACCAAGAAGGCCCTCTGCCTGGTTCCCTGTAAATTGGCTTCTCGCAGGGAGGGAACCGCCAGAAGGCCCTCGGCACTGGAGCTCAGTGTCCGACTGAAGGGAAGTTTTCTTTCTGCAGTTTCTCTTACTGCACATAACTGTGGCATTATGGGAAGTCTTACTATGAAATCTTTCTATGCTTACTATGAGAACTCTTGCTTCTTTCCTCTTACATTCTGGGAAGTTTTTGCTTCTGCACAAGAGTCTGAGAATGTTCTGAACAGTTCCCATTGAGTTCATGAAACAGTGTATCCTGACCTGTTCTTAATGCATTGCTGACCACATCCACAGAACGTGATTGTTGTATTCCTTCATGTTATGTTCCTTCAATATCAATCTTTAGTTATAATTTAATTAGGAGGTTTCATGCCTGTCTAGTTCCAGCTCCGTTCCCAGTCCTTGATCTATCAGTGATTGATGTTATATGTTATTCCCGCCTTGTACCTATGTTAACCAATCAGCAACAAGATGCTTTGTGTTTGTATCAACCAATCAGCCACAAGCACACGTGTGGCAATGTTTGTAATATTCAATAAAAGAGAGTTCCCGGGACTTGTCCCGGCAGACGTCTCTCCTTTGACACCCACCATTCGTCTGTCGTGATTTTCAACCCAACATCCGACCAGAACGATGCGGGTGAAGACGCTCCTTTAGGTATACTGGGCTGAGGCCGTTTAGGGCTTTAAAGGTCAGCACCAACACTTTAAATTGTGCTCGGAAACATACTGTGAGCCAGTGTAGGTCTTTCAAGACTGGTGTTATATGGTCTCAGCGGCCGCTCCCAGTCACCAGTCTGGCTGCTACGTTCTGGATTAGTTGTAGTTTCCGGGTCACCTTCAAAGGTAGCCCCACGTAGAGCGCATTGCAGTAGTCCAAGCGGGAGATAACTAGAGTATGGACCACTCTGGCGAGACAGTCTGCGGGCAGGGAGGGTCTCAGCCTGCGTACCAGGTGGAGCTGGCAGACAGCTGCCCTGGACACAGAAAGGACCTGCGCCTCTATGGACAGCTGTGAGTCCAGAATGACTCCCAGGCTGCGCACCTGGTCCTTGAGGGGCACAGTTGCCCCATTCAGGACCAGGGAGTCCCCCACACTTACCTGCCTCCTGTCCCCCAAAAACAGTACTTCTGTCTTGTCAGGATTCAACCTCAATCTGTTAGCCGCCATCCATCCTCCGACCGCCTCCAGACACTCACACAGGCCCTTCACCGCCTTCGCTAGTTCTGATTTGAAAGAGAGGTAGAGCTGGGTATCATCCGCATACTTAATGGATTCGGATTGGATTCCTTTAACATCCAGACAGAGAAATGTGTTCCCGCCCCCCCCCCAGCTCAGTAATGACTCCAAGGAAAACAAGGCAAAACTTCCTCCCTTCCACAGAACTCAGCTGGCTTATGTGATAAGGACATATTTTTCCTCCGTGGGAAGGCTTTTACAAATTTGTTTCTGCTTTGTTTCAGACCAAAAGACTCTCTCTCTGCCTAGCAGTCATTTCAGGCAGCATGCATGACCTAGTTCAAAGGTCTCTGGTGCGAATTCTGCCATGTTTCCATTTATTGATTGCATTTTTATTCCACTTTTTTTCTCCTGGGAACTCAAATCATTCTCCCACTCCTCATTTAACCCTCACAACAACCCTGTGAGGTAGGTCAGGCTGAGAGGCCACACCTGGTGAACTTCAAGGTCGAGTGGGGATTCGAACCCGGTTCAACCCACTAACCACACCATACTGCCTCCTATCTAAGTGGGAGGGATTTTCAGGGGATCATGCCCAGGAACTGATCTGGGCTCTACAAAATACCCATTTCACAGAACAAAAGCTGGCAACGTACAGAAACCAGCCCACTATCAGAAATTTAAAACACCTAAACCCTAAGCCATAAAACACCCCACTTTTTAAAAAAAAAATGGGAAGGGGCTGCATGGTGGCAAAAGACAGATTCCATGTAAAGTACAAATAAGGATATCATTTATTTGTGTAGCCAAACCCACTACAAAAATAGATATAAACAATATACACAAAAATACACCAAACAGAATATAAGACATTACGCAGTTAAAATAATTAAAACCAGGTGTTCTTTCAGATAAGTTTTCTCCCCTGGTGAATTTAGCTTATCATCCGCACAGAATTTTCTCCTTAAAGCTGCTACTCTGAAGGCAAAAGAAGGCCACTTTTTTGGAGGCTTAAAGGTAAAGGTAAAGGGACCCGTGACCATTAGGTCCAGTCATGACCGACTGTGGGGTTGTGGCGCTCATCTCGCTCTATAGGCCGAGGGAGCCAGCGTTTGTCTGCAGACAGCTTCCGGGTCATGTGGCCAGCATGACTAAGCCGCTTCTGGCGAACCAGAGCAGCGCACGGAAATGCCGTTTACCTTCCCGCCGGACTGGTACCTATTTATCTACTTGCACTTTGACGTGCTTTTGAACTGCTGGGTGGGCAGGAGCAGGGACCGAGCAACGGGAGCTCACCCCATCACAGGGATTCAAACCGCCGACCTTCTGATCAGCAAGTCCTAGGCTCTGTGGTTTAACCCACAGCGCCACCCGCGTCCCATAAATCTGGAATACAGATGTAAATCTGGATTACATAGATACAATTGAGAAGACTGGTGGCGTGATGAGGATTATCCAAAACGGAGTTGTATTTGAGAGGCTTGTGCAAGGTTATTTGCAACACCTTGTCCTTCAGCACTTCCCAGGTGAGCAGCTGGTCTGCCTGCAGGATGGAGATCAGGTCTTTATAGATTGACCGGTAAACTGCAAAGGGAAATAGACACATACAGTATTGGCAGTGAGGACTCTGAGGCGGCCACAAAGGACATCCGCTGCCAAGGAAATGCCTGCCGGACCCCCACCACAGCTCTCCCCAATGCCTGGTCCTCAAATGGATAAAACGGGGGAAGTGTTGGGTGGGCACAAAGTGATTTTCTGAACCCCCACAAACGGCCAACTTCCAGCTCTGCAATTCTATGATTCTATGATCTGGACATTGGCAAAGGCAACAAAAGGCTGGTCTTTCCTTGGGTTGGCCAGACTCCTTAGACAACAAGAAACTGAGTCTTTTAGTGCTATTGGTCCAGTATTGTGGAAATCTCTTTCAGTAGAGATTCAGCTGGTGCCTTCTGATGGTTCCCCCACTGCGAGAAGCCAAGTTACAGGGAACCAGGCAAAGGGCCTTCTCGGTGGTGGCACCCACCCTGTAGAACGCCCTCCCACCAGATGTCAGAGGAAAACACCTACCAGACTTTTAGAAGACATCTGAAGGCAGCCTTGTTTAGGGAAGCTTTTAATGTTTAATAGGTTATTGTATTTTAATATTCTGTTGGAAGCCACCCAGAGTGGCTGGGGAAACCCAGCCAGATGGGCAGGGTATAAGAAATAAATTATTATTATTATTATTATTATTATTATTATTATTTCAACTAATAAACGCCTGCTGCTGAAAACTTTTATATTCCATTAAGCTTATGCAGGCAATTAAGACTACCTCTTTCCTTCCATAGCAGTTAGCTCATTTCTGACTTTAACTTTTTAATGTTTTTTATTGTGTGGTTTTATGCACAATTGTTGTAAACTGCTCTGATATTTTTAACGAATTATTATTATTATTATTATTATCATATATTTATTTATACCCTGCCTTTTTCCCTGAGAGGGACTCAAAGCGGCTTACAGATAAACTAGAGTCATAGGGAAAAAATATTGTGGTATGTAATTATTATTTTTAGGGGGGGGGGGAAGTTTTAAGAAGGTGCGGGGAGGGGGGGAGAGAATGTGAGTCAACATCCCTATTCTCTTCATTTATATGAACTTTCTTCCAGAAAACCTCAACTTTCTATACTTTTCAAGTGGTCTTTCATTACCCATCCTGTTAGCATCATGGTGTCAATTCTAAAAAAACAAAAACAAACCAGCTCTGTAATGATCAATGGCCAAGTCACAATCAAATTACTCAATCTTTATTGTGGTCAAAGACCAGACAACAGAAATAACATCAGCAACATGTACTACAGTGGCATTAAGGGGCGAATGTGGTGGACAAAATTAAAAATTCCCTATATACTTATTTACGTTAAAAAAATAACACTCCTCCGGCTAAAATCTATGATCCAGAGTTTAAAATCAATATTTATTCACTGACCATCGCTGTCATTGCAGCCTGTCTTGTCCTTGTTGCCACAAACCAGAATATTCAGAAAGCCAAGTCACAAAAACTTTGCGATAATCCCATTCCAAAAACCTCAGGGAAGAAATAAATGTCTCATTTTTGTTGCAATGTAGGGAAACGGGAGTTTGGAACTGCAAAGATTACACGCGCACTGTTTGTTCAACCTTTCTTCCTGGAAATTCCCAATTTCCTCTCTTTCTCCCTGTGTATGGCTTGTTAGTATCCATAAATCTGTCTCTGTCCCACACACATTCCAGCACCAAGGAAAACGCATCTCTGCTCGTGGAAGGCAGTTAAGGATGCTCATGAACCCAACTTTGGCTTCGGAGCTTCCTCCATTCTGGCCAATGGTTCCAGTAGCCCTTGTCCCAGGACACATGGGTTCAGATAAGACCGGACTAACAAACCCACTGAATTGCAATTTAGGGAGGTGGGGACTTCGGGGGTCGGCCCCCTTTCCATGCAGCGCCGCAAACTTCGCGGAGTTTTCTTGCAAAGCGCGCAGAACCAAAAAAGCAGCGCGTGGGAAGCAGGCGCGCGCGCGCTTTCCCTTTGGAGATGCTCCTGGAGAGCCCTGGGGCACTTTGGGAATTTCCCGCAACTGGTGTCAAGTTTTCAGCAAAACCTTTCCCGGAAATTGTTTCATCCACACGCAGACACCGCCGACGCACCAAAACAACAACAAAACCACCTTGCTGTGAAACGAAACCGACTCCCGGGCTATGAAAATAGCATCCGCCGTCGGAGGCTTTCGAGGAAACAAAAGTGAAGGGAGGCGCCGGTCGCGTTTCCTCAGTTTGGACGCGAGCTTCGCCTAATCCGGTCTTCGCCAAATCCGAATCGTTTGATGAAGTCAGAGGCGCTCGCAGGGTGCAAAGAAAGGAGTCCTTTCTGGGATGTGGCCCTCGACTTTACGCACACATTTGTGTCATCGTGCCTCTCCGAAATGGTAGCTGCTTATGGGCCTAGGCGGGGGGGGGGGCAGTTGTTGTCCCCCCCCCCGAATTCACCCACCCCCTAATATTCTTAAAAGTGTCTCTTCTCCAGTCTTCAGAGAGCAGCTGGAAATGGGGAGGCAGAAAAAGGTCCTCCTTTCCTTCCACTCTGCAGTTTTAATCTGAAATCTTAGGCGCAGTACTGCGCTCAGAGCTCAGAAGCTGCTCACGCTAATGAAATTCCCTGTCGCAAAATGCACCGAGAACAATGGGAGTTTTGAACACTGGTACCAACCAAGGAAGGGACGTGGGTGGCGCTGTGGTCTAAACCACTGAGCCTCTTGGGCGTGAAGGGGTGAGCTCCCGTTGCTCGGTCCCTGCTCCTGCCAACCTAGCAGTTCGAAAGTACGCCAGTGCAAGTAGATAAATAGTTCCTGCTCCAGTGGGAAGGTAAACAGCGTTTCCGTGCGCTGCTCTGGTCTGCCAGAAGCGGCTTAGTCATGCTGGCCACATGACCTGGAAGCTGTACGCCGGCTCCCTCGGCCAATAAAGCAAGATGAGCGCCGCAACCCCAGAGTCGGCCACGACTGGACCTAACGGTCAGGGGTCCCTTTACCAACCAAGGAGAAGTGGCAGAATAAATTTATGGACTATGCCGAAATGGCAAAACTAACGGGAGCAATAAGGAATCAAGAGGAGAAAAGCTTTATCAGAGACTGGGGGGAAATGGTAGATCATTTGAAATGTTATTGCGCACACATAAATTCATTAGCAGGACTAATTTAAACCAAACAGGTAAAATAGAACTTAAAGGGAAACCAGGGGGTAATTAATACTTGGAATAATGAAGAAAATGCAAGGTTATAAATTAAAATAAAATTAGAAACCCCAAAAGGGATGGGAGTGAAGGAAGTCAGAATATTTTTGTTTATTGTAATATTGGATTTGTATAGTTGTCAAAATATTTTTTAAAAACTGAAAAATAATATTTTAGAAATGCATATAATCCTAGCAAATGTTAGCATATAATGTAAACCAAGCTAGTTCCTGGGTTGAGGTCATTGCTTGAGTGATGGGCCATTAAGGAAGGCAAAGAGACAGGGCTCTGTGTGAGACATCAACTGCCCCTCAATTTGCACAAAAGGTAGAGTTTAGAGTTGAAAGTGTGCATAATATGACCTAGAAAAAGCAGCAGGCTGGGAGGCCAGAGAGGCAGAGCAGGAAGTTTGTGCTCTTCCTTCTGTTGTTGTTGTTTAGTCGTTTAGTCGTGTCCGACTCTTCGTGACCCCATGGACCAGAGCACACCAGGCACTCCTGTCTTCCACTGCCTCCTGCAGTTTGGTCAAACTCATGTTGGTAGCTTCAAGAACACTGTCCAACCATCTCGTCCTCTGTCGTCCCCTTCTCCTTGTGCCCTCCATCTTTCCCAACATCAGGGTCTTTTCCAGGGAGTCTTCTCTTCTCATGAGGTGGCCAAAGTATTCAAGCCTCAGCTTCAGGATCTGTCCTTCCAGTGAGCACTCACCTCCTTCTGTTGCTGCTACATATATCCAAAGACACCAGAGTCTCTGTTTTGCCTTGTTCCCAAAAGGAACCACAAATTAAGCACCTGGAATTGGAGGCTAGGATGGGGTGCAACACTTATTTAAAAGCCTGTCCGTGTTTGTTCCGGTTCCTTGTTTCCTGCAGCCAGTGCTTTTTTCCCTTAAAAAATGTTGAGGGGTACTCTCATTTTCCTACTCCTATTGAAATACTGCCCCTCAATGAGGCCAAACTTAAGATTCACAAAATGTTTAGGGGTATGCGTCCCCCCCACATTCCCCCCCCCAGAAAAAAACACTGCCTGCAGTTGTTTTTTATTTAGTGCATTCAAGAAAGTTTGACCTACGAGTGAAAACCTGACATCAATGCAATTATTTGTTTTTATTTTTTTAAGGAAGGATCATGCAGAGTTGCATGTTTGAGCTGAGAACTGAGACTTTAACTCTTTTTATATGAGATGGTTTGTTTTTGTTATGCACCCCCAAAACACTCAGTAGCATAAACAGGTAGCTTACTATTTAATGGTACAGTCGTACCTTGTATCCCAACCGCCTTGCAAGTCGAACGTTTGGGCTCCCAAACGCTGCAAACCCGGAAGTGAGTGTTCCGGTTTCCGAAAGTTCTTTGGAACCCACACGTCCGACGTGGCTTCGGATTGGCTGCAGGAGCTTCCTGCAGTCAATCAGAAGCTGTGCCTTGGTTTCCAATCGTTTTGGAATTCGAACTGTAATAACCGGAAATCTGCCCTTATTCCCTTATGGGGGACACAAGAGCCCTTATAGAGTCCTTTGCAGGTTCTCCATTGGTCGGAGAAAATAACAGAGGAGAGAATATTGAGAAGCAAAGCAGCTAGTAAGCCTGATCTTTATTGAACTGTTGCAACAGGGTGCCCCCTTCACACGCAGGAGAAGGAGGAAGACCCCGAAGAAAGGTGTGTCCGCCCTTATATAGACAGTTTAAATTGCCCGCACTGGAATCCAAGACCACCCCCAGATACATCATACCTACATCACAGAAGGGGCGGTCTACAACAGCAATCTGAATGCGTTGTTTATCTCCTGTCTGGCAGGTTACCTGTTAATGCTTACTTGATTGGATACCCTGGGGAGCCTGGCCAGTCTTTTGTAATGACAAATACAGTGGTGCCTCGCAAGACGAAATTAATCCGTTCCGCGAGTCTCTTCGTCTTGCGGTTTTTTCGTCTTGCGAAGCACGGCTATTAGCGGCTTAGCGGCTTTAAGAAAAAGGAAACAAACTCGCAAGAACTCGCAAGACGTTTCGTCTTGTGAAGCAAGCCCATAGGGAAATTCGTCTTGCGGAACGACTCAAAAAACGGAAAACTCTTTCGTCTTGCGCGTTTTTTGTCTTGCGAGGCATTCGTCTTGCGAGGTACCACTGTACTTCGTTCCTGAGCCAGGTCCCAGGCTCACCCTATTCATACACAGACATACCCTTAAGACAGGATTTGTGAAGGAAAAGACAATGGGGAGGCTTTTCCGTTTTCCTTTGACTTTGAAGAAAACATTTGGTCAGTTTGGGAGCCAAAATAGCTTCATGGCTGTTTTCCTGTGCTGCTTCAGACGTGGTTTATATATTTATGTACATGTTTGCTTGGTACATTTATGAACATTATATATATGAATGAGACCTTAATTTTTTTATTTCAGTATAAAATACTCTGTGATCATAGAACTGTGGAGTCGGAAGAGGGACCCCATGGGTCTTGTAGTCTAACCCCCTGCAATGCAAGCAAAGGGGAAAGCTATGTTTTCTTGTTTTATCTGAATTCGTTTTGCAGCTTAGCCATATGCCCATGAACTGCAGGTAGCCCTTTTCAGTAGACTGATGTTTATAGATAGCGACTATAGCAACCGGATTTCCCATGCTCTGGCAGAAAGCAAGGAATTCAGCAGGTTAGAACGACTATATCAATCGTAAGTCAATATAGAAGAATGGAGTCAGCCACGGAGAACCGCTGCACTTAATCATTAGTTAATTCATGAGGATGTTGAGGGATAGCGGCATTTAATCAAAAGTTAATGAATAAAGGAAGGATGTGAAGGCTTTGTGAAAAATCCCTGATTGGCTTTGCCTCGCCTGTGTGTGTTGTAATGGTTAAGCAGTGGTACTTCGGGTTAAGAACTTAATTCATTCTGGAGGTCCGTTCTTAACCTGAAACTGTTCTTAACATCAGGTACTTTAGCTAATGGGGCCTCCCGCTGCCGCCGCGCGATTTCTGTTCTCATCCTGAAGCAAAGTTCTTAACTGGAGGTACTATTTCTGCGTTAGCAGAGTCTGTAACCTGAAGCGTCTGTAACCTGAAGCGTCCACTGTCCCTCAGACTTTGTGGGGGCTGGACTATATTTTGTGTGTGGGGGGGGGGAAATGAACGAATTCCTATGCCCCACAAATAACCCAGAGATGCATTTTAGATAAAAGCACACATTCTACTCATGTAAAAACACACTGATTCCTGGACCATCTGTGGGCCGGATTTAGAAGGCGATTGGGCCAGATCCGGCCCCCAGGCCTTAGGTTGCCTACCCATGCATAAGAATGTTCTTCACCTATAAAGGTAAAAAGCACACCGCAGTCCTCCTGTGGCTCCTTCAGAGAGACTTGTCCTTGCGTGTGTTTGTGCCAATAATAGGCTTTGTTTTTGCTCAGAGTTTGTATCTGTCTGCCACTCCTTTGGGGACCCCCCCACCCTTAAAATTCATCACAGGAGTCACAGCTCAGGGAAATCTCTGTTGTACGGCCATCTGCATCTTTCTTTTTTCAAATTGTTTTTATTAGAAGATTTTATTGGGTCCATAGGCATCTCTCTGGTGCAGCTGACCAACTTAGCAACCCCACTGGAGTTCGGACTATTACATACATACACACACACACACACACACACACCTAATTTTATTCGTATGCCACATTTCCACACACTCAAGGCCACTTACTACATGAAAAAATGAGAGTCGTCATTGCGATCCATAGTTAAAAGTAAAGGTAAAGGTAAAGAACCCCTGACAGTTAAGTCCAGTCGCGAACGACTCTGGGGTTACGGCGCTCATCTCACTTTACTGGCTGAGGGAGCTGACATTTGTCCACAGTTTTTCTGGGTCATGTGGGCAGCATGACTAAGCCACTTCTCGCAAAACAAGAGCACTGCACGGAAACGCCGTTTACCTTCCCACCGGAGCGGTACCTATTTATCTACTTGCACTTTGACGTGCTTTCGAACTGCTAGGTTGGCAGGAGCTGGCACAGAGTGATGGGAGCTCACCCCGTCGTGGGGATTCGAACCGCCGACCTTCCGATTGGCAAGTCCAAGAGTGGTTTACACCACAGCACCACCTGCATCCCATAGTTAAAAATAGAAATTGACAAATGTGTCCTCTTTTTTGCTCTCTTCAAAATATGCAACCCTAATTTATTTGTATTTTTAATAATTAGATCAAAGCAATTAATGTATGTTTTCACCAAGTCAGCCTGGTTGAGCCAACCACATTTTCTGGTTCCAATGGCAGAACGGAATAATTCAGTCTTTGGGGTTTGTAGTTAATTGTTTCCCTGGAGTGAAACGACTCCTCACAACGGAATTTAAATGCAAGCAACTGATTCTTATCTACAAAGAGATTGATCACTTCTGGACAATGCTGGGATAGTGTCTTTCCTTAGCTCCTTGGATATGTCCAAATGCCAGCAAGCTTTTAAAAAAACACACCAGCTAGCCAATAAATAGCCTTGCAGCACTTTGAAGACTTAGGAATGCATAATGGCACAAGCTTTTATGGACTGCTTTAATTGTTTTGCTGGGTCACAGGAATATATGTGCATGGTTTTCCTTTTTTTGCAAAGTGTGAGGTTGCTGGAAATGAAGCACAGAAAAAAACACAGCTGACAGCCACAATTCGTAAAACAGTTATTGGAAGCATTGGAATCTGCCCGTATTCCCTTACGGGAGACACAAGAGCCCTTGTAGAGTCCTTTGCAGGTTATCCATCAGTCGGAGAAAATAACAGAAGCCAACCAGAGAATATTGAGAAGCAAAGCAGCTCGTAAGCCTGATCTTTATTGAACTGTTGCAACAGGGTGCTCCCCTCACACGCAGGAAAGGAGGAGGACCCCAAACAAAGGTGTGCCCGCCCTTATATAGACATTTTAAATTGCCCGCCCTGGAGTCCAAGACCACCCTCAGAAACATCATACCTACATCACAGAAAGGGCAGTCTACAGCAGAAATCTGAGTGTGTTTTTTATCTCCTGTCTGGCAGGTTATCTGTTAATGCTTACTTGATTGGATACCCTGGGCAGCCTGGCCAGTCTTTTGTAATGATAAATACAGTGGTACCTCTGGATGCGAACGGGATCTGTTCCAGAGCCCAGTTCGCATGCGCGTAACGTCGTTTTGACCATCTGCGCATGTGCGAGTGGCTGCTTCAGACATGCGGTTTATATATTTATGTATTTGTTTGCTTGGTACATTTATTATATATATAAGACCTTAATTTTTTTATTTCAGTAGATATCCTGGCATAGGTATGCCAATTAAAACATAATGTGCTGAAAATAGTTTAATTCACAAGTGTTAGCACTGAACTGCTTGATACATTTCAATTCAGGGGTTTCTATTTACAGTCTCCTTTTTTTAAAAAAAATTTTTATTGTTCTGAACGGGAACTGCATGCACATCAATAACTGAAATGTATGGCACAGAACTTGGACACTGTAAAGTTTGTTATTTCTTTAAGACACCACTCTGGAAGTTTAAGGAAGAAAGGAGAGTATGTATTTTCAACCCATTAGAAGGATAGAAATCTAATCCCATTCGTAAAAAAACAAGCCAAGGGGATTTAGGAAATCACACAGCCACACATTCTCAAACCATACATACTAGGGGGAGAGCTGCATATGTACCATAATCTGTGAATCATACACTGTCCCATAAAGCAGACATGAAAGTTCACTTCCCTCACATCACACAGAAGAGCAAGGAACAAATGGCATGTGAGGGGACAGAGAAGCCAGATCTAAAGCCACTCTTTAACGAGGATTTCATTAGCAAGGGGAGGACGACACATTCTTCTACGCCCGCTCAATAAGCACGAAGATCATACACTGAAGCCTTGAAGCAGCTGAAGTGATGGCTAGACCTGAATATGTAAGATGCAAGCTTTTGTGGGACCTAGCCTAAAAAATCTTACATTTTGTGAGTGTGTGTATATTAAAAACCAGGATCGATGGGAATCGGAAGCTTCAGGCTGCGAAACGAGCAGCGGAGGACTTCTTGGAGAGTTAAAGGGGCGCTCGCTCCGCCTCCGTGGGTCAAAAGAATCGGTAGCCACTGCAGCCACATGCGGGTCGAAGTGGGGAGAAGAAAGGCCAACAGGCCCCACCCACCATGCTCCTGATGCAGCGCAGTAAAGCCTTTACAGTCTCCTTTTGATGCTGCCTGGCTCCAGGAAAGCCACTATTGAGGACCAGGGACATTTCAGCTGCTCAGAACACTCTGCAAATGACCTTAAAGCCCAAGATGAAACCCTGCATCCCCTTAATACAAGATCTTGTGCATCCTAAAGAAGCTTGCAATTTCTGTCATGCCTTATCTCATCTGCTTGGCTTTGTGTGCAAGGCGTAAAAACACTCCTGCTCAGACAGGCCACATCTTGAAGAAGGGGGGAAAGCGGAGACCTGGATAACAATTGACTGATCAGCTTGATGTTTATACCAGTGTTATAAGAAAAAACTCCTTTTTCCCTTATGGGGTATCCAAGAGCCCGTATAGAGTCCTTATGTAGGTTTTTAATCAGTAGAAAATAACCAACCAGAGAATATTGAGAAGCAAAGCAGCTAGTAACCCTGATCTTTATTGAACTGTTGCAACAGGGTCTGCTCACCCCACGCAGGGAGGGTGGAGAGGAACCCAGAACATTGGTGTGCAAGCTCTTATATAGACTTTTGAAATTGCCTCCCCTGTAGCTCACAACCACCCCCAAAAACATCATACATACATCACAGAAAGAGGTGGTGCCCAGCAGAAATTTGAGTGTGATACCTGATAATAGCTTATCTGATTGCCTTTTCTGGGTAGCCTGGCCATTCCTTTGAGATGGTAAATACTTAGTTCCTGAATCTCTTACGCATATTGAGAGTGCTCAGCTTAACAGATCCTTGCCAGACTGTATTTGAAAAGGGAGGTGTAAGCCCCTACAATCCAAAGACAATTGGAAAGCTTTTCCCATTTCCTTCCTCCTTGCAGAGAAATATTTGAGGTCAATTTGGAAGAGCCAAAATGGCTTCAGGATTGTTCTCCTGTACTATTTCAGACACGTGGTTTATATACTTATGTATGTGTTTGTCTTGTACATTTATGTACATTCATATGTACATATGTACATATATATATATATATGACCTTAGAATTCCTGTAACCCCAGGAAAGGTCCTGTTGTTGTTGTTTAGTTATTTAGTTGTTTAGTCGTGTCCGACTCTTCATGACCCCATGGACCAGAGCACGCCAGGCACTCCTGTCTTCCACTGCCTCCCGCAGTTTGGTCAAACTCATGCTGGTAGCTTCGAGAACACTGTCCAACCATCTCATCCTCTGTCGTCCCCTTCTCCTTGTGCCCTCCATCTTTCCCAACATCAGGGTCTTTTCCAGGTCAGCTTCAGGATCTGTCCTTCCAGTGAGCACTCAGGGCTGATTTCCTTCAGAATGGAGAGGTTTGATCTTCTTGCAGTCCATGGGACTCTCAAGAGTCTCCTCCAGCACCAGAATTCAAAAGCATCAATTCTTTGGCGATCAGCCTTCTTTATGGTCCAGCTCTCACTTCCATACATCACTACAGGGAAAACCATAGCTTTAACTATACGGACCTTTGTCGGCAAGGTGATGTCTCTGCTTTTTAAGATGCTGTCTAGGTTTGTCATTGCTTTTCTCCCAAGAAGCAGGCGTCTTTTAATTTTGTGACTGCTGTCACCATCTGCAGGGATCATGGAGCCCAAGAAAGTAAAATCTCTCACTGCCTCCATTTGTTCCCCTTCTATTTGCCAGGAGGTGATAGTACCACTCTACTCTGCCTTGGCCAGACCACCCCTGGAATACAGTGGTGCCCCGCAAGACGAATGCCTCGCAAGACGAAAAACTCGCTAGACGAAAGGGTTTTTCGGTTTTTGCGTTGCTTCGCTAGACGAATTTCCCTATGGGCTTGCTTCGCAAGACGAAAACGTCTTGCGAGTTTGTTCGCTTTTTTCTTAAAGCCGCTTGAAGAGGCGCAGTTGCGACGGACCGTGCTTCGCAAGACGAAAAACATCGCAAGATGAAAAGACTCGCGGAACGAATTAATTTCGTCTTGCGAGGCACCACTGTACTGTGTCCAATTGTGGGCACTACAATTTAAGAAGGATGTTGAGAAGCTGGAAGGTGTGCAGAGGAGGGAAACCAAGATGATAAAGGGGATTCCAACAACTTTCTGGTGATAAGAGTTGTTTTGACAGTGGAATGGACTCCTTGGGAGAAGGTGGACTCTCATTCCTTGGAGGTTTTTAAGCAGAGGCTGGATGGTCATCTGTCATGGATGCCTTAGTTGAGATTCCTGCACTGTAGGATGTTCCTTCCAACTCTACAATTCTATGGTTCTGTGTCTCTTAATTTTAACCCAGTGTTCTCCTGTGGCACTTGTGTTACAAGTTGTACAGCTAGTGTCTCTGGCCTGAACCTTGTGTAGAAATTAATTCTCTTCACCGCCAGAATGAATTTCAAACTTTACTACAGAACAGTCTTAAATATTCAGTTACAAAATAATAAAGTAATACACTGCAAAAAACCGAGTTTCAGTTCAATAAAGTTCCTCTCTCTCCCAGAGTAAGATATTAAGCATCTTTATTAAAAGGGAGTTTCTCTGTGTCTCTCACTGGTTCAGTGGTGTGCAGGCGTCCTCTAGGGGTAAATTCACTTACACCAGTTCTCAGGTTACATCCCGTGATGGTTCATGGGATTAGTTTTGCTCATGCACAATGGAAAAACACTAGATTTGTGTTTAAAGAAATAACTTCCTATGCAGCACTTCTAAATACAACGCTGTTAAACACAGCCTTTTATGCACAGTGCATTACACTTAAAACTTCGACAAGCTTTGTGCGCGCGCGTTTATTCTACTACTCGGTTTCAGCCTTGTCCCCTTAGAAACGCCCCGCAAAGAATCATTCCGGACAGACAGGGCACTGCGTAAAATCCACGGGAAGATCCTAAGAGGGATCCTTCTTTCTCTCTGCCGGGGAGAGCTGCATCCAGTCGCGTCTCTGTTTTCATAGGATGACTCAGATCTGGCAGAGCCCGGATTGGGCAAAACTATGGAAACGCAGCAGGAGCCTCTCTCCGCTTTCGGTTTCCTTTCCCTTTGCTGAGGCAAGAACCTCCCGGATTTCTGACTTGCTTTTTTTTTTCTTTAAAGGCGGGAACAAACAGTGGCTGGGGAAGGCTTTGCTGAAAACGGGCACCAGTTGCTGGAAATTCCCAAAGTGCCCAGAGCTCTCCAAGAGCATCTCCAAACGGAAAGTAAGCGCGCGCACCTGCTTCCCACGCGTTGCTTTTTCGTTTTGCGCGCTTTGCAAGAAAACTCCGCGAAGTTTGCGGAGCTGCATGGAAAGGGGACCGACCTCCGAAGTCCTCGCCTCCCTGGCCCTCAGGCCGTCCAATCCAGCTGGGGCTGGCCCGGAGTGGCGTCTCGGGGAGTGAATGGAGGGGCGGCTTGGAGCTCTGCTCGTCTTCCTCGGGGAAAAGCTCTCCTCCTGCGGCTCCCGGGCGCATCTCTCCCTGTTCGCCTGAGGGGCTTGGGCGCTCTTTTCCCTGCTGGAGCGCCTCCTGTCAGCTTGGGCAGGCAGCCTGTGAACGGTGAGAAGGGCTTGGCGGGGAGGCGTCGTCTTGGCCGGGGCGAGCTGGCAGTTGCAGAGCTCTGGGTTCGAGTGTTGCGCTCCGGGCCGTGGACGCGCAGGGTGGCCAAAGGGAAGGGGGGTTCCGTCACGGGGAGAGCGGCCTCGGGACTTGTAGAACGAGAGAATGATAGCGTTGGAAGGGACCCCCATAGTCCAACCCCTGCCGCCACTTTCCGAGGGCGACCCTGGAACTCCCTGAGACCGGAGCGGCCGCCGCTCGGGATGGCTGCCTGGGTCTGTTCTGCGCATCCAAGGGGACATGGCAGGGGCTGGTCTAACCTTGCGGGGTTCGCGTTTTGGCTTTCAAGGAGGTGGTAGGTGGGCAGTGTCTGAAACATGCCCAGGCGATGCCCGAAGCGTTCCGGCAAGCGCGTTCTCTTATTTGGAGATGGGGGAAAAGGAGGTTGTGGGTTGGAAAAGCGGTGGTTTTGCGGGGCCGGGTTTGCGAAATTTAAGAACAACGGAACGACGCGGGGCAAATGCTGCGAAGGCAAGAGGAGAGGTCCTCTTTGGGACCAGGAACTGGTGAAGTTGCAGGAAGGAAATGGTAGGAACAAACGAAAAGCTCTCCAAATGGAGAGATGTGTTAAAAGGTAGAAAAGATAAGGAGCAGTGGACGGTTAAGTCCAGTCAAAGGCGACTATGGGGTGCGGCGCCCATCTCGCTTTCAGGCGGAGGGAGCCAGTGTTTTCCCACGGTTTGGGGGGGACGGGGACGCTACGCTTTTAAACTTGCTCTTAAACGATACAGAGTTCTGTGTGAGCAGTGAAGTGGCCAAGTTTGCTGATGATGCTAAACTGTTCTGCGTCCTTACAACATACCTTACTGCATGCTTATCTTTCCCGCCCGGATCTGACCACAGTGATCCATGCGACAGTCACCTCCAAGCTTGACTACTGTAATTTGCTCTCCGCGAGGCTGCCCTTGAAACTGGCCCACAAACTCCAGCAGGTGCAGAATAATAATAATGATAATAATAATAATAATAATAATTTATTTATACCCCGCCCATCTGGCTGGGCTTCCCCGCCACTCTGGGCGGCTTCCAAAAAAATATTAAAATACTGTAATACATCAAACATTAAGCTTCCCTAAACAGCAAGGCTCCTCACGGGGTCCCTGCCATGGGAGCATATTCACCCAGTGCTTTACCAATTGCACTGGCTCCCGGTGGAGTATAGGGTCAGGTTCAAGGTGCTGGTCTTGACGTTTAAAGCCCTTTGTGGCTTAGGGCCGTCGTATCTACGGGACCGCCTCTCCTGGTCTGCCCGGCAGAGGACCTTAAGGTCCATGAATAACCATAGTTTAGAGGTCCTGGGCCCTAAGGAAGTCTGACTATCCTCCACCAGGGCCAGGGCCTTCTTAGTGATGACTCCGACCTGGTGGAATGCTCTGTCCCATGAGACTAGGGCCCTGCAGGATTTAACCTCCTTTTGCCAGGCCTGAAAGACAGAGCTATTCCGCCTGGCCTTTAATTTGAATTCAGCCTGATCTTTTATTTCCCTTCCCTTCCCTCCCCCTTCCCTTTTATGAAGATCACCCGCTCTGAGACCCCACAGCTAATTCTCCCCTGGCCTCCTTGCTGCCCAAGTAGGACCAATTCAGCCAGCTAGCCCTGGGGATTATCTAATGCTTATTTCCCCTAAATTGATTTTTGAATTTTATTGTTATTCATGTTTTTATACTGTATTTTATGCTGCTTTTATAATTAAGTGCTTTAAATTTGTTGTTAGCCACCCTGAGCCCGGTTTTTGAACCGGGAAGGGCGGGTTATAAATAAATTTTTATTTTTTATTATTATTTTTTATTATTATTATAGCAAAAAGAGATTGTGAAGAACTCCAAAAGGACATCTCCAAACTGGAGTGAATGGGTGGTAAAAGGACAAATGCAATTCAATGTAAACAGGTGTAAACTGATGGATGCCAGGGCCCAAAAACCTTAATTTCACATATATTCTCATAAGGCCTGAACTGTCAGTGACTTTGCAGAGGGTAGGACTACTGACACTTTGAGTCCTTTCTAACTCTGCAATTCGGTGAAGCAGACCTGGGGCCATAGTAGATAGCGTGATGAAGATACTAATTTAGCCATGCATAAAACCCTCCTCAAAGTAGGAAATTCTCCCTGTTGCTTCTTCGGCCTTCGGGGAAAGATCCCAGACCCTGCTCAAAACTGGTGTATGGTTCTGACAGGCTAATGCTATCACACAGGGCAATTTCTAAACCAGTCCCGACCTGCATTGCAGGGGTTGGACTAGATGACCCTCGGATTACCTTCCAACTATGAATTCTATGAATCTTCCCAGATCTGCTATAGTTTCTCTGTTGGACAGGCTTCAGGAGTAAAGCAACTTCCTACCAGGACTGACCTTCTGGCACATGGTTTTCCACATGGGACAGACCACATTGCCAATACTAATCCAGACGTATTTCTGGCAAAGTGAGCTGTTACAGGGCTGCCATACGCCTGGAATTTCCTGGAGCCATCTGAAACACTCTTCTTTGCCAACATCTGCTCTTTGATTCTGGTTTTTGGCTGTACTTTGGCGCAGTTGCCCCCCTCCCCCCCCGCCAGAGTTCCCTGTCACCGAGCAGGACCTGTTGAATTTCCACCTGTCAAAAGTCCCTGGGTTTGCGATTACTGAGGGGTGGGTGGGGAATATTCACAAGTGGGTGCCAGAGGCAAAGTACAGTCATACCTCTTGTTACGTTCGGTTCAGGTCACGACTTTTCAGGTTGCGTCCCGCAGCGACCAAGAAGTACCGGAAAGGGTTACTTCTGGGTTTCGCTGCTCGTGCATTCGCAGACGCACAAAATAACATCATGCACAGAAGAGGCGGATTGCGACCCGCACGTGCGCAGATGCAGGTTGCATTCCTCTCAGGTTGCTAACGAGGCTCCGGAACGGATCCCTTTCGCAACCAGAGGTACCACTGTATAGCCAAATATTAACTCTACTTCTGTATGGGCAATCTATCTGGAAGATAAATTGTTAGTGATCTGACATGGTTGCACTCCCTGCCTCTGTTCCTTCGCACTCCCTGTCTCTTGTTAAGTTCTTTGATGGCATGAAGAACAGCTTTTAATGTCCTAATTAGTTGGGAGGAAGTGATATTGCTGGGTACCTTCTTTGATGCTGAACATTGTTTTGAGAAAGTGAGGCATTGGGAGGGGGCGGCTAAGGAATAATCTGCACGTAGCCAGTAATGAATGATCATCTGCACGTAGCCAGTGGGGCTGGCCACATAGGCTAGCTATCTGTAAATTGGATGGTTTGGGGCAGAATTGGGAGAAGCTCATGCAAGGACTGATGGCCACAGGGTCGTGCAAACTGTGGCAAACTTCGCTTCTTCTTGAGAGCTTCCAAGTGGCAAATTGAGGTGCTTGCTTGCTATGTATATTTTGCTTGCTGTTTAGAATACAGTGGTACCTCGGGTTACATACGCTTCAGGTTACAGATGCTTCAGGTTATAGACTCCGCTAACCGAGAAATAGTGCTTCAGGTTAAGAACTTTGCTTCAGGATGAGAACAGAACTCGTGCTCCGGCGGTGCGGCAGCAGCAGGAGGCCCCATTACCTAAAGTGGTGCTTCAGGTTAAGAACAGTTTCAGGTTAAGAACGGACCTCCAGAATGAATTAAGAATTACAGTGGTACCTCTGGTTGCGAACAGGCCCGTTCGCAACATGAAAAGAGCACAACCCGCAGCGGCGTGTCTGTGCACGTGCGGGTTGCGATTCGCCGCTTGACGTCATTTTGCGCTTCTGTACATGTGCGAGCGGCAAAACCTGGAAGTAACCCTTTCCGGTACTTCCAGGTCGCCGTGGGACGTAACCTGAAAGAACGTAACATGAAGCGGACATAACATGAGGTATGACTGTACAGTAAAATCTTTAATCATCTTGCTCACTTGTGTTTTGTATTGCTTCTGAATCTCATTTTAAAAGAGCCACCTTGCATTTGGCAAGACCCCTCCCTTGGAGGTTTTTGAGTAGAGGTTGGGTTGCCATCTGTCCTCGATGCTTTAGCTGAGATCCCTGCATTGCAGGGGATTGGTCTAGACTCTAGAGGATCCTTGGGGTCCCTACCAGCTCTGCAATTCTATGATTCCATTATCGTTATGGTAAGAGCTACTGTGTCATTTACAGCTGCGTGACAGCTTTTGCAAAAAGGGCTTGAAAGCTCCTTTCTTTGCTCACATCCCTTGCTGTGGAGGTTGTCCAAGAGAGCTTCTGGTTTAGTTGTGTACTGGTTGTTTGGGTCTGTGGTTTTTGAGCCTTCAGTGGCTCCTCATTTCCTCCTTTTGGTTGCAATTTCCTTGAGTGTCTCTACCTTTCTGCATTTTTCTTTTAACCTTGCCGTGACTGTTCAACAAAAGGCTTCCGAATTCCTTATTTCTGTAATTCTGATTGAAAGCAAAAGTTAGTGGCGGACATGAGGAGCGTGTTGAGGGCCAACCAACTTCTCTGCTAAGCATGCTAGAGAAATATTTACCGGTATATTTCAGCACTGGGGTGAGGGGTGTGGGGTGAGGGGTGTGCAGAGAGAGGTGCAGAACTACATATGTGCTTGTTGCTGATTGGTTAACACAAATACAATGCAAGGGTTGTATATACGCATTAATCATCAATAGATTAAAGGTTGGGAAAGGGAACACATGGTTAGACAGGTATGAAATCCTCCTTGTTAAAATATTACTAGTGATTGATGACTTAATAAACTATTACTAGTGATTGATATTGCATGACTTAATAAACAATTACTAGTGATTCATATTGCATGACTTGAAAGAGCATAACAATCGCATTCGGTAGATGTGGTCAACAATGCGTTAAGAACAGGTCAGGGTATGATGAACTCAATGTGAACTGAACATTCCCAGACTCATGTGCAGAAGCAGAACTTCCCATCAGTCCCTGCCCTCAAGGTGCCTGCAATCGAAAACACATTTATATTATTTATTTCTCAGGATTTATATGCGGCTCGATTGGAACAAAGCCTCAAAGCTGCTCATTAAAAGAATAAAACAATAAATAACCTGTTTTAAAGAAAGAGTTAGAGGATTGGAGGCGGAGGAGAGGTAGGCAAATACAACATCTCCACCAAAGGATTGAGGGAAATAAGCCAGAGGTCACAGATGTTTGGAAAGTTAATCTGTCTTTAGGCTAATGTTATTTTAGCCTAATAAGTTATTGTTTCTTAGGGATAATTTAAATTGTTTTAAATTTAAATTTAATAATTTAAATAATGTAATAATAAAAATTGTTTTCTTGTGAACTGTTTTGAGGTTTTTGTTTTTACAGTCAAGCATTGCATAATTTTTAATGAAATTAATATAGTAAGTTTTCTGGGAATGTGTTTCACACCGAAGTCACAGGTGGCTGTATCTGTCCTCATGCATAATCTTCTATACCTGTGTCATATACATCTTTACCTGCCTTTTCTCTAAACAAGAAAGCCCCCAAATATTGTCATTTTTCCTTACAGGAGTTTCTGCCCATTTCCAACCTTACTACACCCCTTTTGAAGGTCAACAAGCATTGAACAGTGTTCCATACGTGGTGGAGCTATATATTTGCATTTCAATATTGGCACGTTTGTTTTTGGTTCCTTTTACTAACGATCAGTAACCTTTTTCGCAGCTGCTATAAACTGGGCTAACAGTCTCATTCGTCTGCCCACCATAATATATCCCCAAGTTCCTTTTGCTGGTCATTTGCTGACAACTGGGAGCCATCAGTGTACATGTGAAGTCAGGATTTATTTATTTATTCAGTCGTTCATTTATTCCAAAAATCTGCACCTCTTTAGGCTTGCTTAAACAATGAGCCATGTTTGGCAGGTTTAAAGCCAATTCTCTCTCCCCCTCAAAAAACAAAACGGTTTAGAGAGATCCTTGGGCGTCTGTTTGTTTCCCTTTTTTATCAAATTATTCAAGATTGTTTCCTTCGTGATATTGACTGCTTTGCTGCTAAACCCCTATTGTCAGCAAATTTCCAGCAAATTAAAAAGCACTCGGCAGTCCTAGAGCTGAATACACACTTGGCTTTTGTTCTGTACTTATTTTTGGTCCCGGAAGTTTTCAGTTTTGTCTGCTGTTGTGGTTGCTGTCCTCTGCAGGTGACACACACGGCGGAGGTGCGTGGGTGTTGCTCTGTTAAATTCTGCCTTTAAGGCAGAAAGCGGTTTTGGATTCCGGCTTTGCAAAACGAGAGGCGATTGAGCTTGTATCCCTCAACGCTGCTGGTCTGATTTGTTAAGGATTTGACTCTTAGGTGAACTAATTGCCTCACCTGTTCTTTCAGTCCCACATTCCCCCCCCCCACCCAACTTGATTTTTGCAAAAAATAAATAAAAATGCTTCCCGCCCCGTGCATTACAGCAGAACATGAGTCTGCTTCTTTCCTGATGGTGACGTAACAATGGAGTGAAACATCTTTAAAGTCGACTTCATTGCATTCTTTGTCTCTCCGCCGATGGCTCAGTCTGGAGGGTTTGTTGCTCCAAGTGTTCTAAGAATTTTAAGGTCTCAAATATAGAATAAATGTTCATAAATGCACACATATCTAAATACACAAACCATGTGTCTGAAACAGTCTGGGAGAGCAATCCTGGAGTCATTTTGACTCTCCCAATGACCTCAAATATTCCTCTGCAGTAAGGGAGGCAAATGGGGAAAGCCTTCCCATTGTCTTTATGCAGGCAAATCCTGCCTAAAGGACATATTTGTGTATGAATAGGGTGAGCTTGTGACCTGGATTCAGGAACTAAAGTATTAACCATCACGAAAGAATGGCCAGACTGCCCAGGTAGAGCACTCAGTGACCATTATCAGGTATCCTGGCAGGCAGGATTTCTGCTGTAGACCGCCTCCTTCTGTGGTGTATGCATGATGTTTTGAGGGTGGTCTTGGGCTACAGGGTGGGCAATTTCAAAATTCTGTATAAGGGCTTTCACACCATTGGTCGGGGTTCCTTTCATCCCTCCTGCGTGTGGTGAGTAGCGACCCTGTTGCAACAGTTCCTTTAATAAAGATCAGGCTTACTAGCCACTTTGCTTCTCAATATACAGTGGTACCTTGGGTTACAGATGCTTCAGGTTACAAACGCTTCAGGTTACAGACTCCGCTAACCCAGAAATATTACCTTGGGTTAAGAACTTTGCTTCAGGATGAGAACAGAAATTGTGCGGCGGCAGCAGGAGGCCCCATTAGCTAAAGTGGTGCTTCAGGTTAAGAAAAGTTTCAAGGTTAAGAATGGACCTCTGGAACGAATTAAGTGGTACCTAAGGTACTGTACATGTTTTTGTTTTAACATTTCTATGAAATTGTTTTGTTGTGCGTTTCAATTATGCGTGGCTATTTTTTAAAAAAAGAATTGGATTTATGCGCCTAGACAGTTTAGAAGCTATTTGGATAACTAAGCAGTGTACAGATAAATGTCTTGCAAAATGATGCCAGTCTAGACAATGAGTTAAAAGGTAAACAATGAGTTAAAAGGCGTTCATCTCACTTTACTGGAGCACGGACTGAGCAACGGGAGCTCACCCCATTGCGGGGATTCGAACCGCCGACCTTCTGATCGGCAAGCCCTAGGCTCTGTGGTTTAACCCACAGCACCACCCGCGTCCCTAGACAATGAGTTAACGCAGCACCAATGCCGCTCCCGATCTGCGTTGAAGCCCCAAACTCGGGGTCAAATTCTAGGGGTTTACATGCATGAGGTGGTTGCTAAATCCAATTGGCAAATTAATAACTAAGACAGTGTTTCTCCAACTTGGTTCCCCAGCTGTTGTTGGACTACAACTCCCATCATCCCTGACCTGCTAGCTAGGGATGATAGGAGTTGTAGTCCAGCTGGGGACCCAAGTTGGAGAAACGCTGCATTAAGGTCTCGTGGTCTGGGCTGCATGCCAACAATACTTTTAACTCTGTGGTCCTGCAAATAATTCACAGCTGTGTTATGCCTCTGGAATGCAGCAGGTACGAGGAGCTCCTGTTAGGAATTTGAACCTAGCAGATATAAACAACTGTCAGGCCTGAGAGAGAGAGAGAGAGGTGGGGGTCTGCTTCTCTAACAACCCTCATTTAATAGCGGCAGGAAGAATTTACTGTTCCAGGCCAGCTACGCCTCTTGGAGTTACAGTCCATCTTCCAATACAGTAAATACAGTGGTACTTTGGTTCTCAAACACCTTGCTACTCAAGTAACTTGGAACCCAAACCACAGCAAACTTAGAAGTAAGTGTTCCGGTTTGCGAACTTTTTTTGGAAGTCGAACGTGCTCCGTTTTGAGTGCCACACTCAAATAGTGTTTCAAATAGTGTATATTATTTCAGAGATGGAGAATATGCATGTGCTTTAGTTAGCTAACAGCTAAATTGAAGAGGGAGAACAAAAATACATTTATGATTTCAATTTTATTAAATGTTTTATCAACAAAAACAAGGTGGTCAAAGAAGTGATATTGGTTGTGGAAAACATTCTGGTACTGCTGATTAGCATGCAATCACTAAGCTAAGGGTGGCTTAATATGCTTGTTTTTTTTAAAAAATGATATTTATTAAAAGTTTAAAAGTTACAGAAAAAAGAAGAAGAAAAAATAAATAAATATAACAATAAAAAAGAAAAAGAACAATAACAAAACATATAAAACATATAGAAACCATACATCAATACACAAAAAAGACAGACAAAAAAGAAAACTAAAACACACATCCAGTATTCCATGTCTTTACCTTTCCTTTACTTGTTTCATCGACCTCCTCACACCTCCCTTTATTTGTATTCTAATTCAATTCACTATTTCAGCAAGTTCTTCCCATCTTTCTCAATTTTTATTCTATAGTTTATCTTAACTGTCTAACCTTAAATTTTTTCAATTTAACCCATTATCAATCAAATTTTACTTAATTCTTTGTTGTATTTCTACTAAAACCATGTAACTTCATTCCCGCATCCTTCTAACACTCATTAATTTTACAATGTTTCTGTAAGTATACTTTAAATTTTTTCCAATCTTCTTCCACCGACTCTTCTCCCTGGTCTCGAATTCTGCCAGTCATTTCCGCCAGTTCCATACAGTCCGGGTGGCTTAATATGTTTGAAACAGTACAGTAGTACCTTGGTTCTCAAATGCCTTGGTATTCAAACAACTTTCGAACGTGCTCCATTTTGAGTCTTACGCTTCCGATTTGAGTGCCACACTTCTGTTTTGAGTGTTACGCTGAGGTCTGTTGTTTTGCAATTTATTTTGCATTTTTGTTTTTGCAGCTCTTTTTTTGTTTTGTTTTTGTGACTGTGTGGAACCCAGTTCAGCTACTGGTTGGTTGGTTGATTGGTTTTTGATTGATTGATTGTGTGGCTGCAGTACATTGTTTATTGCTTTCATTTTATGAATCAGTGGTCTCGTTAGATAGTAAAATTCATGTTAAATTGCTGTTTGGGGGTTGTTATTAGAAGTCTGGAATGGATTAATCCATTTTCCATTACTTTCTATGGTTTTGGAACAGACGTCTAGAACGGCTTAAGTTTGAGAATCAAGGTACCACTGTAGTATTTATTTAATAAAAGGCACACAGTACTTGGTTGTAAGAAAAAAATCAACCCGCAGAGTGGTTTACAAAGAAAGACAAAACAACAAAATGATCAGTAAGAGGCTTAAATAAAACTAATAAAAATCATTATTATTTAAATTTTTTTTTAAAAAAGGCTAGCATTTACTGTCTGTCTGCTGATTGGCACTGACTTCATGTCTGCTGGATCAGCCAAGTGCGCTTCGCTCCCTTTGCTTCAACTTCAGGTTGGATCATAGAATTGCAGAGTTTGAAGTTTCTGGCATGTGGCAGCCATTCCGATAACTGAAGATGGCTATCTTGTCTCCTCTCAGTCTCCTATTTTCCATGCTAAACATTCCCAGCTCCTTCAATCATTCTTCATAATACTTAGTCCTTCATCCAAGTCATTTATAAAGACGTTGAAGAACAACGGGCCCAGGACAGACCCCTGCGGCATCCCACTTGTCACTTTTTTCCAGGATGACGAGGAACCATTAATGAGCACCCTTTGGGCTTGATCACTCAACCAGCTACAAATCCACCCAACAGTTACCGGTACCTTGTTCAGCCCACATTTTACCAGCTTCCTCGCGAAAATATCGTGGGGGACTTTGTCAAAAGCCTTACTGAAATCAAGATACACTATGTCCACAACATTCCCCTGATCCACCAGCTTGAAACTTCATCAAAAGAAAAGGAATGAGATTCATCTGCTATGACCTGTGAGAAACCCATGCTGGGTCTTCACAATCACAGCATCCTTTTCTAAGTGCTCACAGACTGCCTGTTGAATTATCTGTTCTAGGACCTTTCCTGGTATTGATGTCAAGCTTACTGGTCAGTAGTTACCATGGGCACAAAACTTCCCCACCTCCAGTCTGCAGGGACCTCACCTGTTACCCCAAAATTCTCAAAGATCATAGAAAAAGGCTCTGAGATTACATCCGCAAGCTCCTTTAGTACCCTTGGGTGCAGCTCACCAGGCCTTGGAGATTTGAATTACCGTATTTTTCACTCTATAAGACGCACCAGACCACAAGACACACCTAGTTTTTGGAGGAGGAAAACAAGAAAAAAATAAATTCTGAATCTCAGAAGCCAGAACAGCAAGAGGGATCGCTGCGCAGTGAAAGCAGCAATCCCTCTTGCTGTTCTGGCTTCTGGGATAGCTGTGCAGCCTGCATTCGCTCCATAAGACGCACACACATTTCCCCTTACTTTTTAGGAGGGAAAAAGTGAGTCTTATAGAGCAAAAAATATGGTAATTTAAGCAGCCTAGCTGTTCCCTTACCACTGCTCTTCCTATCTTGGTCTGCAGCTCCCTCCTTGCATCACTTATCCTTTTGGTAATGGGGCTTTCAGTCACCTGATGTCACGTGATCGGCAGGTGGGCTGGATTTGGGGGAACCCAGGATCTGGCCTGTTGGCTGGATCTAATTCACACCCCCCCACACACACAACCTAGAGGTTGTATGTTCAGGTGCACAAGCAAGTTGCCAGCTAGCTCTGCTGAGGCTCTTTTTATTAGCACAATATGCAAAACCAGTCAGATACATTTTGGACTGTGCCCTTTACATCTTCCAATCATGCGATCGTGGGGTGATACATGTGGGAATGTTCAGGGATGCAGGAGAGGAGATATTATCTGATAATAGCCTTTCCAGCTTGTGTTAACAAGGTCACAATTTAGCAGAGTAACATTCCTCCTTTTAAACTTGCAGCGGATGCGTTTGCTCAGGCTCGCTAAAGCCTCTATAATAACTGTTCTGCTATTTCCCCCTTATTCCCTCATAATAAGACACGACACAGTCTTCTATAAAAGTATAAAAAGAGTTTACTCACATTCTGTTCACAATCGGATCCTAGAAGGCAGACTTAGCTTAGAAAAGTAACATACACCTGGAAACTATCTCATAAGGAGACAGTCCCTTTGTCCTCTCTTGGCCAAGAGAGCATCTTTGGCTAAGCAGATGTTGCTTCTTCAATGCATGTAGTCAAAGAGAGAGATGGCTGCCCTGCCCTGTGCTTTTGTCATTACCTGCACAGGTGAGGCCACGCCCACCTCTAGTCACATGCAGAGGAAGTCTGTCCCAGCCCAGAAGGAAACAGGAAGTTTACCTGCTGGCTGGACAAACATTCCTCCCCATGTGTAAACATGTTCACTCTAGGAATGCTGTACTTGACTGCTCTTGTGTTTCACATCCCACAATACAAGTTATTTTGGCACCTGTTTCCACCATGTCATTTTCCCCTTGAGCAATGTATGACGAAGGAGTCAAAAGTCACAGACAGGGCACGGCAGAACACTGAGAAAGCCAAAGGTTAGATAGAGGGCATGATGTTCAGACAGTTGTGGCTTTGTCTGCGGGTGGAAGTGTGCTCCACACCCGAAGGTCACGCGTTCAGGAACGGATTTTCTTTCTGCATGCAAAGCGTGGACTGCTGTGATGGCTTAATGGAGCCTCCATCTGAATATCAGGTGTTGCGGACAACAGGGAGATGGCTGCTGCGTTCCTGCCTTGCGTTGAAGGCTCCCTGGAAACTGCCAATCACTGGTGGAAGCAAAATACCAAACTGGGTGGATTCCTGGTCATGAAGGGGAGGCTTTAAAAAACAAACCACCTCAAAAATTAGCAAAATGGAACAAGAGATCGCTGCCCTCTCATCACGCTACAAACAAACAGGAGCTAAAAAGCTCCTTCAATTTATAGAACAAAAAAGGAGAGAACTAGACTCCCTAGAAATCAACAAAACAATGATCAGCATTCTATACTCTAAACAACGCTTCTATGAATACGGAGGGAAAAACTCCAGAATATTTGCAAATAGATGTAGGAAAAAAGCACTCAAAACAAGAATTCACTGCATCTCCAGAAAAGACGGCAACATAGCATTCTCCCCCCAAAGAAATAATCTCAGAATTTGTTGAATTTTACTCCAACCTATACACCTCTCATAACCCACCTGAGGAGGAAATCAGAAAATTCCTAGCAGGACTTGAGGAGATTTCACCCCTCCCATATCCAAGAATCTCCTGAGGAGTCTGCTGATTCTCCAGAGAGGAGGAGGCGTGTCCAGCACAGAGAGAGTCAGTCAGTCAGTGTCAGAGAGAGAGAGAGAGAGAGAGAGAGACTGTTAGAGATCGTGTGTAGAGATAAGGTTGCTGCTAAGAGCAGCTGCAGACACTCAGTGCAGTGCAGCATTTATTTATGCTTAGACCTATTTAGCTCTGCATATAGTTGTGTTATAGTTGTAGTTATAGAATAAAGAAGATATTCTACAGAGCTGCTCTCCGAGTTGTTTATATACTCTGCTAGAGTCTGCTGTACTCTGCTGTGCAACGACTGTCTTCTTGTGGAAGTGAATCCAGTGCTCACAACTCTAAGCTGTGAGTCCACAGCACTTTGACCTGTTCCTGTGCAGAAGGTGGTCTCTGGAAGTGCTACCCAGCTCGCCTAGCCCAGTCAGGGCTGAAGTGGATGAGTCCAGTTGGTGGCACTGGCTCAAGGGCGATGCTGACAGGACTGACCATGCCTACCTTAACTGATGAAGAACAAGAATTCATGGACAGTCCTATCACCCCAGAGGAAATAGATATGGTCCTCAAAAACCTGAAACCACACAAAGCCCCAGGCCCAGACAGCTTTGCAGTAGAATTCTATAGGAAATTCAAAGCATCTAAAAGAGGGCTTCCCAAATTTGCGTCTCCAGCTGTTTTTGGACTACAACTCCCATCCTCAGCTAGCAGGACCAGGTGTCAGGGATGATGGGAATTGTAGTCCACAACAGCTGGAGACCCAAGTTGGGGAAGCCCTGGTCAAAAAGTATGAATACATCATCCCCCACCGTGGTCTATTGATCTTCATTCCTAATTTATTTCTGCTTTCAACTTTTTTTGGCTAACTTTTTTTGGTTTTGTATCTATTGTTGCAAACTGCTGCAATGTATCGTTATGATGCAGCGGTACATAAATATTTGTTTTAGGAAAAAGTAAGTAATAAAAGTCATCCTGTGCTTCTGCTGGACTGGGATAAATTCCAGTTGTGGCTGGGGGCTTAAAACAGCCCTTCCTCTTAAAAAAATGCAATCAGGAAAATATGCAGGGGGAAATTCTTAGCAGGGATTTAATTGCACATGGGCGAGTGATAACCTGATTAGCCAATATTCCGGCTGCCACGTTGGGGACACTGATTCAAAATCTGGACTGGGGATTGTATTGGGAAGGGCACTGAGAGTGGAAACTCTCTGGAAATACTTGCAGTGTAAAATAATAATAATAATTGTTTAAGGTGGTCTAGGGATACAGGCACCTACCAGACAAGTCTGGGCTTGCCCAGTGCTTAGTTTCATTGCAGACAGACTGCTGTTGGGCTGGACAGCTGCCCAGGTCCTGCAGGTCTTTAAAAAGTGCAAACTCTGGTATCTTGTCCAAACAGACTGAAAATACTACCAAGCCCAGCGGTTCCCTAAGTTTTTCAGATCCCTGTTTCGGTTGCAATAAACTCATCCTCAGTGCCCCCTGCCCTACCAAAAGCACTGTTCAGAAAAGTGGTTTGCACGATCCACTAAGTAAGGTAAGGAGACTGCAAAATTAAAAGCAGAGGCTACTCTAATCAAAAAAATTCCATCTATTTACAGTTGGTCTCCAAGTTAAATTATAAATTTCTCCTATTCCTTATTGAAGTTTTGGTCTTCTTGGTTCCTGAGCTTTCTGGTCAATTTTGCCATTTCAGCATAGTCCAATAATTCAATTTGCCATTCTTCTCTTGAAGGGACTTTATCTTCTTTCCATCTCCGGGTCAGAATATGGTTTATGTATCTGTGTGTGAGCTCCCACTCTGTGTATTTATGAACATTTTTGGTTTTGACACCTTAGAATTACGGGGCGGGGGGGCGGGGAATGCTTTGGTCGTTTCTCATATGCGTGGTCAAAGGTAAAGGTAAAGGGACCCCTGTCCATTAAGTCCAGTCATGGCTGACTCTGGGGTTGCGGCGCTCATCTCGCTTTATTGGCCGAGGGAGCCGGCGTACAGCTTCCGGGTCATGTGGCCAGCATGACTAAGCCGCTTCTGGCGAACCAGAGCAGCGCACAGAAACGGCGTTTACCTTCCTGCCGGAGCGGTACCTATTTATCTACTTGCGCTTTGACGTGCTTTCGAACTGCTAGGTTGGCAGGAGCTGGGACCGAACAACGGGAGCTCACCCCGTCGCGGGGATTCGAACCCCGACCTTCTGATCGGCAAGTCCTAGGCTCTGTGGTTTAACCCACAGTGCCACCCACCCGGCTGCAAAAGTTGATGGGACCACTGATCTTTTTAATGGTTGTATAGAAAAGGAGATTTCAGTGAGTGCGTCTTGCCATGCCTGAAATTGCCCTCTGTTTGCATGGCCATTTTTGGGGGGGCTTATTGCTCAGGGTGGAAGATACCCACTGTATGTCCAAACCCCTGGTTCAGTCCCTGGCATGCCCAGTTAAAACAACAAAGATAATGATATGATTTATATATCTATGCTGCTATTTTGTGAATGAAAACCAGCTCATCCTTCTTCTTGTTGGCATCTGTCTGTCTCAAACATCTCTCAAGACAGATGGATGACAACAACATGTGGAATTCGTTCCCCAAAGTCGCAAAGTGGTTTATAAACAATAAATAGCAATAAAATTCTAGAACATCACAATGACGACGTAAAGCATATAGAACAGTTAACAAATCATCAGTTAAGACAACTAAAATCTGGGACAAAACAACTAAAACAATAAGCTAATCAGCACAATTGCAACATTATAATGTAAGGGTCACAAAGTACTACAGCATTCCTAATCTCTGAAATAATATTAACAGCATTAACTCAACATAATCTAAGCACAGTTGAATTCTAAGCAGAGCACACTTTTTATCGTTTGTACCTTTTAGTGCAAAGAGGCGTTTGTGTATGTATTTGGACCTTAAGTATTTTGACATCTGAATCAACGTACCATTTGTTATGCCCTGTGGCCTGGGGGAAGCAATTCAGGTAATCAGATTCCTTTGTGTGGTTAACTTTCAATAACTTGAGCATTTAGTCTCCCTCCCCACCCTGCTGGCGACCTGAAAGTTATATGAAATTACTGGACTCGAAATAGATCAGCCAGCTTTGATTCAGTTCAGTCGAGAGTTCATCGAGCTGTAGAGTTGGAAAGATTAGCAAAACTGAAAATGCTACTGTTAGCAGCTGGTCACTGCAAAAAATGTGTGTGTGTGTCTATATTTGTATATATTCAAACTTTGCATAGAGGCGATACAGGGTGTGTCATTTACATTCTGGGGCCTTTCAGCTGATGCACACGCCCTCCTGCTCTGTACGTTCCTGTGCAATGCTACTAACTCTTCCTGCATTTCCAGTGGGCTCTGATAAGGAAAAGTCCTGGGGTGTGGATTTACTCCGTGGGGGTGCCACTCCCCGTGGGTCTCTCTGGTCAGCAAAAGGAGGGTTCTGCAACCAAGTTGAAGAAGCAAACAGTGGTCAGTAGACCTGATCTTTATTTGTTGCAGCAAGGTTCAAATACACAAAGAGTAGGAACCCCGAGCATGTAGTTGTGTGGACTTTTAAGACCTCTCTCCATTTCCCATGATACATTTTTCAACAGCATCATTGATACATCACAAATATGTCAAAAAGTAGGAGTGTTTGGCATGTAGAAACATGAGCCCATCACCCACCCCTGTCAATAACCCCAGTTCCTCTTCCCCAAGGAACAATAAAGATATTTACACATCCCCCTAGCTGTAAGGCTTTCCTGTGCTTCTCCTTTGGAAGTATCAGGATTCAATCCACCATCCTGATGGGTTTCTGCCTGGGGTATGTGCTGCCCTTGATGGCCTCCTGCCTCCCATTGTGTGGCTAAGTTCACACCTTATGGAGGGTGTTAGCAGAGAAATCTGAGGGCTCCCTTGGACAGCGGTCAGGAATACCAGAGCAAAACAGCAGCCAGTAGGCTTGCTATTTATTGAAGACTGTTGCGACAGGACTCCCACCTGCCACCAGGTGGAACAAGATGGAAGCCCCGAACAAAAGAGCCCCCAAACTTTTATTAGCTGATAATCCCCATGTTACACACCCCCAAACTACATCACTCATACATCACGGTTACATCATGAAAGGGGAGGTCTGGTGGCAGTAATCTGAGCATCCTGGACCCTGCCCCATGGTTCCCCTTGCCCTCCACCAAACACCCATCAAGTGAAACAAAAGAGATACTTACATTTCCCTGTTTCCCAGCCAAGTTAATCCCACCCTTTTGTCTTCATCTGGGTTTGTTATTTCTGGAATGGCTACCTGTCTGGCACTCAGGTATCAGGAGGCCAGGGATTATCACTCAGGCAGAGGGGCTGCTGAGTAGCTGAGCTCACATATCTACATGAATTTCTGAAGTTTTCCCAGTTAGCCAGTACATAGATACATCTATCAGTGAATTGTTACATTTGGTATCATGCAGCAGAGGCCCTTTGAATAAACTGTGATGAAGTGTTTTGTGGGGACAAGTCACAAAAGTGATTGTGCTGATTTTGGTAGTGGGCTGCATGTGCATGATATCTGCTGGAGGGGCAACCTCCCCCAACCTATACATAAATTCCTGCAACAAGGAGGAAGGAGTATGTGACCTTATCATTAAGGGATGATGGATTCCCCTCTTCCAGAGGAGTCATTAGGCCTTGGAACCAAGGAAATCGGTCAAACCGGTGAATTTTAGCAGTTATTAGATTCTATATTGGATAGTCAGAGGAAACATGGGATCCGCTTATTGCTACAATTTTATAGACTGCTTTTCTGAGCCTCTGCTGTTCTGTATGTAAGGTGCCTCTGCCAAAGGTCATTGTCCTGGCTTTCGTTAGAGGCTGTGCTGGGGACTTGGGATTTTGGGTGTCATTTAACCGTCTTTCCGTGGGACTCTTTCCCACAAAACCTTCCAAGACAACAATCATAGAATCGGAAGGGACCCCGGGAGCCATTATGTTTTTATGTGTTGGAAACCACCCAGAGTGGTTGGGGCAACCCAGCCAGATTGGCGGAGTATGAATAAATATGATGATGGTGATGATGACTGCCATACTGTGTGTGCCTTGCAAGGAGTCTAACCCATTGAAGGCAGGGGCACTTTGGGTGGTAATCAATAAAATTTCACTCTGAGTAGACCCGGTGAAATGAATGAACCTTGCTAAATTGATTCAACAGGTCTACTCCATGTTGCTGATTTGCCACTCGTCAAATCACCTGACATCACAGTGACAGCAGGGGATTTCTTTTGCCTGCTGTGGCCTTGCAGGGTGCTTTGCGTAGTAGTAGTAGTAGTAGTAATAATAATAATTTATTTATACTGGGTTTCCCCAGCCTCTCTGGGCGGCTTCCAACTGAATATTTAAAACAATACAGCATCAAACATAAAAAACTTGCCTAAACAGGGCTGCCTTCAGATGTCTTCTAAAAGTCTAGTAGTTCTTCTTCTCTTTGACATCTGGTGGGAAGGTGTTCCACAGGGCAGGAGCCACTACCGAGAAGGCCCTCTGCCTGGTTCCCTGTAACCTCACATCTTGCAGGGAGGGAACTGCCAGAAGGTTCTTGGCGCTGGACCTCAGTGTCTGGGCAGAATGATAGTGGTTTAGCTGGTGATATGTCACAAAGTTCCAAACTAGCTCCACCAGCTCAGACGTTGTGGTATATCAGTATATCTCAATGTTTAGTTGGTGGCATATCACAGTGTTGAAAGCCTGATATTGCAGATCCCTACTCGAGAGTTACAGCTGAACCTTTGGTTGTGGTTTACCGTATTTTTTGCTCTATAAGACTCACTTTTTCCCTCCTAAAAAGTAAGGGGAAATGTGTGTGCGTCTTATGGAGCGAATGTAGGCTGCGCAGCTATTCCAGAAACCAGAACAGCAAGAGGGATTGCTGCTTTTGCTGCGCAGTGATCCCTCTTGCTGTTCTGGCTTCTGAGATTCAGAATATATTTTTTTCTTGTTTTCCTCCTTCAAAAACTAGCTGCGTTTTATGGTCTGGTGTGTCTTATAGAGCGAAAAATACGGTATCTCCCCCAGACAAACCGAGATGTGAGACCTGGGTTTGGGGATAACATCTTAGCAGCCAAGACAGAGGTGCCACCAGCTGCTATATAGAGAAAGGGAAGCGAGCTCAAAACAGCTGACTTCCTGCTGATTTGCAGCTTCGGTGCTAAATGCTTTGCTCAAACCTTCCACCAAATTTGGTTGGGGGTGGGCAGTGTTCGTGAGCTGCCACTGTGCAGAAGTGTGCAGGGCCAGAAGGAACATTTTGGCAGCAACAACAGAGGTTATCAGCTGGGTTATCAAGAAAGAACGCCTGGTCTGTGGAAGGCTGTTTAATGCTTTGGGCGGACTCACCAGACCGGTGTTTCTTAATCTCTGGTTTCCCCAGCTTTTGTTGGACTACAACTCCCATCTTCCCTGACCACCGGTGTAGCGAAGTTGGGAAATCTTGGTATGTCAAACGTTGCGGAAGAGTTGTGGACTTCTGGGGAATGGGTATCTGGTCTCTTTAAGTCTAAAACTCCCTGTCCTTAGAAGTGTGTAGTTTAAAGACTATTTACAGAAATATTGTAAAATCAATGAATGTTAGAAAAATGTTGGAATGAAGGTATATGGCTTCAGCAGAAATGTTATAAGGAATTAAGTATAAATGGATTAATAGAGAATTAAAGGGAAAAATAAGGTCAAAATGTGTTAAGATAATTATAGGATAGAAAGCAGAGGAAGATGGAAAGGAATTGCTGAAACAACTAATAGAAGTGGAATACAAAAAGGGAGGTGTGAGGAGGTCATGGAAATAAGTGAATGAAAGATTGAAACTATTTGATGTGTTTTAAATTGTTTTTGTTTTGTTTTCTTAGTTTAAATTGTTTTTGTTAGTTCAGTGTTAGGTATTGTTTTTGTATTGTATTGTTTATTTTCTTTTTTTATGTAATGTCTAAATTGTTGGAAAGTAATAAATATTATTTTTTAAAAAATAGAAGTGTGAGACAATTCCATCCTGACTCTAGGCAGGATGAGATGTTATCTGATCTGGGGTCCTGGCACAGCTGGGGGCTTGCTGGGTGTGAAAAGGTTTAGGAGGCTATCAAAGTAATTTACAACTCAAGAGCCTGGTACGTGTCAGAGCAGCCTGAGAAGGGAGAGGACCTTTTGATCTCAAGGTCTCTGAGCCTAAACAAAGTTCAGCTGTGCTGGTCTCCTGGCAATCAGGAGATAGTTTCTCAGCATACAGCCATTGGTGTGGTGGGAGCTGTACTCTTGACAACGGCTGGGGACCCAAGTGGGAGACACACTACAGAGTCTATCTACCTGCTCCAGTGTGTGCACCTTTTACTGGGTGGGGAGAAAAGTCAGGGATGCTGGAGAAAATGCTCACCCAGTGGTGAGCCTGTCCCAGTTGTTGTGCTGAAGGGGAGACCCCCAAAGGGGTAATAAACCCTTTAATATGGTCCTTCCTGTGGCAGATAGGTGACGGATTCTGAGACATTTCACAAGCCGAGACATTTCGCTGCAGGGCTTATAGTTTTATGCCTTCCGAAAGGCACGGGAGGTTTTTTTGTTCCTTGTTTGTCTTCCCTGTCCTTATTTGTCTCCTTTTTGCAGGAGAAAACGCCGGCCGGGTTGAGGTGTTCCGCCGCGAATGCAACCATGACAAGTGTCCCCTTGGTAGTAACCCACAATTTCTCCTCGAAAGAAGCCCAGCAGCTGCTCCACAACAAGTTTGTTGTGATCATGGGCGATTCCAGTGAGTATCTTGTCGATGTGGCAATTAGGATGTGGTTTGTTCCTCAGCTGCAACAATTCCTGGCCTTCGAAACACAGGCTGGGTGCCTTTTTTCTTGCCGGGAGTATGAAAACAATTCTCTGCCCTTGTCCTTCGGCGTGTCCCTCCCTCCTCTCTCTGCCTCTCCATCTCTCGAGCGCAGCTTCACTTCCTCTTTCAAACTGCCTCTCTGTATATTTCTATCTTGATAAATTGGAAACATGATCTGCGGAAACTCTGTGGGTTGCAGATCTCCATGCTTAGCATGTGGCTGAATGCTGATGTGCTTCTTAACTGCTTATCGTGCTCAATCCATCTGCTTGCTAAAACCTTAAAGCTTTACTACCAGCAAATGCTTCCCAACAACAGAGATCTTTAAAATAAATAATAATAATAATAATAATAATAATGATGATGATGATGATGATGTTATACCCTGCTCATCTGGCTGGGTTTCCCCAGCCACTCTGGGAGACTTCCAACAAAAGATTAGAAGAAGAAGAAGAGTTTAGATTTGATATCCTGCTTTCTCACTACCCGAAGGAGTCTCAAAGCGGCTAACAATCTCCTTTCCCTTCCTCCCCCACAACAAACACTCTGTGAGGTGAGTGGGGCTGAGAGACTTCAAAGAAGTGTGACTAGCCCAAGGTCACCCAGCAGCTGCATGTGGAGGAGCGTGGACGTGAACCCGGTTCACCAGATTATGAGTCTACCGCTCTTAACAACCACTGCACCACCAGTACATTAAAACACCAGTCATTAAAAGCTTCCCTAAAAAGGGCTGCCTTCAGATGATTTCTAAAAGTCAGATAGTTGTTTATCTCCTTGAATCTGACGGGAGGGCGTTCCACAGGGTGGGCACCACTACCGAGAAGGCCCTCTGCCTGGTTCCCTGTAACTTTGCTTCTCACAGGGAGGGAACCACCAGAAGGCCCTCGGCGCTGGACCTCAGTGTCCAGGTAGAACGATGGGGGTGGAGACGCTCCTTCAGGTATACTGGGCCTTTGAGGCCGTTTAGGGCTTTAAAGGTCAGCACCAACACTTTGAATTGTGCTCGGAAATGTACTGGGAGCCAATGTAGGTCTTTCTAGACCGGTGTTATGTGGTCTCGGCAGCCGCTCCCAGTCACAAGTCTAGCTGCCGCATTCTGGATTAGTTGTAGTTTCTGGGTCACCTTCAAAGGTAGCCCCACACAGAGGGCATTGCAGTAATCCAAGCGGGAGATAACCAGAGCATGCACCACTCTTGTTGAGACACTCTGCGGGCAGGTATGGTCTCAGCCTGCGTACCAGATGGGGCTGGTAAACAGCTGCCCTGGACACAGAATTGACCTGCGCCTCCATGGACAGCTGTGAGTCCAAAATGACCCCCAGGCTGTGCACCTGGTCCTTCAGCGGCTCAATTACCCCATTCAGGATTAGGGAGTCCCCCACACCTTCCCGCCTCCTGTCCCCCTGTCTCATAATCTGGTGAGGGAGCCAGTGTGGTGTAGTGGTTAAGAGCGGTGGACTCATTATCTGGTGAACCGGGTTCGCTTCCCCGCTCCTCCACATGCAGCTGCTGGGTGACCTTGGGCTAGTCACGCTTCTTTGAAGTCTCTCAGCCCCACTCATCTCACAGAGTGTTTGTTGTGGGGGAGGAAGGGAAAGGAGAATGTTAGCCGCTTTGAGACTCCTTAGGGTAGTGATAAAGCGGGATATCAAATCCAAACTCTTCTTCTTCCCGCAAAAAGAGTACTTCTGTCTTGTCAGGATTCATCCTCAATCCATTAGCTGCCATCCATCCTCCAACCGCCTCCAGACACTCACACAGCACATTCATCCCCATCACATCTTTGGGAGATTGTGGGTGATTGTGCCTCCTACAACTCAGCACCGCCCTCTTTGCAGCGATGAATGATCCCAAGGGATCCTCTTGGACTGGTGCAGATGTGATTTGGGGTCAAGAGTGGGTCTGTCCTTGCAAGAAAAACCTATTGCAGTTGCCTCCGTAGTGGGCATTTATCGTGGAAGTGCAACACTCACTCACTTGCTACAGGGGATCTGTACCAAATGGTGCCCAAACAACCCCCTCTCATCTTTCTCTTGTTCGGCATCTATTTATTTAAACAATGCAGCTACGTGAGATCACAAATCATTCCTAAAATAAAATTGTAAATGTGCTTCTCTGCCTGGATAGCTCAGCTGGTTAGAGCGTGGTGCCGATAATGCCATAGTTGCAGGTTTGATCCCCGTAAAAGACAGCTGCATATTCCTGCAATGCTGGGGCTTGGGCTAGATCAGGGGCAGCAACCTTTTTCAGCCATGGACCGGTCCACTGCCCCTCAGACCATGTGGTGGGCCGGACTATATTTTGAAAGAAATATATACAGTGGTACCTCGGGTTAAGTACTTAATTTGTTCCAGAGGTCTGTACTTAACCTGAGACTGTTCTTAACCTGAAGCACCACTTTAGCTAATGGGGCCTCCTGCTGCCACTGCCCTGCTGCTGCGCGATTTCTGTTCTCAACCTGAAGCAAAGTTCTTAACCTGAAGCACTATTTCTGGGTTAGCAGAGTCTGTAACCTGAAGCATATGTAACTTGAAGCGTATGTAACCCGAGGTAGCACTGTATATTAAAATGAATGAATTCTTGTGCCCCACAAATACCCCAGAGATGCATTTTAAATAAAAGGACACATTCTACTCATGTAAAAACACGCTGATTCCCGGACCGTCCGTGGGCCGGATTGAGAAGGTGATTGGGCTGCATCCAGCCCACGGGCCTTAGGTTGCCTACCCCTGGGCTACATAGTCCTGGGTAAAGGTAAAGGTAAAGGTAAAGGGACCCCTGACCATTAGGTCCAGTCATGGCCGACTCGGGTTGCGGCACTCATCTCGCTTTATTGGCCGAGGGAGCCGGCGTTCAGCTTCCGGGTCATGTGGCCAGCATGACTAAGATGCTTCTGGCGAACCAGAGCAGCGCACTGAAACGCCGTTTACCTTCCCATCGGAGCGGTACCTATTTATCTACTTGCACTTTGACATGCTTTCGAACTGCTAGGTGGGCAGGAGCAGGGACCGAACAACGGGAGCTCACCCCGTCGCGGGGATTCGAACCGCTGACCTTCTGATCGGCAAGTCCTAGGCTCTGTGGTTTAACCCACAGCGCCACCCACGTCCCAGTCCTGGGTAATCTTGGGCTAATTTGAGACAATCAAACTCCCCTTGACACAAAGAAGCCTTTCTCTTTTCTGATCTTTCATCACGGTTGAAAATTGGGATTTGCAACAATATGTTTGCATATTGTTTGCAACAATATGTTGTGGACAACTGTAGAAGAATAGCCAGTGCCCTTGAAGAGACGTGGGGATATTGTTTCTGGTTGCAAATCACCCCCAGAAAGTTTTTATTTTGATACCATACTGTACTGAAATGTTTAAATGTTTCTTTGTTTGCCATTGAATCTTCCCACAACACTTCCTGTTCTCTCCCGCCACACCGGTGTGATGCATTCCACCCACGGCCGCAAACCCTTTGCAGTGCAGAAATCTGTTTCCTCCCCACTCCAGAGCAGTTCCTTTCAATCTGGGTTGACTCTAGATCATGCTTTCCAGGAGAGTGGTTGTGCTTGCTTGAGACACTTTAGGTTATCCAAACCGTTCCCCGCCTGCATGAGGCCACAGGTCAATGAGAAAGGAAGTGGTGATTACAAACACTCCCCCATTTATTTTTCTTTTACAGTGGTACCTCTGGTTGTGAACGGGATCCGTTCCGGAGCCCCGTTCTCAACCTGAGCAGAACGCAACCCACGTCTGTGCATGCACGGGTCAGAATTCACCGCTTCTGCGCATGCACGTGATCGTCATTGTCCGTGTTTGTAAAAAAAAAAGGTTCTGACCTCCCTTTGTCACCTCAGCCTGGTCCTCGGACCCTTGTTGGCATAAAAGAGTCCACGAGAAGACTGTCCTTGCAGAGTACTGTCTGCTTTTATTCTTAAAAGACTTTCTGCAAAAATGACTGACCAACTGTACACACATCAACACTACCAGCTTTCACTAACCAACCAACCAACCCAAACAAAAACTAACATTTCTCACTCTATATATACAACCCGGTGCAGGCCGCTGACTCACGCTGACCCAGGTTTTTTAAGCATTAAAGAAACAGCGGCCAATTTTTTAGCCGTGACAGTCATTTTGAGTGTCTGCGCATGCACGAGCGGCGAAACCCGGAAGTAACCCTTTCCGGTACTTCCGGGTCGCCGCGGGACACAACTTGAAAAGATTTAACCTGAAGCAAATGTAACAAGAGGTATGACTGTATTTCAAGATTCAGAGTCACCATTTATCACTCAACAGTTATAATTCTATAATACGAATGAGTTCCTGCTCATCCATCCTCAATGTTTATAAGCACAATTGCATACAGTTGCTTCTTAAAATTCCATCATGTCCCATTTCACCCTCTTAAATACGTAGGTTTCTTAATATATTCTATCCCCCCCCCTTAAATTTCGCATTTGGAAAATTATTTTTTTAGTAGACCAGAGAGAGTTTCCAGTCCTCCTTGAAAGATTCTAGATTTGTGTCTCTTATCAGAGCTGCCAGTTTTAACATATTCTGCATATTCCATGATTTTCATCAGCCATTCTTCATTTGTCAGTATTCCATGCCGCTTTGGTTACATGCAGAAACACAGTTGAAGTTTCCTTTGTAATCTACATCTTTGTCAATCTGTTTTCAAATGGATTATAAAGGGTAATGCATAATCACACCAGAAAGGTGTTTCGTTTTTGGAACGAGCCCAATTTCTCCAGAAGTGCTTCTTGGAGGGGGAAAATATGCAATAGCTCTAGATCATGGGTAGGCAAACTAAGGCCCGGGGGCCAGATCTGGCCCAATCGCCTTCTAAATCCGGCCCACAGACGGTCCGGGAATCAGCGTGTTTTTCCTTGAGCAGAATGTGTGCTTTTATTTAAAATGCGTCTCTGGGTTATTTGTGGGGCCTGCCTGGTGTTTTTACATGAGTAGAATGTGTGCTTTTATTTAAAATGCATCTCTGGGTTATTTGCAAGGAATAGGAATTTGTTCGTATTCTTTTTTCAAAATATAGTCCGGCCCCCCACAAAGTCTGAGGGACAGTTGACCGGCCCCCTGCTGAAAATGTTTGCTGACCCCTGCTCTAGATTGTGTGCGGACTACATAAAAAAAAAACCACTTGTATTTGGTCTCCATAGATTCTAGAATAAAATGTTTGTATGCAGCCTTAGTCGACAAGACATGTTTTCTTCCCATTCTAGTTTACCGATCGATATACAAAGACCTGATCTCCATCCTGCAGGCCGACGAGCTGCTCTCTGTTGATAAGCTGAAGAAAAAGGTGGTTTTCTCTTTAAAGTATTTTCATAAAATCCTAGAATTTTAGAGTTGGAAGGGACCACAACTGTCAAACCTAGATGTCTCAAGGACACAGCTGCTGCACAAGCAATAATTCTGCAAACTTGTGCTTGGCTGCCCCAGTTCAGGGCAGAACTGGATCCATATTCCCTGATCAATAACTTTTCCTCCTTTTATTCAGTCACAGCAGTCCCTGTCTTATACTTAGAGGGGGGCGTCCGACTGGTTGGACAGTTTTTCGGCAGTAGGATGGAAACAGGGGGGTTAGGTGGCTTATGACCAACTGAGACCCCCTCATTCTGTGGTTCTCTGGACTGAGACTTCTAGGAGTAGTAGTAAAGTAAATAGTAAATTTTATTTATACCCCACCCTCCCTGCCCAGAGCCGGGCTCAGGGCGGCTAACACCAATAAAATCACAGTAAAAACATAATGGGGGGGGGAAGAGACCCAATTTAAAATACAGGTTAAAATGCAATTTAAAATGCAGCCTCATTTTAAAAGTAGCTGATAGATCAAAACCATAAGGGGAGGGAAACATAAGGGTCAGACTGAGTCCAAACCAAAGGCCAGGTGGAACAGCTCTGTCTTGCAGGCCCTGTGGAAAGATGTCAAGTCCCGCAGGGCCCTGGTCTCTTGTGACAGAGCATTCCACCAAGTCGGGGCCAGTACTGAAAAGGCCCTGGCCCTAGTTGAGACCAATCTAACCACCTTGCGACCTGGGACCTACAAAATGTTGTTTTTTGTAGACCTTAAGGTCCTCCGCGGGGCATACCAGGAGAGGCGGTCCCGCAGTCATGGGTTGGCTGCAAGGGGCTTGCAGAGGAGGCCTTGTGTACGATCCTGATCTCTACTTGCAGGGAGAGCCGACTTTTGCCAACGATAAACTGGTGAAATATAGTGGGTTAGGCTGCGGGAACAGATACCAGGAGGTGCGCGAGTTCCGCTCGGATCACCACCTGGTGCGATGCTACTTCATTCCCCGCGTTTATTCGGACTACGTGGAGGAAATCTTGGACGACCTCCAAAGAGAGCCGAAACCAGACGTGGTCATCTTCAATTCCTGCCTCTGGGACCTCAACAGGTAAGGGGGGCTTACCTGTGGCACCAGGGCACTCTTCTTCCGTGTGTGGGCTTCTCTGAGATATCTGCCTGACCTACGCTTGGAAACTGGGTGCTGGGCTCTTTCTGTCCAGATGGACCGACCTTGCTGTGATCCTGCGGCCTCTGCCTTGTGTTATCCAGCCCTTTGTTGCTGACCCCTGACCAGAAACATCATATGTCTCTGCATCAGCTGAGATTTGGGATGCTTTTGTTGCTGCTTTATGCAGGGACTTAGCGGGAAAACTGTGCTTCCCTCTCCTTAAAAAATAACCGCTGGAGCAGTTAGTCATGCAGAGATGTGGTGGGCAGACTCCTCCATGGGTGGTCTCCAAAACAGCCTTTTTATTTCGTTGATTACCAAACATGATCCCATGTTAGAGGATGGAGAATTGGGAAAATACCCTTTTGTTTATACTCACATCTGTCCAGGTTTGAAAATCAAGGGAACATGAGACCAGGTGTGTGTGTGTGTTCTTGTGTTCTTGTGTTCTTTAAATCAAATCCACCCTGGCACCCTTCAGCTTTCTTGGCCAAGACCAATGCTGTTATCCTTTTGTGTCTTCCCACCAAGATCCTGATGGTCTCCCTTCTTCCATGCAGGTACCAAGAGAAGGTGGCCAGGAAGCTTCGGCTGCCGAAGGCCATCAGGCAGTACAGGCTCAACCTGGAAAAGCTCTTTGAGAGGCTGGATCAGGTCCTTCCTCAGACCTGCCTTGCCATCTGGAACACTGCCCTCCCCATACGGAAAGAGCCTTCTGGAGCCCTCTACAAAGAGATGGAGGGAGACTACTGCTCAGCTGAGGTGACTGGGGGCCAGCTCCCACCCAAGGTGGGGCGGGGTTGGGTGTCAACCTGTCCCCTAGCCCATAGCTGTCAACTTTTCCCTTTCCTTGCGAGGAATCCTATTCGGAATAAGGGAATTTCCCTTTTAAAAAAAGGGAAATGTTGACAGCTATGCCCTCGCTCTCCCTCCAACATGTGGGAATGTTAAAGATTGTAAAGATAAAGGGACCCCTGACCGTTAGGTCCAGTCGCGGACGACTCTGGGGTTGCGGTGCTCATCAGGATATTGACAAGCTGGAATGTGTGCAGAGGAGGGCAACCATGATGATCAAGGGTCTGGAAACTAAGCCTTGTGAGGAATGGTTGAAGGAGTTGGGCATGTTTAGCCTGGAGAAGAGGAGACTGAGAGGGAGATATGATAAAGGTAAAGGGACCCCTGACCGTTAGGTCCAGTTGTGACCGACTCTGGGGTTGTGGCGCTCATCTCACTTTACTGGCCGAGGGAGCCGGCGTTTGACCACGGACAGTTTTTCCGGGTCATGTGGCCAGCATGACTAAGCCGCTTCTGGCGAACCAGAGCAGCACACGGAAACGCCGTTTACCTTCTCGCCGGAGCGGTACCTATTTATCTACTTGCACTTTGACGTGCTTTCGAACTGCTAGGCTGGCAGGAGCAGGGACCAAACCACGGGAGCTCACCCCGTTGCGGGGATTTGAACCGCCGACCTTCTGATCGGCACGTCCTAGGCTCTGTGGTTTAAGATTGTAGGAAAGGATATATTTAATAAGTATTATCCTTCTTTCACTCATGCAAGTAGGTGATGCAGCAGAGCAGATTCTCCTCACTATAGTTGGAAGCTAGGTTGCAGATTCATTTGAATCTCTTAGTTAAGATTATTTCCTGGTGTTCCCCTTTTGATCCTTCTTAAAATAAATAATAATAATAATAATAATAATAATAATAATAATAATAATTTTTTACCCCACCCTCCCTGGCCAAGACCGGGTTCAGGGCGGCTAACACCGAATATGAATACAGTAAAAACATTAAAAACAAAACAAAACAAACAGTTGATTAAAATATAAGTTAAAATACAGTGTAAAATGCAGCTTAAAATACAGCCTCGCTTTAGTGGTAGCCTATAGATCAAAGCCATAAGGGGAGAAAACGTCAAATATTCACCGGGACCAGCTATCCGTGCTGGTCCTACATGGGCCAGCAAAAAGAACCGAGGGAAAATGTATATGCAAAATCCCTTATAAGGCGTTCCATAAATAAATGAATGGGGGGGGGTGTTCTTGAGTCCATCCCCAAAGGCCAGGCGGAACAGCTCCATCTTGTAGGCCCTGCGGAAAGATGTTGAATCCTGCAGGGCCCTAGTCTCTTGTGACAAGAGCGTTCCACCATGTTGGGGCTAGTGCTGAAAAGGCCCTGGCCCTGGTTGAGGCCAATCTAACCTCCTTGGGGCTCGGGACCTCCAAAGTGTTGTTATTTATGGGATGTCCCTATTTTCATTGGAGAAATGTTGAAGGGTATACCATTAGTACTTCTTCCGCATTTGTAAGAACTCGATCTTTTAATGTGGCACTTTAGAACTCCCTGCCTATTCATAGAATCATAGAATCATGGAGTTGGAAGAGACCACAAGGGCCATCGAGTCCAACCCCCTGCCAAGCAGGAAACACCATCAGAGCACTCCTGACATATGGTTGTCAAGCCTCTGCTTAAAGACCTCCAAAGAAGGAGACTCCACCACACTCCTTGGCAGCAAATTCCACTGTCGAACAGCTCTTACTGTCAGGAAGTTCTTCCTAATGTTTAGGTGGAATCTTCTTTCTTGTAGTTTGGATCCATTGCTCCGCTGGAGCAGCAGAAAACAACCTTTCTCCCTCCTCTATGTGACATCCTTTTATATATTTGAACATGGCTATCATATCACCCCTTAACCTCCTCTTCTCCAGGCTAAACATGCCCAGCTCCCTTAGCCGTTCCTCATAAGGCATCGTATTGATCCCAGGCCGATGACATATCCATATTCTTTTCAGCCACCTGCCTGATATCAATAGACAGGCACCTATTGCTTACCCAGATGCTTAGAAAATTGATGTGAATTTCAACCTTTTTTTTTTTTTTTTAGTCTTTCGCGTCTAACTTTTTGAAAGTCTTGCGTTATTTTTCCTATTGATGAATTTTATTTTATCTTTTTTGTAGACGGTTTGGGACTTGGTTTTTTTTTTTTTTACGCAATCAAGCATTGTACGCATGCTATGAAATAAAATAAATAAATAAATAAATGCAGGATGTAGAAAAAGCGACTCCCGTGGACGTGATTGAAGCCAACTTCTACGGCGCCATCCTCGCCCGCAGCTACGGGTTCGACGTCCTAGACCTTCATTTCTTCTTCCGCCGTGTGGACGATCTCCGCATTGAAGACGGGGTACACTGGAACTTCTTGGCGCACCGCTTTATTACCAGATACCTGCTGACCTACATTGCTGATTCCTGGGGAGTCGAGCTTGAGAAGAGGAGGTCCGGCACAGGTGAGCATGTGGCTCAAGAACAGGGGAAGAGCTGGATGGAAGGCAGAGATTGCAGAAGGTCCGGAAGACTATAGCTGTAAAAGAGTTTTTGAGAAGAGGGTTTTGGGGCTTCACTTGCTGCTTCTTCTTATATAATAATAATAATAATAATAATAATAATAATAATAATAATTTATTATTTATACCCCGCCCATCTGGCTGGGTTTCCCCAGCCACTCTGGGCGGCTTCCAACTGAATATTAAAAACAGTACAGCATCAAACATTAAAAGCTTCCCTAAAGAGGGCTGCCTTCAGATGACTTTTAAAAGTAAAATAGTTGTTCTTCTCTTTGACATCTGGTGGGAGGACGTTCCACAGGGCGGGTGCCACTACCGAGAAGGCCCTCTGCCTGCTTCCCTGTAACCTTACTTCTCGCAATGAGGGAAACGCCAGAAGGCCCTCAGCGCTGGATCTCAGTGGATCTTTCGCAATCGCTCGTAGCCGTGTAAGACTGTAAAAAGTAAGATTTTTAAAAAGTGAGTCTGTAAGTGACTGTGGAGGCCAATTCTGGACCCACACGTCCTTCCACAGTGGGGACATTCGTTCCCGGGCGGGAGTTGATCACGGTGAGGGTTTGCCAAGCATGCCTTCCCCTTAGCACGTTCCTCCCTTGCGTCCTGAGTTCGAGTGTCTTCAAAGCCCATGACACCTTTGGTAAAGGCTGTTCTCCAACTGGAGCGCTCGCAGGCTAAGTGTTTCCCAGTTGTTGGTGAATTAGTATTTTCCACACAACAACAACACAAAAGATATCCAAAGATATGAAAAGATAACAATACACAACACACAAAAATCAAATCTAGTTTATACTAGATTTGCCTTGAGACAGTTTAAACCTCTTTTGTTGACCACCAGCATTACGCTTTGCATTTTTTAGTTCAGAATAGAGTAGTTGCTTTGGAAGATGATAATCAGGCATCCGCACAACATGACCAGTCCAACGAAATTGATGTTGAAGAATCATTGCTTCAACGCTGGTGATCTTTGCTTCTTCTGGTACACTGGCATTAGCTTGCCTGTCTTCCAAAGTGATGTGCAAATTTTTTTTGACAAACCAAATTTTTTTGGAATCTTTCGAGGAGTATACTCACTAACAGGAGTATACTCACTAACTACTCACTAACAGAGTAGTTAATATGCAAAATTGTGTGTGTGGATTTGGAAGTTCTCTTGGAAAAAATGCAGCTGCCCCACCAGGAACTCATGAGAGTTGCTTTTGGGGGGTTGTGTGTCAGTGGGTGACCAGGAAGTCATCCTTTGTGCCCCTTGGGATAATGGCTCTAGAATCCTAGAATTGTAGCATTGGAAGGGACCACTTGGATCATCTAGACCAACCCCGTGCATTGCAGGAGTCCTTTGCCCAACGTGGGGCTTAGAACCCATGACCTTGAGATTAAGAGAGAAGGAGGGCAAAAAGAGAGGGGCTGCCCCAATCCCACAGAGCCTGCTGTTGGTGTTGAGCTTCTTGCAAAGAACAACAGGTGTGATTTCCCCCTCCCCACCTCCCCAGAATAATGGCCTCTCACTTTGCAGGGATTGGTTGGAACGGGACTGCAACACATCAGCCAGCTTCCCCTCAGCTGCCCTCCACACCCCAGTTGTTCCGTGACTTCTTCTCGGCTGGTGACGCTCCTATTAGGCAGCTCCTTGTGGACAGAGAAGCCCCTGACAGCTATGGTGCTCCCTATGGCAACAGACCTGTGGCTGGATTCGAATACAATCCCCAGGACCCCTCGCCCCACCATGGCCGGCTCCTTCCTACCCACCCGCCGTTTGAACACCACAGCAATCCGTATGATGACGGGCCAGGGGGCGGATTGGAGTGTCACGACTATCCACCCGACGATGGACAGCTCACTCCTGACCCCCAGTTCAGTGACCATTGGAATGTTTCCTTCAGCCACAGGGGTGGGATTTGGAATGGCCCCTTTTTCCCAGGTATGTCCCTGCAAACCACCGTTGTCCCTCTGAGATACGTTTAGGAGCCCACTGTTGGGATGCATCCAAGGAAACGGGGGCAATTTGCAAGCCCCCAGCTGGCTTCAGCCCACCAGCTGGTAAGCTGGGCGATCTCCAGTCCTTGGCTCAGCATGAAACAGCGACCCACAGCTTCAGTAGCCTTCAGAAGCTGCAGCACGCTCTACTCAGCTGAGTAAATAACACTGCACAAACAGAAGTGGCAGGAGATGGCTGTGAGAGCATATTTACCCGCACCCTCACAAGCACCCGCTGTTTACCTTCCCGCCAGTGTGGTACCTATTTATCTACTTGCACTTTGACGTGCTTTCAAACTGCTAGGTTGGCAGGAGCTGGGACCAAACAATGGGAGCTCACCCCATCGCGGGGATTTGAACCGCCGACCTACTGATTGGCAAGCCCTAGGCTCAGTGGTTTACACCACAGCGCCACCCGCGTCCCATAAAAATACAGTTGGCATCCCATAAATATAAGAGGAGGGGTTTCAGCAGATAAAGCAACTTAGACTGAGTTTTAGCACACATGAAAAGCCTAAAACAAATCCTTATTTCCTGATGTATAGCCTTTGGACTATACTGTAACTTAAATAGAAAATTATCTTTAGAAAGATGTCCCCTACAAAGCATTTTATTATTTTTTAAAAAATCCGATTTAAATCAAAAAAATCCTTTTTAAAACACACACAAAACCATTGATTTTTATCCACCCTGCCTAGAACAGAGAGTGGTAACCAGTTCAGCTGCTGAAAGCGGTACATACATTTCCTAAGTCCCCAGAGGGCTTCATCCTAAGCTCACACATGATGTCTCAGTTGTGCAGCTGATTCTGGGCTTTCCTGCTGCTTTTACTTCCTGCACCTGCTCTGCTTCCCCACTCTGACCCCTTTCTCGCTTTCCTCCAGAAACCCACTCCGACGGCTTCCCTATTCCCACAACGGCCGGGCGTTCCAGGCGAAGGCGGCGCCCCGAGTTCATACAGTACCGCCCCCACGAGCAACGCGAAGGAGCCCACCCCTACGCCAGGCCGTGGCGGGGGCGCGGCCGAAACGCTTGGCGTCGCCCCCAAAGGTCAAGATACGTCTGGAGACGCCCCTCTCGCTCTTAGCAGGGGCTCCGACAGCCTTGAATGTTCTTCTCTTGCAGGCAGCAGCCCAACTTGTCAGGACTGGGGATGGGGTTTTTTTTGGGGGGGGGGGAGTTGCCTGTGGGTGTCAAGGGCTTCTGTGCACATAGTGGAAGGACTCGGCGCTTGATCTCCAGCCTGCTATTGAACACCCTTTGGTCACATGCTCGCAAGTGGGGGTCAGACCGTCTTTCTGAACCCGGGGTTGCCCCCCACCCAGTCCGGACGCTTCTACTTTTTCACCTCGACCGCCCGTCCCGTGGAAGAAGGGTGTCTTCGCAACCGGCTCTGAATAGCAAGCTTGGTAGTCCAATCTCAGACACGCACCAGGCATTCAAAGCGCATTCTGCCCACGTTTTAAAGCTCCCCCCTCCAAAAGACCCATGGGAACTGTAGTTCCCCCGCTCACAGACCTACAGGGCCCTTAACTACAGTTCCCAGAATGCTTTGGGGGTACAGCCATGTGCTTCAAAGGTGTGTTGGGGATCTGCCCCTAGTCGTGGGATGAGCTGCAGGTGATCTGTTGATATCGGTACAAACCGCCTGGGTTGTTTTGGCCAGGATTTTTATATTCGCCATTAAATTCATTCCGTCCCGCCCAGGGCAGTAGCAAATCTGGGTGGAAACTCTTCTTTCCCAAAGCCCCCTGCTATTTCCCTGCCGTGCAAGGTGGGACAGACTGCCTTTGAAGCAGTGGGGAGTGGGAACTGAATTTGGCCCTCTGTATGTTCTTATCAGGCCCTCTGGACTTTCCCCAAGGAGTTGAGGTCCGGCTGTGCTCCCATCCATCTTTGAGAATGTGGCTGTTTATGGGCGTTTTCATTCAGCAAGCACAGGAAGCCCATTTTCACATTCATCCATAGGGTGGGTGGGTAGGCAGACACTGTGTTTGGGAGGGCAAAATGTGCCACCTCTTTGCATTTTCCAACCTGCGGCACACCTGCCCAGGTGAGCCCTGCTTGTAGATCCACAAAGGAAGGACTGTTACTAGAAGTATCTTCATTTCCCCTCCCAGCACAGTTTACTCCGCTTCTTCCTCTACACAGGAACATGACTTTATACGGAAACTAGTCTTTTGCACTAGGGTCTCGGGAGCATGGTCTAGTGGTTAGGTCTCCTGCATAAGCCCCACTAAGATAGACTGAAGCTATGCAAGAACTCGCTCCAGAGACCTCCCCACGGGGTCAGGCAGGCTGCCCAAAATGACTCCAAAGGAGAGAGCTTTTTCAGTCTGAATGTATAATGTTTTTTAAAAGCCTCAAGGTGAGGCAGTGTGTGTTTGTCTATGGCAGGGGTCTGCAACCCGTGGCCCCGGAGCCGCATGTGGCTCTTTTACACCTTTGCTGCGGCGGATACTACCGAGGGGAGGAGACGCATTGTGCGCCCCGACACTCCCCACTGTGGCGGGCGCTGTACTGGCTGTGACGTCGCATGGGGGCGGTGCGTGCGTTTGTCACGCACCGTCCCGACGTCACCTTCCCGCCCGCTGTCAGATCGCGGCTCCGGAGATATATTTGTTTTAAATGTCGCAATGGTTTTGCGGCTCCCAGTTTTTTTTTCTTCGGAAACGGGTCCAAGTGGCTCTTTTTGTCTTAAAGGTTGCAGACCCCTGGTCTATGGGGAATCCTTATCTCCTAACCCAGCTGGGGTCTGTTGGAGCAAAATGCATTACCTAAAAAGAGAACACGTTTTGGAGGAGAAAAAGCTGTTTCACGAAGGCAGCATTTTTCTCTCTGAAAGGAAATAATAAAAGTGTGGTTGGTAATCGTCTTTTTGTCTTTCTGTTTAGAGGAGGGCTGCTTGTCCTTGCAGTGAAAATGTCCCCATTTTACAGATGGAGAACTGAGAGTGGTGTGAAACAAGTTCATGGGAGAAGAGGGACTCAAAAGCCGAGAGTTAAAGTGCCTTTGGGGTGGGGGTTGTTATTACATTTTTTTAATGCATCCCACCTTTTTTGCGAGATGGTTCGCACAAATTGAAACGACACAGATGAACCGCAAAAAGCCAAGAGCATATAAAAAAGACAGTCACGGAACCGAGAAATTGTACAATACAAATGAAAAACCATGAAAATCCCTGAAACGAGAAGTAATCGACTAGAAATATTATCTTATGAAAATAAAAATCAAAAAGTTTAAGGAAAAAATTAGAAAAACCTAAAATTGCACAAAGCCTTAATGGGATGCCGGGTTCAAACCTTGTTTCACTGAACTATTCAGTTTCCTCAGAAGGAAATAGAAAAATCATAAACCTTAAATGACCAAAATTTTAAAAAGGGGGTAAAACTCCCAAAATTTCTGAAGTATTATAATCCTAGCTCAACCTAGGTGAAGCCAAGCGCAGTAATAAAGGATTAAGGACTCAAAGGTACAGTTTCTAATACTGAATTTACAAAAAAGGTTTGAAAACCTAAATGGCAAGTTTTTGACAAAGCCCAATTTAAAGGAAGCAAAGCACAGTAATAAGGAGTTGAGGACTCAGCTCTGAAAATTCTAGTGTTGCGCACAAATTCAAAGAAAGGAATACAAGATAAGCTGTTTTAGATTTTAAACTCAAGAACAGAGCTGAAACATTCCCATGGTCTAGATGTTACCGCTGATGTTAAAGACTGATACTGGGTGTTTCCAATCACAGGTTTATATACTATAGGGTGATTTTTTTTTTTAAAGGGACAGGCCATCTTATTCAAACAATGGGCGGGATTGTTAGGGTTTGTAAAAATAGTTGAATTAAAACAATGTAAAATACCGATCTCTTAAAAGTGCGGATAACCCCCTCCTATTAATAGCCCTTTCATTTAAAAAAACCAGTCAGTTCCCCAAAACTTGTTGGAACAAGAAAGTCTCCACCTGCCAGTGGAAGGACAATATGGAGGGAGCCAGTCTAGCTTCTCTAGGGAGGAAGTTTTAAAGTTTGGGAGCCACCACTGAGAAGGCCCTCTCCTGCGTCCCCACCATTGCATTTGCTTAGGGGAGAGTGAAAGGGTGGAGCAAAAAGTGGGTGGCGCATAGACACGCCTGTTCACACAAGCACCCGCCCTCTTGCCCCCCATCTTTCATCTATCTTCCACCCAATCTCCAGGCTTGTGGGCGTTGTGAGCCACACCGGAGGAAGTGGAGTCCCTGCATGGAGTTGAATTGCCAGTGTGGGACCTGAAGGCTATTTTCCACACGGTAGCTCAAGCCTGGGGGCCCCTGCACTGCCCCCCATTCAAGGAAAACCAGACATTATGGAGAAGGGAGTCCATTCCAGAGCATGGCCAGGGAAGGACCCCTGCGCCTTAACATTGGCTTACTCCCACAAGGTCCCAGGTAAAATCCCTGGCAGCGTCGCCAGCTAAAAATGATCTTGTAGCAGGCTGCATGAGGTATCCGCTTTTGGAAGTGTGCCAACCCCAAAATGCCAGCTTTACGATGGGCCGCTGGCTGGGTCCTGCCTCAGACCAGGCTGCCCCATCAAATTGTGCAGAGAGCCAGACAGGTGGTCTGCATTTGGGATTTAACTCATCTGGTTTCCCCCCCGCCCTCTGTTCAAAATCTCCTTCCAAGAATCCTACACTGGAGGCCCCCAGAGACTCACAGGCAAGCAGTACTCCCAGGAATTTGTGGTTTTCTAAAAATCGATATGAAGAAAGAATAGAGGAGAAAAACAGAAAGCAGGTGGGGAGTTTAGAGAGGGTGGGAACTTACCAGCCAGGTTAAAAATACTGTAAGCATCAACACCCCACCTTAATTGGAACATACACATTGGTGTAAAGCGGGGTAGGCAACCTAAGGCCCGGGGGCAGGATGCGGCCCAATTGCCTTCTCAATCCGGCTTGCGGACAGTCTGGGAATCAGTGTGTTTTTACATGAGTAGAAGGTGCCCTTTTATTTAAAATGCACCTCTGGGTTATTTGTGGGGCATAGGAATTTGTTCATTCCCCCCACCCCCCAATATAGTCTGGCCCACCGCATGCTCTGAGGGACGGTGGACCGGCCTCCTGCTGAAAAAGGTTGCTGACCCCTGGTGTAAAGCATCCAAGTTGGTATCCACATGAGATTGCATTTATAAGAAACATGTTCAAACGAGATTCCTGCATTGTAGGGGGTTGGACTAGATGACCCTCAGGGTCCCTTCCAACTCTACAAGCCCTTTGTGGCTTAGGGGGCCCTCGTAACTACGGGACCGCCTCTCCTGGTATGCCCTGCAGATGACCTTCAGGTCCATGAATAACCATAGTTTAGAGGTCCCAGGCCCTAAGGAAGCCAGACTATCCTCCACCAGGGCCAGGGCCTTTTCAGTGATGGCTCCGACCTGGTGGAATGCTCTGTCCCATGAGACCAGGGCCCTTTAGGATTTAACTTCCTTCCACAGAGCCTGTAAGACAGAGCTATTCTGCCTGGCCTTTAATTTGAAATCAGCCTGATCTTTTATTCCCCTTCCTTCCCTCCCCCTCCCCTTTTTTATGAAGATTACCCGCTCTGGGATCCCACAGCTAATTCTCCCCTGGTCTCCTCGCTGGCCCAAATAGGACTAACCCTGGTGATCATCTAATGTTTATTGGATGGATTTCCCTCCTAAATTGATTTTGAATTCTGAATTTATTGTTATTCACATTTTATGCTGTTTTTGTTGCATCAATTAAGTGTTTTAAATTTGTTGTTAGCTGCCCTGAGCCCGGTTTTCTGAACCGGGAAGGGCGGCGTATAAATAAAAATTTATTATTATTATTATTAGGAAGGGGAGCAAGGTATTCTGACCATTGCACAGCCGGTGGGGTGTTTCTCCTTCCAGGCTTAAGGTCTCTTAGCAACCTCAAGGTCTTGCAAAACCCACTTTGGTTGTGGAATTCATGACCTGTGATGAAGATGATAACTTTCGTTTTGCTCTTCCTGCAGGCCTGCAGCTCAGGCTAATGAGTGGCTTAACTGGGAAGAGAAGAACAGAAGGATCTCTGAGGAGGTTTTAACTTAACTGCTAGCTGAGAAGAGAATCCAGCTCTGGTTAAGTGAGGCCAATGCAGCTTCTATAAGCGCCGGCCTTGACTCTGAAAAAAGCAAACTGAGCAATTGGGAGTTAATACTTTATTAGCAAAAACGGGATCTGCGCAGGAGTGTCAGACCTAATGAGCACAGCAGCTCATCTCCAAGAAGTCTTGCTCCCATGAAGCAATTGCTGAGACTGAAGGGCCCCACCATAGCTGTCAACTTTTTCCTTTTCATGCGAGGAATCCTATTCGGAATAAGGGAATTTCCCTTTTAAAAAAAGAAAACATTGACAGCTATGGTCCCCACCTCCCCACGGCTGCCTGTTTCTTCTTCTCCAGGGTATTCTTCTTCTCCAGGCAGCAGAGAGCATTGTTGGCTGCCCATTCTCCACCTTAGAGCAGATTTATGCCACAAGGTGCCATAGGAAGGCACTGGACATAGTAAAAGATCCATCGCATCCTGGTCACTGTCTCTTTGAGCTCTTGCGGTCGGGACGGAGATACAGGACGATGAAGACAAGAACGAGCCGTCTTAAGAACAGCTTCTTCTCCAGAGCGATCTCGGCCCTGAATGGGAAGCCCGGACTTTGAAAGTCATCTAATCTCCCTTGCTGTATTATACTGTATTGTTTAATTAGTGTTTTTATGGAGCAGTCAAGTAATTTCGTTGTCCCCGAAGGGGGCAATGACAATAAAGATATTATTATTATTATTATTATTATTATTATTATTATTATTATTTTCCAAGCAATCCACATTGCCCACTTCTCAACCCTTTTCATACCTCTCCTAGGAGACCAGTGGGGAGGGGAGCTGGTCTCAGAAGGAGGGGGAGACACCTGTGGCTTTGCACCATCTCTGTCTCTTGGCCTCCCTCCTCCCCATGCCTGCTTCAGCTTCTGCCACTGAGTCTGGTCTTCTCTCTGCCACAGACTCTCCCCGCTCACTAAGCCCTGTTGCCTCCTCAGCTTCCGACACCACCTCTTCCCCCCATCTTCTCCTTCTGACCACTTACGGTCTTCCCATTGCCAATCCCTGGGCTCTGAGCCCTCTTCCCTTGGGGTTTTTCCAGCTGGTTCCTCCCACTATTCCTGTGTGTCCAACCAGTCCATGAAATATGTCAGTTTGAGTCTAATATCTACATGATGCCTAGGGAACAAATTGCGCCTTAATATCAGCAAGACAAAGGAGATGGTGTTGGACTTTCAGAGGAAGAGAGGAGAACTAGCCGCACTGTACATCAGGGAGGGCTGTGTGGAGAGTGTCTCTTCCTTTAAATTCCTAGGAGTTTATCTCAGTGAAGACCTTACTTGGAAAATCAATACAACCCAGGTGGTTAAGAAAGCCCAACAGAGGCTCCATCTCCTCAGAGTATTGTGGAAGAACGATGTCAATCAACATTTGATGATCTTCTACCGGTCCACAATAGAAAGTGTCCTTTCATACTGCATCACGGTGTGGTATGCTGGTTTGACATCAATGGATAGGCAGTGCCTACAGAGTGTGGTGAATACAGCACAAGATATTATGGGCTGTCCCGTGAATCTGCTGGATGAAATAGTGGAAGAACGTTGCTCAGGAGAGTGAGGAAAATTCTCAGCCATGATTCACACCCTGGCCGGCACTTTCTTGATCTCCTGCCCTCAGGCAGAAGATATAGAAGCATGATTAGTCGCACCAACAGGGTAAAGAACAGCTTCTATCCTGGGCTGTTAGGCTGCTGAATGAAAAGATAACAACAGGGCAACTGACTTTTGGGTTTGGTGGGTGTGCGTTAGTAAACGAGGGGAATTAAGACTAAGAGAGCTGAGTGGAAGGTACTCGTGTAATCTCACTGTATACAAGTTGTACAAGTGACAATAAAGTATTTCATTTCATTTCCCCACTCATCAGTTCCCAGCATTTCCAGTTTGCACATTCCTTCATTTATTGTGAAAATCCTCTTGAAAATTCACTAACATCCTGTTGTGAATCTCTCCCTAATATACACATTTTTGGCAAAGCAAAATCGGAAGGCATTTCTGTACGGTTTTCTTCAGTGCTATTATTCTTGAAAAAGAGGTGCCAGAACTCACCATGAACTCTTGTTCTTTTGTAATGGAAATGACATCCACCTGAGAGGTGCCAGAACTGAGTTCTGGTGAGTTCCAGCTGAGAAAAATCCCCGGTTATTTTCGCTAACAGTTGCTAGTATGTGCATCTCTGGCAAATCAGTGCACGTTAGGTAGGCTCATTTTTAAGGCTCATCGGATCAACTTTCTTTCTCCTTCCTCCCTAGCTGGCACCTGTCTGCAAACAGGCCACAATCTCTTCCTTCCTTCCTCTGGTCCCCAGGTTGCCGGTGTCAGCGAGATCCTCCGATCTCGTAGCGGTAGATGTAGATGTAGAACCGCAGCAGCTTACAGAGGGTATTGGGGCATATCTCTTTGACTTTGCAGAAGCCCATGCCCTCGTACGTCCGATGGGCCGCCACCTGCACCATGGAGGTGCCCAGGATCACTTCCTTGTACCCGTGCTCCTGGGCGAAGAGGAGAACCGTCCTGGTGAGAGCCTTGCCGAGTCCGTGGCCCCGGTGCGCCTTTGCCACAGACATGCGCTTCAGCTCCAGTGCCCTGCCGCGCAGGGATGGGTTTTCTGGGTGGGTGGCGGCGACGATGCCCGCCACTTCGCCTCTGGCCTCTGCCACCCAGAAGCTGCAGTCTTTGGGCACCAGGTAGGTCTGGCGGATGTCCTTCATGTCCGTGGCAAGGGCCTCGTGCACATAGTCCGCCCAGAGGCGCTTTGTGAAAATCCAGCCCACGGCCAACAGGGCAGCCACGGCACCGAGGGAAAGGAGAAGGGAAGAGGTGCCCAGGTAGGTTGCGAGGAGCACGCCCAGGAGCAACAGGTGGGTCTGGGGGGAAGAGAGAACATGCCGGAAACCTGCAGGAGCATGTTCGTTGATCCCCTGGGAGAATATCGTGCGGACGGCTTCGTAGTCCCGATCTTCATACCTGCGAATGTGGTACTCTCCCATCTTGAATTTGCCTTCCTCGTCTCCCTGGAAAATAGAACAAACGGCTTGTCGGATTTCCTGGGGTGGGACTAATTGCTCCTTTCAAGCGGATAGGGGGAGCCTCTAAATTGGCAGTCCCTCTTGGGGGCAGTGGGACTACTGTAATTCGCTCTCCGCGGGGCTGCCCTTGAAGCTGTCCCAGAAACTCCAGCGGGTGCAGAATGCTGCAGCGAGGCTCCTCACGGGGTCTCTGCCATGGGAGCATATTCACACAGTGCTTTTCCAGCTGCGCTGGCTCCCGGTGGAGTACAGGGTCAGGTTTAAGGTGCTGGCTTTGACCTTTAAAACCCTTCACGGCCTAGGACCCTCATACCTACAGGACTGCCTCTCCCGGTCTGCCCCAAGGAGGACCTTACGGTCCATAAATAGCAACACTCTAGAGGTCCCGGGCCCTAAGGAAATCAGATTAGCCTCAACCAGAGGCAGGGCCTTTTCAACACTGGCCCCGGCCTGGTGGAACGCTCTGTCTCATGAGACCAGGGCCCTGCAGGATCTGATTTCTTTCTGTAGGGCCTGTAAGACAGAGTTGTTCCACCTGGCTTTTGGATTGGAATCAACTTGATCCCCTCCCCCTCTTTCCTTTCTCCTTCTGTGATGGAACTCCTATTTGGGGACTTCCCTGGCTTTTTTCTGGCCCACATAGGACCAGTCTGGATAGTTGGCCTTGGTGAAGATTTGACGTTTTCATCCCCAAAATTTGTTTGATTTGAGTTTCTAGTGAAATGAGGCTGCATTTTAATGTTGTACTAAATCTTGTTTTAAGTTGTATTTTAATCAATTGTTTCTATACCTGGTGTTAGCCGCCCTGAGCCTGGTCTTGCCTGGGGAGGGCGGGGTATAAATAAAAATTATTATTAATTATTATTATTATTATTACCACCTAGGGGGGCAGAAAGAGACAAGGGGGACGTCGGAGGCATAAATTACTTTTTCCAATTGTATTTTATTAAGTTTCAACATTTTTAGCACAAACGGTCATAACATAATTTCATCTTTTATTTTTGTCAACTTCCCACGCCTTTCCCCAGAGCTGTGGTTTCTCCCCTTCGGCTGCACCCTATTTTCGATCTACCGAATCATAACCACTATTTTATAATCTAATTACTTCTGTTGCTCATAGCTCAAATCCTGCTCACGAGTTCATTGTACTATTATAATTCTTCAAAATAGTCTGAAAAAGCAACCAATTCTTCCATAAAACACTCATCATTAGATTCTCTTAATTTTGCTGTAAATTTTGCCAGTTCTACATATCTTATTTATCCATTTTAGTTGGAACTTCTTTGTTCCATTTCTGCAAGTATAAATTCCTAGCTGCTATTCTTACATACATAAATAACTTCAACATTTTTATTTTGATGGGGGTGGGATTTCTGCCTCTATAATCCCTAACAGAAATGCTTTGGGCCGTTTTGATAAACTTATTTTAAACATCTTTTTTATCTTGTCATGTATCATGGAGGCATAAATGACTATCAGACTTTGAAAAGCTGGCATCCCTGGATCAAGTTCATCAGTTTTGTTGAACTAATTAAACTAATGAGCTTCAATTGGATTTTGAACAAAGGAAGGGTTGCCATATTTCAAAGAGTGAAAAAATCCGGACACAAGAGTTGTTGAGCTATTTTTTTTTCCCCCCCAAAGTTTAAATGAACTTCAAAAAATTGGCAGCAAATACGACACTGCAGACATGGGTTGCCATACATCCAGATTTCCCCGGACATTTAACTGATTTCTGCCCAGACACTGCTTTCGACTGCAGTATTCTGTGTATGTCCGGGAAATTCTGGATGTATCACAACCCTAACAAAGGTGCAATTAGCTGTGACAGCTTTGAACTTTATTGGGTTATTCTCTTAGTGTGCTGTGCAAGCCGCTATTCAGAATAATGCTTTTGACAGGGTCGGGTGGGAGGCCACTGAGAGTGGGTTTTGGTATTCCCAAATACATTGAGAAGCACTGCTCTAAAGCCAGATATCTAAAAACAGCACACTCCTCCATCATCACCCAAAACAGACAGATACCAATAGGACAGTCTATTCTGGGAGTGGGTAGACTTTTGGGGGCTTGGGACGACCAAGACCCATGGCAAACTCTTGAGTGGAGGGCAGGTTCATGTCAAAGTAGCCCAAGTGATGAGCAAAACTGGGTAGGGCAATAACTCCCGTTCTTAAAGTTGCTTTGCAAAAGATCTTCCAATCACCTCCAGTATTTTCAATCCCTTAAAAGAAAAAGGGGGGGGAGAGGACCCACACATTTTGGGTGGTGTCACAAAACTCATTTTTTACGGATACATTTTGGTGAGGGGGGGGACCGCTAAAAAGTTTTTGGTGGGGTAGCAGTCGGAGCCTGACCCCCCTCCCTAAAAGCAAACTATTACCGTATTTTTCGCCCTATAGGACGCACTTTTCCCCCTCCAAAAATGAAGGGGAAATGTGTGTGCGTCCTATGGGGCGAATGCAGGCTTTCGCTGAAGCTTGGAGAGTGAGAGGGGTTGGTGCGCACCGACCCCTCTCGCTCTCCAGGCTTCAGGAGAGCCCCACCGCCAGCCGCGCAAACTCGGGGGACAGCGGGAGGCGCAGCGCGCCTTTCCCGCTGTCCCCCGACTTGGTTAGAAGGCTGGCGGGGGGGAGAAGCCTGCTCCTCCCCGTCGCCAGCCCCGCAAACTTGGGGGACAGCAGGAGGCGCAGCGTGCCTTTCCCGCTGTCCCCCGACTTGGTTAGAAGGCTGGCAGAGGGCTTCCCCCTTCTCCAGCCCCGCAAGCTCCCAGAGTGATGCCAAAGCTGCACGCAGCTACGGCATCGCTCTGGGTCCCGTTCTGGGGGCTGGCGTCGGGGGAAGCTCGGGCTTCCCCCGCCCCAGCCCCCCAAATCTAGGTGCGTCCTATGGGCCGGTGCGTCCTATAGGGCGAAAAATACGGTAATTTTAAAATAGATGATGACAATGATTATTATTTGAAATGGAAACAAACTGGAGGTGCTTTGAGAGCGGTCAACAAGAAACCTTTTGACACAGCCCAGAAGGAGACCCAGAGGAGCAGTTGGTTAAATATTAAACTTTATTTACTGGCAGGGGGGCGGTACCCAAAGTAATCTGTTGGTGGTATGCAAGACAAGAAACTAAGATGGGTAGGGAGGACACCCTTCCCCCCCCTTCATCCCCATCAAGGTCAGATTACTCTTGCATTCCATTGCAGCTACAAGACTTTGCTCCCTACTCTCTCCCCCCCCCCATTTGCCAGGATTAGGCTGGGCGGCTTTGAGTCTTCTTGTGGTTGGTTTATTGCTGTGTCATTTGCAATTCCAGAAGCTTTACCCCTTTTGTGCAGTGGAGGCCAGGCTGTGTTGCAGCCAAGTTTCTCTCGCTTGGGATGCCGCAGGCATGAAACAAGGGACCCTAAGCATGCAAAGCGCGTCTCTGGTCACTGTATTCCATTTATATCTCGCCTTTTTATTAGGAGACTCGGGATTTGAACCTGAGGCCGCCTCAGGGTTTCTTACTCCTCCTACGGGCATCTGGTTGGCCACCTAGGATGCTGGCCTCGGTGGGATACTGGCCCATAGCTGTCAACTTTCAGATTTGAAAATAAGGGACCAGCAGCCTTGAAAATAGAGGGACGCGGGTGGCGCTGTGGGTTAAATCAGAGCCTAGGATTTGCCGATCAGAAGGTCAGCGGTTCGAATCCCCGGGACGGGGTGAGCTCTGGTTGCTCGGTCCTTGCTCCTGCCAACCTAGCAGTTCGAAAGCACACCAGTGCCAAGTAGATAAATAGGTACCGCTCTGGCGGGAAGGTAATCGGCGTTTCCGTGCGCTGCTCTGGTTCGCCAGAAGTGGCTTAGTCCTGCTGGCCACATGACCCGGAAGCTGTACGCCGGCTCCCTCGGCCAGTAAAGCGAGATGAGCGCCGCAACCCCAGAGTTGGCCACAACTGGACCTAATGGTCAGGGGTCCCTTTACCTTTACACTCGAAAATAAGGGATCAGTAGCCTCACTTGTCCCTACGGGACAGTCTACGGGATATCTAACAATCCAGGATAGCAGCGGGAAGCGGCGGGAAATGGCGCTGGAATAAGGGAATTTCCCGCAAAAAAGGGAAGGTTGACAGCTATGTGCTGGCCTGGTCCAGCAGTCTTTGCTTATGTGGAACACTCTCAGCCCTGATACCTCCAGTGCACACCTCTCTCTCTCTCTCTTACCTGCTGCCAGGTGTGTGAGCAGTCCTGATCGCAGGACCTCCAATCCGCCTTCTCCCTTAACCTGCCTGCAGCTTGGTTTTGCAAGCTGGGCAGCTGCCAGTGAGCGATTCTCCTCCTCTTCCTCCTCCTCTGGGAGCAGCCAACCAGAAAGCAGGCTGCACGCAAGCTCAAAGCAGAGATCCAGCCTTCTCCTCCAGGCAAGCAGGGATCCTTCCCCGCACATCAGCCCCTGCAGGGTGCTCTGATGCCTAATCCCACCCACTGCACGCATCACAGCCTCCCTGCCTCCATTGCAATCAGTGAGAAGGGCAGCTGAGCAGCAAAGCTGACGCGTCTTCAAGAGGATGTGGAAGTCCCTCCCTTGAAGCTTTTAAGGAGGAAAAAGCCCATCTGGGTGCCTTCGTTTGCTCAAAGCTCACAGAGGTCTGCACTGATGGTTTGTCTGTTTGCTACCTGGCCAAGCTCAAGGTGTTACAACTGTTGCAGGAATTTATGTACAGATTGGGGGTGTTTGCCCCTCCAGCAGATATCATGCACACGAAGCCCACTACAAAAATCACTTTTGTGATTTGTCCCCACAAAACAATTCATCACAGTTTCTTCCTCAAAGGGCCTTTGCTGCGCGGTACCAAATGTAAGAATTCACTGATCAATGTCTCTATGTACTGGCTCACAGGGAAAACTTCAGAAATTCATATAGACCTGTGAGCTCAGCTACTCAGCAGCCCCTCTGCCTGAGGGATAATCCCTGGCATCCTGATACCTGAGTGCCAGAAATAACAAACCCAGATGAAGACAAAAGGGTGTGATTAACTTGGCTGGGAAACAGGGAAATGTAAGTATCTCTTTTGTTACACTTGATGGGTGTTTGGTGGAGGGCAAGGGGAACCATGGGGCAGGGTCCAGGATGCTCAGATTACTTCCACCAGACCTCCCCTTTCATGATGTAACCGTGATGTATTAGTGATGTAGTTTGGGGGGTGTAACATGGGGATTAGCAGCTAATAAAAGTTTGGGGACTCTTTTGTTCAGGGCTTCCATCTTGTTCCACCTGGTGGCAGGTGGGAGTCCTGTCACTGTTAGTTCTGTTGGTGCAAAATGTAAGTGTATAGAAAGGAGAATTCCTGGTGGCAAGAACAAGGTTTGGCGGAAGTATTCGCTGGTGAGAGAAGCCCAGCAGAGATTTAGAATCACAAAACATACAGCAAAATGTGGAAATATAGGCTCTTAGATCTTTAAAATACAGGTGGCGACCATTTTACTTGCGTCCGATTGATGCACAACACATCTCTCTCTCTCTTACACACACACACACACACACACACACATACATACAGCCTTCCCCTTGCCCCGAAACACAGTTATGACAGGAAGGCACTTGGCTCAGTGGTGGAACATCTGCATTTCATGCAAAAGGTCCCGGTGTCATCTCTAGGTAGGGCTAGGCAAGGCTCCTTTCTGAAATCATGAAGAACCCCTGCCAGTCAGTGTAGACTGTATTGAGATAAAGGGACCACATAGTAGAGGGATCAAGCTTGTTTTCTCCTGCTCTGGAGGGTAAGACTTGGACCAACGGCTTCAAGAAACAAAGAGATTCCGACTAAACATAAGGAAGAACATTCTAACAGCAAGAGCTGCTTGACAGTAGAATGGACTCCCTCTCCTTCCTTGGTTTTTAAGCAGAGGTTGGCTGGCCATCTGCAGTGGATGCTTTAGTTGAGATTCCTGCACTGCAGGGGGTTGGTCTAGATGACCCTTGGGGTCCCCTCCAACTCTACAGTTCTTGTTTCTTGCCCTTTTTCTAGAGCAACCACAAGGCTAACAGAAGTGTCTTGCTTTTTCGAGAATTCACTGTGCTCTACATGGGGCTACCTTTGAAGGCGACTACAACTAATCCAGAATGTGGCAGCTAGACTGGCGACTGGGAGCACCCGCAGGAACTATATAACACCAGTCCTAAAAGAACTACATTGGCTCCTAGTGTGTTTCCGAGCACAAACTGAAGTGTTGGTGCTGACCTTTAAAGCCCTAAATGGCTTTGGCCATGTATACCTAAAAGAGCATCTCCACCCCAGTCGTCCAGCCTGGACACTGAGATCCAGCTCCAAGGGCCTTCTGGTGGTTCCCTCTTTGCAAGAGATGAGGTTGCAGGGAACCAGGCAAAGGGCCTTTTCGTTAGTTGCACCTGCCGTGTGGAACACCCTCTCTGCAGATGTGAAACAGATAAACAGCTATGTGATTTTTAGAAGACATCTGCAGGCAGCCCTGTTCAGAGAAGTTTTTAGTGCGTAATGTTGTACAGTGCTACCTTGGTTCTCAAATGCCTTGGTACTCAAACAACTTGGAACCCAAACACTGCAAACCCAGTAGTAAGTGTTCCGGTTTGCAAGCCTTTTTCGGAAGCCAAACATGCTCAGTTTTGAGTGTTACACTTCTGATCTGAGTGCCACACTTCCGTTTTGTGCGTTACAGTAACCCTGACCCTAACCCTAGTGTTTTTGCTATTTATTTTGCATTTTTGTTTTTGCCTGGAACCCGGTTTTTGTTCTGTGTGGAACCCAGTTCAGCTGCTGATTGTGTGACTGCAGTACATTGTTTATTGTTTTCATTTTATGAATCAGTAGTCTTGTTAGATAGGTTCTGGAACGGAATGGATTAAGTTTGAGAACCAAGGTACCACTGTATTGTGCTTTTACTGTTTTTTTGTTGGAAGCCACCCAGAGTGGCTGGGGCAACCCACTCAGATGGGCAGCATATAAATGATAAATTACTGCTATTATTGTTTTGGCAGAAAAACTTGCGAGAACATTCCCCTGTACAAATGTATCGGAGAGATTTATTCTTGGCCCTTGATTTATAGAAACAGTAGTCATAATTTTGCGACCATAATGTAGGGAACGCAAAGAAGGAAAAGCATTATCTCCTCAGGTAGGATCACATCTCAAAGGACACACCAGAGACACAGATCTCTGCCAAAGACAACTGCTGGAGTTATTAAGCTAGTTCAAATGAATGTAGTTAAGAGGTTATGTTCCATCTGAAAACAGCAGCATTTGGGTTGCACTGAAGAGCACGAAGAATGAATTTCCTGCACATTTAGTCGGACGCAGAGCTCAATGTGCTGTATGCCCTGAGGAAACAAACAGAAATCTTTGCATCAAGGTGATGTGATGGAAGGGCCTCTGAGGCCTGAGCCCATCCCAGAAGGCAAAAAAGAAAAGAACAAAGGCCCTTGTGACAGCAGCAATAGTCTCTTCTGGCACTCTGGCTCTTGGGCCGGTCGCTTGCCACTTGGGCCAGCAACAGTCCTCTCAAGGAACAAGGCAAAGAGCGGCTTCTGTGCAAGTTCAGAAGTGCTGAGATGAGGCCAACAGAGAAGCCCACTTTCTCCAGCAATGAAAACTCAGTCCTGTAAAGCCACACACCCCTTCCAAACCAGGACTCCCATTTTCTTACAAGCACCTTGGAAGCAAAAAGGAAAGGATCCTTCTGGAAATATTACTAGTTACGGTTTCCTTCTTTACTAGAATTCCTTGAAACTTGGCTGTCAAGTGCCCTCTGCAGCAAACTGGAAAAGTCCGAAAGGAAACACCCCTTTGCTCAGCACCAGAACAAACCACTTCCAATTCTCTTGGCACCACGTAATCAACAGCACCAAATGCCCAAGGGACAAATGGGATGAAAGACCAGACCCAAGCAGACACCACCGACCACTCCCCGGTTTCCCTCCTCAGTCCACGGAGGGGATATCATAGCGATACTTGGAAACGGTGCAGTTGGCCAACCTGCCGTAGATGGTGGGCAGGACATAGTGGTGGTACATGCGGAAGCCGACGCCCTCGTACATGGCGCGGGCCTCATGCTGCACCATGAGGGTGTTCAGCACCACAGACTGGTAGCCATGCTCTCGGGCAAAGGAGATCACGGTCCTGCAGAGGGCCTTGGCAATGCCAAGGCCACGATAGTCCTTCCGAACTGACATGCGCTTCAACATGAGCTCTCCCAGGTGTTCCTCAGAGGGCCTGGCACCCACAATGGCCACCACACACTCATCTGCCTCAGCCACCCAGAAACAGGAGCCCTTGTCTCCCAGGTAAGCAGCTTTGATGTCCAGCAGGTCCTCCTGCAAGCAGTGGTCGATGTACATGGACCAGATGTAGCCTAGGAGTTGCCGGCCGACGGCCAGGAGCAGGGTGACGGCCAGGATGGGCAGCAGGAGCGATTTGGAGCTGGTCAGCAGCAAGCAGAAGGTGCAGGCCAGAAGCAGGATTAGCCAGGGCTGCTTCAGCATGTGCACACACAGGGTGGGCACATATTCGCTCATCCCTGTGGCAAACAAGTCGCGCGCCGTCTCGTAGTCCTCGGGGCGGTACTCACGGATGTGGTAACGCGCCATGGTGCACCGGCCAGAGATGGGCACCACTGGAGGAGGCAGGCTAGTGGGAAAAGACTAGAATCAACAAACAGAAAGGAAAGGTTGTTACCACACAAACACACATATGAGAGAGAGATATGTGAGTGTTGGACAAGGACCTGGAAGAGAACAGCACTGGAATCCCCACTTGGCCACAAAGCTCACTGGGTGACCCTGGGAGCTGGTTGTTGCCTCTCAGCCTAACCTACCAAACAGTCAACAATCAGTCAACAATTTTTTTGTATGCCTCCTTTCCAAAGTTCAAACCTTGCTCAAGGCAGCTTACAATATAAAATGTTAGTAAAGGTAAAGGGACCCATGACCATTAGGTGCAGTCATGGCCGACTCTGGGGTTGTGGCGCGCATCTCGCCTTATTGGCTGAGGGAGCCGGCGTACAGCTTCCGGGTCATGTGGCCAGCATGACTAAGCCGCTTCTGGCGAACCAGAGCAGCGCAAGGAAATGCTGTTTACCTTCCCGCTGGAGCGGTACCTATTTATCTACTTGCACTTTAACGTGCTTTTGAACTACTAGGTTGGCAGGAGCAGGGACCGAGCAACGGGAGCTCACTCTGTCGTGGGGATTCAAACCGCCAACCTTCTGATCAGCAAGTACTAGGCTCTGTGGTTTAACCCACAGCGCCACCGGCATCCCTAATATAAAGCATCTAGATCAGCAGTTGTCAACCTGGTCCCTACCACGCACTTAAGGATTCTAGGTGGGCTGAAGGGGGTTCTACGGCACAAGTTGAATCCTCCTTCCATCGAGCGCTGGTGGGCGGTAAGGAAATTTTACCATCAAGTAAGATGCATTAGTGGCCGGTAGGTATAAAAAGGTTGACTACCCCTGATCTAGATAGATGAATGGTCTTAATTAAGAAGTACCTCAAGCAAGTGCCAGCATTAGGGTGTGGTCCTACTGCTGGTTTTTTGTTTTGTTTTGTTGGCACAATCATCATTAGGTTATCCATGTTAATCCTGCAGTTCCCATTTGGAATAGCAACAAATCACATGAAGCTTACAGGTGAAAGATGTGCTAATGGACACCAGCTTGGGATAGCTTTAGAAGAGGACTGGACAAACTGAGGGAGCGCATAACCCCAACACTTTTTGCATTTTTTACTTTAGTCAGCTTGCTTTTAATTAATTCGCATACCGCCCTTTACCCTTACCTCTCAGGGCAGTTCGCAACATAAAAACCCATTTTTTAAAAACACACACACCACAAAACACATAACAAGAGCAAGAACGAAAAACCCCCAATAATCCCCACTTCCCCTCCCACAAACACATTTAAAAGCAGAGCTGCCTTTGTTTCTTTTGTGTTGTCCATTTTTTAAAATAAAAAACCTGGTTTTAATATACGCATGCGTTGGCTTGCTTAAAATACTGCACGTCATGCACAAGGTGTGGCTAATAACTATAATGCAATAACAAACAAACAAATAAAATAGAAATAGTGATAGTGATAGTGATAATAATATTATATAATGCGATTTTGGTTTTAAACGCAGTGTAAGGTAGTCTCTGTGGGAATATATTGTATTTAATTATGGGGTATCAGAGTTTTTAGGGGGCTAACCAGGCTGGGATAGCTGGCTTGTTGGTTTTTGAATGCCTGATGTAGATTTTTTTCAATTTCGTTGTTCTGTATGGGACAATGACAGTAAATATTATCGTATCGTATAATAATAATAATAATAATAATAATAATGGCAGCAGCTATGCTGTGTTTCCACTTTTGGAGTCGACGAAACTCCTCTGGGAATGGCAAGAGGGGGCAGCGCTGCTGTTGCTGCTGCTCTCAGGCCCTGCCTTTTGGGGGGGGCTCCCCATTATTTTGGGGGTCCACCTGGCCGGCCACTTGGCTTCGCTGCCTGAGGGGCTCCCTCCGCCCTGACCCTCCAGGCGGCCTCCCTCGCCCACCCCAGAGGGCGACGGGCCTCCCCCCACCCCACCCCCGTCGCCATAGCAACCCCCGCGGCCCCGCCGCCTCACCTTCTCCCCCGGCAGCGACGCCCCACGCCACCCTGCGCCTGGCGATGACGTCGCTTCCGGAGACGGGCCTCCCCGCACCACGTGACCTTAGGGGGCGGGGGAAAACACCCGACCACAGAACGGCGCAGGGAGACGGAGGCTTATAAGGAGGGGGAAGGGGAGGAGCCTCGTCTCTCCGCGCGGTGGGCGGGCTCTCCCGACTCCGCCGCCAATCAGCACGCAATTGGGGGGGGAGGAAGGGCTCGGCCCTCTCTATGGTGGGAACCATAGAGTTTAAGAGACCTACTGTATTATATATCTTTATATATGAAGTGTTCATATCTCTATCTATATAGATATGAACTATAAATGTATCTGGAAGTATACATACAAATATCTATGAGGATTTTTTAATGTATATATAATATATGTATATTGTGTGTTTATGAATATATATATATGAATATATTGTTGTTGTTTAGTCGTTTAGTCGTATCCTACTCTTCGTGACCCCAAGGACCAGAGCACACCAGAGCATGAAATATCTGGTCCACCCCATGGACCAGAGCATGAAATATATATATATATATGAAATATATAAATGCAGATATAGATTTGTCTGAAATGAGCTATAAATCTATATAGAAATATATATATATATATAATATGTATATGTGTGTGTATATGTGATATAAATAACTGAAATATATAGATTCAGATATATAGTTCGTGTGTGTGTGTGTGTGTATGTATATATATATAAACACACATACATACACACAATATATGTTTGTGTGTGTGTATAAATATATATATATATATTACAGGATTGAAAGCAAGCTGAACATGCAGCACATATCTGTGTGTGTGTGTGTGTGTGTGTGTGAATGAAGTGTGTTTGTGTGCACACAAAATCTATTTAAGTGCCTTGGCAGGAAAGCCATGACTCCAGAGTAGACCTATAGAACCTAGTGGACATTGAGCTGCAGCTGAAGGGGAACAGTTAGGGTTCCCCCCAAAAAACCCTAAAAACTGTTTGTGAATTCCCCCCCAGCCAGGCCTCGCCTTAAGCATTTTAAAACTGCATTTTCCTCTAAGACAAAAAGCATTAGCTAAGCATTCCGCCGCTTGCTGTAACTAAAAAAGATTGCAACAAGGTAGAGAACGGAGCCCATTGTCTTCTCAGGCCTTTCTCAGAGCCTTTGGCCTTGCTAAGAACCATATTGCAACTTGCTTTCTGTCCGGGAACCATGCCAAAGCACAAGAATGAAACAACTGGAACACACTGAAACCCTCTCACCCCCTTTCTGGGAAGGGTCCAAAAATGGTCCCAAGACAGGAGCTTTCTGTTCATGCTCAGAGGAACTCATGGGCAGGACTCTTGAAGAAGGGGGAGGGAACTGGAAGGGGATATAAAAACTATGTGCAATGGCTGTGAACTTCGTGCTTGTTTTGTGACTTATCACACTTGCTCCTCTGCCCACCCGGGTCAAAACTCTTTCTCTGGATTTAACCCCTTGGTGTCGCTTGGCTCCTTTTGTCTCTGCTCGGGTGCAACATTTTTCCTACCCATGGTTTAAAGGGCCTAGAAAGGCTACACAGCCATGGCGAGCTCGGTGTCCCATTCGTCTCAACATTCATCTGCTCCAAGAAGGAGGAAGGTTTTACTCAGGTGTTGATTTAGCAGGGCATATAGTGGGATGAAGAGCTCCCTCTTTCGCCTCCCTCAGCTCCCTCACCTGTCACCCTTAAATCCTTTCTTGTGAGGCCAAAACACCATCTTCTTCTACAACAGCAGCAAGAATACTTATTGCAAAGTATTGGAAGACACAAGATTTACCCACCCGGGAAGAATGGCAGATGAAGCTGATGGACTACATGGAACTGGCGGAAATGACTGGCAGAATCCGAGACCAGGGAGAAGAGTCGGTGGAAGAAGATTGGAAAAATTTAAAGACTATTTACAGAAACACTGTAAAATTAATGAATGCTAGAAGGATGCTGGAATGAAGTTATATGGCTTTAGCAGAAATGTTATAAAGAATTAAGTAAAAATAGACTGTTAATGGGCTAAAGGGGAAAAAATAAGGTCAGATTCTGTTAAGATAAATTATGGGACAAAAACTGAGAAAGATGGAAAGGATTTGCTGAAATAGCTAATTGAACTAGAATACAAAAAAGGGAGGTGTGAGGAGGTCGTCGAAACAAGTAAATGAAAGATAAGGTATGGAAATATTGGATGCGTCTTTAATTGTTTCAGTTTTTGTTTTTGTTTTGTTAAGATAAGTAGTGTTTTCTGTTTTATATGTATTGTATTGTTTTGCTTTGTTTAACTTTTTTTCTTTTTTCTGTAATTTCTAAACTCTTAATAAACATTATTTAAAAAAAAACAAAAACAAAACACCATCTTCTTCAAGCCCTACCTTAAGGGCAGCCCTGGGCACCCTTACCTGAACTTGGCAGATTTACATCTGAGTAGACCAGCGCAGGAGGAGACTGCACAGTCATTGTATAAACTATTATTTGCATCGCTGCTCTTTGAAATATCCGGTCATTTCTGTAGTCCCCCCTCTCCCCATTCAAAGTGCTCTTGGGAGTCCTTGTTGTTTTTTGTTGTTTTTTAAAATGTATTTTTCTTAAAGATTTTATTGGTTTACAAAACTACTGTATGTGCAATGTCTCTCTCTCATTTTCCCCCCTCCAAGAAACATTTTTTACAGGTCAGTTTCATTTGTTGAGACATTAGGAAGTTTTTATGTCCGTTACTTAAGTTGCTTTTATTCTGCTTTTAAAAAGAAAAAAGAAAAAAGAAAAAGAAAAAGGGGGGAAAAGCCAAATGTGGAGAAGACCAACTGCAGAAAAGAATGACAGCTTGGAGAAAGGATTGCAGTTTGGAGAAGACTTAAGCAGCAGGAATCCCCAGAGGCTCTTCCTTCTGTCAGGCATCACATTTCCCCCAGTTTTGCTTGTTGTAAGGACCCCTAGCCTGAGTCTCTTGCATGTGTGAATATCCCCCATCCTTGGTTTGTGTGTGCATTGGGGTTAATCCTGCCAGGTAGAATAATTCCTTCACTCCAGCTTCTATTCCACTTTTGCAGGGTGGCTCTTCATTAGAGAGAAAATGGCCTTGATGTCGCATTTGGTTGGGAAACATTGTTTCAAGCCATTAATTTTGATCCAGTTTTTAAAATCCTGGTATCCTTGTATTCGCTTATGCAAAGAAAAGATCCTGCACTGCGTGTCTCAGGCCTGATCGATCAACTTTGGCAGACGCAGCAAGGCTGTTGTTTGAAGAGAAAGTAAGCAGAGAAGCAACTCCACACGAGGCAGGCTTTGGAAGGTTAAATAGCAAAAGGTTTATTTGGTAACGCTCTGTCGGAATGCCACTTGACTCGCAAGGGCACGCGTCAATGCCAGCATTTTTGTTTTAAACAGTTCTCTCAAAGTGAGGCTCCACTTTCCCAAATGCCCCTGCGAGGCAAGGACAACCACCCACCCACCCACCAGCCTGGGGAAACCAAGGCTATGGACCACAGCATGTTCTGGTCAGGGCCTGCCTGTCAGAGCCAGCGTCACATGCCATTGGTTTGCCTGGGTGTCGAGGAAATACCCATCCGTCTGCAGCCCTTGTATGCAAGAAAATGACTCAGGTGATAGAGAAAATTCTCAGGGAGAAATATCCATTGTTCAAGGCACAACCTGCCTGCATCCTTCACTTTCCTAACTTTGTCTATGGGGGCCGCCATTTTCAAGGGTTGCCCAACTGAGTTGCTGAGCAGAGATGAGTCGGAAGGCTTGGTGGTTTCTGTTTCGAAACATAGAATGATAGAATTGTAGAGTTGGAAGGGACCATTAGAGTCATCTAGTCCAACCCCCTGAAATGCAGGAATCTTTTGCCCAACATGAGGCTTGAACCCATGACCCTGAGATTAAGGGTCTCATGCCCTACCAACTGGGCTTTGGCAAAATTATATGCTGGGGGGAGGTGTTTGTTCGCCCCAGAACATTGGTATCACTTTAACTTATTGCGTTCCATCATACCTCTCCTCCCTTTCGACTGTTGCCCATAGGCTGGCCTTCACCAAAGCGAGGTTTAATGTTTTTCCCTCCAATGTCCTGAGACATAGATTCTCAAGGGCCAAACCTCCGCCATGTGCGAATGTGATAAGGAGATGCCGGAGTCGCTTCAGCACATTATGTTCACTTGCCCCTTATTTAAGGTGCCACGGGCAAACTTGTTGGGATCAATCATACAGAAATTAGAGGGTACTCCACCAAAATTCCACCTTGCCCAAATCTTGCAGGATAAGGATGCCCATACGACCCTGAAAGTGGCTAGGTTCCTGGTCGCTGTCCTTACCCAAAAGCGTCGCCAAGGAGCACCACAAGCTAATTAAGGCGTAGTATGCCATTCCACCTTATAGTAGCTTATTGTTATAGTAATGTTTTAGCGGCTGTTTTTTTCCCATGTGCACAGGCTGTTATTTATGTCTTGTTTTTATCTGTATGGGCCCTACGGCCGTAATAAATTATGGAACTTTCTGGGCTTTGAAGACACTTGAACTCAGGATGCAAGGAAGAAACATGCTAAGAGGAAGGCACGCTTGGCAAATCCACACCGTGATCAACTCCTGCCCGAAAACCTATGTCCCCACTGTGGAAGGACGTGTGGATCCAGAATTGGCCTCCACAGTCACTTACGGACTCATTGTTCAAACCATGTTTATGGAAGAGAATCTTACTTGGCTACGAGTGATTGCCAAAGAAGAAGAAGAAGAAATTTTGGGGCCGGCGGTCCTTCAGTCTTGATTACCTATGTCAGCTTTCCCCAACTTAGTGCCCTCCAGACTCCAGCTCCCATCTTCTTCCCAAAGTTCAGGGATGGTGGGAGTTGCAACCCAAAACATCTGGAAGGCAACAAGGTTGAGGAAGGCTGTTCTTGAAGGGAAGCCAGCACTGTTTGTGTGAATCTGGTCCTTAGAATGAAGACAACGCCCTCAGCAGCAAGGCACCCACTGAACTCAGAAGCTAGGAGCCCAGATAACAACATTTATTTATTGTGGCGCTGGGCTATCAAGAAACCATTTTGTTAGCACCAATGTGGTGAACCTTTCGCCCTCCAGACAATGACGAACCACAACTCCCATCAGCCCCAGGAAGCAGAGCCAGTGACCAGGGATGATGGGAGTTGTAGTGCAGTAACATGAGGAGGTTCCCCATTCCTGAGTTCAGGGATGTTCTTGATGGATTTCATTATTTTATTAAGGGGTGTCCTTGTGGGGTTTTCTCTTGCTTGCCGTTTTTGGATCCCTTGACTAGCTTGTCAGTCCTTGAGAGTGTTCCTGCCCTTTTAAGAGTTCTATGGAAGGAAGTTTTCTTTCCTGGGATAGGTGAGGCTTTACCCAGAAGAATGCTGGAGTCATGGAAGAAGCCACAGCTAATGGCCTGACTTCCTCCATGTCCATCATAAAGGGACAGCAGCTCTCTAAAGTTCTGGCCCTATTGATGGGATTTATCCCCACCCCTATGTTCAGCTTTCCTTCAACTGACACCAACTCCTGACAAATCATGGAAAATCCACATGCAGGTTAGTCCTTTGGTAACTCAATTCATACACTAAATATTGGCTGATAATCAAGAGGAAGGAAAAACCGACTTGCTCGCCTCTGGGCAGATGGCATTGCTTTGAACCGTGATTTCATGTGACTTCAGGACTCAGCCAGAACCATTTTTTTCAGTGTCAGGGTTTGACCCTGGGACATGTGAAGGAATGAGGAATGAGTGTTTCTTTGTGCATGAGCAGAGTGCTGAATGGCTACAACCAGCCTCTGCACATCTGAGCTTAAAGGGAACGGCTTCCGGGAGAGGCATGTACAGGTGCGCTTAAACCAAAAGAGGTTGCTTTAGAAATTCAGCACCATTTCTGACATGTTCATAATAAGTAGAACTTAAAAATATACAGATCTTGATGAGTGCCAAGATGGCAAACATTGTGCCGAAACAATGATGACGATGATAATATTGTCACAATTGCTTGAGGGGCTGGGAACAAATTCTGGAGCTGATTTATATCTAATTTCCCCAAAGGCCCAGAAATCACAAGATAGTTTGAAGGCCAACGGCACGGAGGTCTGTGTCTAGAAACTCAAAACCTTCAGGCTTAAGAAAGAATCCACTAAGATCAGAAGAAGAAGGCAATGGGAGTCTGAGAAGCAGCTTTCCATCCAGGAAGAGGTTGGAGACAGTCAAAGGGTCGCCCTCACTGAGCCCGTTTCTGGGACCGCAGTTTGTGCAGCCGCAGCTGGCGAAGGCGCAAGGCGAGATCCTTGGGGACCTTGCCCCCTTTGGCCAGGATCTCCCTCAGCCGTTGCTTGGGTGTCTTTGTCAGGCGGAATTCACACAGGGTGGGGTTGTCCTCGTAAGAGACGCGGCAACTCCGGGTGACGGAATGGTAGCCCTCGGCGGCAGCAGTGACCTCGTACTCACCAGGGTTTAGCAGGCGCCAGTAGTCCCCGTCAAAAGCTAATGGGGTGAGAAGAAAAGGGGAGTTAAGGGAAGCATTGAGCTTCAGGTGGATAAGGCGGTGGTTCCCAATTTTTTTGGACAACCCCCATCCCCTTCCATAAACTCATCCTCAGTGCCCCTGTGGGTTGTAGCATCACTGAAGCAGTCAAATATAACATTCCCTGCTTGCCCAGAGTGGACACACAGGGGAATGTTGCTCCAGCCAGAAGGACTTCCTGTCACGCCTGGTCTGGAGCATCCTCCCTCTGTCTGTGACCACATAGATTGGCGTGACCCTGGCAGGCCCTATAAAAGGGCCAGTCATGCAGCCACTCTTCCTCTTGACTCTCTTGATCCAATCTCTTCTTGATGCCTTTTGCTGTCTGCTGGCTCTCAGCCAGGAGCACATGGGCTCATCCTTCACAGAGGATGAACCCACGCTTTTCTCTGTAACTGTAACTACAAGCTAAAGCCGGCCTTCAGGACCATACTGTGAACTGAATGTAAATAAACCTTATCATTACTCTTAAAAGAAGACTGTTGTGTCATTATTGTTTTTAAGATTGAACTAAAGGGGACGCGGGTGGCGCTGTGGGTTAAACCACAGAGCCTAGGACTTGCCGATCAGAAGGTTGGCGGTTTGAATCCCCGCAATGGGGTGAGCTCCCGTTGCTCGGTCCCTGCTCCTGCCAACCTAGCAGTTCGAAAGCACGCCAGTGCAGGTAGATAAATAGGTACCGCTCTGGCGGGAAGGTAAACGGCGTTTCCGTGCACTGCTCTGGTTCGCCAGAAGTGGCTTAGTCATGCTGGCCACATGACCCAGAAGCTGTACACCAGCTCCCTCGGCCAGTAAAGCGAGATGAGCGCCGCAACCCCAGAGTCGGCCACGACTGGACCTAATGGTCAGGGGTCCCTTTACCTTTAAAGGGGATTGACCAGAAACAAGCCAGTCTGGACAAACCAAACTGGATTGCTTAACTCAAATGATTCTCATGAATCCATCAACTAGCTTCCAGCAATGTTCAAAGGCATCTGCCCTGCTACAAACTCTCTACTGTGAGTGAGGAAGGATAGTATTTAATCAATATATCTTCTCCTACTATCCTCAACATTTCCTCACTGGCCCAGGCATGACCAAAGTCCATTTCAGGGGCCTAATCTGGTCGGTTTTATCTTGCCCCTGTGGCAATTTATTTCCTGTAGTAAAATCCTAAAAAAGCCCTCAACAACTTCAATCCTAAAAAAAAGCTCAACAAAAAAAGCTTTGGTTGGCCCTCGCGGCCCTTCTCTTCATCAAATCTGGCCCTCTTTGAAAAAAGTTTGGACACCACCGCATGAGAAGCATTATCCAGAATAGCAGTTTGCACGACCCACTAAAGAAGATAATAGCACAATAAAATTCAAAAGAGTAACAATTAATTGCACATTTCTGCAAAAGCCATTTAATACTATTTCATTTGACTGCTTGGAACACCCTAAGGGAGTCCACCTCTCGAACCTTGATATGCAACTAGAGCTGGAAGGAACATAGGAAGCCAACTCATCATTGAATTTTAGAGCTGGAAGAGACCCCAAGGGTCATCAAGCTGAACCCCCTGAACCAGACCTTTGCTCCATTCAGCTCAGTACAGTCTGCACTGACTGGCAGCAGCTCTCCAAGGTTTCAGGCCAAGGACATTTCCTACCCTAGTTGGAGATGCTGTTGAGGATTGAACCTTCTGAATGCCAAACAGGTGCTCTACCACAGCTACAGCCCTTAACCAAGGAATCCATCAGTTTTGGTCCTCTCATTTTCTCATCCCTCCCCCTGCCCCCCATTTTAGATTCTGTTCTCCACATTTCTGCAGCAATTTGCAAATTTTTTAAATCATGGAAATTCTTGCGCATTTCAATGCAAATTTCTCCCAATAAGAGCATTTGAGAGCCAGTGTGGTGTAGTGGTTAAGAGCGGTAGTCTCGTAATCTGGGGAACCGGGTTCGCTTCCCCGCTCCTCCACATGCAGCTGCTGGGTGACCTTGGGCCAGTCACACTTCTTTGAAGTCTCTCAGCCCCACTCACCTCACAGAGTGTTTGTTGTGGGGGAGGAAGGGAAAGGAGATTGTGAGCCGCTTTGAGACTCCTTAAAGGGAGTGAAAGGCAGGATATCAAATCCAAACTCTTCTTCTTCTTCTTCTACTACGCAGTTTTGACTAACGTGCACCTTTTTGAAAGCAGTTTCTCGTAATGTTGTACATTTTTGTATGCTCATTTCACTAATGTACTCATTTTTTTGCACACTTTCTCCTGCCACTTGCATTTCTGTAAGCATCCTTTGGTTGGAGAGGTTGCATGGCACATTTCGGCTAAGTGCGGGTTTCAAAGGATGTTTTACTATACGATATGATATCTTTATTGTCATTGTCCCATACAGAACAATGAAATTGAAAAACCTACATAAGACATTCAAAAACCCCTAAAAACTCTGAAACCCCATTTTAAAATACAATATACTCCCACAGAGACTCCTTATACTGCGTTTAAAACCAGAATTGCATTTGGATAGAAACTGTTTCTCAGGCGGCTAGTCCTAGCCTTTATAACCCTGGACCTTCTTCCAGAAGGCAGAAGCTGAAAGAGATCATTTCCGGGGTGCGCACTATCCTGCACTATCTCTGCAGCTTTCTTATGACACCTGGAAGCATAGATTTGATCCAAGGTGGGAAGAGTGCACCCGATTATTCTCTCCGCAGTCTTTACAACCCTGGACAGCATTGTTTTTTCCCCTGACCATGCAGCTCCCAAACCACACACACAGACCACAAGTTAATACACTCTTAACAGTACAATGGTAAAATGCCATCACCAGGTCCTTTTAGAGATTATTTTTCCTCGTGCTGTTTCATAGAGTGAGATTTGGGTGGATCTGCCTTCAGATGTGAACTGTACCTGTCCGAATATCATGGTTGATGCCATCCACCGAAATGATGGCGTCCGCGATGCCCTGCTCCGTGTCTTTGTCTCGGACGATGCCTTTGATGCCCCTTCGGGTCTGTAACGAGACGCCTGGTTAGTACCACATCTACTGAAAGGACCTAGCCTTTGAGACTGAGCAACCCATGTGCCCAGCAGCAAAGCGCAAAGAAAGAAATCAATGGGGCGCCACCTGGTCCTGCCTTCCCCCCTTCTTCTTACCTGCTCCATGTAGACCAGCAAGGACTCCTTGTTGTTCTCCCATTCCCGGGGCAGCTCCGACTCGTGTGGGAACTTGTCACAGGACAATTCAATGGTGATCTCAAAGCAGTTGGTGTGAAGGTAACTGAAGTCGTTCATACCTGCAGGTGGAAAGATGCAAGGCCAGAGGGCTTTTTTAATTTTTATTTTACTAACATATAAAACACATACATATACATTTAAACAATACACATACACAACACACTACCTTATTTTCATAATATAAAACATACCTACATTACTCTATATAATACCTACCTATACTGTACATCTCAACATACCTACACACCTACCCTTCACGAGAAACCCACCAAGTGACTTGACTTCCAGCCGTTCTTGTTACGCTACTTTATTTTTCCAACTAGCTTAAACACATTTCATTATTTCTTTAATCTCTTCTTCTATCTTGACTTTACTCTCCTTTCAAAGTGTTGGTGCTGACCTTTAAAGCCCTAAACGGCCTCGGTCCAGTATATCTGAAGGAGCGTCTCCACCCCCATCGTTCTGCCTGGACACTGAGGTCCAGCTCCGAGAGCCTTCTGGCGGTTCCCTCGCTGTGAGAAGCCAAGTTACAGGGAACCAGGCAGAGGGCCTTCTCGGTAGTGGCACCTGCCCTGTGGAACGCCCTCCCACCAGATGTCAAAGAGAACAACAACTACCAGACTTTTAGAAGACATCTGAAGGTAGCCCTGTTTAGGGAAGCTTTTAATGTTTGATGTATTACAGTATTTTAATATTTTTTGGAAGCCGCCCAGAGTGGCTGGGGAAGCCCAGCCAGATGGGCGGGGTATAAATAATAAATTATTATTATTATTATTATTATTATTATTTCACTTTAATCCTTTTCTGGATTCACTCAATATCTGTAAGAAATTCTACTTTTCCCACATAAATTTTGATGTATCCCATAAAGATAGCCCACTCCTTATTCACTTTTTGTACCATATCTCCTCTTATCCTCCCTGTTAGTTTGGCAATATGGAAGTATAAGGAAGCATTAACTGAAATATGGCACACTGGTGTCCACAAACAGCCCCATCCCACTGGGGACAGTGGGGTTCTGAGATAACATGTGGGATCCCTGCCCCAAATCCACTCACTTCCAGGCACCGTGTGCCAGTTCGCCCCGTTGATGATGTTGCCTTCCCTCATGAAGTCATCGTAGTGACAGAGGCGCCGGTCGTCGTCCACCATGGCCAAGTTGGAGGTGGCGTAGACTGTTGCCAGCCACCGGAAGACAGCGTCGTCAGCTGTGGGTGTCAGCTCCTGGGCCTTCCAGTAGGTGCGCGTCATGTCGAAGGGGTAGGTGACCACCAGCTCCCCTCCGTGCAGGTTGGCGCTGAGCATGAAAGGGTAGCGCTGCATCCAGTTGATGACTGCCCGAGTCTCTGGGGCCACCTGTTGCGGCAGAAACAGGGTTAGTATGCTTGGCACTGTGGGTTAAACCACAGAGCCTAGGACTTGCCAATCAGAAGGTTGGCGGTTCGAATCCCCGCGACAGGGTGAGCTCCCATTGCTCGGTCCCTGCTCCTGCCCACCTAGCAGTTCTAAAGCACGTCAAAGTACAAGTAGATAAATAGGTACCACTCCGGCGGGAAGGTAAATGGCATTTCCGTGCGCTGCTCTGGTTCGCCAGAAGTGGCTTAGTCCTGCTGGCCACATGACCCGGAAGCTGTACGCCAGCCCCCTCGGCCAATAAAGCGAGATGAGTGCCGCAACCCCATAGCCGGCCACGACTGGACCTAATGGTCAGGGGTCCCTTTACCTTTTACTTCATGTTGCGTCCGCTTCAGGTTGCATTTTTTGGGGTTGCGGACTGCCGAAACCCGGAAGTACCAGAACGGGTTACTTCCGGGTGTTGGCAGTCACGCATGCGCAGAAACACTAAATCACGCTTTGCGCAGAAGCACCGAATCGCAAGGCGCGGGTTTCGAATGCTGCCGGTTGTGAACATGCACCCCGCACGGATCACGTTCACAACCCGAGCATCCACTGTACGTCCCTGGTTACAGGTAGCCCGGTCACGGGGATTCAGGCATGGCGTTTGCAACCGCGCCGATGCTGCTTGTGCACGATGGGGTTTCATGCCTGAGGAGCGGTGCAAGGATGGCCCTACTATGAGGCAGAGTGAAGCAGCTGCCTCGGGCGGCAGATGCTGAAGTGCAGGGAGGAGATGGAGACAGGAGTGCCCTGTACCCCCTTTGCTTTTCTGCTGAAGAATACAATGAAATTAATGAACTCTTTCAGAAGACCATGGAAGGTTCTGTAATCCACAGACTCCAAAGGATTCAGAATCCTTCTCTCTGGCAAGTCTTCCAGTGGTTCGTACAGAGGAACCTCGGTTGTCAAATGTGCAGTGGTACCTCTGGATGCGAATGGGATCCGTTCCGGAGCCCCATTCGCATCCTGAGTAGAACGTAATACGCGTCTGCACGTGCGTGGGTCGCGTTTTGCCGCTTCCAGGCATGCGCGTGACGTCATTTTGAGCGGATAGGAAGTTCCTACAGAGGGTGGTGAATACAGCACAAGATATTATGGGCTGTCCCATGAATCCACTGGATGAAATAGCGGAAGAACGTTGCCTCAGGAGAGTGAGGAAAATTCTCAGGGATGATTCACACCCGGCCGGCACTTTCTTGCTCTCCTGCCCTTGGGCAGAAGATATAGAAGCATGATTAGTCGCACCAGCAGGGTAAAGAACAGCTTCTATCCGTGGGCTGTTAGGTGGCTGAATGAAAAGATGAAAACAACAGGGCAACTGACTTTCGGGTTTGGTGGGTGTGCGTCAGTAAACAAGGGGAATTAAAACTAAGAGGGCTGAGTGGGGGTGATCGTGTAATCTCACTGTATACAAGTTGTACAAGTGACAATAAAGTATTTCAATATTTCAATTTCTGTATGTGAGAAGACGCCATCTTGCCCTTCACCTCTGGCAATGAAATCTCTTGAGCCGGCCCTGCCGCTGAAGGCTTGCAGAAGGCAGGCAGACTGATGTGGGGCAGATGTGAGCTGTGCTGGCCTTAAATATGGCGCCAACCAGCACTCATCTGCCCATACCCGGGGGTGAGAGGGATGGGGGCAGATCCGTGATGAGGCTCACCGTGGCATTGGGGAAAGTGTAATACTCTGGGATGGGGATGTAGTGGTTAGGGAACTTGTGTGGCACCATCTCGTTGTCCTCTGCATCCCACAGGGCCGTGTTGAGGTCAGCAAAGTTGTGGTTGAGGTCGAAGCCTTCGTATGTCCACCGGCCCATCGCCCAACCGGAGAGCTCAGAGCCCTATGCAGAAGGAAGGGAAGAACATCAGGGCATGGCTTTGCGTGATAACCCCTTCCTGCCTTCTCTACTCAGCTTCTAGGGATACGGGTGGTGCTGTGGTCTAAACCACCGAAGAAGAAGAGTTTGGATTTAATATCCTGCTTTCTCACTACCCGAAGGAGTCTCAAAGCAGCTAACATTCTCCTTTCCCTTCCTCCCCCACAACAAACACTCTGTGAGGTGAGTGGGGCTGAGAGACTTCAGAGAAGTGTGACTGGCCCAAGGTCACCCAGCAGCTGCATGTGGAGGAGCGGAGACGCGAACCCGGTTCCCCAGATTACGAGCCTACCGCTCTTAACCACTACACCACACTGGCACACCGAGCCTTCTGGGCTTGCCGATCAGAAGGTCGGCGGTTCAAATCCCTGTGACGGGGTGAGCTCCCGTTGCTCGGTCCCTGCTCCTGCCAACCTAGCCATTCGAAAGCACGCCAGTGCAAGTAGATAAATAGGTACCACTGTGGCGGGAAGGTAACCTTCCCACTGGAGCGGTACCTACTTAACTACTTGCACCTATTTATCTACTTGCACTTTGACGTGCTTTCGAACTGCTAGGTTGGCAGGAGCAGGGACCGAGCAACGGGAGCTCACCCCGTCGTGGGGATTCGAACCGCCGACCTTCTGATCGGCAAGTCCTAGGCTCTGTGGTTTAACCCACAGTGCCACCCGCGTCCCACCTTCCGTCTTAGCCAGGTTTTAAACTGCCCCGCACCTGACATCCCAGATGCCCTTGGAGCACCAGTGCAGAGACCCAGAGGTCAAGCTGACTGAGAGAGGCACATCTACCATCATGCCGCACCCATAGGTTGACCATAGCATTTTCTTGCACTCTCCTGCCAACATCCCTGCGCCAGTGCCTCTGCGCCACCCACCAGTTTGTAGGCCGTCTCGTAGCCGTCCGGGTTCATGGAGGGCAGCAGGTGGATTCGGGTCTCGGTGACCAGGCGTACGATGCGAGGGTTGCCCTGCTTGTACTCATGGCAGAGGTATTCCATCAGGTTGAGGAGCAGCTCCCGGCCCAGAGCCTCGTTGCCGTGCATGCCAGCGACGTAGCGGAACTCGGGCTCCCCTGGAGAAGAGCGCAAGAGAGCATGAGTTCAAGAAGGACACTGACAAACTGGAACGTGTCCAGAGGAGGGCAACCAAAATGGTCAAAGGCCTGGAAACGATGCCTTATGAGGAACGGCTAAGGGAGCTGGGCATGTTTAGCCTGGAGAAGAGGAGGTTAAGGGGTGATATGATAGCCATGTTCAAATATATAAAAGGATGTCACATAGAGGAGGGAGAAAGGTTGTTTTCTGCTGCTCCAGAGAAGCGGACACGGAGCAATGGATCCAAACTACAAGAAAGAAGATTCCACCTAAACATTAGGAAGAACTTCCTGACAGTAAGAGCTGTTCGACAGTGGAATTTGCTGCCAAGGAGTGTGGTGGAGTCTCCTTCTTTGGAGGTCTTTAAGCAGAGGCTTGACAACCATATGTCAGGAGTGCTCTGATGGTGTTTCCTGCTTGGCAGGGGGTTGGACTCGATGGCCCTTGTGGTCTCTTCCAGCTCTATGATTCTATGATTCTATGTCAAGAAGGCTTTCCAGAAGGGAATATTGAAATCAGAAGAGAGCAGGTCGTGATGGCTTTTCAGGAAGGGTATACTGAATCGAGAAGAGCTTTCCCCCATCCCCCTAGATTTTATTAAAGTTTGAAAAAGGGTATTCAAAAGGTTGGGATCGAAGGGTGCACGGCTGTTGTGTCCGCCTCATGCCACCCTGTCACAACAGGCTGGAAGTGCGCCCTTGAGGAGGTACAGTGCACGCGTGGGTTGCGATGCGGCGCTTCTGCACATGCGCAAAGCACGATTTAGTGTTTCTGCGCATGCGCGACTGCTGAAACCCGGAAGTAACCTGTTCCGGTACTTCCGGGTTTCGGCGGGTCCGTAACCCGAAAAAACGCAACCTGAAGCATCTGTAACCCAAGGTATGACTGTATATGGGCAATCTTTCTGGAAGATATTTGTATTTTGTGGTGTTAGTGATCTGACATGGTTATCCTTCCTTTCACCTATCTTTTATTAAGCTCTTTGACGGCATCAGAACAGCCTCTAACGTCCTAATCTGTTGGAAGGGATAGTGATGAGTACCTTCTTTGATGTTGGACATTGTTTTGAGAAAGTGAGGCATTGGGAGAAGGTGGTTAATGAATAATCTGCACGGAGCTAGTGATCTGCAAGCCACACAGGTTTGCTATCTGAGGTCCAGCTCCGAGGGCCTTCTGGCGGTTCCCTCACTGCGAGAAGCCAAGTTACAGGGAACCAGGCAGAGGGCCTTCTCGGTGGTGGCACCAGCCCTAGTGGAACGCCCTCCCACCAGATGTCAAAGAGAACAACAACTACCAGACTTTTAGAAGACATCTGAAGGCAGCCCTGTTTAGGGAAGCTTTTAATGTTTAATGTTCTTGTTGTTTAGTCGTGTCCGACTCTTCGTGACTCCATGGACCAGAGTACGCCAGGCACTCCTGTCTTCCACTGCCTCCCGCAGTTTGGTCAAACTCATGCTGGTAGTTTCGAGAACACTGTCCAACCAACTCGTCCTCTGTCATCCCCTTCTCCGTGTGCCCTCCATCTTTCCCAGCATCAGGGTCTTTTCCAGGGAGTCTTCTCTTCTCATGAGGTGGCCAAAGTCTTGGAGCCTCAGCTTCAGGATCTGTCCTTCCAGTGAGCACTCAGGGCTGATTTCCTTCAGAATGGAGAGGTTTGATCTTCTTGCAGTCCATGGGACTCTCAAGAGTCTCCTCCAGCACCATAATTCAAAAGCATCAATTCTTAATTCTTAATGTTTAATTGACTATTGTATTTTAATACTCTGTTGGAAGCCACCCAGAGTGGCTGGGGAAACACAGCCAGATGGGCGGGGCGGGGTGTAAATAATAAATCTGAAGGGTGTATGCCTGTTATGTCCTCCTTATGCTACCCAGTTGGTGCCCCCCCGATAAATGCGCCCAGGGCCATCACTCCAGCAGCGCCCCAAGATACACCCCTGCCTTGAAGTAGCAGACAAGTCAGATAAGAGTGGCAGATCAGGATGCTTGCAAAGGCTTGTCTGAACACAGAGTCATTCGAAGCTGCTATGAAATCGGCTTGGATGAGGCTCAGCTCCTTCACTCACCAACTTCATGCTGCCCGGGATTGTCAGAAATCTCCATGACGTACATTTTCAGTCCTAGGTAGCTCTTCCCGATGCTGTATACCCGGGTGATGTTGGGACAGGCGTCGTTCACCTTCTTCATCAGCTGCGCGGGGGGAAATGTCACATGTCATTCTCCCAGTTCTGGTCGCCGCCATCAAGGCCAGCACAAGACATTTTGCTGCCTGAGGCAAAGGGCAAAATGGCGCCCACAATGGCCCACACCCATTCCACATACTGTAATGGATTGCAACGGTGCCGGATTTAGGACAGTGCAGGCAATTACCCTGCAAAGGGCACCAATCTGAGGGGGTGCATAATTATAATGATAATAATACCTACCTTTATACAGGTACCTACTGAAATAAAAAAATTAAGGTCTTATATATATAATAAATGTTCATAAATGTACCAAGCAAACGCGTACATAAATATATAAACCACATGTCTGAAGCAGCACAGGAAAACAGCCCTGAAACCATTTTTGGCTCCCAAACTGATCAAATGTTTTCTCTGCAAAGGAAAATGGAAACGCCTCCCCATTGGCTTTTCCTTCACAAATCCTGTCTTAAGGGTATGTCTATGTATGAATAGGGTGAGCCTATGACCTGCCTCAGGAACTAAGGTATTTATCATTACAAAAGACTGGCCAGGCTCCCCAGGGTGTCCAATCAAGTAAGCGTTAACAGGTAACCTGCCAGACAGGAGGTAAACAACGCACTCAGATTTCTGCTGTAGACCGCCCTATCTGTGATGTATCTGGGGGTAGTCTTGGACTCCAGGCGGGCAATTTAAAATGTCTATAGAAGGGCGGGCACACCTTGGTTCAGGTTCCTCCTCCTGCCCTGCGTGTGAGGGGAGCACCCTGTTGCAACAGTTCAATAAGGATCAGGCTTACGAGCTGCTTTGCTTCTCAACATTCTCTGGTTGGCCTCTGTTATTTTCTCTGACTGATGGAGAACCTGCAAAAGACTCTATAAGGGCCCTTGTGTCTCCCATAAGGGAATAAGGGCAGATTTTCGTTTATTACAATACTCAAATTTAGGCCCCTAGTCAGGCAAGTGATTGGGTTGTGCTTCCAGATCAAGTACATGGGAAGCCCCACACAGAATGCATTGCAAGCTTTTCACAGCCCTAGAGATGTTTCTTTCTCTGCATCTTGCAACCCACCTTCCTCATGTCCTTGTAGTTGTGGTGCCTGAAGTCCAATTTGTCTGTGGTCACAGGCGCCGCGTCCCACGAGTAGATGTTGTTGGGGTCTGGAAAGACAAGAGGGAGAAGGATGACAAAGCTTTGGGTAACACATTTCACTGGCTGCCAAGCTGTTTTGGCGACAGGGCGGGGGCAACTAGAGCGGTTGGTTGGATGGCAGGAAGGAAGCACTTTTTGGTAAAGTGAGCAACTCGGCCCCAACCAACCAATACAGACGTAGCCAGGTCCCAGGACATTGGGGGGAAATTGGTTGCCTTTGCTTTTCGAGGCGATCCTCACTCGCTTTTCCTAAACAAATATGCAAAGCAATCAAAGAGCTATCTTTAGATCTGCAACCTCTGTTCACTCCTCCTCTTGCTCTGGGCACCATAAGGATGTAAGAAGAGGCTGCAGGATCAGGCCAACGTCCCATCCAGTCCTGTTCTCACAGTGGCCAGCCAGATACCTGTGGAAACCCATAAGCAGGATTCAAACGCTGCTGCCTCCAGCTGTGGAGGGCACAGCATACAGTGGTACCTCAGGTTAAGAACTTAATTTGTTCTGGAGGTCCGTTCTTAACCTGAAACTGTTGTTAACCTGAAGCACCACTTTAGCTAATGGAGCCTCCTGCTGCTGCCGCACCGCTGCTGTGCGATTTCTGTTCTCATCCTGAAGCAAAGTTCTTAACCTGAAGCACTATTTCTGGGTTAGTGGAGTCTGTAACCTGAAGCGTATGTAACCTGAGGTACCACTGTAGTTACTGTGGCTAGCAGCCTTTGATAGCCCTCTCCTCTGTGAATTTCTCTACTTCTCTTTTAAAGCCATCTAATTCAGAAAACAGCAGCTAGACTGGTGACTGGGAGCGGCCGCCAAGACCATATAACACCGGTCCTGAAAAACCTACATTGGCTCCCAGTACGTTTCCGAACACAATTCAAAGTGCTGACTTTTAAAGCCCTAAATGGTCTCGGGCTAGTATACCTGAAGGAGCGTCTCCACCCCCATCATTCAGCCCGGACACTGAGGTCCGGCTCCAAGCCTGGAGCCAGGAATGCCCACGAGATTCGAACACAGGACCCTCACCTGGCACTACGCAACCCAGGACCTCCAGCCTCAGGCAGATGGTCCCATTCTCAAACCACGTTTGGGGGTTGATGCGGATGTATCGGGCCACCACTGAAGTGGGGAAGAGGCCGAGGACCGGCGTCTCAGGGTCCTTGTTTCCGGCGAAGACCTGGAGCGGGTGAGAGAGAGGGAGTCATTTTGAGGCTGCCCATCCAGCAAAATAGAATCATAGCATTGTAGAGTTGGAAGGGATCCTGAGGGTCATCTAGTCCAACCCCCCGCAATGAAGGAATCTCAAGCATCCCTGACAGATGGCCACCCAACCTTTGCTTAAAAGCCTCCAAGGAAGGAGAGTCTGGACAGCTCTTGCTGTCAGAAAGTTCTTCCTGATGTTTAGTTGGAATCTCCTTCCTTGTAACGTGAAGCCATGGGTTCGAGTCCTACCCTCCAGGGCAGGAGAAAACAAACTTGCTCCATCTTCCATATGACAGCCCTTCAGATATTTGATGATGCCTCTCATATCTCCTCTCAGTCTCCTCTTTTCACTGGCTCCCAGTGGAGTACAGAGTCAGGTTTAAGGTGCTGGTTTTGACCTTTAAAGCCCTATGCGGCCTAGGACCCAGGTACCTACGGGACTGCCTCTCCTGGTATGCACTGTGGAGGATCTTAAGGTCCACAAATAACAACACTTTGGAGGTCCCGAGCTTCAAGGAGGTTAGATTGGTCTCAACTAGGGCCAGGGCCTTTTTAGCACTAGCCCTGACGTGGTGGAACGCTCTGTCCCAAGAGACTAGGGCCCTGCGGGACTTGACATCTTTCCACAGGGTCTGCAAGACGGAGCTGTTCCACCTGGCCTTTGGTTTGGACTCAGTCTGACGCTTCTGTTTCCGTCCCCTTATGGTTTTGATCTATGGGCTACTTTCAAAATGAGGCTGCATTTTAAATTGTTTTTTTTTTACCTGTATTTTAAATTGGGCTTGTCTTCCTTTTACTCCCACCCTCCTTCCCCCTATTATGTTTTTACTGTGATTTTATTGGTGTTAGCTGCCCTGAGCCCGACTCTGGCTGGGGAGGGCGGGGTATAAATTATTATTATTATTATTATTATTATTATTATTATTATTATTATTTTCCAGGTTAAACATACCCAACTCCTTCAACCATTCCTCATAAGGCTTGGTTTCCAGCCCCTTGATCATCTTGGTTGCCCTCCTCTGTACACATTCCAGCTTCTGAATATTCTCCTTAAATTGTGGTGCCCAGAACTGGACACAGGACTCCAGGTGTGGTCTGACCAGGGCAGAATAGAGTGGGACTATTCCTTCCCTTGATCTCATTTTCTTCTTCTTTTAATTGCAATGGGAGCTGCAATTGTCAGAATCCCATAACCTGTCCAGATTCTGGCACTTCTTCTTCAAGGCTGGCAATGCACACATTGCCGTGTTCACATAACCTGATCTGAGGTTGAATCCTGACAAGACAGAAGGAGTGTCCTTGGGGGAACAGGAGGGCAGGTGTGGAGGACTCCCTGGTCCTGAATGGGGTAACTGTGCCCCTGAAGGACCAGGTGCGCATCGTGGGAGTCATTCTGGACTCACAGCTGTCCATGGAGGCGCAGGTCAATTCTGTGTCCATGACAGCTGTCTACCAGCTCCATCTGGTGCACAGGCTGAGACCCTCCCTGCCCGCAGACTGTGTCGCCAGAGTGGTGCATGCTCTGGTTATCTCCCACTTGGACTACTGCAATGCGCTCCATGTGAAGGTGACCCAGAAACTACAATTAATCCAGAATGGGGCAGCTAGACTGGTGACTGGGAGCGGCTGCTGAGACCATATAACACTGGTCTTGAAAAACCCACATTGGCTCCCAGTATGTTTCCGAGCACAATTCAAAGTGTTGGTGCTGACATTTAAAGCCCTAAACGGCCTTGGCCCAGTACACCTGAAGGAGCGTCTCTACCCCCATCGTTCTGAGGTCCAGCTCCGAGGGCCTTCTGGCGGTTCCCTCACTGCGAGACGCCAAGTTACAAGGAACCAGGCAGAGGGCCGTCTCGGTGGTGGCCCCGCCCTATGGAACACCCTCCCACCAGATGTCAAAGAGAAAAACAACTACCAAACTTTTAGAAGACATCTGAAGGCAGCCCTCTTTAGGGAAGCTTTTAATGTTTAATAGCTTATTGCATTTTAGTGTTCTGTTGGAAGCCACCCAGAGTGGCTGTGGAAACCCAGCCAGATGGGCCGGGTATAAATAATAAATTATTATTATTATTATTGATCTGGACACTACACTTCTGTTGATGCAACCTAGAATAGCATTAGGGTTTTTTGTTGCTGCATCACACTGTGGACTCATGTTAAGCCTGTGGTCCGACTAAGACCCCTAGAAATTAAGCAACGAGTCTGGATCTCTGGAACAGCTTTGTAGTTCAACACAGCTGGAGGGCACCAGGTCAGGGAAAGCAGCAATGTGTGATCGTATCTTGAACCCGGGACCTTGTGCATGCAAGGGGAGGTGCTCCTGCACATTTCCAGGGCTTCAGCCAGGTGTCCCTGTATTTCAGCATTTCCTACACTGACTGGCAGCAGCTCTCCAAGATTTGGGGCAGGACTCTCTCTGCCGAAGATGCCAGTGGGGAATGAACTTGAGATGTTCCGCATGCCAAGCAGATGTTCTGCCGCTGAGCTACTGCTCCCTCCCTAAAGGGAGGCAGTGAGGCCCCTGGTTTCCTTTGGCAAAAGGGCACAGAGGCCCTTGATTTCCCTTTGGTTGGCTTGGCACGTCCTCCTGGGACAAGACCCAGGTTTGGATCTCTGCTGCTGCCCTGGTGCCAAGACCCAGCTCAGTCAAACTATTGTTCATTTGCTTCTTAAGGACGGAGGGTAGCTCTTAATGCTGAAAAGGCCACGTGGAACACTTCAGGTTATGTGTACACGGCGATGTGTGCATTGCCAGCCTTGCAGAAGAAGTGCCAGAATTTGGACAGGGTAAGGGATTCTGAGAATCGCAGCTCCCACTGCAATTACAAGGAGAAGAAAAGGAGTTTCTATCCCGTATGACCTCCAAGGAAAGCTTGACAAAGTTCAGGCAGTGCCCTGAGGGCATCTTGGTTAGAAAGAAAAGACATAGAACTGGAAGCAACCATGAGGGTCATCTAGTCCAACCCGCTGCAATGAGGGACTCTTGTCCAACTTGGGACTTGAACCCACGACTTTAAGAGTCTCATGCTGTACTATTAAAACAGCACACAAGAACTAAGATAGCAAGCAAGCAAGCAAGCAAGCAAGCAGATCCTTAACTCAGAGCCCCACCAATTTAATCAACCAAAGCTTTTGAGTTGATTAATCTACTGATTCAGACTCACAGCTTTTCTGGCTTGGGATTTAGGTTTTCTCAAGGCTGCCTGCTCCTAGGCCAGTCTGCCGATTTATGAGGGTTGTAATCTATAAAGCCCATTCTTTGGCTGCTCACTGCTCTCTGCAGTTAAAGTGGGTGATGGTGGCTGAGAGCCAGGTCTTCTTTGTGGTGGCACCCAAACTCTTGGATACTCAACTGATACCAGAGAAACTGGCATCGTAAGTCCAGCCAATCGAAGAGCCCGGCACCCCAGGTCCAGCCAATTAGAGACCCTGGCATCACCAAGTCCAGCCAATCAGAGAGAACCAGGGATTCTAGGCCCAGGCAATCGGAGAGCCTGGCATCTCATCCAGGACCCCTGAGGACCCGAGTGGACTCACCATCTCCTCACTCCCATTCATGCACGGCTGCCAGCTGTGAGTGTCGTTGCTGAACTGGATCTTATATGACGTCACCCAGTCATATCTGGGGGAAGAAAAGCAGACTGAACAGGCGAATGCACAAAGGTAAATCAATTAGGGGCTGGGAAATCTACTGAATCCCTAGGAATCCCTTTCAGCCCATGGTCCACATTCGCTCATGGGGAAACATCCCGGGGCTTACGTCCAAATGGAGTTCAGGCCTTGTGTAATGACCCCGGTGAAACGGGTCGGCTGCCGGGCATCCACCTCCAGCCACTGGTTCTTGTTTTCATGCCCAGCGCACCAGCCGCCGTCGTAGAAATCGCCATCGTTGATGCCAGACTAGAGCAGAGGAAAGCAGAGAGGAGTTGGGGTTTTGGCTGAGGATGCAGGACACAAAGGAGTCATTTGCTGAGAGCAGAGATTGGGTTCTGGTAGCTGCATTGGCAGGGAGGGTGCATGTGTGACAGAGGCCAGCCATACAATTGCAACAACACATTTAGTGGCACCACTGGAACTGAGAGGCGCACTCCGGGTTCCTCTGCAATCTTGCAAGCAATGTTGCAAATGCACACTGTGTTGCGAGCCAGGATGCTCTAGACTGGTGCAATATTCCTGGGTTACCCGGAGTCATCCCATGGGTTCATCTGGCCTGGCATCATCTATAAGTAACCAAACAATTAAACTCCTGTGTTGCAAACAATTATCAGTAATATCCAAGGCAACACCATGACCAAGTACAACAATGCAATATCAATATAAACTCTTTATATAATCTATACGGAACATTGAGCAATATGAAAAACCAAATAAACAGAAATCTTATAAATCTCTGAAAGTCACAAAATGTGCACTCTTGATGGATTCTCTTGAAAACATAGAACCAAATAAATATAAGTCTTATAAGTTTTTGAAAGTCTTTGTAGACTATGCAAGTCTCTGAAAGAAGCAATGGGCCAGATTCTTATTTGATGAAAACAAGCTGTAAAGCTTTGTTTTATGACGTCCAACACTGCCGAAGTGGTCCGCAAAGAGACCTAGTGAACAGTGATTCCGGATATACCCACTGTTTCGTGGAATTCTTCTTCAGCACAGCAGAAGGATACAGAAATGCTTCATAAACCTGTCTATGCTATGGAGCAGTGGTCATAAAATTATGTAACCACTTGGGTCATCGTATTGCCTTGGATGTTACTGATAATTGTTTGCAACACAGGGGTTTAATTGTTTGGCATCATCTATGGCAGTGGTCCCCAAACTTTCTCGGGCCACCGCCCCCTTGGTTCCACAAACCCATCCCCAGTGCCCCCGACCCTATAAAAAGCATTATTCAAAACTGCAGTACACACAACCCACTAAGGAAAATAACACCAGGGATCTGTGGGAAGCTTGGAAGCAGGACCCAAAACAGTGGCATAGCATTGTTTGCTGGCACCTGGGGTGGATGCACAAGCACCGGGCAGGGAGGGGCATCAGTCCATCCCTCTCTGCCAATGTGGCCCCACCCCCACGGGAGCAAAGCAGAGCCATGCTGGAAGAGATCATCAGGGGGTTTGGGTTGGGTGTTCATCAATATGGAGATGATACCCAGCTCTACCTCTCTTTCAAATCAGAACCAGTGAAGGCAGTGAAGGTCCTGTGTGAATGTCTGGAGGCGGTTGGAGGATGGATGGCGGCTAACAGATTGAGGTTGACAAGACAGAAGTACTGTTTTGGGGGGACAGGAGGCAGGCGGGTGTGGAGGACTCCCTGGTCCTGAATGGGGTAACTGTGCCCCTGAAGGACCAGGTGCGCAGCCTGGGAGTCATTCTGGACTCACAGCTGTCCATGGAGGCGCAGGTCCATTCTGTGTCCAGGGCAGCTGTTTACCAGCTCCATTTGGTACACAGGCTGAGCCCCTACCTGGCCACAGACTGTCTCGCCAGAGTGGTGCATGCTCTGGTTGTCTCCTGCTTGGACTACTGCAATGCACTCTACATGAGGCTACCTTTGAAGGTGACCCGGAAACTACAACTAATCCAGAATGCGGCAGCTAGACTGGTGACTGGGAGCGGCAGCGCCGAGGGCCTTCTGGCGGTTCCCTTGCTGCGAGAAGCGAAGTTACAGGGAACCAGGCAGAGGGCCTTCTCGGTAGTGGCACCCACCCTGTGGAACGCCCTCCCATCAGATGTCAAAGAGAAAAACAACTACCAGATTTTTAGAAGACATCTGAAGGCAGCCCTGTTTAGGGAAGCTTTTAATGTTTAACGGACTACTGTATTTTAATACTTTGTTGGAAGCTGCCCAGAGTGGCTGGGGAAGCCCAGCCAGATGGGCGGGGTATAAATAATAAATTCTGTTCTATTCTATTTTATTTTTCCTGCCTGCCTGCACAAGAGGAAGCCCGGCTGGCCGACACGGCCCTTGGTGGGTGGGGAGGAGACCAGGTGTGTGTGGGCACCTGGTTTGTGCCCGCTCAAAAATTGTGCGCCCGGGGCATGCTACACCCCTGTCCCAAACACAAGAGCAACTCTCCCTCCTGCGATCAGTGATGTCACAAGCCAGAGTCCTGCACCCAGCCCACCTTGATCTTCCCCAACTGCTCCTCCTGTTGGTGGGTGAGGGCACTGCAAGCTGTGTGCGTTTACCTGTATGTTGAGTCTCCCACGATGGGGTCCGAGGCCCATTCGCTTGTAGCTAGAAGCCCGGAGCTGGAAGTCCTTTACCCTCAGAGACTCAAGGCCCAGCGGGGGGCATTCTGGTTAGAAATGGGAGGGGAAGAGGAGGAGGAGAGTGAGATGGGAGACAGACAGAGAGAGGGCGGGGGATCAACAAAATTCTCGAGATATGAGGATTTCTCCCCAATGATCCCTCTTTGCTGGTGCCTGCGAGATGCCAAACATATCTTGGGAACGGTGGTCTGTTGGTGGTGCTAGGAATGGTAACTCTGTGAAGGGTTCTCCACAGTTCCCAGGATTCTTTGCAGGAGGGCATTGATGTGCTATAAATGTTTGGTGTGTCGTCTTCTTCTTCTTTGGCGATCACTCATAGCCGAGTAAGACTTTCTTCCATAGAGTATTGTTAGACCAGAAATGGAAGTAAGAAGAAATTCCGACAAAAGAAGAATGGCAGACGAAATTAATGGGCTATGCAGAATTGGACAAAATGACAGGAAGGATTCGAAGCCTGCAGGACCAGAGATTTACAGAAGATCGGAAGAACTATATGAATTATTTGAAGAGCAACTGCAATCAACAAATTACGCTAGTAGGAATTCAAGAAGTTTTGTAAGGAGAAAAAAATACGAAGTGTTACAAAGCAGAAAAACAGAGATATTGGTTATGAGTTTGAAATGTAATAGGGAAAATAAGAAATGCATACTAAGAGATTAGATTGGAAAGTTTTCAGACAGGACTGATGGAAGTCAAAAAAATTGAATAAGATGTAAAAGTATGTTTAATTACTGTTGAAATGATATGTTAAAAAATTAATAAAATTATATATGTGTGTGTGTGTCTATCATCTATCTATCTATCTATCTATCTATCTATCTATCTATCTATCTATCTAGATTGTCTTCCATAAACATGGTCTTAACAGTGAGTCCGTAAGTGACTGTGGAGGCCAATTGTGGATCCACATGTCCTTCCACAGTGGGGACATTGGTTTCTAAGAGGGAGTTGATCACTGTGAGGATTTGTCAAGCGTGCCTTCCTCTTGGCACGTTTCTCCCTTTCGTCCTGAGTTCGAGTGTCTTCAAAACCCATGACACCTTTGGTAAAGGCCGTTCTCCAATTGGAGCGCTCACAGGCCAGTGTCTGAAATTGGTACAGAGGATGTCTCTCCATGGGGAAGAGAAATAAGTTGAATTCCAAGCCCATGTGAAAGAAATTGAGCGGAGGGGTTTGCTCCTGCCTGTCTCTGTGTGAGCCTGCAATTGTAAGGGGCCGTCAAAACCGCACTGCTGTTTCTTCTACGAGTCTCTTGGATGAGTCAAAAGCACCAGAGCACAGCCTAGGCTTAAGCTGATGAGAAGTCTGACCGCACTCTTTGAAAGTGGGTCTCCCTCCCCCCTCCTTGCGCTTCTCCACAGCAGCCAGGAGATTATTTGTGCAGAACAAGCAGACTGAAGCAATCAAGAGGCATGTGGGGGCCAGGATTTGGGGTGTGAGTGTGCATGGATGTGTTATAGAAAAAACCCTCTCCTTTTCCCTTATGGGTTATCCAAGAGCCCCTACAGAGTCCTTAAGTGGGTTCTCTATTGGTAGGAGAAAATAACAGAGGCCAACCAGAGAATATCGAGAAGCAAAGCAGCTAGGAAGCCTGATCTTTATTAAACTGTTGCAACAGGGTCCCCAGCTCACCCCACTCAGGGAGGGAGGAGAGGAACCCCGAACAATGGTGTGCAAGCCCTTATATAGACTTTTGAAATTGCCCACCCTGTAGCCCAAGACCACCCCCTCAAAACATCATGCATGCATCACAGAAGGAGGTGGTCTACAGCAGAAATCCTGCCTGCCAGGATACCTGATAATGGTCACTGATTGCATTACCTGGGCAGCCTGGCCAAGATGCTAAATACACCCTTGAGACAGGATTTGTGAGCAAAAAGACAATGGGAAGGCTTTCCCCATTTGCCTCCCCATTTGCAGTGGTGTCCAAACTTTTTTTAAAGAGGGCCAGATTTGATGAAGTGAAGGGCCGTGAGGGCAGACCAAAGGGCTGACCAAAGTTATTAACCTGTTTTTAGGATTGCAGTCGTTGAACTTTTTTATGATTTTACACCAAAGTTGTTGAGCTTTTTTCAGGATTGAAGTTGTTTCTGGCCTAGGAGCAGGCAGTTTCTACCTCCATCAAGCCGCAGGGGCAGACTCGTTCCGCGTATGGTTTACCCTGAAATCTGCCCTGCAATAAGGCAGATGGCAGCGCGTTGAATCTAGAGAGGGCAAATGAACGTCTGTGTTTAGGTATTCGTAATTTTGACAAATAATTTGCTGGGGTAAATCCTCTCCCATTATCTTTTACTGCTGGGCGTTTATTCATCTCGCTCACATGGCACTTTTAAAAGCTATACTAACTTTTATTATTATTCTATTTCACCTCTCACTTGTGTTTTCTCCAAACTGAAAAGCCTCAAAACGCTGAAACTTTCCCCCTTTTCTGAAACTCTTCCAAATGCCAAAACCGGAGGGGAAATAGGTTCACGTACCCCTCTCTCCTCCCCCATTCCCAGTCTGCCTCTGCCACCGATAAAATGAAATCCAAATTCTGCCGCACAGTCTGCGCTCGGAGCCAATTGTGCAGTCAGCTGACCTTTCCAGCTGGCAAGGAGTCCTGCACCCTGAGCAGCCCAGTCACATGAGCAGATGTTCCTTGGGCAAAGCCATGCACAGCTCTGGGTGTTGCGCAACTCTTAAAGGCGCAGGAGCCTTGTCGTCCATCTGTCCCCGCATCTGTTATAGGAATTCTAAGGTCTCATATATATAAATCATATGTTCATAAAGTTACAAGGCAAACACATACCTAAGTATATAAACCACGTGTCTGAAATAGTACAGGAGAGCAATCCTGAAGCTATTTTGACTCTTCCAGTGACTTCAAATATTCCTCTGCAGCAGGCATATCCAAAGTCTGTTTCAGGGGCCTAATTATGGTCCAGCTCTCACTTCCATACATCACTACTGGGAAAACCATAGCTTTAACTATACGGACCTTTGTTGGCAAGGTGATGTCTTAAAAAGGAGAGACATCACCTTGCCAACAAAGGTCCGTACAGTGGTACCTCAGGTTACATACGCTTCAGGTTACATACGCTTCAGGTTACAGACTCCGCTAACCCAGAAATAGTGCTTCAGGTTAAGAATTTTGCTTCAGGATGACAGGATGAGAACAGAAATCGGGCTCCGGCGCGGCAGCAGCAGGAGGCCCCATTAGCTAAAGTGGTGCTTCAGGTTAACAACAGTTTCAGGTTAAGTACAGACCTCCAGAACGAATTAAGTAATTAACCTGAGGTACCACTGTATAGTTAAAGCTATGGTTTTCCCAGTAGTGATGTATGGAAGTGAGAGCTGGACCATCAAGAAGGCTGATCGCCAAAGAATTGATGCTTTTGAATTCTGGTGCTGGAGGAGGCTCTTGAGAGTCCCATGGACTGCAAGAAGATCAAACCGATCCATTCTGAAGGAAAGCAGCCCTGAGTGCTCACTGGAAGGACAGATCCTGAAGCTGAGGCTCCAAGACTTTGGCCACCTCATGAGAAGAGAAGACTCCCTGGAAAAGACCCTGATGTTGGGAAAGATGGAGGGCACAAGGAGAAGGGGACGACGGAGGACGAGATGGTTGGACAGTGTTCTTGAAGCTACCAGCATGAGTTTGACCAAACTGCGGCAGGCCATGGAAGACAGGAGTGCCTGGCGTGCTCTAGTCCATGGGGTCACGAAGAGTCGGACACGACTAAACGACTAAAGAACAACAACAAATTTCTACCCTGACATGGGTGTCTTGGGATTGTGTGAATGGTCCCTTTTCTCTTTGCTCCAAGCTCAACAAGAACCCTTCCCCTTTCCTGGCCAACTTGGCATGTGCACATCTACAGAGGCGATGCCAGGGAGCAGGGAGGGTGCATTCCCTGCCAGTGTTTCGCCTGGCACGGCCAAACACACATGAGCTCTCAATGCCAAACGAAGCCTCCAAACCTCCCCGAGGCAAAGAATAACAGAGGTGGCTTTCCAAGGATAACTTGAGGGAGCCTGAGCCGGCCGGCCTCTAAAACTTAGGAAATCCAAAGCCATCTTTATGTAAGAAGTTTTAAAGTCAGGGAGAATGCATTTGCCAGAGTGCCTTAAAGGGACGACTGCTGTTTTCTATGGATGTGTGTTGAGTGTGTTCAGGTGGAAGTCTGTTTGCCTGACCTAAATGCACAGGATTTGTGTTGCGTGAGGTTCTGGGCTCCACCAACAAGCCGCAGCCGTTGGCCTTGTGGCTGCTCTGGAAAAAGGGCTAGAAACTATGTTGCAGGAATTTATGTATAGGTTGGGGGTGGGAGGGTGTTTGCCCCTCCAGCAGATATCATGCACATGCAGCCCACTACCAAAATCAGCACAATCGCTTTTTTGACTTTTGTGATTTGTCCCCACAAAACACTTCATCACAGTTTCTTCCTATCTGTTCAAAGGGCCTCTGCTGCACAATACCAAATGTAAGAATTCACTGATCAATGTATCTATGTACTGGCTTACAGGGAAAACTTCAGAAATTCATATAGACCTGTGAGCTCAGCTACTCAGCAGCCCCTCTGCCTGAGTGACAATCCCTGGCATCCTGATACCTGAGTTCCAGACATAACAAACATTCCAGAAATAACAAACCCAGATGAAGACAAAAGGGTGTGATTAATTTGGCTGGGAAACAGGGAAATGTAAATATCTTTTTTGTTACACTTGATGGGTGTTTGGTGGAGGGCAAGGAGAACCATGGGGCAGGGTCCAGGATGCTCAGATTACTGCCACCAGGCCTCCCCTTTCATGATGTAACCATGATGTATTAGTGATGTAGTTTGGGGGGTGTGTAACATGGGGATTAAGGTAAAGGGACCCCTGACCATTAGGTCCAGTCGTGACCGACTCTGGCATACAGCTTCCGAGTCATGTGGCCAGCATGACTAAGCTGCTTCTGGCGAACCAGAGCAGCACATTGAAACGCCGTTTACCTTCCCGCCGGAGAGGTACATATTTATCTACTTGCACTTTGACATGCTTTCGAACTGCTAATTTGGCAGGAGCAGGGACCGAGCAACAGGAGCTCACCCCGTGGCGGGGATTCGAACCGCCGACCTTCTGATCGGCAAGTCCTAGGCTCTGTGGTTTAACCCACAGCGCCACCCGCGTCCCAACATGGGGATTAGCAGCTAATAAAAGTTTGGGGGCTCGTTTGTTCGGGGCTTCCATCTTGTTCCACCTGGTGGCAGGTGGGAGTCCTGTGGCGACAGTCTTCAATAAAGGCCAAGCCTACTGGCTGCTGTTTTGCTCTGGTATTCCTGGCTGGTGTCCTTGTTTTTTGTCCAATGGAGCCCTCAGTTTTCTCCGCTAACAATCTAGTCTAACCCCCTGCAATACAGGAATCCCAACTAAAGTATCCATGGCAGATGGCTTACCTGAGGCTTCTTTGGCAGCTCTTTCCTGGGGGGAAAGTTTGACTTTCTTCTTCACGACCTTCTTCTTCACAACCTTCTTCACAACTGGAGAAAGACAAAGACAAACGTTTTTGTTTGTTTAGTTGCTGTTTTATGCTGTTTTTAAGTCACATTTTAATCAATGTTTTATATTTGCTGTTAGCCACCCTGAGCCCAGTTTTTAAACCAGGAAGGGTGGGGTATAAATAAAATTTTATTATTATTATTAGTAGTAGTTCAAAATATTTATGCACTGCTTCATTGTAGAAAAAGAAGAAAAAAGACAGAAACCATCTCTCAGAACAGTTTACAAAAAAAGATAAAACGACATTATCAATAAGAAGAAAAATAAGAGCAGCAATTTAAGTTGAAATAACAACGGGCTAAAAAGAGTTTAAAACTCACACCGACTTTTTAAACATCTGGACTGGTTTGCCGAAGCAAGGATGTCTTTAGCAGGCACCAAAAAGGATACAGTGAAGGTACCTGCCTGATATCAAGTGGCAGGGAGTTCCCTAGGTGCTGCCACACTTTAAAGTATCGAATTCTTGCCAATGTGGAATGGGTAGGAAGTGGCTCCTTTTGGTGATTGGAGTAGCACTGTGGGCACATGCTGGGCAAAGCGATCACACAGGTAAACTGGCTCTAGGTTGTTAAGGGCTTCATATACAGTGGTATCTTGGTACTCAAACGCCTTGGTTCTTAAACACCAAAAACCCAGAAGTAAGTGTTCTGGTTTTCGAACGTTTTTCAGAAGCCGAACATCCGATGTGGTTATCTGCTATTGTTTCTGGGGAGCCTGCACCAATCAGAACCTGCACCTTGGTTTTCGAACATGTCAGAAGTCAAACAGACTTCTGGAACAGACTGCAAGAAGATCAAACCTCTCCATTCTGAAGAAACTCAGCCCTGAGTGCTCACTGGAAGGACAGATCCTGAAGCTGAGGCTCCAATACTTTGGCCACCTTATGAGATGAGAAGACTCCCTGGAAAAGACCCTGATGTTGGGAAAGATGGAGGGCGCAAGGAGAAGGGGACGACAGAGGACGAGATGGTTGGACAGTGTTCTCGAAGCTACCAGCATGAGTTTGGACCAAACTGCGGGAGGCAGTGGAAGACAGGAGTGCCTGGGGTGCTCTGGTCCAGGCGGTAATGAAGAGTCGGACACGAGTAAACAACAAACAACAACATTACTTCCCTTGATCTGGACCCTAAACTTCTGTTGATGCTGTCTAGAATACCATTAGCTTTTTTTGCTGCTGCATCACACGGCTGCACACTGCATCACATGTTTAGCTTGTGGTCTACTAAAACCCCTCAATCCTTTCCCCACGTCCTGCTGTCAAGCCAGGAGTATCCTGCCCCCCCAAAATACTATATATTTTTGCAGCTGGTTCTTCCTGCGTAAGTGTGGAACCTTGAAATCCTGTGCAGTAAGTTTTCCCCCTTGCATGCATGCGAATGAAAAGGGTTTCCTTTCTTACTTTGGCAAAACCTTCCCTCCCACACCCCCAGCAGCCTTGCAGCCCCACGCTGTGGAACAGGATGCAGGAGGCCCCCACAAACAGTGCCTGCTCTGTGCAAGCTCAGCTCTCTGGCTCAGCTCCATCAGATCCAGCCGCTTTCCTTCAACCAACCCCCTTCGGAGAGGCGAAGCGAAGCGAGGAAGCCAGCTTGCATCCGCAGCACCAGGCGCGGCGTGGGAGCCTGGAGCGGAGAGAGCCAGCCAGCCAGCCAGCTATCAGACGGGGAAGAAAACCTTTCGAGGAATGCAGCCTCCCTTCTGTGACACAGTTGGTCAGTTAGTTACCAAAAAAACCACGCACCCACTGTTCCGTGGGGCCGCAATGGCGCAAAAACGTGGTTACAAAGCACGGATCCACCCACACAGAAACACATCATTGCTTATTTCAACTTGCTTGTGGAAACAACTCAGAGGCCATGAAAGAAGGATGGTTAACAACAGGAAGATTTAAAGGAACTATTAGAAAGACTATTCAAGGCAGCAGAGATATGAGATGATCAGAGCCCCCCGAACTTGAAGCATGGGAAGTCCCAACAATTTTTTTTTTTTAATAATTGAGGCAGAATATTTGGACTATTTGATATGTATTTGTATAATTTGGAACATTCAATGTGATTTGACTGGATTGTTAAAATGGGAAACTTTATAAAAATGATTTTTTAAAAAAATACAAAGCAAGGATTCACATGGATCCTCAGGATCTTTGCATTGGGTCACCCCAAATTTGCCATCAGATCACATAGCATGTCCATGGCTATAGCCTGCACCAAAAAATCACGCATCCACTGTTTCGTGGGGCCGCAATGGCGCAAAAAAGTGGTTACAAAGCATGGATCCACATGGATCCTCAGGATTATTGCATTGGGCTACCCCAAACTCACCGTCAAATCACATGTCTGTGGCCACAGCATGAACCACAAAAATCATACATCCACTGTTTCGTTCAGAATATTTTTGTTCTTGTTTTCCTCCTCTAAAAACTAGGTGTGTCTTATGGTCAGGTGTGTCTTATGGAGCAAAAAATACGTAAGTATTTTTATTTATTTATTTGATTTGGGGAAGGCAGCTGCCCCCCCCCGCTCCTGGCTATGCCCATGTCTGTTTTGCATATGAAAAAAATATTTAGGGTCATATATATGGGATCAAGTCAGAAACCGGGATGGCTTCTGTAATTCCTGGAAAATGGGGGCACTTGGAGGGTACGTTAGTGGTAGATCATTTGCTCTGCATGCAGAAGGTGCCAGGTTCAATGCCCAGTATCTTCCTGTCTGAAAAACCACTGCCAGTCAGTGTAGACATTATTGGGCTAGATAGGCCAATGGTTCAGTGTAAGGCAGCTTCCAGGCGTGGAGAGTAGCAGCTGCTACATCAGAAGCCTCCTTGTGGCAGCTTCACCTTCTGTTCTCATGCCAAGCTTGCAAATGCAGAGTCAGCAGAAGGGTGGCATCCCCTGGCACCGTGATGCCTGCAGCTCTTGGCGGTCTGTGCAGCCTGGCAGCCTGCCATGACCCCCCCCCTAGCTGTGCCAGGAATTGCAAAGTAGGCAGCAGGTAGGTCAGCTTGAAACACTGCAAAGCCGCCTGCGGTTTGTGCAAAGGTGCCCCACATAACACGGAGACCCCTTGCGTAGCACCACAAAGGCATGCCGGTCATGCCAATACATTAGCATCGTGGGTGAGGCTCATTTGACAACACCGAAAAATGAGGGCTTTGGTGCAATTGACCCAGTCCTGTGGAACTCTCTGCCACTGGAGATTCAGTGGGCAACTTCTGCGCCCAATTTTAAACACTATTGAAAGAGCTTCTGTTCCTCCAGGCAATTCAGAAGACATCCTTCCCCAATGGTGAATTTAATGTTTGTTTATAACTCTTCAATATACGGCATGGCTTATGGCTTTTTTTCCACGGAAGAGTGGTCTGTAAATATTCTTGTAAATATAGATGAATGAAGTGCAAACGGTGTCACAGAGGTCCATAAAGCGCAGGTCACGCGGAAACGGTTAGCGGTTGAACGCAAATATATGTGAATGACGCTGCAAAACAACACACCCCAGTGTGGTTACACTGCAAAACAAACCACACGGCACGTGCCATGACCCAGAATTGCAAAATGCCCAACTCAGGTCTGCAAAACTCAACACTGGTTTTGCACACCACAATTCCCTCCCGGTAGCAAAGTACCATCCAGACAACACGCTGACCACCACAACAAGCCACACGCTAACAACGCAAAGCTCTCATCATGTGAGGAACTCTTTATATAAAGAAACTTCTGGTCAGTTATTGTGATGACTGAATCCATTATGTTCCATGTTCCATGTTTGTGGTATACAAGAATCTGGTATGTAAATCTATTGCTTAATGTTTATGTTATGTTACTTAGTTTTGCATAAAATTACATTACATTATGTTCGTTTATATAATCCAGAGTATGCACAGCCGACGAAGCCCGGTTGGGCGAAACAAGGAATTATCCTGGAATCCTTGTCTTATTTTCTGCATGTGCCATACTTTCAAGTTTTTCATCTGATACCTACTTACAAGGAATGCTAGAATTCTCAAAAGCACTGACAAGTGGAACTCTACAAGATTGATATAAGCATTCCACCTCGTGGTTATTGCTAATATAAGAACTGAATAGACTGCATCTCCTGATCAATCCGCTGGAATATGTTCTGCTCATATGATAATTTGGTCTATGGAATTACATATTGTGACATGATATGTTGAATTGTTTCTTGAAATAGAGGTTATACTGTTACATACAGCCTGTTACTTTGTGTGTGTCATTACCAGATCTGGAACTATTTGCGTCAAATGGCAGCACGTTCCGTACTCAAAATAAATAAGTAAATGGGATTGCCTAGCGCTGCACAATGTAAGCCTCCCAACGCCTCACCCTCGCAGGATTGACATCCAGCCCTGCAGAACTTGCGCATGAGGCCCCCCAAGGATGGCAAAACATCCAGAGGTCACTGCATTCCCCCCCCCCCAGCACAATGCACACCACAACAATCCACACACACAGAGTGGTAATCATACAGTTGGAAGGGACCCGAGGGTCATCTAACTCAACCCCCTGCAATGCAGGGATCTTTTGCTCAACGTGGACTCGAACCCACAACCCTGAGATTAAGAATCTCCTGCTCTACCGACTGAGCCATCTCATCTGAAGTACACACACACAGTCATTTGCTTCACACTTTTGACAGTGGGACGGACTACCTCTGAAGGTGGCAAACTCTCCTTCACCGGAGGTTTTTGAACAAGAGATGAGATGGCCATCTGGCAGGGATTCTTTGATTCCTGCACTGTAAGATGTTCCTTCCAACTCTACAATTCTATGGTTCTGCGCCTCTTAATTGTTCTCCTGTGGCACTGGTGTGACAAGCTGTACAGCTAGTATCTCTGGCCTGAACCCTGTGTAGAAATTAATTCTCGCAGGGGGTTATACTAGAGAATCCTTGGGGGTCCGCCCCCCCCAGCTCTACAGTTCTAGGAAGTTGTTTCCCAACACGGAGCTCAACACAGGTAAATTCTAACCTGCGAACGACCCTACCCTTGCATTTGCAAGGAGATCATCTGACACGGCCAGGGGGACTCTTTCTGACACCCAAACAGCCATTCACACGTTCTCTGGGCTCCTCCCGGATGTTGTGGCAGAGTGATGATAATTCCAGAAAGCTGGATTCTAACCAGCTTTTCATTTTCCTTGCTGGGGGCGGCTCACCAACAAAGACCAGTTACATAAATCTCCCAGAGGAATCTCTGCACCCTCAAACTGTCCGCTGGACTTTGAGAAAACACCCGTGTCTTTGCAAAATCCTTGCAGTGGCACGGACCATCGCCTGACTTTTCCCTCTTCCAAACCTTGCACCCAACAAACTTCTCTGCGCATCCACAATCTCCCTTTCAGAAAGACCCCCCTCCTGTGCGTAAAGAGGCAATGAATACCCGTACCTTTCTTCCCAAGAACCGGCTTCTCCGTGGCCACCGTGGTCTTCTTGGCTTGGCTGGTGGTAGCAAAGGGCGCTTCCTTGCCCTGTCTGCCAGGTGTGACTGTGGTCCTGAGGTTAGCGGGCGAGGTGAGCTCCGGGCGGGCTGTCCCCCTCACCTGCTTGCTCCTGGAGGGCACAGGTGAGGTGGAAGGTGCCCTGGAGAGCGCTGCTGTCACCTGGCTTGCTGCGGTGGGGCTCTTGCTGGGCTTCCGTTGCAGGAGGGTGGGGGCGACCGTGCGGGGGGCCCCATCCACCACGCTGGGGGCCCAGGCTGCCAGACAGATGGCGAGGAGAGGCAGAGAGAAACGGAGCATTTTCCCCTCTGCAAACTAAACACTTCCCAGACTTATAATCTCCAAGCTCTGTCTCTCCTTCTCTCTTTTGATGCTGCTCCCCGCTTTCCCTTTTGTCAGATTACCTCCCCCTCTGCACATTCCTTTTTATTTCCATACATGTACCGCATTGTCAGGAATAGCCGGGACCCGCAAAAAACCCTCGGCACTCCACGCCCCCTCCTCCCCCTCGGCGCCTCCAAATTTTCCAATTCACCCGGGCTTGGCATTCCTCTCTGGAGTTCCTCCTTCATGCAACGGTGTAGTTAAGACTATGGAACTGGCTCCCACAAGAGGCCACCAACTGATGGCCACCAACTTGGAAAGAGGATTAGACAGATTCATGGAGGAAAAGACTGACAATCCAGGATGACTCTCCTCTGCCCTGCACAGTTATTATTAAAGATTATCTTGATTTACAAATGTGTGCAAAGTCTCTCTCTCGTATTTCCCCCCCATGTAACATTTTTACAAGTCAGTTTCATTTGTTGAGACATTAGTAAGAAAAGGGGGAAAGAGGTGGTTTGTTGTTTAGTCATTTAGTTGTGTCCAACTCTCTGTGACCCCCTGGACCTGAGCACGCCAGGCACTCCTGTCTTCCACTGCCTCCTGCAGTTTGGTCAAACTCATGTTCGTAGCTTCGAGAACACTGTCCCACCATCTCGTCCTCTGTCGTCCCCTTCTCCTTGTGCCCTCCATCTTTCCCAACATCAGGGTCTTTTCCAGGTAGTCGTCTCTTCTCATGAGGTGGCCAAAGTCTTGGAGCCTCAGCTTCAGGATCTGTCCTTCCAGTGAGCACTCAGGGCTGATTTCCTTCAGAATGGAGAGGTTGGATCTTCTTGCAGTCCATGGGACTCTCAAGAGTCTCCTCCAGCACCACAATTCAAAAGCATCCATTCTTCAACGGTCAGCCTTCTTTATGGTCCCACTCTCACTTCCATACATCACTACTGGGAAAACCATAGCTTTAGAAAGAGGTGGAGTGGGGCGGGGGAAGATGGGTCGGGTGGTGATGTTTCTATTTTACTTACTATATGTAGGGTTTGGTGTCAGTGTTGCTTGTGCAGGTTCTTTGCAATTCACTTGTGTTGCTTTGGTGGTGAGAGAGGTTGGGGTTGGCCTAGGGTGTGGTTATTCATTTGTGGTTGGCTGTGGTGGTCTTTGTTTTCATGTGTGAGTGGGGTGTGTGTGTGTTTTGGATCAGGTTAGCCATAATGATTTGTATGCTGTTGGTGGATTCTTGTCATTGTCTTGTTGGGCTGTGTATGTGATGAAGGTGAGCCATACCGGGGTGAAGGCGTCTTCTTCTGTTTGTCCCCGTGTCAGTTTCAGTTTATTGGTTAATTTTTCTAGTAAGGCTGTTTCCCATACTATTTGGTACCATTGGTCCATGCTTCCTCCTGACAGGTCTCTCCAGTGTTTGGCTATGATGCTTCTGGCAGCTGAGAGTAGGGGGGTTATTGTCTTGGAAGATGTTTAATAAGGCCAATTCTGGGATGATTTCTAATACTTGCTTGGTAATTTTTCTTATTTCTCGTATGGTTGTTGTCCAGAATAGTTGGATTTTGGGGCACTCCCACCACATGTGGAGGTATGTGCCTGTAGAGGTGCACCCTCTCCAGCATTTTGGTGCGGTTCCTGGGCGTATTAGTGCTAGTTTTATTGGTGTTAGGTACCACCTGTAGGTGAGTTTCAGAGTGAGTTCTTTTCTTTTCATTGATATGGATTTAAAGGGGGGTTTAGACCGTATTCTGGTCCATTGAGTGGGGTTAATCTCATAGCCTATGCCATCCTCCCATTCTTTTTTGATTGCGTCTAGGGAGTTTGTGGGATTTTGGAGTAGTATTTTGTATATTGCGGATACCATCCTTCTACCATGTTGGAGGCAGCAGTGCTTCTGAGTGGCAGTTGCTGGAAACAGCGGGAGGGAAGAGATGCTTTTGTGCTTGCAGGTTTCTCAGAAGAGGCATCTGGTTACAGTGGCGTAGTGGGAGGGACAGGGGGGACATGGCCCCGGGCGCAAAATTCTGAGGGGGCGCAGCAATGCGCTTCCAAGCATGTTTCTGCGGGGATACCTGTCAGGGGGCAGTTGGAGCTCATCAATCTGGGAAGGGAGCCCATCTAGGAGAAGGAAAACTCTGACCCTAAACCTCTACTGCCTTGTGGCTGAACTTTCATGGGAGGAAACCCCAAAGGAACAATCTGTACCCAGTGCCTTGTGGGATATCTTCGGCAGAAGGAAAGGCTAAACCCTACACAAATCCGGAATCCCTAAGACGCTCAGATGGTGCCTTGTATGTCTCCTTGTATCGTATCGTAAAACCTTTTATTGGCATCACATACAACATCCAAAACAAATCAATACAGAATTACCACTTCCCCAGTGGCACAAAACATCTGCTAAAAGAAAGGAGGCAGAGCAGTCTATCGTCACATCTCTTGGTCTCCAGGGAGATCAGATGTCTGCAGCGTATTTCGACCACAAAAAACCAAATAGAGATATGTCGCCACTAACTTGGTGAGCTCCTGATCATTCCTCAGTAATAGAAAATGTATGACCTCTGACTCTGGTTTCCATTTGGGGATACAGAGTTGATCTAGAAATCAGCATATAGTTTACAATTGAGAAGCATATGTGTGAGGGTTTCCACCAGGTGGTTTTCACATGGGCAAGTTCTTTCTCCTTCCACCCTGCCTGAGAACCTTCCCCAAAGGAGGTTTGATGGATTTGAATTAAACCTGGCCAGCGAAAATGCCCTTCTTTCTTGAGGGTTAAGCAGAAATTCAAGGTAATTGTGGTTAGTTTCATGTGCTCAAGAAAGTTGAAAATAAAGTGGGGAACATGTTTTCTCTGCTGCTACTGTTAGTCCCACAACCTAGTTTTTATCATAGCCTTGGCAGATGGAGGGACATCGATTGCAAAAGTTCCACTGACAGCCCGAGTTGCTGTACCTTCTTGTTAAACTGTTGTAGCCCTGAGGAAAGAAAGGGGTGTAACAAAACTTCGCTGAGGAGAGGATCTTTATCTGATGTAAGGCAGATGTTTAACCAGCATAGAAGAAATCTCGCCTAGGCAACAGTCTTTACCTTGTGTTGACCTCCCTCTAGACACAAGGCCATATGCTTCCTTCTGGCTACCCCGGCAGCCAAGCTGGTGACCAACATATTGTTTTGCTTTCCTTCAGACGGTGCCTTCTCTGCAGTGGCTCCCCACTGTGGATGCTCTCTCCAGGGAGGTTCAGCTGGGGCCTTCAAAAATGCACCAGGCAAAAATGTTCCAAAGGTTTGGTTGATATCCAGTGCCCTTTTAAATATGTTTGTGGGAGAGGGGAACTATCGGTTTGTTTTTGTTTTATGACGCATTTTATGTTCTTATTTTGCATTTCCCCCCCTGTCGTGGGCTATCCTGTGAACTTTGGATGAAGGGCAGCACACCAATTAAAACAAACAAGCAAGCAAACAAACAAACAAACAAACAAACAAACAAACAAACACATTCATACCTCATGTTGTGTCCGCTTCAGGTTGCGTTTTTTTGGGTTGCGGACTGCCGAAACCCAGAAGTACCGGAATGGGTTACTTCCGGGTTTTGGCAGTTGCGCATGCTCAGAAGCGCTAAATCGCACTTTGCACATGCACAGAAGTGCCGAATCACAACCCGCACATGCGGGAGACGCGGGTTGCAAATGCTGCGGGTTGTAAGCGTGCATCCCGCACAGATCACGTTCTCAACCCGAGCGTCCACTGCAGACAATACTGCCTATGATTGTGTAGTTTACATCTCACTGTACTACAATTCCCAGCACCCTCAACAAACTGCAACCAACTCCCAGGATTCATTGGGGGCAAGTCATGTGCTTGCAATGTAAGGCATATACAGTACACAGCTACAGCTTCCAAGCCTGTCCATCTCACTTCCTGTTCAAACCAGCAGATGGTGACAAAGAGGAAGCATCTTCTTCTTCCAAGGAATTCTCACTTCTTGTTCTTCCAAGGAATTCTCACTTCTTCGGGGAAGGACTTTCCTATCTGACAATGTGAACATGGAAAGCCTCTTAAAAAGCAAGCTGTAAAATAAGGACCATGCCTCTGGCGACTTATGGGGCGTTTGGAAAATGAGGTCATCTTAGGTCTGTCTCGGCTCCAGGAACAGATCTGGGTTATTGGGTTCTTTGTGCTCTTATTAAGGGTTTTCTTTTAGCTCTGCGGTTTTAGCTGTTAAAGGGATTGAGCCAGTTCTTAAGAACTGGAAGATTGTCTCAAGTTGACTTGCTAGAAAAGAAAATTGTAGGGGAATTCTGGAACTTTTTGAGATTCAGGAAGGAAGACGGTGTGGTGAGAGGGAAACGCTAAAATATTCTGCGTTGCATAAGGGGAGAGAAAAGGATATTGTTTTGCATGGTGAAGGGAGGGCAAGGAAACAGGAAGGCTCAACACCAAATGACTTCCAGATGCCTCTTCTGTTATCTGCTTGGAGGAGAGCGGAAATAACCCTCTCCTTGCTGCATATCTGCCCTGAAACCATATCCCAACTCTGTGATAGCTAGAATCTGAGTCCTCCTTGGTGATCAGCAATGTAGATTCATTCACCACCCAGCGAATCCTTCACAAGTTAGGAACTCAGGAAGCTCCCTTATAAACAAGCAGAGAATCAGTTCATTTAGCTCCATGTTGTCTAAACTGACTGGCAGCCCTTCTCCAACGTTCCAGGCATGAATCCCACCAAGTCCTACCTGGAGATCCATTGGGCATTGAACCTGGCACTTTCTGGTAGGGAATCACAGAATCATAGAATTGTAGAGTTGAAAGGGACCCCGAGGGTCAACCATTCCAACCCCCTGCAAAACAGGAATCTCAACTAAAGCATCCCTGACAGATGACCATCCAACCTCTGCTTAAAAACCTCCAAGGAAGGAGAGCCCACAACCTTCCGAGAGAGACCATTCCCCTGCTGAACAGCTCTTCCTCTTACTGTAAAAAAGTTCTTCCTGATGTTTAGTTAGAATCTCCTCTCTTGTAACTTGAAGCCATGGGTTCGAGTCCTACCCTCTAGAGCAGGAGAAAACAAGCTTGCTCCATCTTCCATATGACAGCCCTT